AGCTGACATGTGTGTGACGTCCATTTGGGTATGTCCCTCGTTGCTCAGGATCGGCATGCTGTGTCCCGAACAACTCATCAACCAGTGTCAGACGAGAGCTCTGATTAGTTGGATCTATACGATGTGTCGAGAGAACTTCGTTCTACGACTCTTTCTGAGTGTGATGCTCATTGGGCTGTCTTTATAGCTAAAGATGCCACTGTCATGGAATAAAGTGTCAGTAATGCCTAATGCGGTTTACTGATCTTATTCACGTGATAGTTCTATTGCAAGATGCTATCAGTAATGCATAAGATGCTAACGAAGGTTAGTTTACACCTTAGTTTTCATTTTTGATCAAGCTAAAGGGTTAACCTTGTTACAGATTTTTACGAAATATTTGGGCGTGTGGCGTAGTTGGTAGCGCGCTCCCTTAGCATGGGAGAGGTCTTGGGTTCGATTCCCAACTCGTCCAATTTTTTATAGGTTTTTCAAATTGAAAATTTCACATTTTTTTTTGATGATTGATCTGATGAAAAGTTCAATAACTAACTAGAAGTATTTAGGTACATTTAAAAGAGTTACTTCCTGTAGTGACAGAGATCAATTAGCAAGGCTTGATTATAGTGTAGGGCGAGGATTGTAGCATATATATATAGATATTTTCGAAGATGTACAAATTACAACTGCAGTTAATCCCACCTAGTGCAACGACGAACCCTGCACAAAATAATGCTAGCCAGCATTTCTTTAACAACTCATTGATGAGTGCTAACATGTCTGGAATTTCACTAAATAATTTTCCAACAAATTATTTATTTAGAAGAGAAAATGGGATGCATTTTAATTCAGGAAGAAGAAACGTAAATACTTCAGCCATACCTAGGATTAATTCCAATATAAAAAGGGTTTTACATTTTACAAAGAAAACGATCAATTTACAACAACTAAGTGATGAGATAATAGAGAAAATTGGCAAAATGTATCCTGATTTGGAATCTGAACTTGAAATTGAAACTTTACAGGATCAATGGGGCTGTGATTTGGATCCTGATTTTATCGTAGGTGAAGTTTTTGCAACAGATAGCGTTGTTCAAGTTCTTTTAAAGAATGATATCGATTGGACTGAACATATTCCAGTTTCTGGATATGCTAATAAACGAATGAAAGTATCATCAATACGAAGTAACCCAAACCGGGCTACACCATCCACTGCCACTCAGAATCACCTAAATCCTCCTTCAATTAATGTTACCAGTGCATCTCACAGTGAAAACGAAACTAACGGAATTACTTTACGTAAGAGAACAACGTCACAACCATCAAAAGGATCATTTTATAAGGGGATCAGAATATCTACACCTTTGGTTCATCAAATACGCCGATCAAGTGAAATGAATGACGAGGATCACACCGTTGATCCAAGAAATAAATCTATCCTTCCACCGCCTTCCCAACCACAATCTCCTCCAATCCGTATTAGTTCAGGTATAGAAACAGGAAAAAGAATTAGAAGCTTAGTGGAAGATGATACTGTTTCAAGATCCGAAACTGTAGATCCACAAAAGGCAAAACAGCAGATCCTACAGTTTAATTCCCCGCATATTCCTATAACTACACCAAACAGGACAAATGTGATGACACGAAGTACATATTATGAAGCAGGAAAAGAAAGTTCATCTTATGATCAGAATAAAATACCCTCTGTTAAGCGCCAACAACCATTGCAGACACCTAAAGTTGGCTCAATTAGAATCCAACCAGAAAACGAAGGAAATGGTGAACCACAGTCAGGTTCTACTCCTCTGACTAATGGGAGTTCCTTCAAAACAAAGATTTCTGCATCAGCAGTACGTTCCTTGTATTCTCACCAGGTGTCTGTTATAGCTGCATCGACTAAAGAAAATTTAAACATAGATGATATCATCTCAGGTCAATTTCCAGCAAGGCCTAAAATAGTGAGAAACCGAGAAAAAATCCCTAGATCACCACCAAAAGTTTTAAAACGCCAACAAAGTTCAATTGCTGACAATAACGGTTCCCCTGTAAAAAATATTCCTATTCATGAAGAGGAGGATAACCAAGTACATTTGGCTGCACTTCCTGATAGTGAGCATGGTACCTTGAAATCTGATGATGTACATAGGAAACCAACAAGACAAATAACAAGTGAGATTGGCCAGAAGGTATCTGCGAAAACAACTGTGCCAACAGTATCTTCCAATCCTCCTGTAAAAACCACACATATTGAACGTAGGAAAGAAGAGATGGATTTATCTCTTACACAAGGCAATTCCAAGACTGCTGAAACAACTGAATCTATCGAAAACATGAACTCTAAGGAATCGGTAGGGAATTCAAGTTTCCAGAAGAAACATTTGTTAGAGGCTATGCACTCCAAAAGTACGAAGATACCAGCATTCCTGAGGGGAGATTCTCAGAAAACTACGGCCAAAAGTTCATCCAGAAAGAAACCATACACAACCGTATTGAACAAAGATATAGACAACTCAAAACCAGACCCAAGGAATATTATGCCAAAGCACATGCCAAGAAATGCTGCTAGGAGAGCTGCTCAGAAACTCTCTGGAAATCCTGACTCAGATACTGAAAATAGTTCTGAGAGTAGCATTGAAAGTGGAACCAAGATTGTACCGTCCACTCTAAGTGAGGGAGAAGAGTACGGGGAAGTGGATGACGGGTTTGATACAGATACAGGGATAGAAACTGATTACTTCTCTGATAATTCGATACCAGCTCATGAGAATATTGCAGAACCTGGAAATCCACTACTAAAACTGAACATCGATCCTATCAAAGAGAGAATAGTAACAGAATTAGATACTCAAGTTATGCCTGATCAACAAAATACAAATGGTAATGAACAACAAACTCCTGATGTAACCAACCACAAAATATCTGAAAACGTTAAAAATTTTGATAAGGTTATTCCTGATAGCGAAGGAAGTTTATTTGCTCGCAACAGCAACGAAACCTTCTCTACTATTAGTGGCTCTGCCCCGAACGAATACAGTCATTTGGTTATCGGACATGGAATGCCAAATGTACCATCAAATAAGACGACCCACAAGGAATCTAAAACCATCGAATCTGTTACTAAACCTGTTCAACTTAAGATAGCTACTTCTAACAACGATGGAAAAGCATCAAATTTGAACTCACGAGACACCCCGAAGTATCATACAGGGCTTTTACATCATCAGCCCCCTAAAATGAGACCATCTTTGCATACTATTATGGACATCAAAGAGAAGAACTTTCAAACTGTCACAGATAATAAGGCCGCTGATATAACACAGGAGCAAGAAACTAGTTCAGATGAGGATATGCCAAGTGAAACAAGTTCAGAAAATGACTCCGACTACATCGACTCCATAGGTTTCCCAACACCTGCTTAGTATCCTCAAAAGATGAAGGAAACAATTGGATCTTGAGTTTCTATACCTTCTTCATGATTTTGGTAAAATGTAGAGCACCAATAATGGTCCACTCTAAACCAAAATATGTAAAACTAAAACTTAGAATTTTTAAAAAGTAATATTATTTAATTGCATAACTTTTATAAAACTTACATCCCTGCATTCTTGCTGCTACCTCTGATAAATTTAATAGCGTCATCTCTTCCAATCTCCACAACATTTGAGATTTTGTTTTCATACTTGACTCTGAAAAATTTATCAGCCACTTGGAGCATGTCGGTCCTGAAGGTAGTGCATATAAATTGGGCGTTAATCGATAGCTCCTTTATAATTGATGCGACGGCTGCCCTGTATTGTTTATCTAGTGCAGCATCAATTTCGTCAAACAAGTAGAATGGTGCAGGATCAACCATTTGAATAGCCAATATTAAAGCGATTGCACACAGGGTCTTTTGACCACCAGATAACTGTTCCACGTGAAGTTGTTCATTTTGCTTTGAATTAAATGAAACAGAAATAGAAACACCACTATATACTGACGTAGACTCCATATTAGTACTCTGTGTCAACGAATCATCATTAGGTCCTTCATTTCTTTGTATAATTAACTTAGCAGTACCCATTGGGACCAATTTTTCAAACACATGGACAAAATTTTCCGACACTTTTCTAAATGTATCATCAACAGCTGTTGTCTTCTGAGATTTCAACTTTTCTATTAAATCCTGGATGGAATTCTTAGAGATCATCAGTTCATGAGATCGGTCTTCCAACTCGATTTCCTTTTCATTAAATTTTCTGTAATTTTCTAAAGCTCTTTTATTAACATTTGTTAATTTCGATATTTCTGTGTTTGTATTTGTCAATTTTCCTAACAAATCTTCGCTAGAGAGATCACTGAATTTATTTAGAACATCCTCAGATAATAATCCAACTTCCCTAATCCTCTGTTGAAGCTCTTCCCGACGGTTAACCAAAGTTGACCTCTTAATCATAGTTTTTTCTGCTGTCTTTTGGAAGTCTTCCATTTTTGCCAAAAGTAATCTTTGTTGTGAGTTAGCTTTTTCTAGAATTTTCTCGTTGTTTGATTTCTCAGCGTTGAGATCATCAATTTCTTTCTGAATGGAATTTAAACTACGAGAGAGATCCTCTTTACGAATATTCAGGTCTTTTGATTTCGCTAGTAAGTCATCTAACTCTTCTTTCAATGTCACAGAATCAGAATGTGATGATTCTGATATACGTTGAGTGAGATAATCCTTTTGGGGAATTAATTTAGATTCTAATTCAGCATTGAGTTTATCAATCGTAGTTGTCAATTCTTCCAAAGTTTCTGTTGTAACTTCTAGTCTAATGACGACATCGCTAATTTCTGCTGTTAAACTCTCAAATTCTTTATTTTCCTTTTCTGAAATTGAAGAATCAAAATTTGCATTGATATCTGCCTGCAAAGTTTGAATTCTATTTTCGAGATGGGCGATATTCATAGTGATCTTTTCTTTTTTTGCGTTAAGGGAGTCTAATGATTCCTGCATAATTGCAAGTTCACCCTTTTTACTATTCAATCTAATACGTAGCTGTTCAATATCCGTCAACAACCCCTCTTTTTTGTTAGCCAAGTTTCTCATTTTATCATTTATAGAATCGATTGTAGAATCAGTTTCTTCTAGCTTTCTCTTAATTTCTTCCATTTCTAGCAAAGTTTGAGTATGAGTCTTCCTAGTCTTAGCTAAGCTTTTCAAAGAATCTAGTCTAGTTCTTCTATTATAATCATAATAACCACCAGTTAGTACACCTTTCTGGTCGGCCCTGTCACCATCTAAAGTAATTGCATTCAAACGATATGTTTTGGCCAATTTCAAACCATTCACAAGGTCTTTGACGACAACAGTCCTACCAAATATATGTTGAATAGCGTTTTCAAATTTAGGGGCGTATTTAATTTTTTTGATCAATGGGGTAAAAGGGACAGATCTCGAATCCTCTAGATTACTCGGAGGTAAGCTAAAGCTATTGTCCAAAGTAATTCTATTAAGTGGGATAAATGTTACACGTCCGCCCTTCATTCTGTTTAATTCTTCCATTAGAAGAGATGCAGTTTCGTCAGTATCAACTATAATATGAAATAATGAATTACCACCAACTACTTCTGCACAGACTTTGTACTTCTCACTTACCTTGATCAATTCACCAACAGTTCCAAACACGGCATCATTGGATAATCCCAGTTTTTCTGTGATTTCTCTGACACTAGCGATACCACTAGACATGTCACGACTCATAGTCTCGTTAACATTTTTTTGAAACGACTTTAAGTCTGTTGAGATATTTTCGAGTATTGTGGTTAATTTCTGTTCATTCCTCCACAATTCCTTACGTTCATCTAATTTTTCGATATACTGTTCCTTTAATGCACTTTGCTCTTCTGAAATCTCTTCCAAAGTCGCTGAAATTGATGGTCCACTGATGGAATCTAACAAATCATCAATAGCCTCTTCTGTATTTTTCATTAAATTTGAAAGCTTCTCCTTTTCTTCTTCAGTCGAAACGGCCGATGCAAGTGTTGTTTCAAGGATAGCGGATTGTTCTTCGATCTGTGTATTAATCCATTTGTCTCTATCCTCTTTAGAGATAAATTGCGAATAATTACTTCTTTTCATTAATGTTTCCCTCTTTATTTGTTGCAATTCATTCAACCGTAATCTCCACTTCTGCTCATCTACTGACAATTCTTTGAACCTTGGCATCAATTGCTCTAACCGTTTATTACGTGCATCGATTTCTTGATTAGTAATTTCCAAGGACCTATTGTCATTTTTATTTTGGTCACTGGAATTGGCCTTATTTTTTTGTAAATCTGTAATCTTGACGCTTAAATCTATTAAGCTCGAGGATACTTCATTATATATTGCTTTAGTCTGCTGTTGATCAGTTCTAATCTTTATTCTCAATTGATTCTCTATGTTAAGAAGCGAATCTGTGATAGAACTTACAACTTTTTCACGTTTATCTAATTCTTGCATATATTGTTTTGAATCACCAAATGTGACATTATATTCGTCATCTATTTTCTCAAGTTGATCCAGGATATTGTTTAATTCTCTATCATATAAAGTAAATTGCAAAACTTTACGATTTCTCTCTAGATCGTTATATTTCTCTAGTTCAATTTTTTCTGTATTCATCTCATTCAATTTTGATTTCAATTCGATCATTTCTTTATTTATTTCCTTCATTTTTAAATCAGTTTCATTCATTTTCTTTAAAGATGCCTTTAACTTGATTTCGAAGGATTTTGCACCTACAACATCTTCTAATAATTTCAATCTCTCGTTATCCTTTGCATTAGTCAAAGCGATGATTTTTCCTTGGGGGACAATATTGTAAGGATTGTTGATAGAGAACCCTGCGCTCTCGAGAATTCTAAATACTTCAGTACTGCTAACATTTCTGTCATTCACCTGATGATCATCTTTCTTTAAACCGATGGTTCTTCTTATATGAATCTCATTATTTGGCTTTGGGGCAATATTGAAAGAACTCAACGGGATCTTTCCATCAGGATCATGGAAAACTATCTCTACAGAGGCACTCATGATTGAATTCCCTACAGAACCTTGATGAATCAAACCTTGCCTTTCTTCGTGTCTTAAGTGACTGTAGTCATTACTCAGCACAAATCTAATTGCACTAAATAAATTAGACTTACCTGAACCGTTAGAACCGATGATGACGTTCTGATGTGGTGAAAGATCGTCAATGATTGTTTCATTTCTATAGGTCTTAAAACCCTTGATAATAATACGTTGAATATACATCTTATACTAAAAGGAAAAAATGACCTTTCCACTGTATTAATTCTACCACTAAAATTGACTAATTGAATATATCACTTATTGAGGTGCTAGTATGCATGAACTTTGAACCTTTTTATACAAATCTGAGTCAATTTAACATTCCTTGGAACACGTAAAGGTTCCAATTTGTTTTATTTTTATTTTGTTGTTTTTGTTTATTTTACGCGTTTCTTCCAATTTTACGATAGGGGAGGGTAACCATCACCACTTTTCCACGAATTTACTGAAACAAGTTAATTGGAAACCTGCAACAAATTTCAGTAACCGACAAGAGCCTTTAGAGTTGAGGCAGCCGTTATTAATCTGAGAGTTAGACAGTGCGGTTAGTGATTGATCATATTTTTTTTTGACCATAGTAATCTGCAATTCAGAAATAGGTATCCTGAATTTCTTTTTTTTTCACTATTCATCAATTAATACCTTAAGGTACACGTAGCTAAATAGCAGAGGAAATTCATCTCTGTAGGCTGAAACATCATATTCCACAGAGGATACATATCAAATAATATTAATAAATCGAGGAGATTGTATATAGTCACATGAAATTACTAATATGAGAGGTGGTAGTTTACTGATAGAAGTGTTATTAGTTTTTCTGTGGTGTTGTCTGAGTACTGCCGTGGCAGGTAATGCTGGAAACTCCCCTGATTGTAAATTAGAGTATTTCCAAAGTTTAACTAAGGACTTAAAGAAATTTGACAATTCAGATTTATCGAAATATCAGAATATTGCATCTAAACTGGAGAATTGTCTCAGTGAATCTAGAACTGACCTTTATTTATTCAAAAATGAAATTTATTATAAGATGGGCCTCATTCATTTGTCCATGGGGAATGACATGAAAGCTATGAATGCATTTGAAGAATTACAAGGTCTAGGGGATTCATATTATAACTTGAGTAAAGATAGATTGAGTGATTTATATACTGAGTTTGGTCTGTGGGACCATCTAAGGATGTTATTACCAGATGATGACACGGGCGATATATTTCGAAGTTTAAATTCTACTTTATATCAAAAAATTAATGATCCAACCAAGTTTTCTACAATTGATGATGAGTTAGTACCAATGTTAAATATATCTCCTTATGATATCGAAACTTTGACCATTAGAGCAGATTTCTTATTCCATAAATTGATCGAATCAGAACATTTTAATGATTTAACAGTAGCTTATGAAATTGCAAGAATATTTGAAACGATATTGGAAAAACATAAGATTAGGTTGTCATTAGATAAAAGAATCCAAATGCATTATACAATTTCATTGTTACAATTATTAGTTCTAAATATTGAACCAACACAACATATACGAAAATGTTTAGCAATAGATATGGACTATAAGCCATGTAAAGAATTAAGTCTTTTGGTATCAAGATTAAACAAGATAAATCCTACAAGAGCTCAATTGTTTGATACACAGACATATATCTCAAAAAATGACATCGATTGGGATAAAATAGTTAATTATTATATGATAAAGAAGAGGGATGGAGTTATCAATTATGAATGGATTAGAAATAAAATTGTTCAGCTGATAAATGATAATACCGATTTATTGGTTAAAGATAGAGCGATAACAAATCATTTATTTGAAACTTGTGTCAAAGAACCCCTAGTCGATAATGCTGATAATTTTGCGTTTTTCAGATATTTAGAAATCATTTTATGTCAAGCTAATATGGAATTATCTTTAAGTAATAGTAAAAATAGGGAAAATTACAAAAAAAACATGGATCGGATTTGTAAAAAAACCCTAAAGGACACTTTAACTGCAGAAGAATGGGGTGATTTTATTAATGTGTTAAATAAGAAGGATGCCCAATTATCTGAAGAATTCCTGAACAAGATATGGAACATGTACCCTACATTATCCATATACATGATTAGTAAGATTATTTCTAGGAAAAACTTCAAACAATTCAATGGTCAATTACAAGATTTAATCATTAAATTCTTTAATGATAATAATCTCTTCAATACAATGAACCCTTTTATTCAAAAGGAGGCCTCTGTCGTTCAAAAGATTCAAGACAAGAAACAAAAATTGAATGAACAGAGACAAAGACAAAGACAACAACAGCAACAACAACAACAGAGACAATTCTTCCAACAGTTTGGTCAACAACAGCAACATCAACAACGTGCACCACCCCCACCACCAGCACATAATACAGATAAAGATTATTATAAAATATTGAATGTTTCAAAGGACTCGAACTCTAAAGAGATAAGAAAAGCTTATTTGAACCTAACTAAAAAATATCACCCCGATAAACAAGGAAGCCTATCAGAGAATGATCAAAAGAAAATTCATGAAAAGATGAGTGAAATAAATGAAGCTTATGAAATCTTGAGTGATGGTAGCAAGCGTACGGACTATGACAACAGTAGGAATGGAGGTGGCGCTGGTGGCCATCACAGACAACAAGGTAATGGTAACGATTGGTTCAATTTCCAAGCTCAAGGAAACCCATTCCCATTCGGAAACATGAGAGGAGGTTTTTAACTTGTCTATATAAAACATTTTTATAGAGTAGATAATTTAAGAATAACAAGAAAATTTTTACGGATTCGTAAGTTTGTATTTTTCTGTGTATCATACCAACATTATTTAATTATATATATGTATATATATTTATTAAATAATGTTGCCGGTACTTAGAATGACATGGCATTCGGCGGTATACTTGAGGACGCATCTCTATCTGAAGATATCATCGTTCCCATGCCTATATCGTTATCATCATCATAATCTTGATTTTCTGTCTCGGTAGTATCTATACCAGAAGCATGTATCTGTCTTAGTTTATCCATAACTCTTACAATAAATGGTCTTAATTCATTAATCTCCAATAAACCTAAATTATCAAGTTGCATGTGAGACTCGTTTAAATTTTTTAAACCTTGTAACACTTTCATCTGTCTAATTTCTTTAAGATCTTGTATTCTATTTCTTAATTCATAAATAGGATCATTGAAGTCATCAGCTGCCTGTTTGAATAAAATCTCCGAGACTACTAACCAATCCCACGGGAGTGCACTAAACCGTTCAATATTTCTCTTTTCATATTGTAACATAAGATCAAGACCCTTTATCGTAAGCCATTCCGGTATAATAATATTACATTTAGATTGTTGTTTTAATAATAGCGCCAACCATAACGTCACTTCAGTAGATTTCATTACGATCATATTTTCCAACGCACGTCCATCCATAGTCAACATCCTCCATCTACTCATATCCTCATTATCCGTATTATTATTATTATTATTACGAGAACTATCTCCACCTCTTTTTTTACTTGTGGTAATACGTGGGAAGATCTTAATCTTCTGGTTCTCCACAATGAACTGAACTTCCTCCGGGGAAAAAGTCTCCTGCAAACGACCTGGTAACGACATGACACACCTCTTTATTGAACACACTAGTCCCTTCTCTTTATCCAATCCTTCTCAACCACTAGTTTACGTGTTGCAATTATAAATTTATATATAACCAATTTACGCGATTTGGCTTATTTAAGCTGAAAGAGTTCCAAAGTAACCGACCCGAATCGGCCGAATCAGAATTGTGAAACTTTCAATGAAAAAGTGTGACGCTCATCGATTTTCTCTTTCAATGGGTAGCTAGTTTTTTTCCAATGCACTCTAGATATATAAATAAAGAGTTTGGAAGAAGGTCGATTGAGTCATCGAACTTCGATAAAGGGAAAGAAGAAGATCTGTTCTCAAATCAGAGTTGATCTAGTCGGTTGTGAACGATCTGGAATCGGTTTTGTTTTTGGAATTTGGGAAGTAATATGTGGAGAAACGTACTTGCGAAAGAATTGAAATTTGAGAGGCCAAATATGGCCTCAAAGAGATTAATTCTTTCAGTGCTGAATTCAACAGCCACTAAGAGAGAAGCTAAGGATTATTTGAAAAAATATAATAATGAGCCAATTATAGTGAATCATTGTTTATTATTTATTCGTGGATTGCATAGTATTAATGAATTGACTGCTAAAAAACTTTCGGGTTCAATCAAAAGATTAAGAATGTTAGGTTTACGACCTATATGTGTAATACCTCCAACGCCGTTTATGGATAAGGAAGCAGAAATGTTGGATTCAATGGTTACATCTGCTTCTTTAAGACCTTTACATTTAAGGGAAGCTCTCACAAGAACATCTCTAGGGACTTATAAATCAATCATTTCTTCTAATTCTAGATTATTTGATGATACAATATCTGGAACGGTTCCCATCATTAAACCATATGTATATAACGAATCTGATGCTTCCGAATATTTATCTAAGGATATTGTTAAATTTATGACTCATTTCAGTAAAGATTCAAGTCTCTTAATTGATAAATTCTTTATATTGAATACAATTGGTGGAACACCATCATTAGAAAGAAATGATAATGCTCATGTTTTCATCAATTTATCACAAGAATTTGAAACTTTGAAGAAAAATCTTTCAGATCAATTGCATAAATTACAACTAAGACAACCAGATTCATCAAATTTAGTAGATCGTATGCGATTACATATCTATGATGATATGATCACTCACAAAGAAGAAGAGCTTAAAGAACATTTAGAAGATATGGAACTCATGAACAGTGTTTTGTCAAACCTGTCGACAAGATCTACCGGTTTAGTTACTACAATCAAATCTGCAAGTGTTTTTAAAGATACAAAAAATCCTTTACTATATAACTTACTTACTGATAGATCTTTAATATCATCATCCTTACCAAGATTTAAGAACAATAGAAGATTAAAAGTTGAAACGGCAATACTGGATGAAAAGGAAGAACAACATGAATCAGATTTTAGTAGTTCTTCCAATAAATTAAATGATGCCGTATTTGATACAACGGTATTTAAGAAAGGTGTTGATATAAAGGTATTCAACTCAAAATTATTGACCCAGTTTAATAGTATCGGATTACCACCAGAATTTATTATGAAAGATTCAGATTTACCACCATATATTGGTCTAAAGTTGGATTTACAGAAAATGAAAAATATCCTTGATAAAAGTTTTAATAGATCGTTGGATCTATCACATTACTTACATAGGATTAACAATAACATCGCATCCGTGATTATTATTGGAGATTACGAAGGTATAGCTATCTTAACTTACGAGGGCCCAAAGGAAAAACCTTTTGTTTATTTGGACAAATTTGCTGTTTTACCTCATCTAAAGGGATCACTAGGTATATCTGATATAATATTCAATTTAATGTTTAAACAATTCCCAAAGGAGGTTTTATGGAGAAGTAGAAAGGATAATGTCGTAAATAAATGGTACTTTCAAAGAAGTGTGTCTGTAATCGATCTTTCGAATGACCTCGGTGGGAATGATCAAGTAGATAGCAATTTCAAGATGTTTTATTACGGCGATAATAATTCTGATTTGGAAAGTTTTGGGAATAAAGACACATTACAAAAAAGATTAACTGAATTTGCAAAATTTATACGTGATATAAAACCAAGTTGGGAAAAATAATAACCATTCTATATAAAATAAACATACCTCAAAAATAAATAATGCATTAATGAATTATATGAAAGCTGACAAGGAGTGGGAAATCTAGAAATCATCTTGGGTGAATATCCATTCTTGAGCTAAAGTTTCATTTCTAAAATGTCTTCTTAAGAAGGGAACATTGTGTCTCTCTCGTGTATCCTGGTCCTTATCGTACCAGACATCAGTCATCCCTATTGGCTCACTCATTACTTCTTCATCTTGCTTTTTCTTAATTACAGCTCCAATCCAATGTGATTTATACCAACCATCATATCCGCTGACAAGTACAGAATTCCGTGATAATTCACACAGATCAGCGGCATTTAATAGATATATACTTGCCGCAACACTATACTCTTCCATCATTGGCTCCTGAGTGTACGATGAATTGAATAGGACCGATTCTGAAGATAAAGATACCTTAAACCCGATTTTAAAGAGACTCATGAATGGGTTTTTATTATAACTTCTTCCATCTATAATTGTCAAATTTCTTAACTTATTCTCCTCACGTCTTTCGGTAACAAAATTCTTCTCAATATTCCTTTCATCCGTCTGAGTTCCCAAATCGCGATAATCTTCAATTAAACTTGTACCATGGGATACAGAAGATAGTGGTGACACTACAATAGGAACCTGGAACAAATAATACATATATAAAAATAATGGAGGTGCCTCCCAAATTGGCTCACTTTGAAGAAGACCACCATTACAAAGAAGTAAATTACAGGCCAGTGATTCTATTTGTTCATTGAAAATAACATCCGTAGTACTAAACTGCGATGTTCTATTCTTAGTAATATAAGGACAACAGTAGCTTCTTAAAATAATAGTGTTTTGAAAACAGTTATGCCTTAATCTATTGATTTCTGATAGTTTATCAAATATAGAGTACATGTACTGTGAGATTGTTGGATTGTCACCGCCCGCAACCCACTTACTTGGTTCCAAATCTGTATCTTCAAATACCTTCCACAAATAATCGTCAGTTTGATTAATGACTAGATCTAAAGAACATATATTTCTCATAGCGAATTGAAATTTTATATCATCTGAATTCATGGCTTCAAGTAAAGGGTCAAAAATTAAGTTTATAAAATCTTGAAAATTTCCTACTTTCCCTAGAGCAAAAAGTGGAGAGTAACACCTCGAAATTCTAATATTCCAACGAATATTATAAGATATTAAATTATATCTCATGAGCCAATTGGAAAATTTCAACCACCAATTATCAGACGTGCTACCCTTTTCATTGGTATACTGATAATCAACAGACACTTGGGCTAATTGATATTTTGATTTCTCTAATGTATGTAGACAAAATCTAGTAAATATTTCAGCAAAATATTCACCATCAATGTAGTTATCAAATTCCAAAAATGTTTTGGCTAAAAGATAATAGCGATAATGTTTACCTTTTAAAGAATTCCTTATTGAGCTCTCTGTTGCACGGAGGAGATGATAGCTAACAAGATATACATCTTTATACCATTCTAAAAAATCGTCATCTATTAGTTTTAATCCAGCTGGGATACATACACATTTATCAACATTTATACCATTTTCGAAAAATTGATTTAATCTAATAGGTTGGTCATCCTCTGTAATATAAACTATTCTGTCAGGTTCATTATTCAACTTTTCCCAAATATATTCACTTAACTGACGCCTTCCCATACACCCACTTAGTAAGAGATCAAGATCTACTTTTCTTGAGTTATAAAAATCTCTATAAGGAACATGTTTGTTCTCCAATATTTCTGATTTCTGTTTTAGTAACTGGAATAACTCAAATTTATCCTTTAGGTATACTAGTCTCCTTTCAGATACTCTATTGATTTTATCAGTTTGCGAAGCTTTAATTAAATTTGTTAAATCATGCTTAAACTCTTTGAATGTGGGGATACTCCTGCTCTCATTTCTGGGTCCTAATAAAGAATGCTTGACCATATTTTTATGATTTGCCTTTTTATATAAATAAATATTGAAGTATTCACCTGTATAGTGCGGATTTTCCTTTTTCCTACCTAAGAAATATTCTTCATCTATATTATGTGGATAAAAATAACCATGGTTATTCACCTTTTTTAAATCATTTAAGGTTAAATCAATCTCTGAAGATGATGCTGTTGATTGTAAAACCTTTTCCTTTAATCTATTATCTTTTTCGAATTTCCAAAATTTTGGTAGCGGTTTTGGATAAACCAACCATTTGTCCAAATCATTTTTCATATCACTGACACAATCTTGAAACGATCCCTTAATATATTTTTGGCGAATAACACGCAATTCATTAAATATATTCATATTAATATCACCATAACAATCTGCCGTTGACGGTACTGAAATACGGCTCGGCCTAGGCTTGGTATCCTTTAAGGTAACCGGATCATTATTCTCTTCTGGATCAGAGTCAAAATACATAGGCGAACCACGAAGCATTTGATCGTCGAAAACAGTTCTTAAATCTATCATATCTGTATCATCAATTGATAAGAATTTCTTATTTGTCAATAGCTGACCTGCGTCATGTGATGAAATAGGGGCTTCTGAATTCTTTCTTGGGATAACGGCATTATGTTGATAATCGTCTAATAAAAGCGATGGAGCTCTTTCAAGTAAATCAGTGTACATCCTATATGAATCTTAATTCACCTATAATGTTACTAATTACATCCACATTATGTATGATTGACTTCAAATCGTTTTAAAGGTGTGTGTGTAACGTAGATCCATAGAATATTGAGATATTCCATTAAAGGTGGTGCCTAATCATTTTGGTTCTCCTTAATCCTATCCGAAGATCGGCAATAGGTGAAAAATCACGTGCAACACTGACAGCAAACTATATAAAGTAGGCAATAATAATTCAATCTACTTGGAACTTTTGCCATTCAAGGATTAAGGATCACCAGGAATATATTATTAGGTAAGTTGTTATGATTACTCAGAAATATAAATTAAAAATTAGAGTACCTTTTTTTCTTACTTTGAAGAAACATGAGATGGAAAAATAACTTGACCAAGTGATGAAAAAAAGTGGAATACAAGATGATATGTTCAACATGATGCTAAACTTCTTATAGTCAACCTGCTACTCATATTGGTTTACCAATTTATAAATCTTTTTTTAAACTAAATATAAAACTTTTTCATAAAAATATCTCACAACGTCATTTTTATATACAACTTTATCTATGGAGAGAGTACACAAAAAATAAAAATAAAATACAAACAGACCTTAAAAACTTTGTAATTAAATCAAAGTTGAAGAAAAATTGTAGTTTCCAATGACATATTCAAATTCCATTATTTTCTAGCTCCGTATCGTTCATAATTATGCCTACAATAGCACCCAACACAAATATCGAACAATTAGTTCAATTAATTGACCAATTCATGGAAGATTTAGATGCCCCTTTAGAGTCATTAATCAAATTATTTCGAATATCATGTAATAGAATAGGTTACCCAATAATAAAAAATATACTGGAATCAACTGGTGTCTTGAGGTATCATTCCTCTCTAACTATTCCTTCAAACATATCCCATAGTACGGGTATTTTCCAATCTACACCACAAACAGTGAGAAGATATAAACTTCTAAACCGTACTGGGTGGGATCAATATAAACAAGATGATCTACGTCAAACTGAACCAACTCTTACTACTGAAAACAAAAATTCGTCAGAAAGAAGTCATTTATCTAGCCTATTCTCAAGTAGTGCACCCAATGGAGATACGGAAAGGACAACGATCCACGAATTCATACAAGACTATATGTACCCGTTACATAAACCACAGATGGATAAAAACCAAAAATACAAGGTTTTCCAAATTTTATTCCATTCAAAGGATGAAGAGCTACCTATAAAAAAGGAATTGTCCTTGTCGATCAGGAGGCATAAATTCAGAAGATGGAAGAATAAATAACAAATAACCTTGGGAATATATGAACTAGTTTATATTATCGAAGATTATATAAAAAAAAAATCCTATTTAAAACAATTTATTTATTTTTTTCATTACAAAAAGTATAATTGAGAAATTCTTTATTCATCTAATTGTTGCAGCTTTCTTAGCACAACGTCCACTTTGTCACGTGCTGTTTGTTCTTTATCGGTACGAGTTCCTATTCTTATATCTGAATGAACCCTCATAATACCTTGCGAATGAGAGTATTCATGCAGTTCACCAATGAGACTTGTCACTTCCTCCCATGGGCCTTCAATGGTAGTTCCTGCACTATGAAGTGTACTTTTTAAAGAGCTTTCTTGTATCTTCTTTTCTATACCCGCAATAAATAACGATCCGCTGACTTCATTGGTCCCAACAGGATAGATACAAACGTCCGCAATACAATACATAATTCACCTTATAGGTACTTGAAAACTTTCGAACAATGTCTACTGTTCAATAAATACTTGCTTTATTCTAATGACAGTTTCCTTTTCAGCTTTTTTCTATTTCATTGAGGGCTATTTCGAACGGCAATGATTAGACATTCCTTTAATTTTGGCCGATAAGATACATATATATATATTTTGCTTATTATATTGAACTTCTAACAAAAGAAAAAATGATATAGACAAAGAGCAGAATAAGTTTTCTTTTTTTCCATGTTATCTGATGTATGGAAAAGGATTACTATAAAATTTGAATTCCTTTCTTTAAATTCTGATCCACATAATAAAATTCAACGAAGTACTAGCACTTACTAATTTCGATAATTTATCAGTTAGGACATATTATTAGAGCTGTTGAAATAAGTTATTGTCAACGAGGTAGTCTTTTATAATAAATAATAAAGCTTTGTTTCTATAAGTATTTAATTCATATATATGTAAAAAATAGTTTGAATTAAAGGAAACATTTCATTGCTAGATTTGTCGGAAATTTTGAGATATCACGACAGCAACGAACATATTACAAGATTAAAGGAGTAAGAATTATATATATATTGTCTAGATAATGATAGAGGTTAATAGGATCATTCAACAAGAATAAGAAGTTAATTAGCTCATTATACATCTAGAATTGAGTTGATTGTCTATTATGGGATGATTGCCTATTATGGGATGATTATAACCACGAACAACTAATTCGATAATATCCAAAGATAGCAATCACTTGATTTACTTTATATACTTTATCCTATTGTTTTTGGGTAAAGTAATAAGCTGAACATTATAAACCATTAACTATTAAACTATAAATTATATAGAAAGGAAACAGGCTATAACAGATCGGTTCATCTACAATAAACATAAATATAATTTATCTTGCATCCATGGAACACCCCAATACTCTAATTATCCAGCACGATTGGAATTTGTTCTTATAAACTAATGCAATTGAGAGATGACAATTGCTTAGCGATTGTTAACATAAACAAACTTTAACTGGTTATTTTTTGTGATTATTGGAAGTATTGATACATCTTTAATGTATATTAGAGTCACATGTCAGTTTTCTATCGGAAAACTGGGAATTAGAGAATAATGATAGTATATATATTTACTGTAGCTCAGGACTATGTGTCCGTTGCTTGCAGCAGAGCTCCTCCGCCTCCTATCAGAGAGAGACATGAGAGAGTGTAATATATAATTCTACATAATTTGGAAAACGGGTTCCTTTATATACAGAAATTTTCACATTAATATCGCATTGTACGAATATCACTGTGTGTCACACTGTTATATAATTTCCAACATTTTCGGTAGTTGAACTCCTCTACCTTCTTCAAGAAGGATTGAATAATGATAATTTAAAGATATAGAATTTATATAGTATACAAATGTCTTCAACTTGATTAAAAATTTAACATGCAACAATAGCTCCATAGATCAAACATATTCAGAGGAATTCACAGTTAATAATACCAATTGTAACACCAAATGTGTACTATACACTTCTGTAGGACGATTAATAGGGAATACGCCACTAAAAATATGAAATTTGTTTGCAACTCCACCTTAATATTTTCGCGGAAAACATAAGAAATATATGCCATCTTAGTATAATGGTTAGTACACATCGTTGTGGCCGATGAAATCCTAGTTCGATTCCAGGAGGTGGCACATTTCTTTTTTTGAATCTTTTACCAATCCATCTAAATTTTAAGGTCAATTTAACCATATTAGCCCGTGGCGTGGTTCTGAGTTTAGTTAAAGCTAAAATGAATCTTCTTTTCATTTTTTTGTGATGTGAAAGGAAGGTCATTATAATCTTCACGAAATTTCAATACGTTTTTACTCAATGTCTTTTACCAAATCGTGAAGTAAGGATCTTATTACTAAATTTATTTTTTAAAAAAATTATACATTTTCTTACGTATTTTAACTTTTGGAATCCATTAATATTATACAGTTGCAAATAGTTCCTTCTTTGAACATGATCTAAATCGTTCCAACCGATACAAACTTATTGTTCAGATCGGAGTTTGAACAGTAAAGGTGTAGTTTCCAGAAACAGGATCGTAAGTTTCGAATTTTGCATTTTGTATTTTCCTTAATTTCTCGATATGTCTTTTGACTATGCTATGATGTGGATCTTTAATAGGTTGTCTATTTTCCCTATTCGTTGGATAACAATGGTATATTGTTATTCTTGAAGGAACGTTAATGCCAGAACCTGCCACCATGTCTTCTCCAGAGTACGGAATTACCTTACACGATCCTTGTTTCAAAGTTATGTATTTTCCACATAATAGTGCTACAGGAATATCCGATAAATCGACGGGTTTCAGAAACTCCACTTTCCCATAAAGGTTGTGACCGATAATCAAATGGTCTACTTTACGCAAATCTAAGAGTGACATAGATGACAATGTACTTATGGATGGTGAAATGTAGTAGTTATCGTCAATAAATGAGAAATCAGTAGTTTGAATACCAGGTGGCGAGAGTTTATTTTCACTATCAGCGACAACCTCAAATTTGTTTGAATTTACATCATTCTTTACAGTTTCAGCTTTATTTTCGGTTTTTGGAGGTAAATTTTGTTTAGTCGATTCCTTCAATGGGATTTTCTGGTCTTTCAATTCTTGTTGTTCTAATGTCTTTAAAACTTCCTTATTTTCAACAACGACGTTATTCTTCTGTTGAAGAAAATCTTTGAAAGTCTTTTTCTCAGGGTTAAAGAGCAGTTTCTCGGGAACTCCACTAGTATCATTAATATCCTTGCTTGTCAATAACAAAGATGGTCTTGTCTCTAGAGACTGATTGCCTTGCGCAGAACCTGAGAGGTCCGTGCTGTTGTTGAGCGCAGAACCTTTAGGAGGTAGAATTTTATGTATAGTACAATTGTCTTCAGAATGGATATGTTGTGTTGTCGAAAACAAAGGTTTAGGAACCAGTTTATATGCACCGGTAAGCGTATTGTTTTTCTTTATGTCAGCGTTTACCTTTGTAATATTAATTGTTTTAGCAGATTTTAGTCCATTTTCATCAATTACGATTCTATTAAAAAGATTATCAGAACCAAATGGATTATGAGTAATTAAGTTTTGCTGTTGAGCTAATGTTTGAGGTGCTTGTCCACCTATCTGAGTTTGGGAACCAAGCATAGAACTCATCGGTTTCTGAGCACCAAAAAGGCCAGTGCCGACAGAGCTGTTATTCAAACCAGTGGGGTTGTTGTTCCCAAATAATCCGCCTCCTTGAGTGGCTGTAGAAGGCTTCGACCCAAAGAGGCCACCACCTGTAGCTGTACCTAATCCATTAGTAGCATTGTTGTTACCGAATAAACCGCCACCCACTGGTGCTGCTGGTTTGGCACCGAACAGACCGCCTGTTGTGTTACCCCCAAACGTCGATTGATTGCTAGTGTTGTTAGCATTATTAATGTTGTTGCCAAATAGACTACCGCTTGCATTTGTGCCGGCGTTAAGACCATTGCCACCAAAAGTAGATCCTGCTGGTTTAGCACCGAAAAGCCCACCTGTTACAGGCTGTTGTTGTTGGTTGTTGTTTCCAAATAACCCACCACCAACAGGTGCCGCCGGTTTGGCACCAAACAAACCACCTGCTTGTGTTGACTGCTGATTATTTTGTCCAAAGAGCCCTCCACCCATAGCGTTTGTTTGTTGACTATTATTCTGACCAAATTGACCACCAGCTGAATTCTGTTGGTTACTATTTTGACCGAACAACCCGCCAGTTACTGGCTTAGCACCAAACAAACCACCTTGTTGTTGATTATTGTTTTGTCCAAATAAACCACCTGAAGATTGCTGTTGGTTATTATTTTGACCAAACGGACCACCAACTTGAGCTGGTTGGGTTCCAGTTTGACCGAAAAGACCACCTTGTTGTGGTTGTTGTGCATTATTTTGACCAAATAGACCTCCGGTTGCAGGCTTACTACCGAACAACCCACCTTGTTGTTGAGAGGTATTATTGGTCTGCCCAAACAACCCGCCTGCTGATTTATTACCAAATAGTCCTCCAGCGGATTGGTTTTGATTAAAACTGTTTACATTATTCTGTTGACCACCAAAACCAGTGTTAGCGTTGTTATTACCAAACATTGAATTATTATTGTTGGCTTGACCAAATGTTCCACTGGTGTTACCTTGATTTAAGTTGTTATTTTGACCAAACATTCCAGCCGTATTGGTGTTAGCGTTGTTATTACCAAATGTATTATTGTTATTTTGACCAAACAAACCGACTGATGTTGGCTTATTTCCGAATAGTCCACCTTGTTGCTGGTTATTATTTTGACCATATAACCCCCCTGATGTAGTAGTATTTTGTTGCCCAAATGTATTGTTATTAGACTGCCCAAAAATACCTCCAGTTGTGGTCGAAGGGTTGTTATTCATACCAAACAGGTTATTAGAGTTAGTTTGCTGCTGACCAAATGTATTAGGGTTGTTCTGGCCAAATGTACTTGTATTATTCTGCAGTCCAAACCCAGTCGTATTGTTATTCTGTTGGCCAAACAGGCCAGTATTACCTTGAGGTTTGGAGTTGAATGGAGAATTCATAGCGTTTGAATTATTATTATTACTATTACCAAAAAGGCCGGTACTAGTATTAGCACCAAATCCAGCATTTGGTTTTTGCCCAAATAATCCACCAGTAGTATTGTTGTTTGCATTGGTATTACCTCCAAATAGACCACCACTGCTTGTAGTAGTGTTAGTGCTATTTACGCTATTTTGTCCAAAAGAATTCATACCTGTAGTATTGGTCACTGGTACCTGAGAGTTTGAAAATTTACGACCGACTTGATAATCTTGATATCTCAATTCCTCAAATGAATAATTCCTATATTCTGGCATACATGTGATACTTTGAAATACATTTGTTGCATTACTCACTGGGTCTTTTTCTTGATATGCAGTAAATGGTTTAATACCTGTACCATTGTTAGAAGATGCTTGATTTATTGAGTTCCCTAATAAAGGATTAGTGTTCATACCACTTGAATTGTTACCGAACATTGTAGTCCCTGCTGAAGTGTTAGTGTTTGGTCCAAACATACCCGTGTTAGCAGTATTATTTGAGCCAAAACCAGTAGCATTGTTGGCAGTAGTATTGTTCATACCAAATCCACCAAAACTTTGTTGTGGTTGCTGAGTAGTATTATTTGGTTGACTCATGCCAAATGAATTGGTATTTGTCTGTTGTGCACCAAAAGGAGAAGCGTTAGATGGAGCTTGCTGTGCAGAGGCGCCTCCAAAGGTTGATCTGTTAAGGCCAAACATCAATACTTAATTGAATTTTGTTGTTATTTGAATAAAAAAAAAGAATGCAAAGAAAAACAATAAGCAATTTTCTCTGTGTTAGATATTGGAATTGTTACCCAATTTCCTTAATAACCTTTGAAGTTAAATTTAAGTTGATCTATTTTACAAAATCTTCCTCTTGTATAGTGTCTTAAACTATTTAAATCATTCATCTTGTCGCTGCGTTTCCAGGCAAAATGCCTTTAAAGATAAGTTTTAAGCAAAAAATGACATTCTAAATGCCGTTAAAAGTGATGTTCAACTGAACTTTGCACGTTTTTCATGAGAAACTAAATTCAGAACTTAGGTACTCGATTTTGATTGATTCCTTTTCACAATTTACCATTTACAGTTTTAATAACATTTATTTAAGGTTTAATTGTCAATTCTTTAAGGTAGTATATTGACTTTTACCCTATTTCAACTTACTATTTGGCACGTGACTAGTTGCCAATTCTCCGGGTAACAGACACACGAAAAACTAACCATTAACAAATTTGAAATGAGAACTTTTGGCGTTTCTTATATAATTTATGTCATGAACAGATGAAAGTATCGGGATGTTAGTAATTGGTTACCCTTTAAAACTAAATCTCATTAAATAGAAGATAAAATAAACTAGTTAATTTGTGATAATCTCGACTTTATTTTGATTCAAGCAGGGATAAGATGGAACAAGATGATTATATGATGAATTTTGGGGCCGACCCAACCGAACCAAGTAAAGGAGAAGAACTTGAACCAAACGTATCGGCAGTTATACAACATGATCCAACTATATTGGATCCCACAGTTATTGCGACCAAAACAAGAAGACCGCAAGTGAAATTGACGTCAGAAAAATTATTGAGTGATCCAGGTTTACCATTTGTGATGAAACATGCACCAAAGAGGATACGGATATCGACAAGTAGAAAATCAGCACAACAAAATTTGTCTAATATTGTTCAATTCTATCAACTTTGGGCTCATAACTTGTTTCCAAAAGCAAAATTTAGAGATTTTATCAAGTTATGTGAAACACTAGGAAAAACTGATAAAGTATTAAAAGAGTATAGAGCTAATTTATATAGGGTCGATATGGGAATTGACCCAATTGGTGATGAAGAACAACAGGATGATTATATTAACACAATGCCTGATACCGGAGATAATGCTATACACGACATCACTTCTAGTTCAAATCAAGAACCGTCCTTATTTGTTAACCAGGATTCCATTGACATGCATACTCAAAGTACGATACCACAAGATACTCACACGCAATTACAAAACGAATCAATTACAACTAAAGATAACAACAACAACAACAACAACAACAAAAATAATAATAATAATAATAATAATAATAATAATAATAATAATAACAATGGTGATGAGGATGATCTCAACGATGACGATGACGACGACCTATACTCTATATCTGTTATGAAACATAGTACCAAGAAAACGGTCACTGAAGAAAGTAACCCGAAAACAAGCGGTTTGAATGACATATCAACAGAAGGTATGCCTTCTCAAGCCGAACTTGATGAAATGATGCGTGAAATGGAAAATACACAACAACAGAATTCTCAATCCAATTCTACTAATAAAGTAAAAGACACCGAAAACCACTATTCTGATGATGAAGAGGCTCTAAATGCGGTTGAAAATGAATATATGAATGAGACAATGAATGACATGGGAGCCTATGGTTTTTAAGAGCTATACTTACTAGGTTCTAGAAGAATATTTCCATTTTTTAGTTGAAAAGGTATTAAGTTAATTGTAAAAGGGCCATGGTTATGATTAAAGAGACTACAAAATTTACTAATCATACTTTGAGTTTGGTAAAAACACGGCATATTTTAATAGAAAGTAAATAACTTCAATCACTAATATTTATTACATAAAAGTTAACTTTAGAGGAATCTTTTCCCTTAGATGATTAATCAAAAATACTTAATATCAATAGATTTATAACTGATGATCTTCAGTCTTTGAATAGTAAAATGTAGCTTCACATTACTGTTACATTATTGAATTACATCGTTATCATTATTGACGACAATAAACCAGTATTGTGATAGAAGGCTACCCTGTAGGTAGATAGATGACTATCCCATGAACGCAAGCAAAAAAAAGAATAAGTGTAGATATATAGAAAGATGTCTACTTAGTGTATATAAGTGAAGTTAATGTTGTTAACTTCTAGATAGGATATAGATTAGTTAGTTAGTTTTTATAAACAACGATTATAACAATAACATATAGAGTATTCTACTTATATTAGAATACCGTGGTCTAAAGAATAATATAGTAGTAATCTTCCGTTTAAGAGTACCCGCATCTGAGAATCAGAAGCTATAGAATTCGATATATCACAAGACCAAAAAAAAAATGAAACGGACAGGAATTGAACCTGCAACCCTTCGATTGCAATCTTTAATTTCCTTGGAAATACCAGGATTTAACTGGAGTCGAAAGCTCTACCATTGAGCCACCGCTTCATCTTGAAAATTCTAAAAGAAAAGATACATATATATGTATCACGAAATTGTAAAATTTTAAAAAATAATAATGACATTTTATCCTTATTTTAAAGGGGCCCAAGGAAAAATTATTGAAAAATTATGTCTTAAACAGGTTATATTTCGTATGCATGTACTTCTGTATTGAAATATTGAGCTAGCGTAGACATGTAGCCTGCATTATTTGCATTTTATGTTATGATATACTAAGTGGCAATACTTAGTTATTTAACATTTTACATTTGAAAATCTATCTCTATGTCTGATTGTTGGATATTTGAATTATTAGAGGAATCCATTTCTTTAATATGGTACAAAATTTAATTTATTAGAAATCAACGTATAGTCGTCTGATTTCTTTAGTATACAAATTATAAATAATATACAAAATAGTCAGGGAAATAAAATATTCCAATGCATGAAATATTGTTCCCTTTATATACCTTTGGATTTGGTTACATTTCGTGATTATAAATCTCCAATACTAGCATTGTAGAAATTATGCATGGTTTCCAAATGCGTCTTATTATTATCTTTTCTCATTTTGGATTGTTAAATATTGAACATTATCAAATCTGACAATCTTTATTATTCTTTTATTCTTATATTTTATATTCTTGACGTCATTCTTCTATCATGTAAATTCCGACACTGATACTACAAACCCAAACACTAATCGTATGTTCTCAAGTTCCAACTTTCGTTTACATTTTATTAAAGGAGCATGCTGTTATTTAGTTATGAAATTTAGATAATTTCGAGGTGTTTTATCTTTATTTCTTTGATTTCATTCATAATCGTATGCTATTTGGACCTAAGAAGGTAGCTGAGTTTACATTTGATTGATCCAAAAAAAAGGGAGTACAAAAATATTGTTCGACCAAGCTTAGTACAATGAAATCCTAATTTTATTATCATAGAATTGTCTATCCAGAAAGGGAGCTTTCTCACTTCAGAAGACAAAACGAGAATTGCCCAAAAAAGTAAGATTGCCCTGGAAAAAAAGTGCAACATGTATGAAAATGTTGCTTCAAAAATTAAAAGAGAGTTCTTTAATTTACTTTTCAATGATTTAATTTCTTTTACTATTCCTTTTATCAGAAAATAGTTACTATCTATATAAATTCACTAAAGTGATATTAATACATATAAGAGTTACATATCTTATCTACTCCACCTTCAAATTAGAATCGACGTCAGGTATTTCATTCATTTCTTTGTTTTCAGGATGGAGGGACCAAGCTTTGCTATCGGATAAAAATTCATGTTCATATATTTGCCTGAAAATTCTTTGAAACCCATTCCATAAAGACCAATTTTTCAAATCCTGACCTTTGAGATTAAACAACAATCTAAAATTGAACAACAATTCACTATTTGATATGAATGCCGATATAAACTCGTTATGAGGTCCTCTCATTCCAATTGCAATATCTAATTCATCTAATATAATTTCTAGATCATTTTTCTTTGTATTGTGTTCTTCTTCGAATGAAGATGTAAAGATGTTTGATAGTAGACTATTTACTGATCCTATTCTATCCTGTATATCTAATTTCAAATCATTATGCTTATCAATATTTTTCTTTTGTGAAAGTTTTTTAACCAAAGGACTCACACGCTTATTCACAGATAAGTCCTGGGGTCCTAACCCAACAACACTCCAATCTTCGTCATCATCATAATTAAAGAGCACAGGCTTTGGTTCACTTTTCTTTTTCGATTTCAAGTTTGGTGTTACTTTTGAAGTTATAGCCGATTTAGTTTTTGCTGTCGAAGCTTTTGCCTTTTTTGGAGCTGGTCGAGCAACTTCATTCTTTGAAGTTGATTCAGATTTTACAGATCTTCTACTCCTTGTTCTCTTTGATGCTGATATATTTTCAACTTCCTCATTTTCTTGCTGTCTTTTGGTTCTTTGTCTGCTGGAGGATCTAGTTGCCCTTTTTGTCCTTTTGCTTCTACGTGATCCATTGGTTTCATCATTATCGTCACCATCCTCTACGTACTCTTCATCATTTTTGGCTTTACCCATCGAACCATATTCAACAAACTCCCAAACATCAATTCCATTTTTAGTGACCAATCCATTAAGGGCCATTTCATAAGCAGGAATCAATTTCTTATTTTTCCTTATAGTAGAGTTTAACCAATCTTGACATTCTTCAATTGTGAGTATAGATAAATCATGATGTTTGACCCAAATATATGAATCATCACAAAAGAATTTCACACAATATGAATCATTTGGTTTAGTAAACTTTTTAAAAGAAAGAATATCTGAATAAACAATGTACTTGTCGGTATCAGTAGTATCAATATCGGACTCTGAGTCACCATCATCACCATCTGAATTCATATGTTCTGATTTCATGACATTTGCAGGAATAATTTCCTCTGGAATGATCATTGATGGCCAAGCTGAATAGCCCTTGACTTTTGCAAGGACGATCTCCGTTGGTTGAAACACGTAAGATTCTGACATTACTCGCAATAGGCACACAAAATAGTAGTATACTAGTCTTGATACATAGAAATGTTAAAAATAACCACTTATGATAATATTGTATGAGTATATCTTCTGGTAAAGAAAAACATACACACGTTAGTTGAATCGAGTTTTCACTTTTCTATTGTTGATCACCAAAACTTATTTCAATTTGTTCGCTTCGCATATTAAAAACAAAAAATACATATATATTTGTATGGATTATAGATATTCATTGACAAGATAATCAAAAAGGTTTCGACCACCAATCTAACAAGGGCGGAGGCTGTTTCTATAGCATCGTATTGTTGGTAGTATTGTGTTTCTCATTCTTTTTTACAAAATGCACCAGCAGGAATTTTTCCACCATTCTATATAGCAATTTTATAATCATTTCGTGGTTCATAGAGGTTTTCAGAATGAAACTTAGTGCTGTGCATTTCAACCGAGTATTCTTGATCTTTTCTCCAAACAATGATCAGTACAAGGGACTTCAGCAAGGTCCCGCACACAGAGTTAAAGGTTGTTCAAATCTCTTTTAATCTGCCAAACATCTCCTTACCAAATCTTTACCTTCTTGACCTGCCACAACTCGCTCCAATCTTGGTGTTGTGAATGTATATACTAGCCCCGTATTATGAGATTCAATTAGAAGTAAAATATTTGCACCTGTTAGTACAGATAATTCGTATGCTTTCTTCATGATCCCATGTCTCCTTTTTGCAAATGTTACATGTCTTCTAGTTCTATTTTGAATGTACTTAATCGGTTTCTTTCTACGTGTTGTTGTATCCTCATCTCCGTCTCCATCTCCATCTACTTCGACGTCTCCCTCTGCATCATTATCATCATCGTTATCATTGTCGATATCACTATCTTTGGACCGTTCAAAGCTTAATCGTCCTGTTACGAACTTCTCAACTTCAGGCTTCATCACTATATTGCTGACCCCCATAATTTCTAAATATCACTAATTTCAGTTCTTAGTTCCCACAATACTATCTAATGTCCGATATGCTTTCGCTGTTCTATCTTTAAAATATTTTATAATTTATCTTCAATGGTACTGATTTTTCAATTAATTGCTAAATATTTTTTTTCTCTCTTAACAAGAAACTAGATAAAACCAAGTCGATGGCAAAAAAAAAGGGACATGATAAGTAGAAGTAAGATGTCGAACAATTAAAGAGTGATAGACACATAAATTAGAAACTGGTAGATACTGCAATAATGTCATCTAAACGTGATTTCCATAATGTCAGTAATTTAGTTCTCGGTTGTGGGACGTTCAATCATCAATACAATGATGATCCTACTGAAGTTCCCGTGAAACAACTTCTTGAATTAGCAATGAAATCTGGAGTCAATACCATAGATACTTCCCCATACTACGGACCCAGCGAATTACTTATTGGACAGGCATTATCACAAATGTCTTGGAAGAGATCCGAACTGACCATATGCACCAAGGTTGGACGTGTGGAAGAGGATGTATTTGATTATACTGCGAAGGGTGTAAGAGCTAGTGTGATGCGTTCTTTAAAAAGGTTACTTGGTGGATCTTTTACCTCCGAAGATAACAAATCATGGTACCTTGATATTGTGTATTTACATGATGTTGAGTTTCAAACAGTAGAACAGGGATTAACAGCATTACGTGAATTAAGGGTATTACAAAAGGAGGGATACATTCATCATATTGGAATTTCAGGTTATCCATTGGATTATTTATATAAATTAGCTTTATTATGCGTTAAGGATTCAAATATCGGTCCATTAGATTGTATGCTATCATATTGTAATTTAAACTTACAAAACATTGATCTACTGAATTATTACGATCTTCTTAAAGAAGAATGTCAAATAGGTCAAATAGCCAATGCATCTGTCCTTTCTATGTCCTTATTAAGAGAACAAGAAACTAGATATTTCCATCCGGCATCACCAGAATTGCAAGAGGCTGTTAAATCGGCAGCTACATATTGTAACCAGAAGGACATGACCTTGGCTGATTTAGCTGTCAAATACGCATTAGTTCAATGGAACTTGCGAGGCCCCACAGTCATTGGGTTCAGTAATGTAGCTGAATTTCAAGAGGCATTCAAAATTTATACGACATTGTCTCAGGATGGTTACACCTTGACGGAATCGGAACAACAAGCCGTTTCACATATACAACATGAAATACTTGGAACTCATTTCAATGAGAAATGGTCATCAGGTATCACCCATCCAGACAGTTGAACTAAACGCCTCCCATCTAATCACCATGTAAATACATTTATATAACTATCTAATACCTCTCTTCACGTGGGTAATTTAACTGAAAAAGTTGACTGCGGACAGCGGAGGAGGAGATTTCATAGAACTGAAAATTTTTCAAAATTTGTTCTGTTTTTGAATATATATAAAGAGAAATAGTGAACCAGGAAAGGGTTACATTTGATCCCAATTTTTCACTGTATAATTTGTTGAATTGCTTGCGATTTCTGATCCTGAACTAACTATTTTTATTTTCTTCTAGTTCTATACTAATTACCTCTATTTGGAAGGAAGCACCCCAGAAAAACACATACTCAGTAAAATAAAGTAATACATATATTTATATAGATGTCGTACTATAACAGATATAAGAATAAGAGAAGACAGAATGGCGGAGGAGGACCAGGTGGTTACAACAACAACAATAATAACAAGGGACCTGATGGTAATGATCCAAACACCCTAGGTTTACTAGGGAATCAGCAAGCAGATGCTATTTTTGATTTAGGGAAGAACAAAAGGGTCACCGTGAGACAATTTAGGAATATTAATTTAATTGATATTAGAGAATATTATATGGACAATTCTTCAGGTGAGATGCGTCCAGGGAAGAAAGGGATCTCTTTGACAGAGGATCTGTATGATGAATTGTTGAAACATAGATTAAATATCGATGATGCGTTAAGAAGGTTTGGCTCTAGGAGACCTAGAACTAAGACAGTTAGATTACTTTCAGATGATGAAGAAGACGATGAAGAAGAAGACGATGATAAGAAAGAAAATAAAAAAGATGGGAAGAATAAAGATACAAACAAAAAATCCACTAGTGGTGATAATAAAGATAGTACCAATTCTACCGGAACAACTGGCGATGATGGTAAACCTACAAAGAAGCGGGCTAGAGAGAAGGATATGAAAGAAGGTGAAGAAATTGAAGTTAAATCTAGAAAACAGAAAGTGGCTCCACCTACTTTATTATTGCATGAAGAAACTATTGAAAACGCGAAGAGAGAAGCAAATGCTACTTTAGTGATTCCAAGTCTCCCTAAAGCACCTGAACCCAAAGTTCAAGAGACTAAAACTCCAGACGTTAAACCTGAAGAACCTGTACCTGAACTAGCAGAAGTACCAGCAGAAGTCCCTGCTCTTGCTCCAACTCCTGCAGCCACTACACCTGCCGAACCACAAGAAAGCAAGGACAACAATTCCAGCGATGGTGAGAGTCTGGAAGCAGAGATGAACAAAATCTTCGATGAGGTCAGCGAAGAAGAATAGTTATCCGTCCATAAACGATCCCCATATATATACTTCTACATCATATCATAATCATATCACATACTTTTTTTTTTCAATTATACATTAATAATCTAAGTAAACTGTTTATTTCATCACTTAAAATACCGCAGAGAACCGATTTGTTACTGAAAAAAAAAAGAGACTTGACATTTCTTATATAAGGGGAAGGTATCCAATTTAGTTATTCTCTCCAGATACTTTTGGAAGCCATTGTTCTTGTTCAAGTTTAGTGTGAATAAAGTATAGTTATTACTCAGAAATAATGGAACACAAGGAAGAAACTTTTGAAGCATCCTATGCGATCAATACGCCAAAGGAAGTCAATGAAACTGTTGTGAAGCAATGTTTACCAATTGATCAATTTCAAAGTTATGAAGTAGATTCAGAGAGAAAAATGGTTGGTATCACTAGTGGTGTTGCTCCTAGTGATATCATTGCAGCATTCCAGAAATGTGGTATGGACGCTATATTGAGAGGCTCTGGTAAACCAAATTCTTCTGCTGTGACTATTTTAGAAGATTTCTCTCAACAAGTTGGCAGTACTGTAGAAGGTTTAGTACGTATTGTACAAGTTACCGATAATAAGACTTTATTTGACGTTACTATCAATGGTGAAGATTTACCAGCTGGTAATTACTCTGTTTCTATTAATGAAAATGGTGATATTTCAAAAGGTTTACAATCTACAGGAAATACATTTTTCAAATTTCCTGAAACCTTGAAATGTATTAAACAAGCCGATGGAATCGTCACAGGTCACGCCTTCTGGAGTGGTTCAATGAAGGCATGGGAGATAATAGGTCGTAGTATTGTCTTGAAACAGTTAACTAATGATGTTTCTTCAGGTAAAGAAATCGGTGGTGTTATCGCTAGAAGTGCTGGTGCATGGGAGAACGACAAACAAGTCTGTGCTTGCACAGGTAAGACAGTCTGGCAAGAAAGAAAGGACGCCCGTGAACAAAACATCAACTGATAGAAGTCCAACCGACTAGTTTTATATACCTATATATATGTGTCTATATGTAATTCTATTATTCAAATACGAAAGATTACTCTGTATTCAACACTGTTTTTATACGCGCACAGAGATTGACGGAGGGAAGAACACATATAGTCTCGCAGGTAATTCGATTGCAAAAATTTGGGAAAACAAACAACAGGACTTTGAAAGTTTAACCATTTTTTAAAAGAACATGAAAAGGTGGGAAGTTAAAGTCATTATTAAGGATACTTTACGTTTGACTAGATAATCCTGTTTTCAAGTAGAAATAGAGGTACTCTGATACTATTTAATAGCTGTGTTTTTTACTTTCTCTTTTTTTAACTTGGTGTTTGAAGAAGGTAGAAAAGATTCAACGAGAAAAAAGGCACGTTCTCTTAATAAATACAACAAAACCTAAAACACATACAGACACACAGTCTCTCTCACCACACCAAGTTTAGATACGAGGGGAGAACTAGAACTTTACGTGATTTTTTATTAAGCAAACAGATACAAGTAAAAGGAATTTGAATTAGTTATGTCAGGTATTAACTCTAACCAGCAACAGCAGCAACAAGCGGTGACAGATGTCCCTGAATACTTCAAGTCCAATAACGAGTTAGAACAAAGGAACACTAGGGTCCTTTCCAATGACGATAGTATTGGAGAGTCACCATCGGGTAAATCCTCTACTACAAGTACCGGGTATGGATTAGAGATGTCTATCTTACCTAATAGGTCGAAAAACTATAAAGAAGCACGCAATAATGAAACGAGCAATAATATGAATATTAATAATAACGATGAAACAGGATCGATATTTACACCATATGGAGCCACGGGGAAGACTTTGGCTAATTTAACCGACTATAGGGATAGAGGAGGAGATTTACAAAATGAAACAGATTTAACAGTTGCTGAACAAATGTTTGACTCGTCTCATATCAATTATGAACGTACAACAACTCCTACAAATATACATGATTTTTTCTTGGGAAAAGATAATAGCGGTAACAATAGTAACAGTAATTCAAACAGTGTAAGTGATACGAATGTTCGTAAATTCAATAAACATTTAGCCCAAGTGTCTCAAAATATTTCTCCAAATAATGAGCATAATAGATCAATGTCTCCATTAACAATGCCTTCAAATACTGCATTCAATCATTTAGATTTTCCGATCAATACAATGCTGGACAATACATATGGTCCAACAACAGGAGCCACGGGACCAACAGCTGGAACTATAGACAATGAATTAAATACGGCACAATTGGATACTGTACTTGATAGTTATATGCCCAATGAAATGATTAACGGGGCTGACGATAATGATGACAACAGTCAATACGGCCGTCCAAGGGATGTCAATTTGAATTTGGATCTTGGTGAGATAGACAACATTAGAAGACACAGTGAAGTGAGTAATCATAATTTGTTACCAACAAATAATAATCGTGCATCGATTTCCCACCAAATGGATTTTTGGAATATGCAGAATAACTCTAATAAAAATAGAGCCAATTCAGAGTTCACCACGTTGGTAGAACCAACAGATATTACGAATGAGGATGAAATGTATGACCGTAATGAACAAAAGATGGATAAAGAATTATCTCAGATATTAGGGGATTATAACTTAAATTTCATTGATCCGTTTACAGAGCAAACTCCTTCCATGGTAAATAATGACATGAAACAAATGAGACATGGATCAATAGGTATGACAAATTCAAATGGTGCTATAATACCCATGTCTCAGGTCTCTACTAATGAATCTAACGACAATTTAAATGATATACCACTTGTCCGTAAGGAATCTATAATAGAAGACCCACATTCTAAGAAAAAATTACAATCACAAGGGATGAATTCTCCACAATCTCCTAGACAAGCACGGCAATACAGTATCAGTAAAAAACAACATAGATATTCGGTACCAAACTTGCATGCGCCTTTGAACCAAATGTACCTACCGACAACTAATAATAATACTAATGCCAATAACAGCAACAACAATAATATAAACGTCGTTCCTTGGAAAACAAGTGGTTCTCCGACAAGCAATGATAGTCTAGAGATGGAAAGCCATCAACCAAGAAGGATATTATCAGCAGATCCAAACATATCAATGAATTTCGGCATGAATTTCGGCACACAATTTGGCGATCCATCGTTAATGAATATACCAAATGATTACACGAATGACAGCAATGCATATTTTACCAATGAATTCTTAAACAACAATTTATCAACAGGAAATATAAACGCACATATGCCTTTACAATTCCCAACGGGAACCAGCAATATGTATGGTAATTCTTCAACTGCACCACCACCTCAAGTGACGGGAATGACAGCGCCTTACAATCTTTCGAGACAGAACAGTAATAGTGCTCAATATGGAAGAAGTAAATCCACCACTATTGCCAATTTTGGCAGAACCCATAAAGCAGATATTGCTATAGCGAAATCAATAGGTCCTATCTCAAGGACAAACATAAATTCAAGACGTAAGAGTAGGACTCCATCGATTCCTAACACTAACACAGTCCCAGGAGTTAATTTCAAGGATAATGACGAAAGTGATAAGCCTTTCACATGTACTACATGTGGCAAGAGTTTCAGAAGAAGTGAACATTTAAGAAGACATATCAGATCAGTGCACTCACAGGAGAGACCATTTGCATGCACACTCTGTGACAAGAAATTTAGCAGAAGTGATAATTTATCACAACATCTGAAGACACATAGAAAGAATAGCAAACATGAGTAACGAGAGCTCTTCATATTAATCATTGCAGCTCTCTCTGTCTCTCTGTCATTGTCTCTTTTTTAAAGTCGCCTGCATTTCATTCATTCATCTGCTTATATATATTCGATACAACTTTATATACCATTTATGTACACAGTCTCTGGGACACCATCATAGTACTTGCCTTCATCTAACGTATTAGAACCCTTCGTGGATCCGTCGACCCGTCTAAGACCATTGCTTGACCAATGTAAGGGGCCCCCTTTGTTGACAGAACCAAAGAACAGTTTCAACTTTCTCTGTGCAGTCTGTTCAGTTCAGCCTGACCTCGGCCGAAGCTCAGCCGGGAGGGCCCTTCGCTGTAAACAGACAGAAGGAAACAAATAGGCAGAGAAAGAGAAAGAAAGAGAATTTGGTAATTCTGCATCTTGGAGAAGTCCTGGTGTTCGGTGAGAGATGATTAGATAAATATGTATATGTAAACACACACTTATATATACAACATTTATATTTGAATAGTAAGTGGAGGTTTATTCTTTAGAGTATATATTTACTTCTGAAGTTGCAAATTTAACAGTGCATTACAAGCAGCCATTACGACATTCTTCTCCTTCTAGCGAGATATTTTCTTTTGCGTTTGCTTAGCTTATTGTTTTGATCCGCCTGGAGAATTTTTGAGGTTTTGAGAACAAGGAGCGTTTCAGGTTGAAGAGAAGACCTAGTTCAAGATCAAACATTGAAGAGAGGTAACCTATCTCTCGTTATCTACTACATATATATATCGTAGTTACTGAATCGACTGGTGGAGCTGTGTCTCTTCTTTATTAGAATTTTTTTTTTTTGTTAATTGGAGTGTGAATTGAACTACGATTTAGTAGTCTCTTAAATAAGATGGATAGTCTAATAGAGAATGCTGTTAAGGATGAGACGAAGACATTGCACCGTATGTCCTTAGGGAGTCCGTTCAATCAGAAGCTGTTTAAGAACATGCATACGTTGTTTAAGTCTGGCGATTCTAAGAAGAAGAAACAAAACAAAGAAACTAATGCTAATGTTAACCAGGTTTCTACCGGATCAGCTCTTGATTCAAATAGCAGTGGCCTCGACGAAAAATCACCTGTGGTTCCCATTTATAGTAATGAGACAGGTGCTACCAAAATGTCTCCTTTAGCATTACATATTGATTCTGAAGATCTGATGCTATCTCCAAGTATGATGAGTCCGACAACTAATCGGAGAAATAAATTACATAGACTTAATTCCACAGTGACAAGTCCTACAGTACAGAGAAGAACGTCTTTGACACAATCTCGTAAGAATAGTCTTGGTTTGTATCGAACAGAAAGTTTTAAGAAAAAAAAATTCCCAATGAGAAATTCCAGTGTAAAGAGAATAAATTCTATTTGTTCATTAAATAACCAAGATAAGGATTTGAATATCGTATCCCCATCACATTGCATAAATAACTCTAATAAATCGAATACTCCCGCACAATTAGAGAGAGAAAATTCGACATTGAGAAATAGTAATATTCCAACATACCACATGCATGATATTGATCATTATTCTTCAAAGAGTAAAATGTCCTTGAATGATACCTTTCCTAGGATTAGTGTTAATACTTTGAAAGATATAATAGTGGATAATATCCATAAACCACATTATGATGACTATATGATAATAGATTGCCGATTTGCGTATGAGTATCAAGGTGGACATATCAAGGGTGCATTAAATTTTTCAAGACCTGAAGATATTGCCACTCATCTAATAGATAAAAGAATGACAGATAATACAATTCACGGATCTCGTCGATGTTTGTTAATTTTCCATTGTGAATTTAGTGCACAGAGGGGTCCCACTTTAGCATCATCTTTTAGAAATCATGACAGATGTGTTAATCATGACAATTATCCACATTTATTCTATCCTGATATTGTGATATTGGATGGTGGTTATAAAGCCTTTTTCGACTATAATTCAAGCCTTTGTTATCCAATTAATTACGTAGAGATGGATTCTAAAGAAAATATTATCGATTGTGAAATCCAGATGGATATATTTAGGAAAGAATCCAGAAAAATTATTACTAGAAGTAATTCATTAAGAACATTTACAAGTGCATCAAGCATTAGTTCCAATTCTAATAATCTTCCCATGAAAGGGCAGAGAAATTCAAAGACATGGAAGGAATCAAGAATATTGGAAGAAAGAGATAGTAATATCTTTAGACCTGACCCACCTCCTAAACTATTTTACAAACATCTCAATCATTGCTCCCACGATGGTTCTGGTGCCTCTAGCGACGATATATGCTCTTCGTTAGCTTCGACAAGTAGTACTATTAGCATTGGAGGAATGCAATCAAGCGATAATATTCACAGTGATCCATATTTCAGTTACGAGGAAAATGATGAGTTTATTCATAATCATGGACAAATCATGGCTCGTTCCCCATCCAGAAGGCTAACATTCACGAAAAGTTAAAATAAAACATAGATGAAATTTGTTTAAATTTCTTCTTCTTCTTGCATTTAACACTACTTACATAAACAAATATGTTCAAAAATCAATATTTACATAAAATAAAGTAAAATAAGACAAATTAACATATACACACGATCATTTTCATAGTGATTTATAGATATTAAAAATGCTTTAATATAGTCATTTATTTATTGAGTTCATAAATATTTACATGCAAATGACTTTATTTTGAATCATGGTTAGCTAAAATATCTCGACCTACCCATCTATTTAAATTTGTCCCCCACCTTTCTGGAGGCCAAATAACACACATTACTTTACCTATTACTAAACCATCAGATATGGGACCAAAACTTCTGCTATCTACAGAGTGTGTATTATCTCCTTCTACCCACAAATGACCATTCGGTACTAGTGTTAAATGTGATTTATCCTGTCTAACCATACTGTCATTATCTAAATACAAAGCATCATTACTTAAACCTTTAATTCTCTTACAATATATTACGTTTGGGTCTGTGGGTGCTCTAAATAATACTATATCATCACGTTCCCGCCTTCTTGGTCTGAATAATTTTACTAACACCCAATCAGTGCTATCATCATTGGGGTTCAATGTAGGTCTCATGGATTTCCCTTTGATTTGAGAAACATGAACGAATTCTCTCATGGTCATTACCACCGGAATCCATGTTGCTGTCAACAGTACTGTTCGTAATATTGATTTTCTAGACATGATAGATGATATACCTACTTTATTAGTATATTATTAATGTGTTGGAACAGAATTCACAAATGGTTTGGCGTTGTGTCTCAAAATAGGGTGTTCCGGTCACTAAACTTGAACAATCTTGACTATCAATGCTGATGTTGTTGCAGATATCTTAAAACTCTTTCAGCTCATTTAGTTAATTACTGCAGAGCTTCCGACGGGGTTCGAACCAGGGCAGGCTCACCCATTTTCTCTGTCTCCCGCATATTTTCTGTTTCGGATCGAAATTTAAGAGAGTCGGTCGGGGCTATATGATGAAAGTTTTTATTGGGAAATATCGACAGAGATGATTAATAATTGATTTTGAAGCCATCTTTGACTTTCTAAACATATGACAACTTCGATTAGCCTTCTCTTTTTTTAATTTAAAATATAAACACATATATAAAGGTGAAGTTGTGTTTGTTTAAAATAGCAACAAATATAGAGAATGCAGTATTTTATGACTAGTCCTACCACATCACACCATTAACAAATATATATATACATATATGTATATTATGACATTTTCAAATATAAAATTCAAAAAAGTGTGGAATCACCCAGTGACGAATATCATCAAATCATTTTGGTTCTTTTATTGTTTGGCTGTCTTTATTGTGATAGCTAGATTTGCACCAAACTTTGCCAGAGATGGTGGTCTTATTAAAGCTGAATATAGTATAGGCTATGGTGCAGTTGCATGGATATTCCTACAGAGCGGATTAAGTATGGAGACAAAAAGAATTCTAGCCAATATTTCAAATTGGAGAGCTCATCTTACAGTAGCCACGATGAGTTTCTTAATAACATCATCCATCGTGTACGGATTTTGTGTTGCAATTATTAAATCCAATGATAAAAACATTGATAACTGGGTATTAATGGGTATCATTACCACTATTACATGTCCAACCACAGTAGCATCAAATGTGATTATGACTCATGATGCTAATGGGAATGACTTGCTATGCGTTTGCGAAGTCGTGCTAGGTAATTTGTTTGGTGCATTTATTACACCTGCTTTAGTTCAAATGTATACTAGTAATGATCTATTTGCATTCGGTAATCCATCACGTGGAGGTTCTATTAGCGCATTATATGGTCGTGTTATGAAACAAGTTGGTCTTTCTGTATTTGTACCACTATTTGTGGGGCAATGTATTCAAAATATTTTTCCCAAACAAACATCTGCATATTTAAGTTTCCTAAAAAGATACAACATTAAAATTGGATCCTACATGTTGTTATTGATCATGTTTAGTTCATTTTCAACTGCATTTTATCAAAAATCATTTACAAGTGTATCTCACATCTGTATTGTATTTGTTTGTTTTTTCAACTTAGGCGTCTATTTATTCTTTACTATGGTCTCCTTCTGCCTTGCAAGACCTTTCTTTATTTTAAAATTATTCCCAGAAGAACCTATCAAAGGGAAATGCTCAAAATTATATTACTATTCGTACAAAATTTTTAGACCATTTTACTACAACAAGAAAGATACAATATGCATTATGTTCTGTGCACCAGCGAAAACTGCCGCTCTAGGTGTGTCTTTAATCACATCCCAATATGGTGATCACAAAGAACATCTCGGGAAACTATTGGTTCCCTTGGTTTTATATCAAGGTGAGCAAGTTTTGACTGCTAGTATCTTTGTCCCTATCTTAAGAAGATGGGTAAAGGAAGAGTTAGAGGAAGACAAATTACGTGAACAAGAGGAGCGTGATGATGAAAAGACTTTATCCGGATGTTCAGATTTAGTAAAATTACCAACCACTGATATTGAAAGACAAACTGTGTCTAGTTCCGAGTCATCTATTCCTTAGCTAGTTAAAAACATCAACAACAACAATGTCTCGTTCCAACTATCTGCATATTATACATCACTATTCATTATAAAATTCTTAAAATAAACATATATTCATATATTCATTTATCTAAAATAAAAAATCTGCATCTTAATATTTATTTTGAATTTTTTAAAATATAATATTACATAAATTGTCTCTTTAGAATAACTAAGAATGATGAGAAATTGGGGAGATAAACCTATCCAAGAATACTAACAAAATTATAAGGAATCAAACCATCCCTGTGGTCGGGAGAGATCCTCTCATTATCATATACTTCACCTCTATACCAATCATTACTTATAATCTCAGTAATAAGAATATAATCATTTTTCTCAAAGTTAGCAAGTTCATCTGCGCCATTATCTATTAATGGAAAATTAGCCTTAGCATATTTTATCACTGGCTCACCTCCTCTAGTTACCATGGGTAATGTCACAATAAGACCATTGTCTTTGATTCTACCAAGCTTTGAATTAGCTTGTGTTGAGCCCTGTAACCTTTCCATCTCGTATAATGCATCCTCAATTGGATTAGTAGAATTTTCTAGAACCATGGATTTCCTTCTAGTATCGTTTGTGTTCTTTACATTAGGCATTGCTTTAATATGATTCCTGGCATATGAATCTATACTTGATTGGGAATTACCAAACTGCGAGTTTATTACTGTATTTGTGCTTGCTTGCCTATTTTTATCATGTTCGTCATTTAATAATTGATTGATATGGTTCATAGACTTACGTTTCCTTGATGAAGAATTCCATGATTTAGAAAATCTCTGAGCATCTCCTATAGTGGAAGCCATTGAACTCACCGAAGTCGTCATCGATTCTAAACTTTCTCTTTTTTTCAAGTGTGTGGTAAAGTCAGTTGGATTAGATGATGATTCTGAAGTTGTATACGAATTCGAACTTTCTTTATGACTGTGAGGAATTTCAACTTCACCTTCCTGTAGTGGTTCAACTACCTCTGTGTTGCATATAGGCTCAGGTGGAGGCGTTATTGGCCTGTGTTCACTATTTTTCATTAAATCCTCATATTGATTATTTTTATTCATAGAGGGAGACTCATAAATTTTGTTAGAATTTGCCTTTATTGTAGAATCGCTGTTGGAATTAGTATTCTGCAATCCTCCTGTATCTACCATAGCCTTATTATATTGTGAACTTCTATTCTGTGAACGTTTTTGTAAATTAGAGGACAGTTTACGAATGTTATCAATATACGGATCGGTACCGAGGTGATTATATGATACTCTTGAAGATCTATAATCGGCTCCATTATCATCGATAGGACTGTGTTTGTTAGATGAACGTTGATCAAGAAGTTCTCCTGGTTGATCTTCAAATGATTTTTTGTTGACATGTTTTTCCTTGAGCCTTCCAGTACCATGTTCACTTGAAAATTTGGCAATATCATCAATTGAAGTAAAAACCATTAAGCGACTGTTTAATAGATCCATTTTCGATTGTTCAAGAATGCTAGTCTCCATACATGTTTCAATATATACTTGTAATTTAGCTTGGATAAACTGTATTCTTGCTTGTTCCATTTCTTGTAATTGACGAGTAATATCACCCCATTCATGTAACCAATGTCTCTGAGATGCTTTATATTCTTGTTTTAGAACATTTAATTGCAATTTCGTCTCTTGTTCATTGTTTTCCCATTTGGCTAATTCCTTTTCATTTTGTTCAACCCTTTTTGATCCAATGATATTATTCTGGTTAAGCCTTAAATCTCTTGCCCTTACGGTAGCCTTCTCTAAACGGTTAGACAACTCCTCACAACCTTTTTTCTTGTTAAATTTATCAACACGCATTTTTTCAATCTTTCCACTTAAAGTTGTATATCTTGCTTGTAATTCTCCTCTAAAGAGTTTGGTATTACTGAAAGCTTGCCTATAGATTACTTCACTTTGTTTGGAATGAGCATGTGCCTTTGCTTTCTCTACTTCCAATAACGTTGTTAATGCTTTATTCAAATGTCCAAACTCTGGATCAACTTGTAGGTTTTGCTGTAACTTCTCATTAATGGCACCTAGTCTTCTAGCGTAATCTTTTTCAAGTTCTGTTCTTTGTCTGAAGAAACTCTCCACCGTCCCACTTGATTTAATACCTGCATGAATATGTGTTAGAAGGACATTGACCCCATCATCATGGGGATCCCAAAAGCAGGATTTATAATCGTAATTCATTATTTTTCTTTTCTGTTTATTTAATGTCTTAGCAATTTAATATATGTTAATAATGCTAATATGATTTAACCACTAGCTACAATACCAAAAAAATGAATAATATATTCTTGGTTTATTTTCTTAGTTGACAACCTTTTCTAATGTATATTTATTAGTGAGACAAAATATAAATATCGAAAAACAAACAACAAAATGTACTTGAACTCTTAATTTAGCACTATTTGCCTCTCCTTCCAATTCATGCTTAGTTCCATTCCAGATAATATTACCAACCTAGGAGATATAATTGATGTTGAAATTTTCCATTTCTGAATTCATCATTTTTATTAAAATTCAATGTTGACATCTTTCCCCATTTGGAAATTTCTTGATGTACATGAACGAGTTTCCTTATTTGGAACTTTCCCCTGTGTTGGTTTCCGTTTTAGGAAACGAATAACCTAAAAAGGAAACAAGCTTCTTTTCAGCCGGGTAACTGCTATTCACGTGATCTCAAACCCTGGAAAAAAATGAAGCCCTAATGTCCTTAACTATCTGTTTCCTTCAAGCCACACCCAACATTCCTTAGGGCTTGACCTAATTTACAAGGGGTTGTAAGAAAATCCTATCGCTGCTAATTGTAAAGTTCGGAGAAAGAGGGGATGATGATGAGAAGGACGAGGGAAGAAGTGGAACAAACAGGGGAAAGGGATGAGGAAGACGACAAACTTCTTTAGCAGTAACATTCTTTAAAGGGACTGAAAGAAGTGGCTAATATATACATATATATATAAAGACAGAAGAAAATTTGGAAAATTTGAGTTCCATTGACAATTACTTTCAATTAAGAATTAATTAAAACAGAACAAGACGAAAAAATATTTAACAAGGACATTTTTAATCTTTATTTTTGCTACCAATAATATTCACTTAAATTTATTCTAATTACAGATAGAAGGAAGTATGTCATTAGTTTCAGCAATTGCAGAAAAAGAGCGCACTTCACAATCGGATAGTTCTACGAAACATGAGAAAGCAACTAAACGTTCTAGTGCCGTCTATCAGACAACAGGCGAACCTTTGAGTAGGGAAGCATTATACAGGGCCAAGATGAAATATGGTTATTATCAGTCCCCAGCAAACAAACCATCTGTCGGTGTTAAGGATACAGCACAAGCTTCTGATTCAGCTGCCGTTTTAGCTGCAAGTAATAAACAAACAATCGATGCTTATAAGAGATTATTAGACCCTAACGCTACTAGAGCTGCCCATGCAGTAGCCAAAACTAAGACAAGATCTCGTACAACTAGTGTTACTTCTAATAAATCTCGTTCTGGTGGTGAAAATGTTTCACCTCAGGAGAGAGCTAGTGCTGCAGCCTCTAAGGCATTCTCCATGACTTCCACAAGAGAACAAAGCTTGGGTATAGGTGCTATTACTGAGAACAAGAGGGAAACTACTTCCAAAGACACTACAAATAAAGCTTATTCATTAAAGAGTGCAAGTTCTGTATTGAAGCAATATGAAAGAGATCAACATAAACCAAAACCAGAAGTCATTCCAACTTCTAAGAAAATGAATCTTTCGAAAGTATTAAAAGGTGCTGAATCCAGAGCTGAAACAAGAGTCAAACAAAGAACAGAACCAAATTCACAAAATTTTTCCTATGGTATCAAGACGAATGTTAACCAATATAACCAATTCACTTTAAGTAAAGATATGATGAATGCCATTATGTCGAAGACAGGCCAAAAGGATATTTCCACGTCCGAAGCCTCGTCCAGTAAGGGTAAATCAAGTTTGGAAACATCGGCCAAGTCTAAAACTGGATCAATCTCTTCAGGCAAAGACCATGACATGGCTATGAATGCTGCTTATGCTGTAAGAGCATTTGATACAAGAACTGCAGTTGATGATGAGTTGGAGAAACAAGCAGAAAACAGACAAATGTATTTGAATCAATTGACATCTACAAAAGTTCTTGCACAAGCAAGAGCTAATGTTGATAAAGAGATTGAAAACATTGAGAAAGAGGACTATGGTCGTCAATTGTTTGCTAATGATGCTTATAACAGAACTGCTGTGTCGATTGCTCAAAAGAATTTGACTAAAAAGAGAGCTCTTGTAAATAACAAGATCAACATGGGTGGTGGTCTATGGTTATCATCAGAGGATATTCAAAAGATCTCCCAAAACCTACTGAATCCTGTCTTAGGAGAGATCACTGAGAGAGCTGATAGTCAAAGAGCTGCCGATGTTGATATTGCAAATCGTACAAAAGCATTACAACAGAACGTTAAGAATTGGAATATTTTACAAACTGAAAAAATTGCTAACGACATTAAATATCAAAAGGATTCAGACGATAGATTAGCCAAAGAGAAGAACGATGCATTGGTGGCTGCTAACAACAAATACAATGAAATGATTCAAAAGATGGAAACTGAATTGAATAAACATAATGAAGAATTCAATGATACGAAACAAACATATGAAGATTTGAAATTGGAAATGTCAATGAAACTTGATTTGGAACAAGAATATTGTGACAAAGAATTGATCAATTGGAATGATACGCGTGCGCATGACATTCAAGATGCTTTGAAGGAGCAACGCACCTTGTTACAACCATATTTGCTTGATTTGCAAAGGGCTCAGGATGAGCATGATCAATTAATTAAAGAGTATGATACTATTAATGGTAGAATTACTTTCTTAACAACACAAATTGATGAACATAAGGCTAAAATTGAAAATTATAGCCATGATTTAGAAGGACAAAAAGAACAGGAAACTAGAGTTATCTCTGAACAAGATGAGTTGGATGAAAACAAGAAAGCTCTTGAGGAAGATTTGGACAAATCTATCATTGTAAAAGCCAATAAAGTTAAAGAAGAAGCTCAATTATCGGCCAAGGAACTCGAATTGAAACAATTCGAGCTTGATGCTGCTATTAATGAACGTAAAAGTGAATTAAATGCAGCTGAAATCTCATTACAGAAGGAGAAATTGTTATTGTTAGATGTGATGAAAGAATCTTCTGAATTGGAAGGTAGTCCACAATTGGATGAAGAAAAGGTTAAGACGTTAATCGGCATGTCGTCAGCAGAGTACTTGAGTAAACATAGACCTGTTGAGACTGCTCCACCAGCAGCTACTTCTGCTGCTGCAATGGAAGCTATACCTGAAGCAGAGAGCAATGACATTGTTGCCACTCAAAGTGAACCAAGTGCTGTGACTCCTGAGACTGCTCCAATTGCGAAGACAACTACCAATACGAGTCATAAATCTGGTAAATTTGGCCTTGGTGGATTATTCCTTGGTTCACGAGCCTCACATAATGCCAAATTACACCATAACAAGACAGAAACAAGTAAATCTCCCATAGTGGCATCATCTTCCACTACGACCGCACCCCCAGCTACTACTACTACTGCTACTACCAAGAACATGAGTGTACCAGTTGCTAAAGATACTCAAACTTTAGAACCATCCTTTAGTGGATTTTCCCAGGGATCTATGATTAATAATGAAGATGATGAAGTGGAGACAGAAGATATTATTGGTGATACTGTTGCTAGTCTCAAAGAAAAGAGCTCTACAACGGATGTTAATGATGATGACGACGATGACGATATCCAAATCAATGGAGAGACAGGTCGTGCGGGAGGTAGTTACTTAAAGGAAGTCTTTTAATTTGAATAGAGACAAATATGTGTAAAATATGAAATATATATCAATTTTTAAAAATAATAAATTATTTAATTTCTTTTTTTTAACTTTATGCAGTCAATTGATCATCTTCAGTTTCTTTTGGTTCGATGCTATTAAAATCATCACTTGAAACATTTCTTGAATTAAACATTTCTTCAAATTTATAAAAACCTTCAAAAGAATCAATTTGATTAAAATATTTTGAAACTTTATATCTACTACCGATATAAAAATCCACAGAAATAATGATAAATAAGAAACCAAACCAAAATGCCAATAACCATTCGAAATCTGCACTTCTTGAATCATTATCAATTGCACCAAAACAAATTGCCCAAACAACAGCTAAAATTAACCAAATAATTTTAAAAATTGCTGTGATTGTATGTTTATTCCAAATATAACCTTGCCACTGATTCCAACGCAAATCTTCATATTTAATATCAGTAGATAAATTTGCTAAAGGATGTAAAAGAGCGTAATGTTTCCCCATAATTAAATTTTGAGCGGATAAACAACAAACTGAAAAGAATAATAATACAACAAAGACGCAAACCATCGAGATATGAACATGAGGATAATTTTTTGTTGAAAAAATTGTGCAAAAGAATAAACCTAATTCACCAATCATACCAAGGAAACATGCTGCAAATATTAAATTACGTTCATGAATTGTGTACCAAGGAGACATATAATAATTTCTTTTTTGGCCCTTTGGTCTAATTAACCAAATATCACCACCACGTTGATAATATTCTGAAAGTACGGATAAACAATACCCTATACCTTGCCATGCTGAACAAGCAATAAATAAAGGTCGTAGATTAGTTGCACCAATATCTGATATGTAAACTGGATTCATGTAATTATCCATAAAATCGTAAATGGGACGACCTTGAACACCCCAACATATAAGCATAGCAATTAACATACCGTACCAAGGAATGAAGGCAATCCAGGGCAAAATGAAAAACCAATTTCCAGGTTTGACAAAATGCATTGTGTGTGTGTGTATGTATCGAATGTGTATGTATCGAATGTGTATGTATCGAATGTGTATGTGTATCGATTGCGTGGCAATAATAGTTCCCTGAATATACTAGTACCTCCCTTGTATATATATCTTCACTTGTCTCGTTGTCAATATGTGTCACCAGACCCTAGCTCATCGACTTATATATATATATATACGAACAAAATTCCTCTATATTTATTTATAATCCCTTGCCGATAAAGGTATGGTTTGTTTTTGTTCAAGCCACTGTGCCTCCAGACAGTTTTACTGATAACTCTCTTTCCCACTGCCCATTGATCGATAGATTTACACTGAAAAACTTTTCCCAGATCTCAAATATCCCACACACACACCCAGTGAAAATTTCTTTTTTCCCGCATTCCGCGGGCCTCGAGAACAACGCGCCGTCGCGTGCCGTTGCCGTTTGCGTGCACGCCCAGCGCTCTCGTTTAACAGCACACCGACGCAGCCTCGCCAGCTGTTTCCCATAACAGCGTGCTCCTGGGCCCTCCACCTCGTACAAAGTGCTCACCACTTCAGGGTAAACTAACCACAACTAAGACGTTCAAACAATTGTGTCAGCAAGAAACCACCCGGGTTAATCACAGTGGCTTCAAATCAACCAGATCTACGCACCGCCATCACTGCGCTTGCTAATAACCTAAACACCACGACATCACTGTGCACGACCGCGAGACTGCGTTTCATTTCGTCAACCTGCAAATTATTGCAAAACGGCAGCGCCAAAGTACGAAAAAACCCAGCGCGCTCTTCGGAGCTCATAGACGACGGGGGGGGGAGGAAAAACAGAGAAAGAGAAAGAAAGAAAGAAAAATGTAACAATTTCAGAAGCTTTGGGAAAGCTAGCTTCTTCATTTTTATTTTAATTTCTTTGGTACTTTCGTGAATTTTTAAGAAACTATTCAGTACCACTATTATAAACTTAATAAAGGTAGGTTACTATATTCTTATAGATAGATCAGTCGACAAAGATATATATGCAATGACGAGTACCGATATGCAATCCAAAATAGATACATTACGAGAATTATTTCCAGATTGGTCAGAATCTGATTTAACTGAATTAGTTCAAGAATATAAAGATTTAGAGACAATTATTGATAAAATTACATCAGGTGTTGCAACGAGGTGGGATGAAGTTAAAAGACCAAGCCGTAAAGAAAGAAAAGAACATGCAGCTCAATTACAAAAGACTCAACAAGCTCAATTATTAAGTCACGTTTATGAAGAACCTGATGCTTCAATAAATAATAACACAAATATAAAAAATAGTAGGCAACGCAATAGTAGTAATAGTTATCAATCTACAAAGAATAAAAAGACTACAAGAACAGCACCAGCCGCAACAGCAACAGCAACAACAACAACAACAACAACAAGTAATAGCAACACTGCAACAGCACCTTCTAATGTACATACAAAATCTGTTTCTCATACTTCTTCATGGGCAACTGTTATCTCTACAGATAAGAAGAAAGCTGATGAAATTGAAACAGAAATTGAACAACAACCTGCAGCTCCAATAAGTACTGCTACAATTGCAAGTTCTGGGAAAAAAATGAGTTGGGCCTCTGTAGCAACTCCAAAACAAAAAATTGAACCAAAAAAATCTCCTCTTGAAAATGTTGATTCATTAAAGACTGAAATTGATAATATTACATCCGAAGAAGAACAACCTTCTGAAGTAGTAGAACAAGAAGAAAAAACCTCCGAAGAAGAAGAAAGCTCTTCAGAAGAAGAAAGTTCCGCATCAGAAGAAGAAAATGCCCAAGAAGAAGAACAAGTATCAGAAAAGACTCCAGTTGCTGTAAAATCATCATCTCCACAACAAAAGAAGAAGAAAGAAAAGGCTCCTGTCTCTGCTCCTGCCGCTACAGCTACTCAATCTGCTCCTGTATCTGCTTCAGAATCAAAACCTTCTACTCAACCAAACGTTGCCCCTCAAGGTCAAGATGCTTATGGTCAATATGGTTCCGCCCAACAACAACAGCAACAACAACAACAACAAGCTGCTGCAATGGCACAACAATATTACATGTATCAATCTCAATTCCCAGGATTTTCTTATCCAGGCATGTATGATAACCAATATGGTTACGCTCAACAACAATACGCTCAATACCAACAGTATCCACAGTATGCTCAAGGTCAGGTTGCTGGTGCAAATGCCAATGCTGCCTATGGCAATGCTAACGCTCAACAACAACAAGCAGGTTATGAACAATATGCTAATCAAGGTAATACAGAAGCTGTTCAAGGTGAAACTTCTCAACAACAACAGCAACCACAACAACAACCACAACAACAAGCTTACGGACAACAAGCTTATATGCCATACTATGGTAATTATGGTTATCAACAATCCTTCCCATATGGCCAACAACAACAATATAGTAATGCTAACAATGGATACGCTCAACAACAACAACCACAACCACAAAAACAAGATGGTACTTCTCAACAAAGAGATTCTACCTCTAGCCAACAAAGTGAAGAAGTTGCTGATTTGCAAAACCAAGAAGGTGCTACTCAAGCTAACTTGACTCAGCAACAACAATTACAATATCAACAATATTATCAGTTGCAACAACAACAATTGCAACAACAGCAGCAACAACAACAACAGCAACAACAACAACCACAATCTAAGCAAGATGGTTATGGTCAACAAGATGGTGCTGCTTACGGCTACTCCAATTACGATTATCAACAAGCTTCCTCTAGGGGCTATTACTAAGTAACATGTAAGTAATTTCAAGGTATTCCAAACAATAAAAAAAACGTTAAATATTATTAGTGAAATAAATATAACAGTTATTTTCTTGTTTTAAATAAAAATAATATAATGTTTATTCAGTGGAGCTCTTCGCTTCCCCGTATATATTTATATATATATTAGCTATCGCCCGAACAGAACAAATATTTGTAGCTTTTTTCATATATATATAAAGGGAATATCGATAAAATATATATCAACAAGCCACTATCTTCAGGAGAAAGTTAACAATTGGCGATTCAAGATAGCTGTTATACAACTTTGTAACTTACTGAATATTTTAAAACTAATAAATGTCTGGTCATATACATAGACAGTACACTTTACCTGGTGTTATGCACTATTTACAAACAGAATTCACAAAGAATGAGCGTGATAGAATCACTTGGGAATTAGAAAAATCAGAAATGAAAGCTTATATTATGAAACTTGAAGGTGAAAATAAAGATCTACGTCATAATATTGCTGAATTACAGATTCAATCTAATGAGAAATTGGATCTTGGTAATGGTATCTCCAATGATTCAACCCAAAAACAAGTTGATTCAGAGAGCTTAATGAAAGCTAAGACTATTGTAGAGGATAACGTTAAAGATATAATACACCTTTTGAATTCTCCCAGTGTGCTTTCACAGTTTGATTCCTTAAATGGAAGAAAGGCCCCAGTTCATGAAATGGAAAATCTTTCAATAAACAAAGATAATAATACAAAATCTATGGTACCTGAATCGTTATTTAACAATAAACCTAAATCACCAATTGGAGGTTCTCAAAGTAGTGCTAGTTATTCAGTATCTGGCCAATTTGAAAATATGGTTAACATTTCAAACAATAAACAATTTTTAAGTGTTTTTAAAAATAATATACTTGTCACCCTTGATGATAAATTGAAATTGTTTCATATTGATGAAGAAGCTCAATGTAATGATACAGGGTTAACCATTGATCTGTTGAATACAGATTTAGTGAAGGGAATGTTTTGGTTAAGTAGTGAATTCATTATGATCCTTGATAATAATGGCATAAAAGTTTGGTCATCAATTCAACAAAAAATCATTAATGAAATTAACATATTCCAAGAGAGTGGGAAGGGTAAAAATGAAATTGTTTACGGTAAGATTAAGACTGTTGATTTTAAGAATAAATGGTTGTTGATGACAATCGAAGATCATGTTCAGATCCTTGAATTAGAAGATATGAAAGATCCTCATATGATGTCTATCAAGACAAGTTATATAATCAATTCTAATAACATTTTGGACGTATTATTAGGTATCACAGAGATGTCCTTTATAGTACTTGCAAAGAATCCATTGGCTCTAGTAATTTATGATTTTGATGGTGAAATTTTACAAAGCATTAAATTAGATAAAGAAATTACTGATAAGATTAATACAAAATCAGGAAAATTATATTTAAACAAAGAAAGTTCAAAACTAATAATTCAATTAGGGAAACATTTAATATTCTATTCATTTGATCAAAAACGTGTCACATTACAATTTACATTGAATAGTGAGCCAAAATCAATGTATTTCAGATATGCGACAGATACCGTAGGAATAGCATATGATGATGGCACTGTTGAACTTCGAGAGTTGCCAAATTTTGCTAATGTAATAAAGAAATACGTTCATAATCCCGAAAATGGAAAAGCCAACAAGAACAATATCGTTATCGAGGCAACAAAAATAAGTAATTTCGAAACAATCTTATTATCATTGAGTGAGAACGTATTGAAACTAGAGGCCTTTGAAGAGAAACCATGATCACAAGTTGTAAAACTATTATTCTTTCTTCTTCGAGGTGCAAATGGCAGTCAGCGTAGTTTAATAATCTAACACTCACATCAGCGCTTCTTTCACATGGATAATACAATCCAAATGAAACCCTAGAATATCCCCCAGGATAAGAACATAGCCTAAGCACAATAATTAAATGAATAAGTTGGACCAAATTCATTCCTTCTATCTAATTAATACGTTATATTATATGATATATAAATATTTTATAAAATTCCCATGAGGGTAACGGCCATTCACACAGTGAAAGAAACTCGAAAAACAAAAAAAAAAATAAATAAAAATTGGAAAATGATTAACAAACAGAATGAAGAAGAGAAGAAACAGAGAGGCAGAAAGAAGAGATCATCACATCTGTGCAACAAAAAAGGGAAATATATATTGTAGTACGAAACGATTAATATATATCTGGATAAATATTATACGCAATTGTTATCTCTGACTGTTTTCATATAAATAATTGCGATTAAGTGGGTATTTTTTTAATAACTGAAGAGAGAAAGTGCATCATCCTACATAAAATGCCATCATTATCCAAGATTGATGTTAACCTTTTGCAATTTCAGGAGTTACAGACTCCTGCAAATGTTGTTACATTATCATTAGGGAACAATTCGAATATAAATGGTACTACATTGACATCTGAGCAACAAATGGATATCATCAATAATCAAAGCTCATATTCAAATTCTATCAAGGTATCTGATGATAATTTACTTTGTTATCATTTGACACAGGATTGTTCAAAGATAATTATATATACAACAAACAATTGTATCAATGGTAAAACGATTATTATTAGTTTACCTCAAAAAACTATGAATAAACACAATACTTTATCACTTTTGATAAGTGGAGAAACTCTTTTACTTCATACTATTTTAAAGGATGGACTGTTTTTAACCATGAGTTTACCACTGAATTATATACTGGATGCTACTAATAGTATTAACCTTGGAGATGATTGGGTTAAAGTTCAAAATCCATATGATTTCACTATTAGAGTTCCTCATTTATTGTATCCCGTATCAGAAGAATTATTAATGGTGTTTTTAAATGATGGTGGTTTATTAGGCCTAAGGAAAACATCGGAAGATTTTGATCTCGAACCATTATTATTCAATGATAATTCATACCTTCAAAGTTTCACGAAACTTTTTTATAAAAATCAAAACATAGCAGGAAAAGTTACTAGTTGTTTAACATTTGATGAAAAATTTTTGATCGTTCTGACAGAAAATTATTATCTCAAAATATGGGACATTAAAACGTTTAGTCTACTGAATGAATATAATTTATCGGCTAATATAATAGTTGACGATATCCATGGAAACGATATTCATCAATATAACGATTCAGGTAATTTCCTATCTATTTTTCAAAGCACATTAATTATTTATTCACCCCAAAAGAATGGTATTTTCCAAATTGGTTACCTTTCTGTAGATCAAACTGGAGTCTTGGAATTTAATTTGAAGAATATAATAAATGCTAGTTTACCGTCATCCTCTATATGGTTCTTATCCGATATGAAATTAACTAAACCGATTGATTTAAATTATACATCAAGTTATTTGAACTTGGTTATCCTTTGGAAGAGTGGCTCCTTGAGTAAATTCCAAATTTTGAACATATTATATGATGATCTTAAGGATTGTCAATGGATTGAATCGTCAAGTAAGTCTTTAACAGATGGTCTTGATGATTTGGATTTAGCATGTATCACTCAAGCAGAAAATGAAACAGATGATGAATTGTATGATAGGTGTTTCCTAACTTTAAAATCAAGATTTTCTCCAGAAGTATTTAAAAGAGCATTGAATATTCTTAGCGAGAATAATATAATAATAACATCATCTGATAATATTTCTCAAAGGAAGGAGTACCTAGCTAATCTTGAAACAATATCAAAGGATATCAAGGGTAAGATGGATGAAGTCTCAACTTTATCTATTTTCAATGATGAATTGATATTGGTAAATTCTCTTACACCTTTTAATCATGCTGCATTTAAGATTAATACTGGTTTGGAATATTATTATTTTAACTTGCATAATTCAGAATACCATGATGATTTATCTAAGTATTTGAAAGCACTAGATAGTTTTACCAGTACTTTACCAAGACACGTCATGCACACTTTAGGTGAAAAATTCCTAAATATTTCAACTGGTAAATTATCCAAAGATCTATCACCAAATGAAAAATTTGTTGAAATATTTAAATCAACGTTACAAAATCAATTCGCAATAAGTAACTTACAACTTCTAATGACTGAACTGAATAACCTTGATATACCAGCTTTATTGACGGATTTCATTCAAAACTATTTGATAATTCAAGAAGAAAATTCTACGTTTATTGAGACCTTGACTACCAATATGTTTTCTAAAATTGCAACTATTGAAAGCATGTACCAAATGATCACTATTCAAAATACATTTATAATTCAGATTTTAATGACATTCGTATTACTGGACTCTACCTATAGTTACTTTGCAGAACAAATTGAAAAATTATTAGAATTTAATTATAAACAATTACTATTTTTGGAATTATACAAAGAAGATAAACTACAACTCATTGAAACTATCTTTATGAAAAACACCAAATATCACCAAGGAGCTAAATTCTACAATTATTCTGAATTGAATGATTTCATTATGCATAATATTTCCTTGTTTTATGAAGAACCAATCACTATGAACACATATTTCTTAGAAAGTATTAAGAAGTATATATTGCCAAGTGGCAAACAGAATACTATACAAGAGACAAAGATGTACTTAAGAAATGTTGGTACTCGCTTCTACACTAGAGGAAATAAATCCGACGAGCTTTTGCTATCAATATCATTATTTATTGCAGGTGAATATGAAGAATCCTATAGATTCTTCCAACTTCATGATGGGTTCAGTGCTATAAACACTAATGAACTTCCTTATTTTATGGAAGATATGCTAAAATCAGAAGATTCGGATTCAATATGGGTACCTTTAATCAAGACCTTGGTTGCACAAGATCACAAGCAAACAAGGTTCTATTATTATTTGTCATGTCTATATAGCTATCACGGTAATAGTCCAGAGCTTGCTTTAAAATCTATTAAAAAGTCAATTGAAATTTCTATGGAAGACGATACTGAACTTGATATTGTCACGAAACAACATGAGCAATTATTGGCTATGTTGGTTCATTTTTCTATATTTGATGAAGTGATCGATGTCCTTAGATTAGGTCATTCATTCCTATCAGCTGACGAGAGACGCCAATATTTTTCTTCCTTGTTAAGTTATCCAAACCATAATGATAGCCTATTCTCTACTTTGATTAACATGTCAACCAATCCTGATACTAGGTTAGAACTAGAAGACTATAGTATAGTCGACAGTATATTAAGTGATAATCTTGAACAAGGTGATTGGGTCTCATATAAAAAATTATTCACATTCAGATTCGTTAATAAATATGAAAGAGAAGCTGCAGAGGTTATATTTAACTATTGGTTTAAACTTCAGAGAAATGCAGATGCACGGATGAAGAAAAGATACGGTTTGATCATTATTAATATACTATCAACATTTGTTAATAGTTACGACCAGTACATTCTAGATGGTGCTAATGTTGTGACATTAGATGAACTCAGAAAGCAATGCATAAAATTATAGAGAACAGAAATTTTTATTTTGTATGTAATATATAGTTTACGAGTATTTAGGAAGTTTTATAATAATCAGACTTTTCTTAAACTATATAAACTAACTTTAATATCATCCCATATTCATAGTATTACCACTACCCTTCGCATGGTTATCTTTAAAATCATCAAATTCCCTGGCTTTGTATGTCTCTCTATCGTTATACTCTTCATTATCCTCATCAAGATCTTCTTGCGGGTTGGCACTTTCAGGGCCACCTTGGAGAACTCTGCCATCTTCCCATTCCTTTTGCAAGAACTCTTCCACTGACATTGTGGGTCCATATTGTCCATAACCACGTACTTTGCTCTTTAATTCTGTCTTCTTATCAATCAAAGTAAAATTTCTTAAAATTTTACCATTTTTCGATAGTAGAGGTTTATTTAATGTCTCAAGTCTGTCTGTGTAGCCGGTTTCGTCGATGGCCTTCCTTTGATCTTCTTCATTTACAGAAGGGTGATCTTCCTTTGGAGGAGGATTTTTAATAAAATTTTTTAATAATTCTGTTTCATACATAATTTGTTCAATTTCATTAAATGCTGAATAACTTAATTGTTTCAAATTTTGAATATATAAATCACGTAAAAGTTCTTCTTTATCATTTTCATTATCTATCTCAATAGAGTTTACTTTTGATTCTAAAGTTTGTATATTTGCAGTTAGTTGTTTGGATCTTTGAAAGAATTCTATCTTTTGTTGTCTTTTCTTGTATGCCATTGTTAGTTCTTCATTACCTGAAGAGTTTTCCACATTAACTTCATATAGTTCATCCATAGTTGGTCTGTAAGCAACTTTAAAGGAATCAATTTTCCCTCCTAGAGATTTATCTAATATTTCATAATCTTCTAAAGAGATTAAGAATTGGACAAATAATTGAATTGATTTTTCTAAAAACATTAATCTGATTCTATTTTTACTAATACCATCCATATCTTTAGCATAACTCTGACGTCTACAACACATTAGAGCTAAGTAATAATCCATGGATAAAAATTTTATAGAACTAGTAGTCAAATCATCTAAGGTCTCATTAGAACTGAATAAAGCTAGTTTGTTAGTGATTGTCGACTTCAATTCAAGTAAATTCTCAATGTTTGCAGAAAGTAGTTTCTGAAATTGCTCAGAATCCTGTCTGGAAGTTGGATGTTCAATCTCTTTGGTATAGATATTTACGATTTGCGAGTATTCTTCCACTGGAGACGACATAATTTCTTGTTGTGATACCGGTAGCTGATTGAAGAGATAGTTTGGTGGCAAGCAATGCACGTTTTTGGTTTCTTATTATATCTACTATACATTTCTTTTCATTTGTAGCTCATCGCTTACCCACTAAGAATTATTTCGTTATGTCAAACGGAAAACAATAAAAATAAGAAGGCCATAATAAACTATAATACTTCAGATTTTGGTCAAAACAGTAAACAACTTCACTTATAAAGAAATCTTCGGATAATATTATACATGAATAAAACGTCTACTATTAATATTTGCTTTCGTACATCATACATAGTTCTGTTTTTATACGTTTGTTTGCTTCATTATTTCATTTTAGATACGTTACATAGAAAGAAGGGAATCCTCCATCCGGGTTCGAAAAATTACTTAGAGTCAGAGAAGCAAATGATAGCCCACTTACCACTACAACACCACCATGAACCTTGACCTGGATGGTCCTTTTCCCATAATTTAGATAATTCTTCGTCAACACCAGCCTTCAAAGCTACTTGAACATCAGCTTTACAAGTTCTTAAACTTAATACAGCAATACCGTTAGTAGACAATGGACCAATAGCCGTTTCCCAAGCAGTAGTTCTTGGCCATTTTCTGTCACCAGTTAACTTTCTGTAATTCAAATCACCTTTGAAGATAACCAAGTCACAACTCTTCAGATCTTCGTGGATTTTATTACCGTGGTATTTAGTTTCGGAAGGATCGATGTTCCAGTAGTCTAGGTCAGTAGTCCAGAAGGAATCGGCTTCAAACGTTAGTAAACCCTTGTCGTGGAAGCTGGAGATATCGTTAGCAAATAAATCCAATGCATTTGATTCCTTAGTGTTTTCACCAGCTGGGAAGAATTTTCTATCTCTCAAATCGGCGATTAAGATATCGAAATCCTTTAACATAACGTCACTAACCATATAAGGCATGTCTTTAGCGTGGAAGACACATTTGGTAGCCAATTTAGTTTGCAAAAGGAAAGCTGCTAACATCAAATCTGCATACAATTCAAATCCAGAATTGTCAAGAACAAAATCGACTCTAACATCTTCTTTAGTTGTAGCAGCCTTTAGTAGAACATCCCAAGCAATGTTAGTGTCATTAACTACAATCTTGGATTCAGATTCTTCTCTTGCCTTGGCACCTTGAATGGATTTGATATCTTCCAAAGTGGCATTTGTCAATAGGGATAAATCAGTTGCATTACCCCATAAGGAGATCTCGATAAATTCTTTAAACAAAATTTTCAATAATTCTTGATCCTTAGTGTCCTTCTTGTTCAATTTAGAGATATCGTTAAGTAAATTTTTGTATCTTAAAGCCAGCTCAGTAACACCATAGTAAGATGCTTCAAATGTAGATTGTTTCAAATCGTTAAAGATATCGAATTGCTTCCAATGTTCATGAGCTTGTAATCTGAAAAGAACATTAACTCTTCTGTAAAGATAGATCTCTGAGAACAACCATTCAGCATTAAGCCATGTTGGTTTCTCCTTAGCTGTATCCAAATATTCGTTAAAGGATAATGGAACAGAAGCAATTTCACATTCTTCAACAGTGAATTTTCTTAAAATAACATTATCAATAATCTCTTGACGAAGTTCGATCAATTGTTGTTTGATGGTTTCACCTTGTTGGACAATTGAATCCTTATCGGCATCAGATGATTTTGAGACTCTTCCGATCTCATTACTAATATCATCGACAGCGTTTTGGGTAATAATTGGCCAACGAGCAGAGGCTGTATATGCACCAAAGGTGCCTTTATCGTTAGTCATAAAACGAGGAGCAAATGAGGTAGACATTATGATTTTCAATCCAGAGTTGGTGGAGGGTGTGTTAACAGTTATTCTTTTTTGCTTTCCAACTAGTCCAACTAAGTGTAATATTGGAGAGGTGCTAAACGGGGATAAATAGTAGATCAGCTACTTGAAGTTGATTTCGAATGTTTTTCATTCTTCAATGTGAAAATTAAAATGAAAAAAAAAATTGTTCTGGCTGCAAGAAGAATGAACAAGAAATGAAAAACTCTCGAGAATTATTTTCCCGCGAACAAACATAGAATCCAATACATTTATATACATATCATATAGTTATAAATAAAGTCGAGACCTCATAGGGCAAGTCTCTTGTTCAGCTTCAACAACTACATAAATATGTACAACCTCGTTAGGGAAAAACAAACAAACAGATCAATAACAAACGCTTCCCCACGGGGGAAGTTCAGTCCGGTTTAGTTCAGTTCAGCTCGTAGTTCTTACTTTTGTTGATGCTGCCGGGAGACTCTTGCTTTTATATCCTTTCTAAACTCCTGTTATGTCCTGACAAGTCCGGTCGCTTGGAAATTTGATTGTTCCGGCGATTTACTGGAAGAATTTTGGATCTGGGGACCCCATTGTGGACGTGGGGCATGGCTAAAGAGGACGACGTTGTGATGTCGTCTTGGGTTGTTGGCATAGTGCTCTGTTTTGGGTCCAAGGAATGTGCGTTTCTGGGGATGTGGGTTTAGGAATTCAAGATGCTTGGGTTTCCATAGATGACTGGGGCCTTGGGATTAAAACCGGAATAACCTTTTAATGACACAAACAATGTTCTGATAATTCTTGTGAAATTTTCATATATTCTAGAAATAAAACGAAAGTATCTTAAGAAGTAGTACGATGCAGCATTACTCACATCAAGAACTGTTTATGTGTTATTTGCGTGTTTTTGAAGCTATAATTTGTAAAAGGAGCATCTGTTATACCTTTAGCAACAAATTTCAATTCGGTCCGACTAACCGAGGGACGTAATAAAAACAGAAAATAATCTAAGAAGTCCATTAACTTAAAGGGTGGGTATATTGATCTCTTTGACTGACCTTCTGTACTTTGTGTTTCATCTTGAACAGCTTCCATCAAAGAAGATATTTGCTTGCTAGTGGTACAGTCCAAGCATTGGAGTTGTTTTGTTTTGTTAATCTGAATATGAGTTTTTATTCAAACTTACCTTCTGTACAGAACGAGTCAAATGCCTTAAGTTCATACCATCCTACACTTTTCGAAATAATATCATCACAAGAGATTGATGATCTTTTACCTGCCTCCCTGCGTTATATCCTAACTAAATACTGGATCACTAATTACCCTTCAAGATTTTCCATTAGTATTAATACCTATTTTGATGAATGGTTCTCTCTATTATTAAAGGGGTCGGTTGAATGGTATCATCTTTACAAATATAATTCTACTTTTGTAGATAAATATTACGGCCTTCAAAAATTTAATAATTCAAATAAAGAACGGTCAAAGGTTTATTTGGATCTTATAACTAAAGGTAAGCTTTCCGAATGGCCAAAGTTATTGCATCTTAAAAGAAGTCAAAGAATTATAACTTGGTTACAAAATATTATATTCCCATATTTAACGAATAAGATTGATGATTATCAAAAAAAATTAATAAATCATTCTTTATTTAATGAAATTACTCAATGGCAAAGGTTATTTCTTAAAATTTATCCGATTTTAAAGAAATCAATCTTAATCTTAAATTTATTTGTGAAATTATCCTTTATATCGGGAACTCATAATTCAATAACTCTATTGGATTATATTTTCAATATTAGCTATGTTAGAAAAATTGTGCCGTTGAATTACGAAAGTGATATTACTGACAACATGTCAATTGGGCAAGGTTTAAACAAGAAAGTGAATTTTAATCACTTCACTGTTAAGAATGGTCTTCAAAATATTACAAGGAATGCCTGGGATGGTGTTGCATTTACAGGATCTCAAATTTTCCCAACATTCATGTTCATGTTAAAGATATATCAATGGTGGATAAGTCAGGATTTAACTGCAAAATTACAAAAAAGAATAAATAATTTAGATAAAGAAATTCCAAGACCTCCTTTGAACTCTTCAGATCTTGAAATATTATCCGATAGTAATTGCATAATATGTAAAAATATCATCCAGAACCCAGCTATTATTGAAACTGGGTATGTTATGTGTTACCCATGTGCGGTAACATACCTTCAAGAGCACGAAGGTGAATGTCCCGTTACTCATAAGAAGTTATTACAATGTACATTTGATAAAAATCTTAATGAATGGAATGTATCAAAAAGTGTTCGTAAGTTATTGATCTGAACAAACCCAGTGTATTCTGAGCTCCTCTCATAGAATATGTAAATAAAATATATATATATAGAAGTGTGTTGTACACTTTTTTTTCTTAATGGGGTGTCACCATCTCCCATTGATTGCATGCAATTTGAAGTAATTTAATTTCATTCTCTTTGTTTAAAATCTCATTTTCAATATCAGAAGTAGGGCTCAGTTCTAATTGAGATACTAATATTGAAGTCTTCCTTAATAATAATTCATAATTTTCATTATATATCAGAGGATGTATCCTTTCTTGTGATAAGAATGATATTATCGAATTTACTCGTCTAAGCAATTCGGTGACTAATTTATCTTCATTCTCATTAATATCATTGAATTCTTGAAATGCTGATATTGAATAATTATTATTATGATGATGATTATTCATGGAATTTGACGTTATCGTCTTATTTGGATCCTCTTCCATCCCTCTGTTAATCACGTCATTTGAAATCTCAATTTTTGTGTCCATAATAATCTCAAATATTCTTCTTTGAAAGTTCATTTCCAAACTATCATTATCTCTTTGATAACATTCTAATGAACTGCTGTTGCCATTAGTAATCTGGATTGGTTCATATCGAAATAAAATGTTTAATGGTGATGGTAACCCTAGGTGGTTTAATACGATTGTTGATTCTATTATCTCATCGTAATGAAATATCTTGCTATTAACTAAAAGGATACCTAACGGTATGATATCGTTTGATTGAACTTGTTTTATAAGATTATATCTTTCATGAAACAATTCAATATCTATTTCGAATTCAAAATTATTTGATTCGTTCATCATTATGGGTATTTGTAAACATTTACTAACGGTTGTATTTCCATTTTGGTTTCCTAAGAGTAAATAACATTGAGCCATGTTCTGTTGGCCCTTGGTAGAACACTGTAATTCATATTTGTAATTGATCTCACTGATAATCGTAGAATGTATCCCAATGGTGAAAATATCAATCATAATCACGACCTTCTCCTTATTTTGTTTGTGTTTTTGTAAACAAGAATATTAGCCCTACTTATTCGTTAAACTTTTATGGATTTTTCAATAAATACATTACTTATTCCTTATAGCAAACTCAAAAGAAAAAAAATGATATCGAGAAACAAAAATGCTTCTCAAGTATGTTCTGTATGTGGGTTTTAAAAATCTTAAATTGTTAGTTTGTTTATTTATATTTACAAGTATATATGTATATACATAAATGGAATAGATTGATATTAAATGGTTTGGATGAAATGGGGGAAATCCATGAAGACTTTTTCTTTTGTGTGTGTGTTTATGTGAGAATGTACTTGTATTTAAACAATAACAGTACCATGGTCAATGATCGGCGCTTGACCCTCGTGCAAGACAGGTTCGTAACAATACCATTTCAACAATGCATCTGTAGCGGCTCTAGCCTTAGCTTCCTTCAAAGAAGAGCCAAACCCTTCACCTAGTTTTTCTTCCCCTGAAAAGACACCTACGATAAATACAGGAGCCTTTGAAAGTCTACCTGATTCCGCTGTTAATCTTGAAACAGGTTTTTCAAGACCTTCTCTTTCACAAAGCTTTGATAATTCTCTAGCTGGTTGTTCAAATAAGAACAATTTAGAGACATCCAACTTTCTTGATGTAATATGTTTATTTATAAATTTTTCTGCCAATTCTGGTTTAATTGTCCATAACACAGCTATTATACTTCTAACAGTAAGAGCTAAAGCTGCATTTTCAGAAAAATTCCCTTTATTTAATCTCTCAATACCATCGATCTTACCTAATGTATTATTAAAATATCTTAATTTACCAAGGGTTAGAGATATTGGTTCATTTAATAAGTATCTTTCGACAATAGCAGTATCCTCCTTTTCGATACCCCATGATCTTGCAATATTAGCCAACATATCTTGAGAGATATATGAATCGATGGCTGCATTCAATACCACGGTAGGTAATCTTGGATATTTTTTCAATAAATATTTCGTTATATGGAACCCAAGGATATTTTTGCCAAAGATATTAAGACCATGATTATCAAATAAATCATTACTCTCTACAGTATTTGGAAATGCTTGTAAATGGGTATTATTTTTATCTTTATCCAATGCAAAAGTAGGTAATTTAGAAGATCTACAAGTCAGACACCTAGACAATATCGATAATTTAAAACTTGCTGGTAATTCTAATCTATTATGCAAGGTAATCAAAGGTTGTGATTGTAATGCAATTTCTTCTGGAACATTATTTATTGTTTCTTGCAATTCCTTATAATAAGTTTTATAGCCTTGCAACTCACTCTCACTAAGCTTCATACCTTTAGATTCAAGGTTCACTGCTGATCTCGACAGATGTCTAACCGTAGACATTATATCGGCATTATTTCCTTTACTAGTAGAGTTCCAAATGGCTCGACGACCACATAACGCAGGTATACGTCTTGACAATAACATCACTGATTAATAAAATAACCCGTGTGAAAGTATAACGCGAATGGTATCCTTTAAAAACCAGAATTCTATGGATCTTCAACTATCTAACAATTAGATATTTATCATAAATCAGATGTAACTCTCTCCATATATATAGAACATATGTATCAATAGGTTGGTTCCCCTTATCTATTATGCTTCTTCTTCCTTACTTTCCATTTCTCTCTCGCTGTTTCCTTTTCGTTTCAAACAAAAAAGGTCGAATTTTTTTTTTCCCGCGGCCGGTTTATCGTCTTCTACGAGGTGGGAAAGTAGAAAAAGTTAAATAAATTAATTGTAAATAGTAGAGTTACCGCCAAGCTTTCGGGAATATTGGGAAGGGTGGAACTACAGTTTTATGGTTTGGGTGCGTTCATGGTTAGAAGGCCGTTGAACAAACATTTTAGTAGTTACTTCTTTGCCGGAGGTTTTCTCACCCTGGCACCAACAGTTTGCAATATTTTTGCGTACTTTACCTCTTACCTATATAGAATAATTGTTCTGAATATTCTTATCCTAACCTAATATTCATAATCCATGTTTTTTCCTCTTCCACTCTTTACAATTGAATGCGTACTGGTTGACCAATTCTACGGGCTTAAATAACTACCAATGATTATTTATGGCTTCAGCACTTTTTCTCTCTCGCTTATATAATATTATTAGAGTACTTCGATAGCTTTAGAACCACCTTGTTGTTGTCGGATATAAGAATCGATAAAATGAAAATTTTAATTGTAAACTTTCAATTACCGTTTACTCTTCGCAACACCCCTCTCCTTTCAATAATTACTGGGCGTGTGGCGTAGTTGGTAGCGCGCTCCCTTAGCATGGGAGAGGTCTTGGGTTCGATTCCCAACTCGTCCAAATTATTTTTTTGGAAATTGACAGATTCTTATTTTTAACTTTTTTTTGGTTTAAATGGACTTAAAACCTGGTAAACTACCTATTAACATCCTGTACTTAAATGAAATGCGACACCTTGTAACGATATATTCATCTCTTTTAAACATTATCTATTTACTATTATTTTTTTTGGTTTACAAATTATAAAGACCACTGTTCAAGCTGGGGCGATGTTCTTACAAAGATTGGGTACGATAAGTCATTTCAGAAACATTGGTAAACTAAACTCAAGGGAACAGTACATTCGAACCGTTCATAATGCATTTACTCCATCGACAATTCACCTTCCAACGATATATGCGTTAGCTACCCCTGCTGCTCAAAAATCTGCAATCGCAGTGATCAGAATATCAGGAAGTTCTTCCCGATACATATATCATAGATTGACAAGAAGAAAGAAAGATCCTACACCTAGAATGATGATGCTTCGAAATCTATATAAACCAACTAAGGATAACTTAACGAAAAATTTGTTAGACCAATCACTTGTTAGTTTATTCCCTGGACCACAGAGTTTTACTGGAGAAGATACATTAGAATTGTATATCCATGGTGGAACAGCAGTTGCACAAAGTGTTCTTGAATCAATTGGAAAGTTAAACGATAGGTCAAACAATATTAATATCCGATATGCTGAAGCTGGTGAATTTTCTAAACGTGCATTTCAGAATCAAAAATTTGATTTAACTGAAGTTGAAGGTATAAGGGATCTTATTGATGCAGAGACAGAATCACAAAGAAATAGTGTCTTATGTAGTTTTAATGGTTCAAATAAAAAATTATTTGAGAACTGGAGAAAACAATTAGTAAATAATGAAGCTCAGTTAACAGCTGTAATTGATTTTGGAGATGATAATGATATAGATTCAGATAATTATAAAATATTTTCTAATGTTGAATCTAGTGCTAGAATCCTTAAGAAGGATATTGAAGATTTCGTCACGAGAGTTGATAGAGCAAATTTATTACAACGTGGACTAAAATTGGCATTAATAGGTGAACCTAATGTTGGAAAATCATCTTTACTTAATATTTTAGCTAAAGATGATGTGTCTATAGTAAGTAATATCCCAGGGACTACCAGAGACACTATTGATAGAGTGATTGATTTAGATGGTTATAAAGTAATTTTTTGTGACACTGCAGGCATTAGAGGAAATACTGATGATGAAATAGAACAAATAGGTATTGAAAGGGCCACTTTAAAGGGTGAACGAAGCGATGTATGTGTGATTGTTGTAGATGCATCTAAAGGCGGTATAACAGACCCAAAGATTATTGATTTAGTTAACTCTGAAACATTTAAAGAAAAACCCTTAGCAATTGTCTTGAATAAAATTGATTTATTGGATTCAGAAAGGATCGATATAATTATGGATCATCTAAAGAATACTTTCAAAGGTAGGGGTGCAGTTTTGCCGGTGTCTTGTAACACAGGAGAAGGTATTGAAATACTGGTCACTGAATTAATCCAAACATTCAAAGATATGGCTTTAATTGATGATCAAAATAGTGCAATTACTGTCTCACAAAGAATTAGGGAAATTCTTCATAATGATGTTTTGTATGGCCTTGATGCATTTTTAATGTCCAAGAAATTGGGGAACGATCTAGTTATGGCATCTGAGGATTTAAAGTATGCCATTGATGGAATCGGTAAGATTACTGGTTCATATGTTGGCGTTGAAGAAGTCCTTGGAGTTGTCTTTTCGACATTCTGTGTTGGTAAATAGAAGTATATAAATTTATATATATACGTATATTACCATGAACAATATTCATAATAACCATTGTAAATAATATTTTATCCGTTTATTTTATCTTGTATATCATTAAATAGGTATTATGTTATATATATATATATTTATATATTTAGTTCAAAACCCTAAAGATTTTAAAGTGGTCATTTTAACTTGTCTTTCGAATTCTGGTCTATTATCTCTCCAAAGTATACAAGCATCGATATTTGCACCACTCTCAATGTTTGGTTCACTTAACATACTCATCACACTTAATAGAATCTTTTCGACACTCTGTACAGGAGACCATCTTTCTTCAGCTAATTCATACATATGTGGATCATTACCAGGTGAATGTAAAATAGATATACATACTTCACCGTTTGGATAGATATTTGGATGTAGTATACTTGGTGTGAATATTAGTTTTGGTGGAGATAAAGGATAGTCCTTTGGGAAATGTAATTCTGCATTGAAAACACCACCTTCATAAGGAGTATCAGGTGGACCTTGAATCAAACAATCCCAGACAAATATATTATCCTCAGTTTTGGGACCTGCTACAATCCCTGGTGGGGAATCTCTAATCAACTGTTGCAATTCCTTTAATAAACGTTTCTGGGCTGTCTTTGACATCTTTCTATTCTCTTTAAGTTAATTTTGCTTTTAATAGATGATACTTATTTGATCTGGTTCCCCTCTAAGCTTAAAACTCCAAAAAATGAGATATATCTTCGGCACAAACTTGATCAATCGTGTGAAAGTCTGAATGAGAATGAGAATTACTGTTACCAATGAAGTGTTACCCTTGATAACGCTAGAATGAAACAGTTTTTTGTCTTGTTTTTAGCAGCTAAAAGTGGCAAGTTGTCGTGAAACGTTACAGTTGAAAATGAAATAATCAAAGAAGCGAAAAGTTATAAGAGAGAAAACCTATTTCGAGGAATATAAAAGATATTGTTTTCAGATATATTTGCCACTGCAAAGACAGGAAATAAGAAAGTATATAGATATAGAATATATCCAAGGTTAGGTTCAGAAGGATTTAGTTGTGAGACAATGATTATTTATAACGGGGCCAAGTATTCATGCTCCTCTTGTATTAGAGGTCATCGTTCATCGACCTGTAGACATACCAAGAGAATGCTAGTTAAAGTGAGAACTAGAGGAAGACCATCACCTATTGATATACGAGATGTGATTATGGTTGATATGGATTCACAAATGAAGAATAAATTATTACAGGAGAGTTATGATTTAGCCAACAAACATAATAAGGAAGCCTGTGGAGAGTCTAATGCCAAAAATAGTGAAACAAACGGAGGGAAAGTTGGTTGTTCCAATAACAAGATGATGACCGCTCAACCTATTCTATTTGTTAGAGCCAAACAAACGAAGAAAGCCATGCTTGTAGATGGGAAATTAAATATTATTATGGAAGACAAGCCTACAGGTCAAAAAGTAACAGATACTTCCTCTAAGGGTCATGTTGAAGCTGCACATGATTCCAGATCAACGTCACTGGAAACTGATGATAATGATACGGGATTGAATGATACTGAAAAGGCTAGAAAGAAACTGGACTCAATGGTGTATATGTCTGAGAGGGACTATTTATCAAAGCATGGTAATGAGAGACATGTTATAAGTGATCCGCCTAAGTCAGGAACTACTTCTACATCTATGGCATCCGCTGTTCCTGTTAAGAGAGAGGCTAATGATGTTTATATAGATAATGAAAGTAAAAGAAAATGTTGTGATCCTAACCATATAAGACATTTACCTGATATTTTGTCGGACGAAGAGATACGGATGCAAGAGTCATTATTTGGTAATATATTAAACACAGATGGTCGACTAAATGTAACATCACCAGTTTCAAGTATTGGAACAACAAATACTTCTAATAACACGCCTTCTATGACTGGTAGTGAACTCTTCACAGATATATTTGATCCAAAGAACGATACAGTCGATGTTTTCACACACAAAGGTATCTATTTAAGTGCAGATTGTTCTTGCGCAGATGATCAATGTCAATGTTTGAACTGTTTGATACATAGAAATGAAGATGAACTAACGTCGTATATTCAAAAGAGTGGTGTGCCGTTAACCAGTTTACACGGTTCGGATGTTGAAGCGGATAATATAGAGGAGAAGCCTACTACATGTAGTAATTCAACATGTAATTGTACCCTAACAGATTGTAATTGTGCGGATTGTTTTGTTCATCCTACAGAGATAATACCGTTTGAGAAATTTTATTTCCATGGTATATTAAATTGTAAATTGAGAAGAAAAACAATAATAAAATATAATAATAAATTAATACCATCTGAATATTGGTGGAATTTCCTTGTTGTGAAGGTTCCAACTATGTCTGATATGGAATTAGAGGCTATTGACATGAAGAATTGGTTTGATAAATTATTAAGTAGTTATCAGAATGAATTATTAGATGCACATACCGATGATTTCCCATTTAATGATTTGGAAGGGTTTTACGTGATTTAACTAAAATATAATTTAAAATAACATTTTTTATATTAATTTTTATTGTTATTATTAGTGTATCTCCATGATGTAAATAAACCAAAAAACACAAACTATTAAATATAAATATTAAAACTTTTATTCACAGTTCATTTCCCTTTTTTTAGAATAACTGAATAATAAAACATGTATATACGTATGTACATTTATCTGAAATAACAATTTGATACACGTTACTTTAAATTCATTCTATCTGCTATATAATCAGCTTCTCGTTGACCACTTTTCCATGCACCATATACACAACCAGCTCCATCCATCACAGTATGCTCACCGGCAAATCTAATTCGAGATGATTGACCTCTATCTAAAGCAACAATCATATCAAGAGCGTCGTCACCTGGAAAACATGCAGTGTATGCACCACGAGAGTAAGGCTCTTGAGTCCAATTGGTTACAATGATATTACGTAGGACAGGAACATCATCCTCAAAGACTTGTTTCAAATCACTCATACCGTTAACTACTGGTTTTCCCCCCAATGATTTCAATACGGAATCCAAAACAGGTTGGAAAAACTTGAATACTTTGTCTTTATCATTTTGAATAGATTCAATATATTCAGTTAGTGGGGACTGCATTAACATCATGAAACTGGCAATATCTAGACCTTTAGCCAGATTGTTGAAATATAATGGTTGATTCCAGCAATCCCTGGTGATCATTCTAGAATTGTCTTTATCTATATATCTTAGCAAATCATCAAATGTATTTGCTTGACGAACAGCATCGACAAAGGAACTCGAAGTTTTAGCCAAAGTAACGACTTTTGCTTCATTTTGATCCCAACAGATCTTCTCAAATTCGAAAATCACTTTTCCTAGACCACCATAATGAACGCTTTTGAAACCATTTTGAATGTTATTGTTTAATGGAGGATCGAATTCAATTCTACCAGTTTCGTTTTTAGCAGATTCATTAATTGATAATTCTAATACACTTTGAGGAATGGTTACCACACAATAATCAGCCACATATTTTTTATTATCCTTAGTTGTTATAACAACTTTATTATTATCTTGTTTTACGGAATTTACTTCGGTATTCAATTCAATAATTTCACTAGGGAAAGTTTTTGCAATACGGTCTATCGTGCTATCATAATTCAAAGCCATGGCATTTCTACCTTGATGACCGAAATACGTATCTTTAGCACTTAATTGTTTCCAATCAATACCATGCCACAATTCCAAATATCTACTAACTTGCGCAGAATATCTAATTTGATCATCAGTAAGGTATTTTCTTTTTTCAAACAAATATCTTGATGCTAGTTCTTGAAACGAAACGTCCTTAGAGCCTAATTTCTGATAGTACTCCATATCTGTATATTTGTTGATCTCTCTATCGATAATCTCTAATTTCATTTCGGGGTCTCTATCCACTCTACCACGTTCTTTATCGATATAAATGAAAAAATCATCGTCAAAGATATATTTTTCACCAGCTTCAACACCTTCAACAAAAAGATCATTGCAGAGTGTATCATGGTGCCAACTGGCCCCTAAATCGTATTTTCTAATACCGTCAAAACCTGTAATAGTCTGTAAACGTCCCCCAATTCTTCCTCTTGATTCTAAAACTTTGATATTTTTAGCACCATGTTTGTATAGTGCGGAAGCAGTCTTCAGTCCTGATATACCTGCACCAATAATAATAACACTCATTATTTAATTTACTTGTTCCTGATATATTCTTTTCTTTACGGTTCTTCCCTTATATTTTACGTCAAAATCAGTTATCCGAATATGACTATGTTTTAAATCTTATAACTAAAAAAGAAGTTTCTTTATATATATACTTATTTATGGTGTAAGATAGAACCAAAATTACTGAACTCAGGGACAAATACCCCATCCCTTGCTTAAATATTCTCGAGGTTTGTTCGTTTCTTACAACCAAAAATGAACAGCTCCCTTCTCTCAGCACCACGCCACATTCACTTCGGGAAAGTCTGCGATGTCCCTCGGAACAAACTGAAATTTCCTCATTATGGCAAAGAGAAGAGTACAATGGGAAGACCTAAAAGAGGAAAGTAGTCAACTTAGGAAACGTTCAGGTTCTCATCTGTTTAGTGGGGGGGGATGAAACCTTCCCATTGTTCTTATTTGTGGAACGTTTATTGTTAGAAATGTTGAGCTGTGTATGTGTATTATTAACTGTATGTATATGATCTATACGAAAGTTTGATCGAACCATTGTAGATTGGCAAACAAATCATCCTCCAGTATATCCGAAGGTGTGGAGTTTACAGTGCCGTTTAGCATTCCAGATGCACCCATGGGCGTCCTGTCTGGTACGTTTGGGTATGACATACTGTTCATTGGTGCTAATATATGTAAAAGGTTTGGACTTCCATTCGTAGGTACCTGTCCTACTATTCCTGAATTCGGTCCTTGTTGTCGTGGAACGGGCTCCCTTGCTAATGAAGGTGAATGTTGGTGTGTTTCGTTGAGGTCTTCATCGACGCCTTCTTCTCCATCTTTACTAAATTGATGGAAATTATTCTTGTTTGGAGTATTATCCTTAAGATCAACGCCGATAGTGTCCCTCAAAATCTGAGCTGTGTTAACCAATCTTAAACAAGATATGTAGTTCAACATCTTTAAACACCAGACACACTGTGCTAACATACTTGGTGGATTTCTTGGACTTGTAGATTCAATATTATTCCAAAGTGCCATACATCTCTCTAGGTTATTCTTCGGTAGTTGATATCGTATCCCTGAATGTGTTAATACTAGATTTGCAATACTTACTGTAAAGAGTACAGATAAATTTAACCACCATGGGATAAAATATAAGTTCTCTCTGCTTAATTTCTCTAAGACCGATAATGCTAATTCACTTGTTGATAATAAAGAATCGAAATCTACATTAAATTCTAATGAACCAGATAAACTTTCATTTGGTGGATTTAATAAAGATAGTACTGATTTACATTCAAATGTTAAAGCAATATCTAAATAAGTCATCAAAGGTTGAATTTCCCATGAATTATAATTTGAAGTCATTAAATCATAAAAATTTCCTTTCAACTGTGTGGCAAGCCATGCTTTTAAATTTGATCTAAATTCATTACATTCAGAGACAGTCAATTCTTGAGCATATGGTTTTTGATATTGTACTATCAATAATGATAACTGATACATTTGAATAGTCTCATCATGGAACCATTCGATATTTTCATCCTTGTAATGTTCCAATGGGTTAGTCATCGATTCGATAGGTAAATCCAATTGATATTTTCTTCCTATTTGGAAACTGATCATTTTATCCATAATGAAACAAAGCCAAAAACAATGCCATGCTTTTGAGACATCTCCTGGTTTATGTCTTGTAGGTAATCGATTTAATTCTAGAGACATCCCTTTACACATATGAATAGCCTTGCTTAGAGCATTCCAAGCGGCAATTTGTCTATGTGAAGTCCTTAAATAAAATGTCATCAGAAGCCAAGATTGAATTAATTCAAAGGATTCCCATTCAAAGGTCAATTTTGTCACCACAGTATAACTGTAGCTAAATAAACGACTCTCGAGTCTTCTTGCATTAAGAGTCAAATATGATAATTCTTCTTCAGTAAAATCTATTGGAGACGTTGCAGTTGTTTCCCCATCATGAAATCTTAATGCAATGGTAAGCAATAAATACAATATAGAAAGAAATAATTTAGTTGATTTTGTACTTGTCTTTCTTTGTTGAAGAAATCCATTATTAAATTGTTGCCAAAACATTCTCTCATGAATAATTGAGAATGGTTTATTAATATTACTAAAATAGTATATCAATAATTTTTTCACAATTGATACATGTAAAGGATTATCAAAATTCAATATTTCAATTTGAAGATCTTGTGCATTTAAAGATTTTAATTTTAAATAATGGCCACCTGATAAATTCCACCCATAGTTTTGAACACGAGGTACTTCTAAATTATTTGATGTAATTATTTCTTCTGGCAAATCAGAAATTGCAGAATTACCAAATACAAATGGTAAAATATTTTGATACCTTGTATGAAATCTATATTTTTCATAGGAGTAACAAAACCATGGTGAAACATTATCTGTTTTCAAACCCTTTGTTTCGTATGTATCATTACCCTTTTGACTAAGACCAATAGTACTTGTCATAGTAGTATTATTTGTTGTTGTGGTGGTGGTGGTGGTTCCTGTATTATTTCTACTACTATTAAAATCGCTACTTGACGGAGTATTTTTATCTTCATTATCTTGGCCATTATTAGAATCTAATTTTGAACTCAATTGTAATAATAATTTAGCAGTTTGATCTTCTAAATAAACACCATTTGAATCATTTAAATTTGATGATGAATTTTTTGTTGGTAAATTTCCATTCAATTTAGATTTCTTCTTATATTTACCTCTTGGTTTCCCCGATGAATAATCATAAGCACAAGCCACTTGATGAGCAACACAATTATGGCACGGAGAATTTCCATCACATTTCACTTTTCTTCTTTTACAGTCTTCGCAAGCTTTCCCAACTCTGATCCGTTTACGTTGCGAAGAAGAAGCAGCACCTAGGCTTGTTGTTGGCGAATTTTCCGCTGAACTCATCATCATCCCACCGAATAGATATATGTGTGTGTGTGTGTGTGTGTGTGTGTTTACGTTACTGTATGCTTTTTCCCTTTTAAGGGCCTTTCAAACGTTTTACTTTCATATAGTTTTAACTGTATGTTTTTTTTGCAAAATGTACGTATATCATTCTGTAGTGCCAAATTGTTCAAAACCGGTTTAATAGCCGAACAATGCGAAATGCAAGTCAAAGTCCCATAGATTTCAAGACGTTCAAGAAGGCACATTCATACAGCATGTGCTGGTACACATGGATACATTTACTACTTCTGGGGTACCATGTTCCATTGTAACTATTGTCAAGCCAAGCCAAGCCAAGAAAAAATAAATAAAGCCATGCATCTATATATATATAAATCGCCAATCGTAACTACGTTAAAAACGACGCATCTTGCCGAATCCCAATCAGTAAACCAGCTCAAACGATAACGGCTCACTGCAACTAATAGATAGAACACACACAGACACACACACATGCCCACGCCGTCCAGTACCGCAGGCATACCATGTCCTGTCATCGCCAACATCACCACGCACGGAGGCCCTGCCTCCCAAACCCTAATCTTAACTCAGCGGAAAAAAAATTTTGAAAATTTTTGCTCGTTTCTTTTTCTGGTGATGAGCCCGCAGTGAAAAATTTCGTTTCGCAATTTTTTGCGTGGTCGATGGGCTTCTCTTCAGTGACTCGAAGACAAAAGTTTGATCGATGCATGGATGGGCTATCGTGAACTCAGATTATGCACTTGAATAGAATGGGCATACTGATAAATTGGTTGAATCTAATGGATCTCTCTTTTTCTTGTTTTTTTGAGAATTTTGTTACTGTGTGTGTGTGTGTGTCGTAACTGATAGAGATTTCTCGATATATTAGAAAGATATTGATCGATCATTGCTTATAATTTCTGTGTGTGTCTTTGAATTATGCGTCAAAACGATAGAGACGCAAGGTTACAACAATCTGGAATGAATGTGCATTATCCTACCGTGAACGAGGATCCTCAATCCCATCCTCTCACATATTACTACTATAACAATAATAATAATCCGAATACTAATATGACTCAACAACAGATGCTCCCTCATCAGCAACAACAGATGCTTCCACAACAACAACAACAGATGCTTCCACAACAAGGTATCCCAATCATGCAACAATACTATCCCACTACTACAAGTACTACGTTGCCTATATTGGAAAGGCCTCCAAGTGAAAATGGGTTAACTCAACGTCGTTTAGAAGATAATAAGTCGACTAATACATCGTCGGTATTGAGTGGACAATCATTGATGGGTTCTCTTGGTATCGAAGGTATGACCGCCGATTCAATCAGTAGATCGACATCTCCTGCGTTCGCTAATAAGTTAGGTCCATCGACTTATACTTACCCTGGTTTCCAACAGCAACAACAGCAACAACAACAACAACAAATTTTACACCCGGTTCCAACTAGTAGTAGGAATGTTAATGTCCCTGGATCCCATACTTTACCATTCTCTAGTACTCCGCCACTTCATACACGTGAGACTCTGTCAAGAGAATCTCATCATAGTAACACATTAGTTAATTCTCCACGACTTACACGTGCAGATTGGGATGTTACACAACAGAATATGGGGATCATTCAATCTTACGATATAGTTAGTGATTCGGGACAACATGTACCGAGAGTCACCACTACAATGTGGGAAGATGAATCAACACTTTGTTATCAAGTTAAAGCTAACGGTGTCTCTGTTGTACGTCGTGCAGATAATGATATGATTAATGGTACTAAATTATTAAATGTAACAAAGATGACCAGAGGTAAGCGTGATGGTATATTAAAAGCTGAAAAGATAAGACATGTTGTTAAAATTGGATCTATGCATTTAAAGGGTGTTTGGATTCCATTTGAAAGAGCTTTAATAATGGCAGAAAGAGAACAAATTGTTGGATTATTATATCCTTTGTTTGTAAGAGATATCGAACGAGTTCTAAGAGGCGGGGAACGTCCACCATCTGCTACTACTGCTACCAGCGCTTCTGCAGCCACCGCGGCCACAGCCGTACCTGCTACATCTCATCACATAATCAGTCGTCCAGCATCTCGTACTACTTATCCACCCTCTCATACTCCAGTAAGTACTACTAATGCTACTACCACCACATCAGTGCCTGCACCAACTCAATTACCTATGCATATGCATATGCCATTACCTTTACCTTTACCTCCTGTATCGATGCGAACTGCACAATTACCATTAGCTTTATCGATGCAAACTGCATTGCCTCCAACAACAACAGCAACACATAGCAACAGTAACAGCAGTAGTTCAAATACTGGTACCGCTAATACTACTACTACAACTGCTGCAACATTTACAGCACAACAATTACATTTGCAACAATTACATACACAACATATGCTGCAACAACAGCAACAACAACAGCATCAACAACAACAGCAACAGCACCAAGTTCAACAGCAACAACAAGTTCAACAACAACAGTATGCTCCGTTACCACAACAACAACTGACAAGAAACGTCGGCCAATTGGCCGTTGGTATCCGTCCACCTCAACCTTCTACTATCCCAGCTACAACTTCTACAAACTCCAGCAGTGGTAACTCCAGCAGTTAGTAAATACGTCCCTATATAAAAAAAATCACCATACATACAACTATAAATACCATACCATAGCATTGTTCCCATCTCCCCTCCTTCCACCCCACATTCACTCATGATGAGTTGATCAACTCTGTCCAGTGACAGGAACAGATCGTGTCTCTTATGGTAATCATCCAGCAGAGCTCCAGTGCTCTCTGTTGCTATCTCCGAAAACCCGTCAGTTACGATCTCCGTTGTCTCCGCGCACACAAAATTTATCGTTTTGTGTGCGATATTTGCTTCGGCCGAAAGTTGCGGGTTAGTTAAGGTTCGTTTAGGTGCAAAATTCGATATATATTATTTTGTATGTTAAATGGTTGTTTCTACGTGAGTTTCTTAGTTTCCTAGGAATTGATCACCGCAACTATCGCAACTTCGTTTAAATTGACAGCTTACTGAACAGTAATAGCGATAGCGACGATGGAAAAGATTTTCCCAAAGAGAAAACAATTTTATATAAAAAGACGTAAGAAACAATTGATCAGATGAAGAACCACTTTCCCAATTTTGGTAGTTGGAAGTTCAACCCAGAAAGACGGTAATTTAAATATTTAATTTATTTCAATAAAGAAAAAAAAAATAATTAAATATAAATTATGAATTCTACAATTGCTTTTGATGCTGGCTCATCGTCCTCGTTTTTGCAAGATGTCTCCTATTTTAGACTATTCTTAACTTTTATTGCTATTGTTTTAGTATGGGACCAAGTCTCATATATTCAAAAGAAAGGTTCAATTGCAGGTCCAAGATTTAAGATATATCCAATTATTGGTCCATTTTTAGAATCTTTAGATCCAAAATTTGAAGAATATAAAGCTAAATGGGACTCTGGTGAGCTATCATGTGTTTCAATCTTCCATAAATTCGTTGTTATCTCTTCTACAAGAGATATTTCAAGAAAAATTTTTCAAGCTACCAAATATGTTAAACCTTGTGTCGTTGATGTTGCTGTTAAAATTTTAAGACCTCAAAATTGGGTATTTTTAGATGGTAAAGCTCATACTGATTATAGAAAATCTTTGAATGGTTTATTTACACGTTCTTCTTTAGCTCAATATTTACCATCAATGGAAGATGTTATTGATAAATATATGGATAAATTTATTGAATATTCAAAGGATAAGAATTATGAACCAACTATTTACTTCCATGAAATGAGAGAAATTCTTTGTGCTTTATCCTTAAGAGCTTTCTGTGGTGACTATATTACTGAAGATCAAATTAGAAAAGTTGCCGATGATTATTATTTAGTTACTGCAGCTTTAGAATTAGTTAATTTCCCAATTATTATTCCTTTCACTAAGACTTGGTATGGTAAGAGAACAGCTGATATGGCTATGAAGATTTTTGAAAATTGTGCTCAACAAGCTAAAGATCATATTGCTGCCGGTGGTGAATCTATTTGTGTTATGGATGCTTGGTGTAAATTAATGCATGACGCTAAGAATAAGAATGATGAAGATTCAAGATTATTACATAGAGAATTTTCAAATAAAGAAATTTCAGAAGCTATTTTCACTATGTTATTTGCCTCTCAAGATGCTTCATCTTCTTTAGCTTGTTGGTTATTCCAAATTGTCGCTGATAGACCAGACGTCTTAGCTAAAATTAGAGAAGAACAAATGGCTGTTCGTGATGGTAATCCAGAAAAGAGAGTTGATTTAGATATGATTAATAATATGACTTATACTAACATGGTTATTAAAGAAACTTTACGTTACAGACCTCCTGTCTTGATGGTTCCATATGTTGTAAAACAAAATTTCCCTGTGACTCCAAATTATACTGCTCCAAAGGGTGCTATGTTAATTCCAACTTTATATCCATCTTTACATGATCCTGAAGTTTACGAAAACCCAGATGAATTTATTCCTGAAAGATGGGTTGAAGGTTCAAAAGCAAGTGAAGGTAAAAAAAATTGGTTAGTATTTGGTTGTGGTCCTCATGTGTGTCTTGGTCAAACTTATGTTATGATCTTATTTGCTGCGTTAATTGGTAAGTTTGCCCTGTATACTGATTTCGAACATACTGTTACTCCATTATCTGAAAAGATTAAAGTCTTTGCTACTATTTTCCCTAAGGATGATTTATTACTGACTTTTAAGAAAAGAGATCCAACCACTGGTGAAGTTACTGAATAGATAAACATAGTTCTTCATTGACACGACAAACCCCTCCATGAAACGATAACCCCCCCTCCTTTTTTTTATTCTTTTAATTTTAATTTATTTTCTTACAAATTATTTATATTATAAACATATATGACACTTCATTATATTCTTTTTTTCTTTCCTTTGTCGTATATAAACCTGGATACATAAGTTTTTTACGTTATATTTATATTTTTTTTTATTAATTTTAATATCTTCTATTTGCTACATGATATAAAATAATCTATGTAAAAAAAAGTCTCTTTAATCGAATGTAATCTTCTTACCAGCAAATTTAGCATTTTTTAATTTCTCTTCAGCTTGTTTCTTAGCAACCCAAGAAGGATGATTCTCATTGACACTTTTATGAACAGTTTCTTTACTTGTAATACCAATACTACTACCACTGTAGTTTCCACCCATTTTCTTAGCATTTGCAATAGGAATCAAGTTAGCATTAACTTTATCTAATTTAGCTTGTTTTGCTGCACGTTTCTCTACACGTTCTTCATACTCTCTTTGTCTTTTCTCTCTTTCATTTTTCTTCTCTTCAATCTCACGTTGCACATGATTTGCTTCACGACCATATTTTTGTGCCCATATTCTTCTTCTTGCACGTTGACCACGTCTATTTTTCTTCTCAGGAGCCTTTGTTTGTTCACGAACAAGTTTTTCTTCGTGTTCATCTAAATCTGAAGCTTCTTCTTCATCACCACTATAATAACCATTCATCAATTGAGGTAAATTATATTTCTTTTCTGTAGAACCATCCTCATCATCACTAGGTTCTTCATCTGTAACTTCATTGTAATTTATGTCATTATCCAATGCAATACCTCCTTCTGTTTCACTATCACCATCAGAATCAGCTAATAATGTATCATATTGTTTTAATGTCTCTTCATCAATATCTTGATCAGGGACAAGATCATCTTCAATGCTAATATTTTCTTCGTCGTCGTCTTCTTCGTCATCGTCATCTTCACTCTTAGAAACTTCCTCTTCTCCATCAGATTCTTCTTCGATAACTTCTTTCTTTTCAAGTTGTTTGGCTTCCTTTATCGCAATGCCTAATAAAACATTGATACCATTCTCATAAGTAGAGATAATTTCTTTTACTTTACCATTGTTCATTGTAGAACTAACAAATTTTGCAGCACCATCTATTTTCATGACAAGTTCATTCCATACATGACTTGGATTTTTCTTATTTGTTTTATCCTTCCATATCTGTTCAAACTCATGATTTCCATACCAATTCGGTATACTATCCAATTGTCTTTGATTAACCATTTTCATCACTCTACCTCGTGTCAATTTTAATAATTTAGAAATAATAATACTGTTAATAAATTCATCAACAGTAGTATCGGATGATTCAATGTTTTTACGTATATCATCAGTGATAGCTTTTTGAAAATTTTTAGTTAAATGTTTTTCTGCGTTATGTATCTTATTATCTAAAATGGTAACTTTTAAAGAATTTATTTCTTGTAACAATTTCTTTTCATTTAATGAACTTAGTTTCTGTTGTAATCGTTTTTGATTTTTTCTACCTTTAACATTATAAAGTTTACTTGTATGAGGCAAACGTGGTTGAAAATTATCAATGGTACCTTGTAAATAATGGATCTGATATTCCAGATTATCCAGTTTAAAGATCAAGTTTTCCTTCGACATGTTCTGGATTATTGTTTTTCAACGCAGTTAAACTACTGTAATTATCAAATAATGGTTGTTTCTGTTGTTGCGAAGAATATCTTTTCAAATATACACTCTATATGTTCAATTTATTTTATAATTTTTTGCGATGAGCATTGAGATTTTGGAAAATATTTCAATTAGCGAAGAGATGAAAAATTTTCAAAGTAGACAAATTTTGTTTAGACAAAGAGGTAAGTAAGTACATACAAGAAAAATGAAGAACTAGGAGAGGCAACAAGAGTAATAAGAGGAGGAGGATCAGACTGACGTGCAAATCATTTATTGAGACATATCTTCAGTAATTGTAAAAAAATTTACAACAATCAGAAAATGTTAGTAAAAAAATACTAAGCTCAAGAAAGTATCATCATCTCCCAAAATATATATATCTATACATATATGTGATTAAACAGAATGCAATTCCCCTTGACAAGAAATACTTTGAACTCAAAATAAAAATTAGTATCAAGTATGATTAAAACTTTCTTTTAAAAACACATATCACCAAAGAATTGCAAATAAAAAGTTAATTAGGAATGATAATGTTATGATCAGATCAATGCCCTGTCACAGGCAAATATCATCACAGTTTATCGATAAACATTCGATAAACGCAGTTGACCGTCGTGATATAAGTAAATCATCATAAACATAACATCTTCCCAAAAATTAAGATTTTATTTCTTTTTTGTTTTCTGGTAATGTAGTTGAATGAATCCTTTAGCTAAAGGAGACGAAACAACAGTAACTCAATAGCATCAGACAATATTCCTCTTATACTTCATAAAAAATAAATTCTCAGACATATGCTTGTCTATTTGAGTTAATTGTTTCATCGTCTGCCAAAAGAGTTCTGCAAAAATACCAAAAAAAAATTAAAAAACAATGAATTAGGATGATAATACAATATTATCAAAATCAAAAGAAGATATCCATTAACCAATAGATACATTGAGACCTCTTTTATCAAAATCGATATCATATTTCAATACAATTCAAATAAAAAAAATAGTAACAAACAAATAAACAAATATAATCAGAAATGCATGAATGGTATTAATTTAGATGTGTCTTCACTTCAAAGATCAGACTCGTCATCTAAAGGGTATCATCACTTAATTTGTTTAAAAATATTTGTTCTATATTTTTTTTTCCAAAATTCCTTTAACTACCATTATAGAAAAAGGAAATGAAGTTTAAAGTATTCTGCTGAATTCAATAAACTTTAGTTTCAATTTTAAAATAAATATGAATCGGTAGCGTGGGTTTTCTAGGCCCACTTAAAGCGTTGTCACTCATGAAAATAAATATTTTATTTATATCAGTGCCCAGTGCTGTAACTCGTCATCTTCATTTATTTCAAAAACATAATTTTAAATTTGATATGAAATGACTATTTCTTATCGATCTAAAATTAGAATAAAAAGAAGTTTAAAACAAAACAAAAAATATAATTGGTTTATTGTTAAAATCAGAAATAGTGCAAAAACGTATCAACATGTACTCGTTCAGCCAGTAATTCCAGCTTTTGTTTTTGTAATGATCATCATATAAAACAATTTCACAAATAATATCTTGTTTTTCTTTTAACCAGGATAAAAATAATAATAGAAAAACTCTAACAAGGAAATATTAAAATACAACTGTATTTTAAAATCCGTTCCTTTTTTCAAAATACAATATACCCAAAAGTATATTATCCAAAAAGATATTATTTCCAAATATTAGAGAATCGCCTCAGCTATATATCAACGTCTAATCACTAAATGATTCAGAAACTCTAGTTTGTAAAATTTGATTTTGGTCATCAAAGGTAAGATACTCTGAATAGCAAAAAAAAATATCTCATGAATAAAAAAAATAAAGAAAGAAACGGAAAACTAATTCCTTGCACTCATTATTATTATTATCCTAGCACTGAATCAAGATAGATATCAGAAACTCCCTTATCGAGTTATCTAGTAGACTGTAATGAATACAATTGCGAATGGGAAAGAAGAAAGAAGTTTCTGTTATTTATCTGTTTTGTTCTTTCTGTCTTCCTCTTTTATAGTCCGCTGAATTTCTTCGTCTCAAAGAAAAAAATTTTCACTTTTTTTTTCAGTTGAAAATTTTTTTTGTTAGGGCATCGAGTTTAATTGAGGGTAAGTTAGAGGGTTTTTTTGCAAAATTGATTTTGCTGCATTTGAATGGCAATGGTTGGGACACCTGGTCGATACTAGAAAGGGAGACTTCGAGTTTTTATTTTAGGCTAATGATGGCAGTATTGTGGAATAGAAGGTTGGTTTTATTTTTAATAAAGTTTCCAGGGATAAATCATTCAAATTAGGGCCTATCGGTTTGGTATAATGTGTGCCGCAGAGACCAAAATATGTTCAGGTCTTGATTCCATGAAAAGAATGAAAGGTACTACACATGAGGAATGTGTAGTCACGTCTGCAAAAGATTTGCCTGTTCGCTCTAATACGAATATGATGTTTGCTAAATTTGTTCAGGGATTAATTATTGCTGTCACATTCGGAGTATTATATTATAAGAATAATAAATTTGATAAAGACCTTAAAATTTTAAATTACTGTATGTCAATAACTTCAATATTTCAAGCGTTTATACTGATTAATAATAGCAATCATAATCATAGGTTTGAACTGATTTATTCAATATATTTACCTTTTATTTTATCATTTTGCTTTAACAGATCATTGACAATAATAAATACAATATTATCATTAAACGTTATTAATTATAGTTATAAAAATTTTAATAAATCGTTAATTATATTGACCCAGATTTTATGTTGTTATGTCTTTGATGATCATAATATAAATTATTTAATTATTGCAATTTTTATGAATTTTAGTTTATCAGCTTTTTTACAAATGATCGGAGAATTGAAAAGTTTAGATTATGTCGATTGTAATTTGTTTAGTATCCTTCTAACAAATATTTTTTATTTTAATTATGATTCGATTTCTGTACCATTCAGAATCTTACATGGAACTTTATCAGCTTTATTCTACGTTATTATATTTAATTATGTGATATTTAATATAGCCAAAAATTGGTTTAATTCACATAGATATATCCTATCATTGGTTCAATCAAGTGTCATTATTGGTGGATTTCCATTGTTAACGAACTATTTTATTCATATCCCAGAACAAAAATCTCCTTTAGAGTGGTTACTTAATTATATTACAGATTCTCCAATAAGGCAATATATATTTATTGGATGGTTAACCTTAGTGGCAACTTTGGTACCAACATTTATGATGTTTCAATCAAATGTCTCATTAAATACATCAAGAAAGGTATGGCATTTTTTAATCTTTCTGATGATAATAATTCCTTTCAAATATGATTCTGAATTTGTAAAAATTGCATTGGCTGGTATTATTCCATTATTCTTATGTATAGAATACATTAGATATTTAAAACTTGAACCTATGGGTGCTTATCTTGATTTAAAATTAAGATCCTTTGCAGATGAAAGAGATTTGAAAGGTCCGTTAATCATTTCATACATATATTTAATTTTGGGGATATCATTCCCTTTATTAATTTACAATTCTCCAGTAGGTTTGATTAGTTTAGGGATTGGTGATTCCCTAGCATCTATTGTGGGTAAAAAAATGGGCAGGTACCATTGGCCACAAAGTGATAAGACTATTGAAGGTACAATTGCATTTGTAAGTTCAACTTTTATCATTTGTAAAATTTTACAATCTTCGCTAAATTATTTTCAAAATATTTCAACTTTAACAATTGCTATTATGTGCCTCTTATCTGGTATACTTGAAGGTAATAGTATATTAAATGACAATATTTTAATTCCTTCTTTTATGCTAATTTGTGAATATATATTCACTGACTAATTTTATAAATATTTTTATTTTACATTCGCTTATCTTAAATATCAAAATACTATACAATACATTAAGAAAACAATTATACAATTCATGCATATGACATTAAAAAGAAATATATACAATTAGAAGAAAAGATGCACTAGCATCATAATTATTATTAATTTTTCGAAGAAATTTTCAAGTGACTTATTTCTTACCGTTCTTTTTCTTCTGATTCTTGGAAGGTTTCTTATGGTCATCACCTTCGATGAAATCCAATAATTCATCGACAGATTTCTCAGCTAACTTTGGATTAGCTGCTGGTTGTTTCTTACCATGGGATTTCTTACTATGTGGAATCACTGGAGAGTTATCAGCCGCATCTTGATCTTGTTTTAGAATCTTTTGTTGACGTAGATCGTTTAATAAGTTGGTTAAACCATTGATCCATTGTTTGGCAGAAACAGTGAAATGATCATTACTACCTAATTCCTTTGTGAAGACATTTTCAGCATGAACAATATGTTCTAAAGCAGCATTGTATTCCTTTGTTGATGCGCATAGATTACCTAGACGAGACTCAGTGAAACCATAAGCAACATTGTCCTTACCATCTAGGTTAACAATAATTTCAGCCAAGTTGGTTAATACTTCAACAGTCAACTTCATATTACTAGTACCAAGTGCAACTTGTTCCAAATTGTTGAAAATACTTGCAGTAATAGGATGATGGAATTCATTCAATTCGAAAATTGTAGAGATTTCAATAATTCTCTTGTAAATGGAAGCAGCATTTAATGGAGATTCATTAGACAATTCCAAAAGAGCAAGGTTATTTAATGCTCTCAATAGTTCAAACGAATCAATACCATTTGTTCTTTCATAGATGACACAAGCTTTACGACAGAATGCAATTGCTTCAGAAACTAAACCAAGTCTACTGTAAATAGTAGCCATAGATAAGTACTTTTCAGCAACATCAGAATGAACGACACCCTTAACATCCTCTAGAATGGCAATAGATTGAGCCATCAGGGTTAGACCGTCTTCCTTCTTATCTTCAGCAACCAAGGCGGTACCTTGACCCCAGAATTCTTCACTTAGAATAGAATTGTAGTTAGAACTCTTGACTATAGGTATGATGACCATATCGTCCTTGCTAAATGTAGCAACAGGTTCGGTAATCTTGGATCTTATCTTCTTATCTTGGGATTGCTTGTAAGTTTCAAATTCATCCTTTGAGAAGAAGTAGTTTTTGTTGATCAATTGGATACCAAACTTTGTAGAAATTTCTTTGATCATTAGATTCTTATAACTAATGTATTTTTCTAATGTTTCAAGAGATAGATCAGCACGGAAACGTAGCTTGGCCTCCTTGATAATGGATTTAATTAATATGTCACGAGTTACAGAAGAAAATGCATAAGAAGACACTGCATAAAATTCGTCAATATTTTCGGCGTCTGGGGAAGTGTTATAAGTGGATCCAAATAACAGGTTGAAAAAATAAGCGACCATAGAAGAAATGGCTGCAACTGGTAATTCCTTAGCATAAAATCTGAAAATATGTTTCAAAGAACGAGAAATAATTTCGATGTATGCCATACCGATAACTGGTAAAAGTTCATCTTTACCGACAATGACAGGGTCACTCTTGGTGGCCTTTCTAATTTCATTATCATCTAACTTCAAACCTTCGGATAATTCCTTTGGTACGTCTTTACCTTCTTGAACGTATTTATTAATTTTATCTTGTCTTTCTTTAATCATCTTTTGGATCTTTTCTAAGTAGGCAGCTTCCCAGGCTTCATGTTCAGCATTTGAGACCTTAATCTCTTCCAGTCTGTCATCGTGTTTCTTTTCCTGTTCGTCCAACTTAGCTTGTGCGACCTTAATAATCTTACCTAAATAACGAGTGTTGATACCGTTTCTGTGTAGGGTATCTACTAAATGGGAACCAGTATATGGAGCAGTAACATTACCTTCTGCAAAATCATTAATGACACCTGTGATCACATCGTTGTTTAGATAGTCAGATATCTCATCAATTGTCTTATCCTCAATGCCGTCAATTTGATAAGCATCTGGGTTGTAAGTAAATTTACCTTCCTTCCATGCATCTTCCATTGTCAAGTCCTTTTCATCTTCTACCTTTTGGTTCCACCATTTTTCAACTAATTCAGGACGTAATAAGGTTTGTCTGTGTGGGTAACGAGATTCAGCATCAACATTTTCATAATTTTCTCTGATGAAATTAATATCAACTGGGTAAGTACTGGCTAAATCTAAAATATAATGTCTCTTGTCAAAGCCAACAATACCCTTAGATTGAGATGAAAACCAAACATCATTTTCATTTTCCTTCTTTAAATGGAAGACCTTGGAGAATTCATCACCAAGGATTTTGTCAAAGGTTTCATCCTTGACAACTTGTTTAGATGTTTCATCGTAACCATAACTAACAACAATATCATTTTCCAAATCTTTCAAAATTTCTTCACCACTTGCTTCATCCTTGACCACCTCAGAACCCATTGTACCTAGTAAACCTGGTACTGGAGTTTGAGCCAATAATCTCTTACCACCAAAATCAACGATTGTGGTTAATAAATAGCGCACATCTTTTAGGTTAATTCTGTTCAAGATAGAGATAGTTAATAGATCTTGGTTGGAAGCAGCTCTAGCGGCATCATCACCGCCCTTATCAGAATAAGTACCGATTACATCAGTAACATAAGAGTAAAAGATGTTATCCTTTAAAAAGATTTGTTCACTTTCATCGGCATCTGGGTTCATGGCAACCATACTGTTTTGAACGATCAGCATTGCACCGCTTGCAGCAACTCCAGAAAATTCATGAATCAACTTAGCCAATAGCCTCTCAGATTCGATACGTGAAGCAATAGCATCAGTTGGCAAGTCTTTGATTGCTTGAAATTCATCGTTAAAGTTTCTCTCAAGATTTACGATATTGTTAACATAATCTTGCTGCAACTTTGAATAGTCACCACTATTAGATGGAACATTAGAGATCAACCATGGCTTATGTAGGTAAGCTGTTTGTGGTTTAACATAAGACGCATTTTCCATGGTAGCCAACTTACTGTCTAACTTTTCAATATGAGAAGTGAAGTTCTTAGAATGGGCAGCCAACAAGTCAAACAAACTATAGAAAGTGGTCTCGACTTGGTGTGGTTCATGTTTACGTCCGTGGCTTTTGTTATCCGAATCTTCGTCGGTCTTTGTTTTCAATGATGGATCAAATTTACTGTTAGAAGATTTATTAACATAGAATCCAGCTGGTGTAGCGGTAATATGTAGACTTTCGCCTTCTAAAGTGACAACTTGCAAGTAAAGTAAATGGCCTTTGGTCTTGTACAATGCTGGAACAGGATTGTATTGAGACAGGTTCAGGGAACGAACACAAGGTGTAATAAGAGCTGAGCTTGTTGTGAAGAATTGTTTTAGGGAAGATTCCTTTTGGGATTTGAAGATTTCACGTACCATCTTGGCTGTAGCTTCTTTTTCTTCATCGGTGACATCTAAAAAGTGGCCTTTCTTTTCGGTCTCTTCACCCTTTTCAGTCTCTTGCTTCTTGGCAGCTTCTTCTTCTTCCTTTCTCTTCTTTTCTGCCTCTGGATCCTTCTGTCTAATTTCAGAAAGGTTCAAAGATTCATATTTGGAGCCAGTGGAGATGGCAAATTCGGATAAACTATCTTCAGTTTCAGAACTGAAACCGATTAAGTCACGAACAATAACGGAGTGTCTTAGGGATTCTCTGTAACTGTATGGTTTCAATTCAACAGAGATATCAACTGGAATATCCTTTTCAACTGCCTTTTCAGAGGTTAACTCAGCAAGCACTTGCTCATCATTTAACACAATATCATTATGCTTCAATTGGATATTAGTTAAAAATTTAGTTTGTTTGGCAACTGCTAAAACATCAAGTACAGTTTGAACCTTTGAGTCCTTGTTGAACTGTAGGGATAATTTCTCTTGTGTTGGCGCCTTCTTACCGTGGTGTGCATGCACGTTAGGTAACTTGATGTTCACTTTAATATTAATATTAGCCTCGGTGGAAGACATAATGGTATATTAAATTATAAAAAGTAATTACTTTCCTTCTTGTTATTTCAGAGTGTTTCAAACAGGCAATAATCTCACGGATTTGGTATTATTGGTTGAGATATATATATATATACAGGTTAGTGAGAAAATACCGTTTCTATATATCTTGTCAAAATAATTCAGAGGGTCGGTAGTTTACTTTGAGAGAAAATAAACCTAAATTGGTTTACAATTACGTCTATTAATGTTTTATAATGGAATCGCCACTTAAACTGTGTATATTAAAACATTGAATGGCAATTGGTCTATCCCAATTCAGGCATCTTAGTTCTCACCCTTCGTTGCTTCGAAGGGCGTCAGTTCTTTGCGACGAATAGAAAATGAGAATGACGCACTGCGTTTTCGTAGAACATGATATGACTCTGAAGTTGCAGAATATATGTATGGATATATAAATTAGTGACAGACATCTTATTTACCATTAATTATAGTATTTGTCATGATATCATTGATTAGCAGTTGTTTGCATTTCTTGGAAATCTTGGAATTAAAAAATACGATATTCCTGTCATTATATATTATATTTGTATCATTTCTCATATAAATTTGAGTATCTATAGATTTTTACACTACAGTGATCCCCAGTGAATAAAACTGTTAAGCAACCCCGTTCAATTTTGTAAAAATGAAGTGCTTTATATTGATTTAAAATGTTTGGTACAGGTATATCTTGAAATCCCGACTGAAAATATGTATTGTCCAAAGACTAAGTTTTTTACTTGCAAATTGAAGTAGTAAGCGTATAAAAAATAAACCAATTAGCTATTTAGTGTAAATAAATATTGTTGCAGGTTAAAAGAAAAGATCTAAATCCTTTACAATTATCAATTGGCACTATTCTGGAGGCTGCAAAAAATGGCAAAAAGAAACTCCGATACGGGGAGTCGAACCCCGGTCTCCACGGTGAAAGCGTGATGTGATAGCCGTTACACTATATCGGATATTATTCTATATTTGGGACAGTTATATTATGGTATATAAATATATTATAATTTTCATTTAAAACTTTTTTTAGTAAATATTTATTACAAAGCCTGAGCATTGCAACAGGTAATGAGAGCTACCAAACTAGGTCATGCTTTAAACAGCTATAAATATTATACTTACACTTTAAAGCCTTCAAAATTATAGAATTCAACCCCATCAACTATACATGTACTAGAATATACTACAATATTCAATGTACGTTGTACTAATTATTGGAGTAGATTTCACCATTAGTTCATATATCATTTTGTTTAGTTATGCATGAGTTCAATTAGGTTAGGATCCTGAAACAATTTTTATTTTTTTAACTAGGTAAAAATACACTCTACATAAATGTTTACACTTAATATGGGACAAGTATAATCATCATCATCATCATCATCATCATCATCATCATCATCATCATCATGTTTCCTATTATCAAAATTAAAATATATTTGTTTAAGAAGTTGGGTTATTAGCTCAATCCTAGATAGGTTATTCCATACATGATGTTATAGAGTGATTAAAAAAGTTAAACTTTTGATGGTGTTAAAATAGAATTGCTAATTATAGTTTGCTAATCCTTTATACAAAACTCCGTTAGACAAAACTGCTTCAACTGCGCACTTTGTACGTGGACAACAGCAGATACCACAATGTCTATTACAAGGGAGTATATCATGGTGTCAACTTCTTTGCTTATTCGAAAATGCACTATCTCGGCGATGAGTAATGGCGCGGGAGATAATGGAAAGAAGTTAGTTTTTAATGGAATATAATATTTTGGATTAAATTATTTGTGTTACATATGCAGGTATTAGATATTTTGTTGTAAAATTGATTATGATCAGACGTTCAGTCGATATTAAGTAGAATAATTTATTCATATTCTTATTATTATTTTTTTATTGATTTTCTTTCGAGGATTCTTTCCGTGATTGACTCAGAGGAACATCACTAGATTCCTTCAATCTTTGTTTCTCCAGGAGTGATTTTAAAAACATTTCTTTAACTTCCTGTTTCTGTTTCACCCATTCTTCAGCTTTTCCTAAAGTTGAATCCACAACATCCATTACATTCTGGACCATGTCAAGAGACTCCTTTGCGAGAATCAAAACTTTACCATTCGCCGTCAGGTTACTATCGGTACCTCCACTTGTAGCAGAAGAACTCCTTGCATGATTGATTTTCTGATTTATATCTTCAATGGACAAACCGTTTGGAGTTCGTATGCTGGTGTTTATATTAGTATTCGTCGAATCATCAGATGAAGTTGCAGTTGAACCATCATTCATTGGGCTTCCAGAAGTATTACTAGCACTCAAAAACCAATTTGTTGGTAAGTTCAATAAGCTTTCTCTAACTTGTGATCTTGCCGGTTCTGGTAATGAATCACCGGTGTAGCTTGAAATCAAAGAATATACTTTTTTAATAGTTCCTACCACTTCCATCTTAATAACAGTAGATTTCTCATCAAAATCATTAGAATCAAACGCATCAAAAAATTCTTCATCTTCGTCAGCGCCATAGTAATCCTCTTCAGCATCAGTCTCGCTACCGCTGCTACTTTCACTGGTCTCTGATACCTTTTTATCATATGTTGGGGGAACGCCATCTGTTTTGTTGGTTTGTGGTTCGTCATTATTGGACGATTTAATTGTCTGAGTATTACCACCACTGATTGTAGATGCTCTTTGACGCTTGTAACGATGTACACCATGCCTATCGTGTGAATTAGTCAACGTCCTACGTCTCCTCCTTGGAACTGTCTGTTCTTCCTTCACCATAGCTTGTAAATTCATCACTTTATCCGATAATTGCTTATTTGCCAATTTTAAAAGATGTAGACAAGTTATCAATCTTTTTTTAGATTCGATGGACATATTCAATTTGTATTCTTTCAGATTATCTCTTGTTGTTTGAAGAGCTTCGGAAATAATTTTTCTTTTCGATATTCTTTCTTCTTCACTTTCTTCCTCATTTTCATCTTGACGTGGTAAGTTTGTATTATCAGAGTCTTCTAACGTTGGAGGTTCCATATTTTCTTCTTCTTCACCATTGTTAACTTCATTGACGTCCTCCTGTTGTAATTCATGAATGTCCTCCTTTGTTTCTTCTTCTTCTTCTTCTTCTTCTTCCTCGTCATCACTACTACTTTCACTATCATCTTCTGAACTAGTATAATTATCCTCGTATGCATCATCTAATAATCTTGCAATTGATGCTACCCTCTTCCTATCATTGAAGTCATCATAAAATGTAACTACATTACTCACCATTCGATTCAATAATGTACCCGAATGACCTGTAATATTATTACGTGGTTTAACCACCCTATTACTCTCCATAGTAGATTCATTCGTACTATCACTTATACTTCTTCTTCTCTTAGATGAATTTGAAATATCATCATTTAATGCATTATTATATTTTGGTTGTGATTTCTTTAGTACACCTAGTACTTCAGCAGCTTTCAAGTCCTCTTCGGACATCCCAGGATGTTCTCGTAATCCCATTATCTAACTAGATTGTGCTTATAATCTCACGGGCTAAATGGTATGAATTATGATAATAATAATAATAATAAAATGGATGCAATGTGTAGTATATCTCTCTTTACCAATTCTACTCTAAGAAATAAATAAAAAAATGCAAATAATTTCTTAGTAATTTTCTACCAATACGCAAATGAGAAAAAAGAATATCTATGTATAAATATATATATATATTTGGTTAAAACCACGACACACTTACTTACACTGAATATAGTAGTATTGGAGAGGAAAGTGGTCTGTAGTATTATACCTTCCAACAGCCAACTTTCTTATTGCCATTTATAAATGTTTACTTATATATATTGAAAAATAAAAAATGCATATGATTTATATAATATTTGTTGTTTTTTTTCCTTTCGCAGTCAACATTCGCTCCGTTTTGGCTGAGCATGTGAAAAATAAAGATCACTCTTTCTCACTCTCTATAAGGTGAACCAATGAGGACAATCTTCTAAGATCAGATCGGATCATCGTTTGGACTTGCCCTGTTTGGGGATTTGTGATCCACATGGCGCTAGGCATGATGGTGGGTGAGATGTGGGTTCGAGCACCTCGACTAAGATGCGAATATCATGATGAGGGAACCTATATTGCGTATGCATATTCTTCATCGTTGATAGCCTTGTAACGGACCCATGGAAACGATTGATATTGTAGTTGCGGTTCCTCAATCTTTAAGTATTCGATGTTGATACCACTCAAGGTTGAGTATGGGATCTCAAAGTTGATATGCAGTAGTTGTGTTTTTTCTAATTCTCTTTTATCTTGTGCAGGAGTCTCTTTAGTAACATCATGATCATCTCCATGTATTTGTTGATATATTTCTTCTAATTTAATACCTTCCACCAAAGGTGGTGGATTCATCGAGGTACGTAATTCTTCTTGCTTTCTGTCGTATTCCTCTTGATTAAATAGTGCAAATTCTACAACCATCGATAATTGATTCTCTCCATGACCACCTTTCATTGCACCAATCTCCCATAATAAGAAATCATCGCTTACATTAAATAAAACTTTCCCTTCATCACATTTAGATTTAATGTTTTTACTCAAATCTATTTGATATTTTTGAAATAATTGTTTTAGTGGAATTTGTAAATTTAATTTTGATGTGACATTTGTTGGTTTAAAATGAGATTCTACGCTACAATGTATTTGTAATTTAAATTTATTCAATTTTTGTTTTAATTCAAATTTATTTAATTTGATAATTGGTTGATCACGTACATGACGTTTCAATTCATATGAACATAAAATAAAATCACCATCTGGTGGTATGAAAGTAATCTCTTTGCCTTCTTCGATGGACTCTAAAGAGACACATTGGTGAAATTTACAACTTGATAAAAATTGTTTATCTTTGTTTAAAATCTTATTTATTGAAACATGCAACTCTGGCATCCCAGATAAAAATGATTTGCAAACAATTTGACCATGTATCGTATTTTTTCTAACTGTTTGACTATCATAATCCATATAATATTCAATCTTCTCTACAACATCCAAATAAAATTCATTCTTAGCGTAATGGATCCCTTTCGTTCTCCAAGAAATAGCCATCACTGTAGTCTTCGCAATATCACTATTCATAAATGTATCATCAAGTTCATCATCATTATCTCCTCCCTCAATATGTCCATCATGATCATTATCATTATTCCCAAACGTACCTTTTTTCTTTTGATCACGTTTCCACGTTTGGACAACTTTCTTAGTCAAATGACCTAATTCTCTCTTAGTAGTACTCTTATGACGATGCTTTAATTTACGTCTTTGTTTTTGAACTTTTTTTCTTCCTTCATCACTCTCACTACCAAACATATCATCCTCATCATCAAACTCAGATTGATTCTTTACACCACCGAGTTGCAATCTTTTGTTCTTTTCATCAATCTCTGGTACATTAGTTTTCACACGAATATAATCTTTAATTAGTCCCGCATCAGTGACTTGAATAAACCCAAAATCTATACTTTCATCTAGTAATTCCATCACTAAAATAGGATTGTCTAATATTAAATTCTTGTCTAATACTTTAACAGTAAAATAATTTTTCAACAACAGATAGAATTGTTCCAAATAATGTAATGTCTCCATAATATCAACTGTATTATCTACCAAACTGACAAAAAATAGAGAGTCTCTTCGTATGTAAACATAAGAAAAACCCTGGTACATATACTCAAAGGTATCATGATTCCCTCGTATCACTGGTGGAGAACCTGGATGATATAATTTTTTAAATTGTGCAATAGGGAGATCTGTAGATGGTAAAGCCCTTATATTCCTTGAGATTAACGGCTCAAGGTTCTCATTCAGTATATACAATATGGAAGACATAAACGAACAACAACGAATAACTTAGATGCAGAAAAAAAGGAGAAATAGACCTTACGTAATGATTAGCTTGTATATAATTGCTCGAACGTAACTCCCTTGGTTTGCTTACCGATTGACAGCAATTCTTCCCAAATTTCTACTTGAAATTAAAGTGACAATTTTCTATAATTGTTTTGCTACAAAATAATCATTCGCGGATACTAACCTAAAAGAATAATAAATAACCTATAAATCATCATCAAAAAGAAGATAGGAACAATGTGAATTAAAGTAAAGTTGAAGTATTCAGGTAACATAAGTGATCCCGCTAATTCTCACAATTATGTATAACAAGTCATTGCGAGTAAATGCAGTTAAAGTGGGATTGAAAGAAGTGAAGGGCCTCTTGGTAGATAATGCACCCTTATCGCAATGGCAAATAAGGAACAACGATTCAAATCTAGTTAGAGAATGTACTTTCAAGACGTTTGAGCAAACATGGGGATTTCTTACACAGGTATCGATGAGAGCACATCTTTGGGGCCACCATCCCACAGTTACAACAACTTACAACAAGGTCAGGATAGAGTTAACCACCCATGATATTGCCAATGATTCAACTGATCTGAGTAATTGTGGTGCAATAAGTGATATTGATATCAAATTAGCAAAACAAATCGAAAAGTATCTAGAACTTTACAAATCTGAAGAATAGATTCCGAGTCTTTGTTTCAAAATAGGACACTATTTTATTGCGATGTGTGCGTAGGTGGGGGAGTACGAATTAAGATTTATGTACATATGAATAAATAAAGTTGTTTGGAACCAATACGATATATGAACTAGATAGTTAATCTAATATTGTTAAAGATATATCAATGCTGGTTCCTTGTTATAGTGTGTTAAATAATGCTGCTCTCCTTCCTCTAGGCGGAGCTCTCCTTTGAAGACAACTTCTTCTCTAACTTATCAAACTCTTTCAAGGCGATCTCTTGTTCAGGGTCAATGATCTGGATGACCTCATTAACTTCATCGACATAATGTTTCAACATAGATTCAATACCATACTTCAGAGTAACTTCACTACTGGAACAAGATGTACATGCACCTTGTAATTTCAAATATACTGTACCTGTCTTTGGATCCCATCCACGATAGTCAATATCACCACCATCTTCCATAATGGCAGGTCTGATTCTTGTATCAATCAGTTCGTCAATCAACTCACTGATTTCTTCTTCATCTTCCGTATAGTTAAACTTTGGTACGTTAATATTATAACCACCATCCTTTAATTCTTGTGCACCTTGGAATTCCGATGAGACGACGTCTTCACCGGAGTTTAGATGAGTTGTTAGGATTTCAATAACTGTTGGAGTGATTTGGTTCCAATGAACCATTGAATCTTTGTTTACAGTAAGGAAATCATCACCAATCATCAAGGTTTCAACACCAGGACATTGAACAAATATAGTTTCAGCTAACTTGGAATGAGCAAGCAACGTCTTATCTGTATTCTTGATGACAATACTCTTAGAGCCACGTGGTTGTAATAGCTCTCCATCCTTGGAAAGATATTTCAGAGCATTATCATTTGGTGTTGTTAGGGTCTCGATATGTAACAATCTTCTCCATAGCGGTGAGCTAACGGCCGGCCTCTGGCTTCTTAGTAAAGATGGTCTTGCAAAAACAGTTCTCAACATTTATTTTCTGTTTCTATATATTGGCTAGATTGGTCTGTCTAAATATTGAACCAAAAGGGTATCCTTCCACTTATAATCGTATCTGATAGATTCACAACTGTCAACAGATGAGTTTTTAGTAATTAGTAATCACTCTGTCTCTTTCCACTTCTTAGGTATAGTGAGTGACTCTTTCTCGCTGCTATTTCGCTTCGCCAGTAAAAAATTCGGATTTCAAGCTGTCACTTTATATAGAATGTCAGTATTAAATTTTTAGAACAAGTTTCTTGATATTTAAATTAATGTATAAAAGAACTAAGGTAAGTGGTATATACTCACATCATTCACGGTTGAGTCATGGAATATTGATGACTGTTAGTTAATGACGGGAAATGCCGTTGTAATTATATTTTTTTTGTTTTAGTAGGTTTCTGCGTGTTTTTTCTTCTTGATTTTTGTGAGATTAACTTATATGTCAATTTTAATTAATCGATTTGTCAGCAAAGGTTGACATTCGCATAAATTCCGTGTGAATTAACGTAGCTGCAACGAAAGAGAGAGAGAGCCATAAGAACGTTAAACGGAAAGAGAGAAATGGAATATGAACAAATTAATATTACTCATTCAAGTAAATCAAATGAGGTGGAATTATCTTATTTTATTAGTGATTCATGTATATATCACGTCATCAATACCACGATTTCGTTGAGATTCGATGTTATGAATTCTAGCACTTATTTGACTCTTAACAATATGAAGTTCTTCTGGATTAGAATTTTGCCATTCTCTTAGTTTATATGTTTGACCAGTTAGATCCCAATATATCCCACGTAATGTAGTATAGATACCATGTCTACCTTCCCATAATGGGAATAAAATAACACAAAAGGCACTTATGAATAACCAAATAATTTGAACAACAACCCAGCCAGTGAAGAACTTTTTACTGAAAATATAATGAGATCCATACATTGGCATTGGCCATATTAATAAGAATGCAAATGCGAAAAATATACAAAGACCATAAGCAATTTTAAGACTCCTTGCCAATGCTTTTTTTTCCTTTTCAAGTTCTTCATTTAATTCTTCAGGAGTTTCCTTTTGTATACTACTTAATATGGTTTTAATGGGTTTAATCTTACTCTCAGAAATTTTCAGATCTTGTTTTTCTTCATTTCCTGAATCACTTGAGTCCTTATTAAGTTGTTCAGAACTATCATTAGAAGGAACAGATTCTAACCCAATGATTTGTTCCGAATCTTCTTCCTCTTGTAATTCCGCTAATTCTTCAGATTCATCAGCTCTCTTGATACTTTTCAAAATTTCCCAATCGAATCTTTGTGGTTTGAACACGTACGTTAAGATTGGGATTGTTATACATGGTGAGCATAAAGCAACAACATTACCTGCTAACATTGGATAATCTTCAAAAGTTGTATCGATAGTTAATTCTTTGAATAAAGATTTAGTACAAACTAACCATGACATAATTGCTAACCCTGTACCTAAAACAGGAGAACATATCACAGCGATTCTATTTTGTTGTCTCCAACAAAGAGTTAAGACGACCGGTACCACCGCACTAGAGATAATAATACCCATAATTTCATAGATATAACCCATACTAACATAACCGTATGTTAACCCAACTGAAAATCCACTCATTGCTACACCAAATGTAAAACATGCGATATGAGAAGAATAAATTAATTGTTTACCCGATGCCTTAGGGTTGAAATATTCTCTGTAGACATCATAAGTGAAGACAGATGCAACACTAATAACTTCTGCGGCAACACCACTGGTAATAGCTAAGAAAACCATCAATAAAGTGGCAACAGCCCCACCTTTACCCATCACTGATACAGCTGCAGCAGGTAATACCAGACCTTGACTAACTTGGTATGAACTCAAAGGATCTGGATATGTTGGGAAACTTGGATCATGTTCTGTAGCTAAACAAGCAAATCCCATAGTCAATGAGATCAAGAAAGGAATAGGCATCCAGGCTAAACCACCCATAACATAAGCGGGTAAAGTAGCAGCAGGAGATGCAGAGATTGCTTTATTCCAGTAACCATTATCTAAGAACACAGTTCCAAAATTACCAACTAAGTTAATGACTAAAAATATACCAGCAGATTTAGATTCCATTGTCATATATTCACCTTTATAATTACCTGATACAGGTGATCTCTTTGCAGCTTCTCTAACCAAATCATAAACTTTACCTGGAGACCCTAATAAATCACTAGTTGCATATACTCTGAATGCAAAGAAAAGTACAATAATAATAATTGCACATGTATGGACATAATCTGTTAAAAATGTCGCTCTAATACCACCAAACATTGTATAGATAACAACACCCAAAGGTAAAAGGAATGCTGCAGCAATGGAATTCATACCTGTTAAATCACTAAAGACAGCAGAACCTGAGGTTAAAAGCATTGCTGTTACTAGGACATTTGTAGCAAAAGCATAGAAAAGGTAAACACAATGAGCCAATTTACCATATCTACACTTAATAATCTCTAAATATGTATGTGCATTTGGTGCTTTTTGTTTAGTCTTAATTGCTAAAATTGAGAATGCAATAATTTGAAAACTTGCACCTGCAGAGTAAGAGTATCCCCCGAATATACCTGTACCGTACTCTTTAGCACAAGAAGTTAATAATGTAGAAGCCCAAACCCAACTTGAAACAACAGCAGATGATACCAACCCTGTCTTTACTGTTCTACCAGCGGTAGTAAACTCTTCGGCAGTCATGATTTCTTTCTGGTAACGCCTTAGCATACGAGTAGTAGCAATCATACCGAACATAAATACGGCACCAAGACCGACAATAATAGCATATCCAGCACCTTGAGGAAGGATAGCTTTAAATTCACCCATAATTATTTGTTACAATTATTTATCCTTTTTTTTAATGAAGGTTTAAAATAAATAAATATATAATTTATGTTTAATTTCAGTTAGTCTTGAACAGGAAGAATTTTAAAAATTCAATAAGTTAAGGGAAAAATACTCCGACCAAGAAGAATATTAATCATGAGAAGAGTAAGATATTTATATGTTTAATGAACCAACCATTTCAGAATTAAAAAAATAAAATTTTTACATCAGATGAGTTACTTGTGTTCTTGGAAACTTTAAAATGCTAGGTAGATCTACGTGTGAAGCAGCCGTGATTAAATTAATCTAAATTTTAAAAAAAAATAACTAAAAGGCATCGAATAAAGGGATCTTATGTACAAGTTATTTCCTAAATTAATAACAAGTGGCAGGACAAATTTGCGCTTGATATCAAAATTTCGATAAATCCAGTTGTTGTTGTTTGGTTTTTCCTTATCACGTAAGGCTTTCAGCAAAAAGTATATTTATTGATAAAATGAATCACAAGAACAATATTTTCCTGTTAATTAAGTACTTTTATTATTATTATTAAGGCTACGAGAGTCATCACAAATGAAAAAAAGTGTCTTATCGAAAAATATGTAAATGTATATTCATAATAATTTTTCATTGTAATTATTATTACAGGTATTTTTCTGATGTGACACATCATTTATGTCGCACAAATTTGCGTTTTTTGATAACCAAAAGAGATTACTTAGTTGAAATATGCGCTATCCTCAGTGCAGCATTTCTTTTCGTATCTAATTCAATTTATGTAGAAAAGTAACGACGCAATCCTATCATATTCAAGTTAGATAATGGGAAACGAAGAAATCAAGTTAATTTCCGTACAAAATAACTTTTTTATTTCATTAGTGTTAGCAATCAGTGACAAATCATCGAAATGGCGTGTTACTAAAGAGATCTATCTTTCTCCTTCCTCATTTGTGTATAATGGCAGTATTATGTGTCTTTATTACTGATAAGGTTCCCTAATTAAGAGATAAAAAGAGAATATCGTTTCTTATCTAATCAAATGGGGAGTTCTTCGAGGTCAGGTCACTCTCTGCGGCTGTTTCATTGTGCAAATATCACATCTACCCAAATTTCTGTTTTCGCGCTGATAAGAAATTTGTTTTTTTGCATTTGCTGGCACAGCTTGAATCGTTTAAAGTGATATAGCTCTCGGGTATTTTGGACTTCAACATCCGTGCATCCTTTCTCGTGTTGCATTAGTACACCCGTTAGTTTACAATTTTAATTTTCCGGAATTTGTTTTTTGAAAAATAATCTTTGAGGGGGTTAAACGTAATTTTGTACGCAGAAACCATGTGTTGGCTGAAACATTTTTTGACGAAATTTTTCAATTTTCAAATACACTTTGGGTTTTGGTAGACCTCTACCATTGCAACAGCAGTTCTATACCTAGTTACTATCTGTAACGGTTACCTCTCATTTTACAGAATATTCTCCGGTGACATCTTGCTTTCTCTTTCATGCATGAGGTAAGGTAAGTTTCAAGTAATTAATTTAGCAACTATTTTAATATCGTATCACACTATTTATTTTCTTAAAGTTATATATAATTCTTATTATAAGAAAACCAGAACCCCAAAAGACTACAAAAAGGTATATTATTAACAATGTCTGACTTCAAGAAGGAAAACGTCGAGGAACAAGAACAACCTCAAATCATCAAGATTAGAATTACTCTAACCTCTACTAAGGTTAAGCAATTAGAAAATGTTTCTTCTAACATTATCAAGAATGCTGAACAACACAAGTTGATCAAGAAGGGTCCAGTTAGATTACCAACTAAGGTTCTAAAGATCTCCACCAGAAAGACTCCAAATGGTGAAGGTTCCAAGACCTGGGAAACTTACGAAATGAGAATCCACAAGAGATACATCGATTTGGAAGCTCCAGTTCACATTGTTAAGAGAATCACTCAAATCACCATTGAACCTGGTGTGGATGTCGAAGTCGTCGTTGCCTCTAACTAAGCTTGCTCTTAGTTTTTAACAACTAGACGCGTTAACTTCTTCATTTTGCTTACTCTTTCAATTCAAAAAAAACCATTATTAATGAGTGATTCTCAATTTTAGTATATTCGTTTGATTTCCTTTTTAATAAAAAAAACATTAAACGTGCTTTTGATACAAATAAGATGACTAACCCACTCTAGGTAAACACAGTTTCCCAATATACCTCTGTCTTACCATCAGTGGTTAAATATCAAGAACAATTCATAATTAAACCCATTTTTTTGTTAGTTTCATTTTTGGTATCTGTCTACAAGCTGTTTTTTTATTTTTACTTTTGTATATTTAACTATATGTAATAGTGCACTATTTAGTAAACTCAAATAATATATTGACATTATTGTCCCGTTATAAGTCATAGTTTTTATTTTATGTAAGTTCCTAGATTGGCTAGCCCTAATCAATATGTTAACTACATTTAAGAACTTTGCCCATCGTGTTTTCTGCTGTTTTTTTTTACACTGTGAGATGATGGATGGATGGATGAATACTTCGCAAAAAAATTCAAACATTTGAAAAAAAATTTTACTATATAAATGTCACGTAGACTGCAATAATTTTTTTTAACTTCTTAATGAGAAGGTTTCTTATGATACAGAGATCAAACCAAGTAAATCATATGGTAAGAAAGTGTGAGAAATCATTTCAGTTAAGAAGGTTCTTAATTTTTATCGAAAAGATTTCACATATATATTCTCTTTCTTTGATTTATATGTCTTCTATTTGTTTTTGTTTATGATGAAAAAATGTCCTTAGTGACACGCTATAAACCCAGCTCTTCGATTGTATTTCTTATGAAATATTTACAGGAGAATAAATTTTTGTCAAATGCTCTGATATCATCAAAACTTTATAGAAAGTGTGTGTTTTTGTAGTATTGCGAACTTGTTTTGTAAATGGGAATACGTGTTTGGAAAAAAAAAATTCTTATGAATATTTATCTTATTTATCTTTCATTGTATTTAAATATTTACAGTTAGTTGAAAGAGAGTATATTAATTATTTTGTTTTACCTCCTGCAGCTACAAAAAATGGAATATCTTCATCTTGCATGATGTAATCTTTACCAACACGTTTTATAATAGCCTTGGCCTTCAATTGAGAAAGATTTAATGGAGGTTCATAATCCTTAATCTCGTCATATTTAATAATATTAGCGCTAATAAAAGTTTGTTGTAAATCTGTATGGATAACTCCTGCTGCTTCCTGTGCCGTTGATCCAACACGTACATTCCATTGTTTTACCATTTCTGGTCCACATGTATAAAATCCAATTAACCCTAGAGCACTTTTCATCTTTGTAATAATATCAGGTAAAGAACTATTTAAATGTAACGTTTCATCCTTTGTTAGATCTAAAGAGTCTTGATAATAGGTTTTGATATTCTCGAAATTACCTTTATATTTGTTAAATTGTGTTTCAAAATCCGCACTGAATGTAACAATTTTATCCAATGGTGCAAATTGATCTCTCCATTCTTTGATTTCTCTCAAATTTGAGATATTCTGAGTGATGTAATCGTGGGCGCTCAAATTTAATAGAACTAATGATGGTTTTGCAGTTAAAAAATTATATTTATTAAGAATATCTACATCTTCTTGAGTCCAATCTTTTTTGAAATTTATAATTTTCTTCCCATCATAAAGATGATTTTGTAAATCTGTTAATAAATCTCTTTCGTGTTGTTCATTTATTTTATCTTTAACATTTTTTGAATTTTTACCTAGTCTCTCTAAATGATCTAAAGAACTTTCTAATTTATCCATATCCTTTAAAATTAATTCATCCTGAACAATTTCCATATCTCTAATAGGGTTTACACCACCTTCTAAATGTGTTACATTATCATCCTTAAATGCTCTCACAAGGTGAAAGATACCATCTACGGACCCAATATCATTTAAAAACTTATTCCCTAACCCCTTCCCTCGAGAGGCATCTCTTGTCAACCCTGCAATATCCCAAACAGTTAATGTTTCATTCTGAATTTCTTTTGCTTGGTATAAATCTTTTAATTTCTCTAGATGAGGATTAGGAATTTTCAATAAAGCTTGTGATGGTTTGATTGTAGCAAAAGGGTAATTTGCGGGATTCCCTAATTTTGAATCTGTAATAGCTTGAAAGAAAGTAGATTTCCCGATGTTAGCAAGACCTACGATACCGGCTCGAAGGTTATTGGTGGGTCTTCCAAGTAACATAATTTGGTTAGTGTGGGGTTTTTTCCAACCACTAAAGAAAGAAAGAAAGAAAAGGGGAAGATCCTTGTATAATAAAGATTATCACTATTGTTTTTTTGTTTACTTGAAGTAGTAGTTTTGACCAAATTCTGAATTTTTTTTGTTTATGTGACGATCTATAACTTTCCCGTATTCCAAATAAAAAAAAAAAAAATTACAGGAACCATTTCTCGAATTATTAATTAATATCAATTAGAAGTTATGCTAGAAAAAAAGTATTTAGGTATATATATATATATATATTTAAAATCAATTAATTATATCATGCAAGGAGTTATAATGTTCACCAAGTGAGTAGCTATGCTTATAATAAACAAGTTTCAATTCGGGTAATTTCCCATTTTCATTAAATTTTTGTTGTGGTCTGTCACTAAACATAATAGATATCGGACAATCGAATATTTTTGATAAGGCCAGGATTTCAATTTCACCACCCCATTTAGCTGTAGTTTCCATTTCTTTAGTATAATCATCAATATCTTGAATTTGCATAGTTGTTTCATCAAACAAATATGGTATAAAATCATCTTTGTGTTCACGAATATAATCGCAGGACACGGATCTTAGCTTATATATATCATAATCTGGATAAATTTTTAAAAACTCTGAGTGTCGTGTTTGTAATTGGTCTAATATTGATGCAAACAAACAATGACCATCCGGTTTAATATCAAATTGATTAACTTTATTTAGTTCACAAATTTTATCAATGGCGTCTTGTTCGATTTTTTGTAAATTCGGTTGAACTGCAGCTTCCTTCCTTGCTTCTTCTTTCATTTTAGCAATTTCTGCATCTCTCTTAGCCAGTTTCTCCTTCTGTCTATTTCTTCTCTTCTTTGGTTGTTGTTGTTGGACAACAGGCACAGACTCTTCTTCACTAATTGACACTTGAGCCAGCAGTTGCTCGGGAGTCACTTCATCTGCGTCCACCCCATCCACTGCTCCATTCAACTCCGCTATTTCTTGTTCCTGTTTAGTTTTCAGATCCATTTGTAACTGTTCACATTTCGCCACTACTTGTTTCCTCGAAGACTTCGTTGCTTGTTTCTTCATCCCTGTAATTTGGTTCTGCAAATCTTTATTCTGCTTACGATGTGAAGCTAATAGTTCCTCCATTATGCGATGCTGTTCTTCAGTGTCTTGTCCTCCTCCACTATGTCAGAACTGATACCAAACTTTTTTCTTTTTTTAATTATGTAACTACAAACAAATACATGTATGTGAAAAAACTAGAGAGTAGTCGCTTATGAAATACTTTTTCATTCATCACCACCACCTGAAAATTCATCGATCGCGCGCGAAGCCAAAAAAAACAAACAAACACAGGCGTGTAATGTTAGGTCCCTTTGCGACGCACTACGGTAATGGTGTCAGTAATTATTACAAAATTGGAATACTGCTATTGTTAGACAAATCTCTCATTCATAGAGTATACCCATTTTCAAATCATATCACATAGGTATACTGTGCAGATAACCGGGGGTTTCTCTTATTGTTGTCCATTTTACCAACGCATGCACACACACACACACACACACACACACACACACACACACATACTCTCTCTCTGGTATACGTCTGTGTTCTCTGCTACCCCAAAAAGCAACACAACAACAACAACAACAGCAACCTTTGCTGGGTATCCCAATGCGGATCTGATTCGTATAATCAACCCAGACGATCCTGCCCACTGCGCATCTGCCCCTCCCCCACACCTTCCTTCCTGGCTCCCACCTCTCCATCGATCGCAGTTCGGCGTATTTCTCGTCGTTTCAGCCGGCAGAGTGCAACTGCGTGCCACTGGGCGCCACTGGGCGCCACTGGGTGCCACTGGGCGGAAACCTGGAGAAACCAGTTGCCACGCTTATTATCCGAGAGAGGACCGGAAGAACGAAACCGCCTGGGCTGCAACCGCGTGGGGAAGAAGGTACGCGCCCACACACGAAAGGCGAAGTGTGGAGAAGCTGGCGGACCACAGCGCCCCGGCCGGTGAAAATATTCATGTTTCGCCGAATGCGTTGCTGGAGAGAGGAGAAAACGACCGGCCCAGAGAAGCGCACAGACAACCGGCTTGTTTCTGTCTCTGTTTCTCTCCGTGGGCACCTTTCCTTTCGGGCCCCCCCACAAACATACACCATGCCGGCATACATTACCCCGGCGGGTCCTGCATGCGTTGTTGTGGAAAGGGAAGGCAAAGGGAGAACGAGAGAGAGGGAGATCGGGCGATTGTCTGCCGAAACTTGTGTTCTTGCGTGCTTTTCATAGCACATCGATTGTGGAAGCACTGGGCTTTTTTTTCTTTTTTCTTCTCTTCCTTCCCCGGAGGCCACATCGCCGAATCCCTTCGAGCTAGTATGAAAATTTTTGTTCCCAACCCATTGGTGTCACAGTATCCATTAAGAGAAATTATATTTGTATATATACAAGAAACAATAATAGATAAAAATGGTATCTTTCGAAAAGAACGTATACTATTAGATCTTTGAGTCGACTGATTGAACAGCATTAATATAATATTAACGATACACTCCCGCCCTGCCCTGGAATATTTTTTCATAACATATCTAGAAGAACAAAAAAAAAAGATGCCAGGTATTACTAAACCAAATCATGAAAAGAAAATGAAACAAGCCTGTGACGAATGCCATAAACGTCGGGTACGTTGTGCGTATGACTCACATAGAGGCCAATGCAATAGTTGCGAACGTTTAGGTGTGACATGTGCTTTTCTTAGAGTGCCTTTAAAACGTGGTCCCAATACAGGCTCTCGTAAAGAGAGACGTAATAATGGTGTAATGTATAGAGTCAATTCTCCTCCTTCTCCACGTGATAGCAGAAGATCATCAACAAGCAGTAATGAAAGTGAACGATCAAATAATTCCAGTAATTTTTCAACAAACGATAAAGATTACAAGATTATAACATTATTAACCAAATTATATCAAAATCAATTTAATAATGAATGGATACCATTGCTACCATTTACACAAGAAGAAATAATCAATATGTTGACAAATAGTTCAAATATTGAATTGCATAAATTATTTTATCATTGTTTAAAATTATCAATGAATGAGATTATTGAAGATTCACATTTGACGTTATCACGTTTAACTACTACAATTTCAATTAATTCACTCATTGGTAATAATGATGATATAGTTCTATATATTTGTTCATTACTATTAGCTCAAGCATTGAAACCAAATCGAATTTTATTAGCAATGAGTATAGGTATATGGCATGAACTACAACAAACGTTACCACCACATGTATCACATCGTCTTGAAATGTCATTAAATATTCTAGATCTTTTACAATGTCCTGCTGATACTTCATTAACAAACCGTTCAATTAAAGGCTTCACACAGAAATATTTTTCATCAATTGATAAACAAACAATTCAAAAATTACAATTTTTTGAATCATTAAGAGAATCACAATTACAATCGCAACCATTAGAAAATTTCTCTATTATTACCACTAATAACAATATGTCGTTATGTGAAAGATATATGTCATTAGTATCACATAAACATCAATTAATTGAACAATTGCAACGCAATATCGATGTAATTCCATCATTAACAAGCATTCTACAAGAAATTAAACAATTGTTGCAGAATGTTATCACTCCAAATAAATCCCTCCAAACAACTCAAAGATGGTTTGCTTGGGCTGCAATTGAAGAAGCTCGTCGTGACGTTCAAGCTTTACGCGACATGCCTGCACACTTATTAAGAGGATTGATGACAGTTGCCTCCAACAATAACAAACAAACTGGTGGTAGTACTATAGACTTACAAATTTTACAAGTTACACAAGCAATGAATGATTTAGTTGAATGTACAGGGTTATTAGGTGGCTTGCTAGGAGGGAACGCTATAACCGTAGGTAACACTTCAAATACTGCCATGATCCCTATCTCCGCTCCTGTGCCAACAACTACAAGTCCCCGTGCAAATGTTCTTGAGATCAATCATATTATTAACCACGACAGATCGCTACCACAACTTGTCGTACGTCAACTATCTAACCGTTGTGCCTAGTTGTTCCACCCTTCCCCTCCCCTCCCCCCCCAAAAAAAGCACAAGCAGCACGGACACATCTATTATTACGTAGTTGCCCCTCTTATATCATTTACACAGCAACAATAAACACTTATTATATATTCTTTTACCAATTCTCGAGCTCAGTCGTGCTCACTTTCTTCTTCTGTACTTGTTAATAGCTTACGTCAACCCGTTGGCACTCTGGCTTATTTAAGCAACTGATCTCCCCCCCCTTATTATGTACTGAAAGTGGGGGGCAGCTAGTTCTTGTTTGTTTCTACGGCAGTTTCTGCGCGATGTCACTTGGCACGACGCCGCCATTCCACGCTCTTTGTTTACCAACAAAAAAAATTGATTTTTGTGAAAAATTTAGCTTTACGTGCCAACTGCCCCCCCCTTCGTTGTGTTGTTGTTGTTGTTGTTGACGGTTCAAGGGGGCAAGAGAGTTGCACAATCTACAACAAAAAATTATATATAAATAGAAAAGCAACTAGACTTCGAAGCAACCACTTTCTTCAACATTCTTCAATTCTTGGATTGTTTTTTTTTGGGGTAGTTTACTCTCGAACAATTCTTGTTTTAAAAGAAAAGAAAAAAAAGGGTAACCACAATTAAGACAACTTAACTCTTTTAGATCATGTCTTCCGGTAAGAAACATATTAAGACACAATCTACTTATGCATTTGAAAGTAATACTTCAAATGTCGCTGCTTCTCAAATGCGTAATGCTCTAAATAAATTAGCTGATTCTGTTAAGGATGATGATGATAAAAGATTTAGATTTGAAAATGAGCTGGATTCATTTTTCACTTTATTTAGACGTTATTTAATTGAAAAATCTTCAAAGGATAATACTTTAGATTGGGATAGAATCAAATCTCCAGGTACAGATGAAGTTCTTCGTTATGAAACTATTCCAGATCAAAATTCTGAAAATGTTTCAACTTTATCAAAACTAGCTGTTTTAAAATTAAATGGTGGTTTAGGTACTTCAATGGGTTGTGTTGGACCAAAATCTGTTATTGAAGTTAGAGATGGTAATTCTTTCTTAGATCTTTCTGTTAGACAAATTGAATCACTAAATAGAAAATATGATTCCGATGTTCCTTTATTATTAATGAATTCTTTTAATACTGATAAAGATACAGAACATTTAATTAAAAAATATTCTGCTAATAGAATTAGAATTAGATCATTTAATCAATCAAAATATCCAAGAGTCTTTAAAGATTCTTTATTGCCTGTTCCAACGGATTATAATGATTCTTTGGATTGTTGGTATCCACCAGGTCATGGTGATTTGTTCGAATCTCTATTATCATCAGGTGAATTAGATGCTTTAATTGCTCAAGGTAGAGAAATTCTATTTGTTTCAAATGGTGATAATTTAGGTGCAACTGTTGATTTGAAAATTTTAAATCATATGATTGAAACTAATGCAGAATATATTATGGAATTAACTGATAAGACTCGTGCTGATGTTAAAGGTGGTACATTAATTAATTATGATGGTCAAGTTAGATTATTAGAAGTCGCTCAAGTTCCAAAAGAACATATTGATGAATTTAAAAATATTAGAAAATTTACTAATTTCAATACAAATAATCTTTGGATTAATTTAAAAGCTGTTAAAAGATTATTAGAACAAGGTTCAATTGAAATGGAAATTATTCCAAATCAAAAGACTATTTCAAGAGGTGGTCATGATATTAATGTTCTACAATTAGAAACTGCATGTGGTTCAGCAATTAGACATTTTAATGGTGCTCATGGTGTTGTTGTACCAAGATCAAGATTTTTACCTGTTAAAACTTGCTCTGATTTATTAATGGTTAAATCTGATTTATTTTATTTACAACATGGTGCATTAAAAATTGATCCATCAAGATTTGGTCCAAATCCTTTAATTAAATTAGGTTCTCATTTCAAAAAAGTTTCAAATTTCAGTGAAAGAATTCCACATATTCCAAAAATCATTGAATTAGATCATTTAACTATTACTGGTAACGTTTTCTTAGGTAAAGATGTTACTTTAAAAGGTACAGTCATTATCGTTTGTTCTGAAGGTCAAAAAATTGATATTCCAAATGGTTCTGTATTAGAAAATGTTGTCATTACTGGTAACTTACAAATTCTAGAACATTGATTTTACTAATTATTGGCTCTTTTGTAATTCACTTCTCATTATATATAAAATATTAATAAAACAATATATTTTTTTTACCCATCTCTTTTTCTTTTTTTTGCAATAATAAAAAAAAAAAGTATTGATTTTTGATAAATGACAAGATACATACATACATAGATACGAGAACGATATATCCAATATTATTAATATACAAAATAGATTAAAAAAAAAAATAATAATTTAATTCTTGTCTACAATGGATAATGTTTAAATAAGTATGATATACTTTCACCATTATGTAAACGACGAATAGCTTCAGCTAAGACACCACTAACATCGATAACAGCTAATTTCGGACAATCTTTCATCTTTTCTTCAAATGGAACAGTATTCGTACACACTACACTATCCAATTTTGAATTATTTATATTTTTAACTGCATTACCTGATAAGACACCATGTGTAACAATTGCAATAACAGATTTAGCTCTATTTTCCAATAAAATTTCTGCAGCTTTTGCTAAAGTACCACATGTATCAGCCATATCATCAACAATGATACAAATCTTATCTGTAACATCACCAACAAGCACCATACGAGAAACTTCATTAGCACGAGCTCTTTCTTTATGAATTAATGCAAAATTTAAATCTAATCTATCAGCTAAACTTGCTGCACGTTTAGCACCACCGGCATCTGGTGAAATAATAATAGCTTCTTCATAATTAACATTTTCTTTAATATATCTAACAACACTTGGTTCAGCATAAAGATTATCAACTGGAACATCGAAAAACCCTTGAATTTGAGATGCATGTAAATCCATAGTGATAACATGATCACAACCTGCTGTAGTTAACATATCAGCCATCAATTTAGCAGTGATTGGAGCACGAGATTTATCCTTTCTATCTTGTCTTGCATATGGGAAATTTGGAATAATCGCAGTAATTCTTCTTGCTGATGCAGTCTTAGAGGCATTGATCATGATCAGGAGTTCAAGGACACGGTCATTCACGATACCTGAACCGATTTGAGTAATGATATATATATCTTGATCTCTAACAGATTCACCAATAGAGAAAGTGACTTCACCGGTTGGATCCCTCTTTAGAGCACAATCTGTCAATGGAAGACCTAGTCTCTTGGAGACTAATTCAGCCAGACCTCTGTGGACATCTGGTGCCAATAGTTTAATGTTGTTGTTAGCCATTTTTTAATATAAGTCAACTAGGTTTGTATTTTTCTTTTCAAAGAAGTAGAACAAAATGAATTGCTTGGTATCTAGTAACTTTATACAATTAGAATTCGGAAAAAAGAATAAATCTTTCTTAGGAGACTGATAAGAGAAATAATATTTGGAAACTACATACTATATAACTAATAATTTCAAGTTAATATTAATTTGTTTAAAAACTGATGAGATGATGAAACTTTCTTAAACCATCTCTCTCCTGCTTCTTAATTTTTTTTCGCAGTTTGAACAAAAAACTGAAAAAAAAAATTTTTTTTTTTCTTTTCTTTTCCCGTGATGGTTCTTCGGATGTCCGCAACAACGAGGTTCACCATAGTGGAAAGAACCCAAAGTTGAACAAATTTGATTCTCAGTTCCTTAGGTCATCGATGAGCTTTGGATAAGGGGTTTTCTCACTTCTGACCGATCTCTTCTAATGTTGGTATCTTGATCTTTTTCTTCTTCTTTTTATTCCTATTCTTAGTAGTGGAGTTCATTGGATTTTTAATTACAAGTGATCCATTTCTTTCTTCTTCTGTAGCGTCCTTAAATTTCTCCTGAGTCTCAAGGTAAAACATTAGATCTTTAACTTGATCCTGAAGATCCGATTTTTCTTCTTTTAATGTAGTAATATCTTTTAAATATTGTTCATTCAATTTAGTTTGTCTATCTAAATTTTCTTGTAAACCTTTCATTATTAAACCATTTTCAACTATTTTATCACACGTAAATTTCTCTTTTTCTAATCTACGCTGTTGTTCGTCATGTAAGCTTGTTGACAATTGAGATAATTTTAATTTTAAATTAGTGATAGCACTATCTTCTTCTTCAGTATCATTTTTTTTTTGTAATTTTTCTTCATAATATTCACGTTGAGATTCAAGTTGTGATACTAATACTTGAACATATTCCAAATGATATTCTTTCTGTCTCATAAAATCTGTTAACATATCACTATTCTTCTCGACATTAGATGCTTGTTCCGTGGTGTTACCTTCTCCCTCACGAGATGAAGAAGAAACTGTGGTATGATCCATATTTAATGCAACTTCGACTAATTTTCCATCGACTTCATTTTGTACTAATCTATGAACATAATTATCACCTGCATAATCCCAGACTCTTTGAGTCTTAATATCCATTGCAAAACAATGAGAAGTTGTTTCAAAATGTTGAATGGCATGTTTTGAATTGTATCTACCACAACCAATATTTCCACAAACTAAACAAGCCCAAAGATTCTCTTTTGAATTACAAATTATACATTGTGGTGAATTACCCATTTGTTTTAATAAAGAATCTCTACTCAGTCTAAAACTTGAAAATCTGCAAACTGGACATCTTGAATTTTTCCATTTATCTAAACATTGACAATGAAAGGTATGTTGACATGGGATTGTAATTAATCCCGTGGTTTGTGAATCCATTCTTTCAAGACATACGGGACAAGTAGGTAATTCGATTTCATTATCATTATAACCATTCATTGTAAAAGGATCTTTCACTAAATAAGGAATATTTGTATTATGATGATTAATATCAGTTGTTTCAAATAAATCATTTTTGAATACAATTTCTTTAATTGATACAACATGACATCTTTCAGGATCGACTTTACTAAATGTTTTACCGTTAAAATTTTCTTTAAATAGTTTTGCATTGATGGATTCTTTAAATTTCATTAATACCATAAAATTTAAACCAATTGAACCATCGACATTTTTCAATATTCTAAAATTTGTGATTTGATTATTAATAATTTCATCGCCAATATAAAAATGTAATAAATCATGAACTGTAAAATAAGTCGGTATAAATAATATACTCACCATAGTATCATCACCTGGTATAATTATACCTTCATCTGTTGAAATTTTTGTTTCATCTTTCAATTTGAATAATTTAATTATACCATGACCTAGATATTTTGACACAACGGAATCCTTATCTTCTAAAGAATGCATTGGTTTGATAGTTTCAATATTAATATCACTTTCTCTCCAATCTTTTGTTAATTTCTTCGTCGTAGGAGTATTCTGTGTAGGTATAAACTTTGAGTTTGAATCGTTTAAGAATAAATCAGAGACTTTACTTAAATCGGTGTCCTTTGACAATTCTACTACTATTCTATAATTAGTATCCATTACCTCTCAAAAAGAAGAAGAGCAGTCGATTAGTCTTCCTGCTCTCTTAAGCTAATAACTTCAATAGAATTTCTATGTTGTTTAGTTGATGCTCCCCTTATCTCTCTCCCTCTGCATTATTTTTGTTTTTTGTTTTGTCCAGCGGTGGTAGTTGTGAACGGCGCTGTCAACACATGTATATAGCGAGCACCACTGTTATTGCATAACAAAGAGAGAGAGAATGCCAACATTTAATTGAGATATTTAATTATCTATCGCATAGCATAGCATAGCATAGCATAGCATACACACGGGTACCTTCCCAATCAGAGGGAGAAACAACAGCTCCAATGCACGCCTTGACTATAAATAAAAGTCTGACGTATCTCTCTGAGGCATATATATATATATATTCGCATGTAGTGCTCAGACGCTAACGTCACCTCTTGCTGGGGCGGTGTTGCTGCTCGATCCGCAGACCAACCAGCTTGTCTCGTAACTATAGTGATATCTGGCGGTTTCACACACCAAACAGCGTGCAAACGCGTCAGCTTCCCATGTTTATTTTACGCGTGTTGCCATGGCAGTGGGCGGCTCGGTCCCGATGCGGAGACGGCCGCAGCGGCATCCCACTGCCCGGTGCCGCACGCCGCGGGACATACCGCATCGGGACACCCCCTTCCCTAACTCGCGTGGGAGCAGGCAAAAAAGGCGCTCGTTTCTTGTCAGTGAGAAATGAAAAATTTTGTTTGTGTGCGTAGTCTGTCAATACTACGTAAGCTGAGTAAACAAGGGACCCTCGCCGTTCCAATTAGATCGCAGAATAAGAACAGTTTTTATTGGTGATTTACTCTCAAATTGGTTGAAGCTGCAATCAGATCCAGTAACTACGAAGAGGTTTCGTTACTTTTTCAAACAGTTGCTTGATTCAACGAATTAAATTTGGCACAGTATTGTATTCTCAGAAGTTACATCATTTCTTTACCAATATATGTCTCTGCGTTAAGTCAACTTTCAAAATAGCCAGTTCATCAGTCTTTGATAAATTTGCTTGCAGTTTCTGCAAGTTTTGTAATATTACGATACATATATATATATATGTATATATGTATACATACAAGTGAAAATTAATTTTATACTGTTTCCCTTTACGGTTATTGAAATAGTTTGAACATTATACTAACTGTCAAGAAACCTCGTCATATTATTCCATAAAGTTTAATCACATATTTGTTTTCGCTAATATATTAAATGGTGGATGATTCAAATTATATTACTCCCCATGAAGCTGCGTTAGCTGTTGTAGCAACATGTATGAAAAAGGCAAGATTACAATTAGATACTTTAATAATAAATTCAATATTAGGTGGATTATTATTTAGTTCAGGTTCTGTATTATATGTAGCTGTACATGCTGAAAATTTAGATATCTTAAATAAAAATCCAGGTTTATTAAATTTTTTAGGTGGGCTAACTTATTCAGTCGGGTTATTTTATGTGGTCATGTTAGGTGCAGAATTATATAATTCTGATATTCTTTTCTTCACAGTCGGTGTATTAAGAGGTGCTGCATCAATTTACGATTTATTAATTTCATGGTTATTTAGTTGGCTAGGTAATATCGCCGGATCTTTATTCGTATCATATTTGTTTATCTTCGTATCAGGAATTAGTGAACATGAAGATTGGTCTCAAGGTGCAAAACTTATTACAGAAAGTAAAGCAGATTACTCATTCATGCAAACTTTTTTAAAAAGTATAGCGGGTAATTTCTTCGTTTGTTTAGCAATTTATTTACAATTAATGGCAAAACCAATTCATGTTAAATTTTTAATGATGTTACTACCTGTCTTTACATTCGTCTCTTCAAGTTATACCCACGTCGTAGCAGACATGACTACTTTTTTCATCGGTATGTTATGTGGTGCAAATGTCTCTGTAGGTAGATATATTTGGAGAGTATTAATCCCTGCCTCCCTCGGGACAATCGTTGGTGGTGCATCATTTGGTTTGGTCATACCATTCTATTTACATCTAGTGGTGGTTGAACGTGATAGAGCCAAATTATCATTACCGGAATATGAAGCTAGAGATGAACAACCTGAATTGAATATGGATTCAAGAGTCGTGAGAATGCCTGTCAAGACTCATGACACAACTATTCTTGTGACAGATAGTGGTAGTGATTCAGACGATATGGATATCATGGATGAAAAAGAAAGTTTGTTCGGTGCACATCGCCATAACCATCATCGTAAAACGTCCACCCAAGAGCAATTTCCAGGGAGATTGCCATTATCGGCATCTCCTTCTGCATCTGCATCAATATCAATCTTGGGCTCAGATGTCTCTACGAATTCAAGTGATATGTCATTACGTACAACCAATAGTGAAACTAATAGTATTGCACCAAGACGTTATGCACCTTCAGTAACTTCGAGGACAAGTTCAAGACGTATAGCGGGAAGAACAATGGCCCCTTCATTAGAAAGAATTAATACTTTGAAAAGTATAACAAGTCATAGAAGTTCTGTGTCGAACAAGAATCATTCTGTTAGATCGCCACCGGGTGTGTTTCCAGTTGCTGGAATGGCTCCACCGTTGGCGAAAGAGAGAACTATTGAAAATTCAAATTATCCAATGGATTTATTACAACAAATAAAGACACATTCAGTAGCCAGCACAAGTAATAATAATAATAATAGTGGATTCAACATGCAAGATGATGATTCTGAATTATTAAGGCGTGTTAAAACTGCAGAAATTGAAGAAGAAAATGCATATTTGGATGATATTGATAATAAATATAGTGTACCAAATGATAAGCTAGGTTCTAAATTAGAGAAAGTTGTTACAAGATTACGTAACGGACATAAATCAGCCACTAATGACGAAACAATCGGGACGTTACCACGGACTGTACAGGATACGTTCCCTCATAATAATGTGAGTCAACCAAATATTTACGATGGTGATGATGGAATCATACGAAAGCAACAAAGTCGTGGTAGACAAAGGAAAAGAAGAAGTCAAACGTCAAGTTCAAGGCGGCCAACACGTAACTTATTCAAAACATTATCATCGCAAATGACTAGAAGTGGAACTAATGAACATGATATTAATGATTGGTATAAGAAGATGTCACAAGCTGGTGTGACTAGTCGAGCTGCATTAGGTGCACAAAACGTTGCGGGTGGACCATATTTAAATTCTGACGATATTTCATTATTGAGAAAAATTAATATTGAAAAGGAAGATGAGAATAAGACAAAACATTCTAAAGAGGACAGTGATAATGATACTTTGCATTAAAAATATATATATACATATACTGTAGTGAAACGTACATAGTTATATATATATATTTTTTAAAAAAAAAAACAACCAAAAAGAAAGAAAAGGTTATATGTATATATTTTATGATGATGATGATGATGATGCCTCAATTGCCTGTACAATCATTTCATTTATTAAATAGATTGGATACGATGGACCTTCTTCTGCACAAACGTGGTTCCTCTTTAAATTGTTCATTACCATAATCATATCGAATTCAATATCATTATTATGTTCAGTAATTTTTTGTAAATATTCCCAAGTAGCCGGTACAGTTAATAATTGGACACCTGAATAAGTCATATCATTAGGATATCTTTGTTGAATAAACTCTTCACCAAATTGATCAACCATTAAGCTCTTGAAGAAACTATCCTTTGTTGGGAATGAAAACGATTTTGGTGACGTCGATTGATAAGAATTTTCGAATTCTGATAAATTTGGTGACGTTGGTGACAAACTTTGAGTCATTGTATTTGCATTTTTCTTATTAATATTAAATTGTTGCTTTTTCAAGAAATCATTTTCGGTGAAAATTTCTTTATTTAATAATTTTAATTGATTGATTTCTTTTAATAGGTTAATTCTTTCAAATTCACTTTCTGATAGTTTATTTTGTAAATCTTTCATTCTAGCCATTTTTCTTTCTCTAAAGGCTCTTTGAGCAGCTCTATTTTGTGCTTTTTTCTTTGCACGTTCATCATTTGACAAATTCAAGAGATGATTTGAAAGGTTATTTGGTGAATTTATTGGAAATTCTTGTGGTTGTAATAACAATGCTAATTGTGAATCCATATCAGGTAGATTTAAATTCTCTGTTGGAAAAGTATGTTCTTCAGCCATCGTTCTAAAAAAAAAAGAAGAAAAAATGGTGATAATGTTAAGCAAAACTGAATGTATTGATAGATCCTGCGCACCACAATATATATATATGTATGTGTGTGTGTATCTAGAGAATCACTTTGTTTATAGACGTTAATGAGTTACGCATATATCCAACCAGCTGTCAAAAATATACGTGTGCTGTCTTTCGATTAAGTAATGAATATTTTTCAATCGATTTCTCGTCCCCAGGGCAACCAAATTAAAATGTCAGATTTGGAAAAAGAACGCGTTTCTCTCTCGACTTCCGTGTGTGTGTATGGGTGTGCGCAGCCCTCACCCCAACCCTAGGGTTACCGCCCTGCAGCCCTGAAACCCCCCAAAAAAAGAAAAAAAGCCGAAAGCTGAGTTACCAGCCGCTCCTCTGCCTGTTCTCTGCGGGCCCTTCCGTGCCACTCCACCCCCCTGCTCTCCCACCCTGCACACTTCCTGATAACAATTCGCCGGGGTCACATAAACAGCCGCACAACACCCTCTGCCACCCCCCTGTGCACACAAAGACCCATCCACCACACCACACCGCACCCACCGCACGCGCCCGCTCGCACTTTATGTAAGCGGTCTCTCACTGCATGCACAAAGAAAGAGAAACTGGCTGAGGTAAGAAACGGCCTGGACAGAGAGGGAGAGAGCAGCAATGACTAGTTACCGACACCACACAAATTTAATTGCAATGACAACCATAACGAACGGTTGGATTAACAGAGTTACACTGACTGCTGCATGGAAAAGGATAGATAAATTGTTATAAAGAAAGAGAGATTTGGTATAAGGATTTAAGTGAATCAGGTAAGAGTTAGATTCTCATTCATATGGACCCCCTAACGTTTATTTTAGATTAAGGATTTTAGTTTTGTTACAAACATATATATATAGATTCGTAACGTTGGTCTTTTTCTTATTCATATATATATATATATAGATACCTCGTTAGTCGTAGAAGTAGTAGTCGTAGTCAATCTATTTGTTGTTGTTTTTTTGTTTAACATACTGGTCCTTTCGCTATTATTGTAATAATAAAGAACATAACAAAGATAATGTCAGATATTTTTGAAAGAGCCGTACAAGATCCCTGTTCAAATGATGTCGATGATGCAGATAATAATACTAATGATGATTTTTCATTAATTAACAACCAAAATGTTGTAGTACCGCAGGCACCACCATTACATCATCAATTACGTAAAGTACAAACGGCTCCACATTTTCATAATCATGATAAACAAATTGATTACAATATGAATTCACGAGATGATAATTTATTATTACAAAGATCTCATACTTATTCAAGGCCTTATTGTTGTTCAACAAATAGAACAGATAGTTCATTATTTGTTCAGCAAGCAGCTAGACGACCTTCTTTCATTAAACAAAGTGGATCAGAACAAACTTTATTATCTTTAAATAATAATTATTACAATAACGAGGATATTTCTTCATGTAATGCTATACCGACTCATGTTTATGGTTTAGAAAAATACGTTTCTCCTCAATTAGATGAATTATCAACAGATGAAATATATTGTAATCAATCGAATAATGAAGGTATAACAACTGATAGTTCGGTATTCGATAATAAAGATTATTCAAATATAAAAAATATTACATCTTCATCATCATTAGCATCATCATCATCACCTACAAATAATAACAATAACACAAAGAGTCATCATAACCATAATCATAATCATAATCGTCATACCGTTAGGCATAATTCGTCTACGAGTGAACAAGTACAAGGGAATCTACCTGTAATGGAAAGAAGACCATCCACAATAAAGATCTCCTTAGCAAATTCCTTTGCCTAATAAGCTTTCCCTTATTAATATTGTATTTCAAATATATATACATATATATATATATTTAAATATTCCTTTATAACATTTGTAACCTTTTCTTTAAACTTTATAAAATGCCTTTATCTTATTCTCTTTGTAAAATAGTGCGGTGCAAGGATGATGAAGTTTTTTTAGTTTGTTTTTTTGGGCTTTTATTATGGACGAGGTCCTAACTCTTTAACTTTAATCGTATTTTTATTTTTATTTTTTTTTGAAGTCACATTCAATATAAGATCTCTTAAAGATGCAAACTTTTCGTATATCAGAAGTACAAACAAATTATAGACCTATACCAGTTACAGATGACGTCGAACGGTAATGAGACTACGTCGGTAATTAATGATAATAGAATGACTGTCGTTGAAGATATGGATTTAGAGACTTTAGATGAACAAACTGCTATAGACACTCATCACCATCATCAAAATGAAGAGGTAGATGATGGTGACAATAGTAGTGGATGTGCATGTGCATACTGTGGGATTGATTCACCAACATGTGTGGTGAAGTGCAACCAATGTAATAAATGGTTTTGTAATGCAAAAAATGGTGCTAACAGTTCTCATATTGTTAATCATTTAGTTTTAGCTCATCATAACGTTGTTTCATTACACCCAGATTCGGATCTTGGTGATACTGTATTGGAATGTTATAATTGTGGTAGAAAAAATGTTTTCTTATTAGGTTTTGTATCTGCAAAGAGTGAAGCTGTTGTGGTATTATTATGTAGAACACCTTGTGCTCAAACTAAAAATGCTAATTGGGATACTGATCAATGGCAACCATTAATTGAAGAGAGACAATTTTTATCCTGGGTCGCTGAAGAACCTTCCAATGAGGAAAAATTGAAAGCAAAATTGATTACACCAAGTCAAATTTCTAAATTAGAAGCTAAATGGAGATCTAATAAAGATGCAACAATTAATGATATTGATGCTCCTGAAGAACAAGAAGATATTCCTCCTTTACTATTAAGATATGAAGATGCTTATGAATATCAAAGATCTTATGGTCCATTGATTAAATTGGAAGCAGATTATGATAAACAATTAAAAGAATCTCAAGCATTAGAACATATATCTGTATCTTGGTCATTAGCTTTGAACAATAGACATCTTGCATCATTCTCTTTATCTACTTTCGAATCAAATGAATTGAAAGTTGCAGTGGGTGATGAAATGATTCTTTGGTATTCAGGTTTACAACATCCAGATTGGGAAGGTCGTGGTTATATTGTTAGATTACCAAATAGTTATCAAGATACTTTCACATTAGAATTAAAACCAAGTAAGACTCCACCACCGACACAGTTAACTACAGGTTTCACAGCAGAATTTATTTGGAAAGGTACCTCTTATGATAGAATGCAAGATACTTTGAAAAAATTTGCCGTTGATAAAAAATCTATCTCTGGTTATTTGTATTATAAGATTTTAGGTCATGATGTTGTAGATATTTCATTTGATGTTCCTTTACCTAAAGATATGTCAATTCCTCATTTTACAAAATTAAATGCTTCACAATCAAATGCTGTGAAGAGTGTCCTTCAAAAACCGTTATCATTGATTCAAGGTCCACCCGGTACTGGTAAGACCGTCACCTCAGCAAGTATTGTGTACCATCTATCCAAGATTCATAGGGATAGAATCCTTGTATGTGCACCATCAAATGTTGCTGTTGATCATTTGGCAGCTAAGTTAAGAAATTTAGGTTTAAAAGTAGTTAGATTAACTGCTAAAAGTAGAGAAGATGTAGAGAGTTCCGTTTCGACTTTAGCTTTACATAACATTGTCGCTAGAAGTGCCCAAGGTGAATTGAAAAAATTATTGAAATTAAAGGATGAAGTTGGTGAACTATCAGCATCTGATACAAGAAGATTTGTTAAATTAGTAAGAAAGACTGAATCTGAAATTTTATCTAAGGCAGATGTAGTCTGCTGTACATGTGTTGGTGCAGGTGATAAAAGATTAGATACAAAATTTAGAACAGTATTAATTGATGAAAGTACTCAAGCTTCAGAACCTGAATGTTTGATTCCAATCGTAAAAGGTGCTAAACAAGTCATATTAGTAGGTGACCATCAACAATTAGGACCTGTCATATTAGAAAGGAAAGCAGCTGATGCTGGTTTGAAACAATCTTTGTTTGAAAGATTAATCTCTTTGGGCCATGTTCCAATTAGATTGGAAGTTCAATATCGTATGAATCCAAATTTAAGTGAATTCCCAAGTAATATGTTCTACGAAGGTAGTCTACAAAATGGTGTCACCGTTGAGGAAAGAACTGTCCCAAATAGTACATTTCCATGGCCAATTCGTTCTGTACCAATGATGTTTTGGGCTAATTATGGTAGAGAAGAAATATCAGCCAATGGTACATCTTATTTAAATAGGATTGAAGCAATGAATTGTGAAAGAATCATTACAAGATTATTTAGAGATGGTGTTAAACCAGAACAAATTGGTATTATTACGCCATATGAAGGTCAAAGAGCATATATTCTACAATACATGCAAATGAATGGTGCATTAGATAAAGAATTATACATACAAGTGGAAGTTGCATCTGTTGATGCTTTCCAAGGTCGTGAAAAGGATTATATCATCTTATCTTGTGTTCGTGCTAACGAACAACAAGCTATTGGGTTTTTACGTGATCCACGTCGTTTGAATGTTGGTTTGACAAGAGCAAAATATGGTTTAGTTATCTTAGGTAATCCACGTTCTTTATCCAAGAATTTATTATGGAATCATTTATTGATACATTTTAGAGAAAAAGGTTGTTTAGTGGAAGGTACATTAGACAACTTACAAATATGTACTGTTCAATTAACCAAACATCAACCAAGAAAAAAACAATCGTATAATGGTGCTGATTTCCAATTCAATATGGGTATGATTCAAGACAGTCAAGAATTCCCATCTGGTGACAATTTTGATTCTCAAAGTTTGATGTCCTTTGGTGGACCAGCAATGTCCAATGCGTATGATAATGCTTTTACTCAAAATAATGATTTTTCCTCTTATTTGAATAATGGATATTGGGATTTTGATAATTACAAACAAAATCCAGTCCCAGAGAGTGATGAAAATAGTAATATTTATAAAAGTGAGAAACAACCATTAAATGCTAATTTTGCAAAAGAATTAGAAGAACAACAAGATATTGATAGTAAACAGGAGTCATACCTGAGTAACAGATTGAACTCCTTAAATATTTGATTATCTGAATTATCTCACAAAGATAATGGTGAAATACCAAGATACCATTAAGGTATGACGATCGTTTTTTTATTGAAACCAATCAATTAGAGATTCCGTTATTCATTGTTTTTTATACAATTTGGAATATTCTCGTTGTAATACTACAACAAACTATTTGTTATTTCCTACTAGAGATAACTCACAGTCTTCAATATATGTAACGAAGGCTATATGGTACGGGTTCAATGAATTAAACCATTCTGTAAGGTGTATAAATATTAATATTTTAAACATATATCTGTGTATATCCACTTAAATGTATTTACTAACTATTTTGTAGAAGTAATTCATAAGCCAACCTCTAATCAATTTTTGTAGTAACACCCTATTTTTGGAAAATTTCTTATTTATGTAGATTTACCTTTTTCTACTATAAGTTTATATTGCTAGTTAAATTAAAAAGAAAACAGGGACGCTAAATTCATAGAATCTGGAACTAAATAAACTATAGTAAATACTCGACAGAAAGAAGAATCATCTTAACATTCTCACTTTACACGAACCATAAAAATGGTTCGTAAAAAATAATTGGACGAGTTGGGAATCGAACCCAAGACCTCTCCCATGCTAAGGGAGCGCGCTACCAACTACGCCACACGCCCAGTTTATTTATGATTTGGTGACAACATATTTAGTATATTTAGTCAGCAATTTTTAGTTTTTTGGTGACACATTCACTAAATGTCCTACTAATTCCTTTATTTGTTAGTTATTAAGGATAATAAAACCTTCATTGGAATACTGAAAAGGTAAATATTTGTGTAAAGTAAATTTCATGCTTTAATTAGGGGTTATATAACCGTATAAGTGAATTCTTATTATAATATGTTTAAAAAAATTAATTTATAAAACTTCCTGTATACGTTAGTAGACTTCTTCTAAGATATAGAGCAAAGAACTGATTTGTGTATTGGTAGGAAATTATTGTGAATCAGCACTTTGATCCCAATGCTTATAGAGAGACGGCTTGTGTATAAAGTGCAGAATTTTTATAATTTACAGATGTTTTTATGTTTTATACATATTACATTCGTAGCAATAAAATATTGACGGATAAAAGTAAGTGTTAGGTTCTACGTCTAGTATTTTTGACAGGAATATCGAAGGGTATCTTCTGTTGTTCCAGGAACCTTTGGTTTATCCCCTCATAAAGGTGAGTATCAAACATATATTGAAATTTGAAAACGTCAAAACATGGCCTAATCACAATTGTTTATTTGCTCACTTATGGGAGCCTCTGTGTTGCTATTTTGATGTCCCCACCCATTTAGTTGAGTATGTAGCATTGGTAGTGTTGGAGAAGATTGCACCTACGTTACAATGGCAAAGGAGAAATAAGACATTACCGGTATGTGTCGGAATTTACATGATAGAAGAATGACGTCAAGAATATAAAATATAAGAATAAAAGAATAATAAAGATTGTCAGATTTGATAATGTTCAATATTTAACAATCCAAAATGAGAAAAGATAATAATAAGACGCATTTGGAAACCATGCATAATTTCTACAATGCTAGTATTGGAGATTTATAATCACGAAATGTTACCCAATCCAAAGGTATATAAAGGGAACAATATTTCATGCATTGGAATATTTTATTTCCCTGATTATTTTGTATATTATTTATAATCTGTATACTAAAGAAATCAGACGACTATACGTTGATTTCTAATAAAATAAATTTTGTACCATATTAAAGAAATGGATTCCTCTAATAATTCCAAAATCCAACAGTATGTTCCCCCGATTAAATGAGAAGAGCATAATCACGACCGAATTACAATTTAGTATATAAAGAGAAGAAACATGATCCAGATATGGATTAATATTCTCACCTCTCCGTGTATTTACTACATAGACGCAAATAGGGGACGATCTAAGTCTTTCTAAAGCATAATAAAAGGTTTTTGATTCCTCTAAAATATTTACTAGCGATATGAACACTGAAAACATTCAATGGGTAGTGTAGATTCATTTCCAGTCATTTCTCACAACTATAACTAAACTTAATATAATTTTCTCTGTAGAACGGACTACTCATAAAAGAGTACCAAGAAACAGCTTTACTAAAACTTGGCATATTGATATTAACCGCACCATCGAACGAGGGGCATAGTCATGACGACAGTTATCCAACGTAGATAGAGACTCGAGTTATTTCTTGAACAAAGCAATTTATTTCCCCTTATTTTGTTCAGTAACGTTGTATTTTAGATCACGAGAGAATGCATAGTTTGAATCATTGATACATCAGTTATAATATTCTCCATGAACAATGGTTCGTTTCTTTTTAAAGTTGCAATTTTTTGGGTTACTGATACACTATAACAAAGAAGCAATTGGAACATGTTCTTGTAGAATGGAGATGTATGAATTAGAGGGAATTTTTATTTTTTTGTGCCAAGATTAGATTATCTCCTCCCTTCCGGCCTTTATTTCTTCTCAGTCAATTAAATAGGCTAAGCATTGTACGTTCCTTTTTACGTTATTATATACTTAAAACTGATATTAGAAGCCTTGGTATTGAGTTGGAAAGTACACTTAAAAATTTTACAAATTTTAAGATATTGTAAAAATGCATGGTATTTATCAATCAGAAGCACCTGTAGTTTGATTAATTTTAAGAAAACTATTTCAAATTGATTTAAAGAGATCAATAAAACAATTTTGAGCGAGTATCTGTTTTCATTTCTTTATTTAGATGTATTCCTACACTTTTTACTCGTCGAGTATGAAAGGCTGAAATGTAACCATGTCTATCTCTTTTAAAACAACTGTCAAAACTAAAACCTTTGTATTTTTTGTAATTACATCAGTTCATTACTCTCTTGCAAAAAAAAGAAAAGAAAAAAGAGTCTGTCAACAAAACAGACAACTAAGAAATTAAAAAATGTTCATACTTATCTAAGTTTGGATTAATTAATAAAATAAGAAGAAACTCAGAGAAATGAGTGGCTAATTTCAGTAAATGAAAAATTCAAAAAATAATGGGGCATACTGGGAATTGAACCCAGGGCCTCTCACATATTCGAGTAAAGAACCCAAAGCGAGAATCATACCACTAGACCACACGCCCTATTAATTTATAATTTTCTGATGAATATTTAACTATGTCAGAGACTAAATTTTTCAAATTTCTTAGTAAATTTGGAAATTTTGAGTTATTTACTATTAATCCCTTGAAATATGTTATCTTTAGTGATTGATATATAAAATTTCAACACTGAAAAAATAGGTAATGTTAAAATTGGACCCTTATAAGTCCATTAACATATTATTTAAAGTATTTATAATTCGTCACTGCGGTCCCTTTTAACTTAAAATTTTAATGAATCTATTCCAGTTAACTCTTTAGTGTTACAAGCAAAATGATAATGTCATTAGAATATGAATGGGAGGTGCTTTACACATGAAGTACCTTTAATTTGTTATTGAGTAAATACAACGCAATTCCAGGACGCATCATAATCAGTTCTCTCAAAATATCCTCTCTCTGAAGACGATAAAACTAAACAAGGAATGAATTCAAAAACAATCGTAACTTGGTTGAGTGAGGGTAAACTTCATCAGTTTATAGATAACATGATTCAGTTCTTAGTATTATGGCACCTTGGGTATGTTCTGATGTATTACTTCAAATTTTTCTAAAGTTAGGGAAGATACATCTTCGTTAAACCCATATTGGCATAGCCAATCATGGTACTATTTTAATATATGTTGTTCAATATTCCTACTTAAAATGTTTCTATATTTTCAGACACGATAAAAGGTCGATTCTTTGTTTCTACACAGGAACATAATCTTTTTGTTGTACAAGATATATCAAGAGGGTTCCAGATTCACCTTATGAGCCATCTCGTATGGAACCACTGGATTTGTATAGAATTCGGTGGGGGGACATTGGCTAACATTCATCTGTTTTCTCTTCTTACCTCATCTTGAAACCAAAATCTATTTATAGAAAACAAAAATTAAAAGTGATAAAAAAATTTATATAAATATCCTATCTTCGTAAATATATATATGTTTGTATGTGTATATGTTAGTATCTGAAGGTCATTTAATCTTATTTCATAGAAAAGACTTCTGGAGCTTCACCTTCTGGACCAATGTATTTTGAATCTCTCCATGGACCAATATCAGATAAATATAAACCACCAGTGGCTTCATCAACTTCAGATTTACCACCAAACTTAACAGGCAAGTTTTCTTCTGGAATTTGTTTCAATAATTCCTTTTGATAAGAGGATCCAAGGATGAAAATCTTTGAAACAGTAACAGGATCTAAAAATGGTTTGAATAATCTGAATGCAGTAGAGAATCCAAATGGTGCATTAATCATATAGAATTTACCCATACGTTCTGGGTAAAAATTCTGACTGATATAAGAGGCTTCTCTAACATAGTTTAAGACACTGTAAGCACTTGAAATGGAGATACCTTTCAAATCCATAATTGTACAAGAAGTTTCGACCAAATAACCAGCAGCTCTTGAACAAGCTGGAACTCTATATTTAGCAACGGATTCATATTCCCAAACTAAATTCTTTAACATACGTTCTTCAGTAGTAATTTTAATCATTTCAGGTAAATTGACAGCACCTAATTCTTCAAAATAACATGGACGACCATCTTTATCAGTCTTGTGATAATATTGTGGATAAAATTTAGCAACAAGTGGTTTTTCATCATAATGAAAATCTTTTAAGATAGTATTAGTACCATATTCTGTTCTCCATTTTTCACAATTTTCAAACATTTCTTTTGCTAAAGCAATATCAAATTTTCTTGCTCTTAAGAAACGTAATAAAGTAGCATCATCTAAACGTTCTTCAAAACCGGCATCTTCAAGAGCTTTTCTGAATTCTTCCAAAGCAGTCTTTTGTTGAGGTTCTAAGTTACCTGGAGTACCAGGTAGAGAGCCAGGTTGACATTCTTGTGGAAATGAGTCTAACAATTCTTGCTCTTGAGTCTGATCATCAAAAAAAAAAAATATATATATTTTTTTAAATAGTTAGTAAACCAATTCAATGAAATTGAATCAAATAAATAAAAGAAAAACAATAATATGATAGTGATAGTAGAGTTCAGTTCTATTACTCTATACGAATGGATCAAATCAAATTAACTGAAAGAAAAAAAAAAATTTCTCTCCTATCTTCAAATCATTCTAATGAATCACACAAAATAGCATAGTATTACATACAGTAACCATTGCAAATAAATAGGGACAATGTTTTAATTCCTTCAAAACAAGATAAACTAATCTGTAACAAACAGAAATACAGAACTTATCCTTTTTATAATGATAAAATGACTTATATGACTTTCAATGCTCCCATTGAATCTGATTCTCTTTGTCTCTGTGTGCATGCAAATTGGGATTACGTACATTGTCCATGTCAAAGAGAGAGAGAAAGAAAAGCTCTCGTGTCAACAGTAACTGTAACAACAACAACAAAACAAAACAAAAAACGGAAAATTTTTTTTTTCTTCCCAAAAAAAAAATCCGCAAAATTTTAAAATATTTTTTTGCGTTGGCGAAGATTCGAACGGATACGCGACACGAAAAATTATTTTGTTTTCATTTCAATATACTGTATATTAAGACAAAGGAGAGATAAATACAAACTAAAACCCATCTCTTCTTGAAGATTAAGGATTAGTTAGTTAATAAGTTGAACAGATTTCAAGAGGTTGGTTAGCACGACATATAGATATATATATATATATATGCATCATGTCAGATATACCGGTGCCTGAATTTACTTTTGGAAAGAGTCTACTATTTGATTTTGATGGGAATGATACAGAAACCTCAAATGAAACTGATCAATTGCTCCAATTTATTAGTGGTGATGGTACGAAAATATCCATGAACAGGAAGAAGAAGAAGAGTAAGGATGTGCAGAGTATGCGTAGTGACGAGGATATCCTGGGGATGAATCAAGGTAATACTGAATGGAAACAAGATGATTCCTATGGTATAAATATTAGTGCATTGTTAGATAGAATAGAAGCTCGAAGTAATGACACTGAAGTTACCTCCGTGGCAACTTCGAATGGTAAAGATGACTATGTGACTGATAAGGATCATCAATTATGGGTTGAAAGATGGCGTCCCAAGAATTTCCTAGATCTTGTTGGTAATGAAAGAACTAATAGAAGAATCTTAAAATGGTTAAGAGATTGGTCACCATTGGTTTTCAAGGAACAAATAGGTAAGATACCTTCATTTAATGAAAATGAACAAGATCAAGAAATTGATCCATTAATGAGACCCAAGAGAAAAATTCTCTTAATACATGGACCACCAGGAATTGGTAAGACTTCTGTGGCTCATGTAGTTTGTAAACAAGCTGGATTTCAAGTATCAGAAATTAATGCAAGTGATGAACGTGCAGGTCAAGTGGTTAAGGATAAAATTCATAACACTTTGTTTAATAATACATTGCATAAGAAACCTGTATGTTTGGTTGCTGATGAAATCGATGGTAGTGTAGAAAATGGGTTTGTTAGAGTATTGATTGATATTATTAATAAAGATATTAAAGCTACAAATAAATTAAGATATATGCAAGCTAATGGAAATGGTAATAATAGTAATGGTACCTTTAAATCAAAGAATAAGAAAAAGAAAAAGAAAAGCCCGAATTTATTATTACGTCCAATTATTGCAATTTGTAATAATATCTATGCACCTGCATTAGAAAAATTAAAACCATATTGTGAAATTGTTGCCTTTAAGAGACCTTCAGATTCAGCGATACAAGAAAGATTGCTTGATATTTGTGATAAAGAGAAATTGCCTTTACCAGTAAAGACATTGAATGATTTAATCGATCTTTCACAAGGTGACGTTAGAAATTGTATCAATAATTTACAATTTATGGCCACTCAGAATAAATATAGAAATGGTAACTTCAAAGGATCATTAGAAGGAAATAGTAATAATAATAATCATTCAAATACATGGGAATCTAGTGGTAAAGATTTATCAATGTCATGGTTCTTATTGGTGAATAGGTTATTTAAGAAGGATCCTCATACAGATGTTAAAGAACAATTTAAAAAATTATTACATGAAGTAGAGATGAATGGTAATTATGATAGAATCTTACAAGGTTGTTATACGTTATTCCCATCTGTAAAATATTCCGATAGAGGTGTACAAAAACCAAAAGATGTTGCAGATTGGTTATATTTCCATGATTTAATGAATCAATCATTATATCACCATAATGGTGAATTAATACGATATTCATCTATTGTTCCACTTGTATTCTTCCAAAATTTTGGGGATATTGCTAATAAAGAAGATTTAAGAATTCAAAATGTTGAATTTCAAAGTCGTGATATTAGCAGAGCGAATATTGATATTGCAAATCTCATAATATCTCATTTATCGGTTGAGGCACCTGGAGTTGCAGCCTTTGTTGATAAAAATTCATTAATCTTTGAAATATTACCATACGTTGATTATATGATTTCAAGTGATTTAACTAGATTGAAAAATTTAAAGATCAAAAATGTTATAGCAACATCATTATTGGCAATCCTAAAAGAATTTCATTTGGAATTGTTGCAAATACAACAAAAAGCATCTGAAAGTAGACCTGTATTGGGTATTAGCCCTCCGATAGATAAAATTGTTCTTTTGAACCCTCAAAGAGTTAAGGAGCTTACCACAAAGAGACCCTTAACATATAATTTGTTGTTAGCAAAATACCAAGAGCAGCGTGTTTTGAAAAGACATATATCAGAAGCTACAAAGGAGAAAAAAGTTATTGAAGAGAATAAAAATAAGAAACAAAAGACTAGCACCAACTCAATTGAGTTTTTTAAAAATCAATATGGAAATATGAACAGTACGCAACAATCTCAACAACAAAATACTACTTCTAATGGGAGTCTCGCAGGTCAAGAAAATAATTCTTCAGAAGCTCATGAGAAACTGAGAATTTGGGTGAAATACAAAGCGGGATTTTCCAATGCAGTTAGGAAGAATGTGTCATGGGATGCTCTTTGGCATTAAGTAAATATTGAATATTTATACCGTTAATAGATGTTTAGACATATCAAAAAGCTTTTATTAAAATCTGTAATAATTTTTGTATTTTCGTGACGTAATTCATTAAAGAAACCTGACTTTCGATTAATATTTAGATTATATTTTTTTCTTATGAACAAATTATCATTTTCAGGCCGTCATTATGTTTTCCTAGTTCATTTAATTTTGAATGTTGACTACAGTATGTTTTTCTCTTCATATCATAAATGCACTATTTTCCGTACTGTCCCATTAGGTGTTTTGACATCTTTGAAGATTGTGATATTCCAACTACGTATCTTACATCGTATCAATGCATTAAATAAGTCTCCGATCATTTATTTCTGTGTTTTGCCCAAAGATAAAGTATTTATAAATAAGTAAATAAAAACATTCTAACTGGATATATCATGGCGATCAGCATTCCTAACTTCTATTTTTTGGTGCATAAAATTTTTACTACCTTCTTACCAAATTATAATGACCTATGAACATCCTAGATCTTTTCTTTTATTTACTAAACACAATTTTATACATCTTTAGATGGTTATTACCTGGACAGCTCAGTATCATCAAATATACTAATATTTCTTCTGATTCCTGTGGTATTATGATACTTGGATCGAAGACTTAAAATTATATATTGATTTTCTTATGTATTTTATCAATCCATTATATAGAAGAGAGACTAATAATCTGAGATTAGCCCTTTTTATATATGCTATAGATTTATACACGAAATATAGTTAAACTCGTTAACTCCTGTAATTCCGTGTTATTTTTGTACCTTGTTTCATATCCTTTAGACATTGTAATTCATTCCTCTTTAGTTCATTGTTAGGTTTTAGATATCCTTTATCTTGATTAGTTAAGCAGTTAGAGTCTCTATTTTTTATCACGTGACATAATGTCACTTACCTTTTAGTCTAGTTCAAATGCAAAAGAAATAACAATTAACTGGTTTCGTGGTCTAGTTGGTTATGGCATCTGCTTAACACGCAGAACGTCCCCAGTTCGATCCTGGGCGAAATCAATTTTTTTGCACATAGGCCTTTTATTTCGTAAGAAATGATTAAATTTTTGTAATTTTTATTAACCAAATAATTGCAATTTATTCTTCTTGAAGTAAGAAGATATTAAAACGCACCAACTAATTCTTGAAATACATCTTTGAAATATATATATATCTATCTATTGTTGTTGGCCTGTACCCCCTGTTATTGTTTTTTGAAAAAGAAAAAGAATGTGTTGGAATATTTTTATTTGTTCTTATTATAATAATAATAATCCTTATTCATAATTTTCAAAGGGCGACCATTACCATTGTATCATCTTGAGTAACAGTGAAAGATGTTCTCATATATTATGTGTATAATAATTAAGTTTTATGTAAGGTAATGGTTCTTATCTAGGTAGAATATCACGTTTGTAAATTGTAACATTCAAAAACGTATGAAACTTGAAGTTCTCGATGAGTCTACTGATACGTATTATAATTTAAAATTATTTTTGTCAATATTAGTTTGCATATCAAGATTAAAAATAAAACTTTTTTCCTTTTGGTGATTATCACTTTTTACTTTTTGTTTACAGAACCACACATTACACCGTTATTTTGTATGAATGTTAAACCTAATAATATATATTATCCTACAAAAAAAGACAAGAAAATTATTAAAAATTATCTCATTAACCAAGTTCAATTTTTGTTTGTATACATTTACAAATTGATATATATATATACTTGATTTCTATATTCGAGGAGGAATATATCCGGTTTCTATAACTACTTTTTACGACAATTAGTTTTTTCTTATAGAATATTGAAAATAGAAGTCCCTTTGATTTATATTAGCGGCGACTTGAAGATTACTGTGATTCTTAATTTTGGGTTACATTAATATTAAGATAACATGGTTAAATCCATACTGTCTTTTTTTTAGACACTCTACAAAACTGTGTCATTAATTAAAGCAAATCGCCTCAACCAATCTTTTTTTTTGAACTAAGTACTAAAGAGCAATCTTATGAATTGGACTACATACTGTACTAAAACCCAACCACACATATATCTATTTCAAATACAATTACCTTGTCAATGGAATTGTTCATTACTGTCTCTTAATGGTAACAGTAATTTGTATTGAAATTTTTCTTAAAAATAGTGAGCCCAGTCGCGAGAGGCTCTAAAACAGAAAATAAAAATTAAATATTTCTTAACGCGTTTGTTTTGATATCATTTATAATAAATCAACAATACATAAACAAATACTATCAAATTGGAGGGGAACATCGATAAGTTTATCTGGTGAAAAATACAAGAAAGAGTGTACAGTTTGGTAGTTTTCATCTTTTGACATAATATACTAGACTACCATCTATTTTTACGTTAGAATACCATGACGTCAGAAGCAAAAGCACAACTGAAATTCGATAAAACGATTATTTCTTCTTCAGAACAATTAATCTCGACCTCTACTTTGTTAGATCGTCTAGCAGAATTACACGATGAACTTTCTGCATTGAATCAAGAATCTATTGAACTATCAAGTCTTGATCGGTATCGTGATGATTTAATTAACAGAAAATTACTAAAACATAAGGATACTGGTGTTAAGGCCTTTGTTGCTTGTTGTGTGAGTGATATCTTAAGACTATACGCACCTGATGCTCCTTACACAGATACCCAACTCACAGATTTCTTCAAATTAGTACTAGTAGAGTTTCAACAATTAGGTGACCCTGACAATGGTTATTATATCCAACAAAAATATTTAGTACTCAAGCTTTTAGAGTATCGTTCAATTGTTTTAATTGCAGATTTACCAACTTCTAATAAATTGATTGAAGAACTCTTTACTATCTTTTATAATGAATCGTTCCATTATGATACCGCTTTATATAATATAATGGGTGGTATATTAGGTGAAGTCATTTCAGAGATAGATTCTGTACCGATGCCTGTCTTAAAGATTATATTCAACAAATTTTTAACTTATAATCCCAATGAGTTACCTCAAGGTTTAGCTGTCGCATCTAATTGTGGTTATGAATTAAGTTTATTACTATGTAACAATTACACAAGCAGAATGAGTAGACAATTGACTAGGTATTATTCGGAGATCCTGTACAGTGTTACCAATGATAAAAATGACCAACATAGTTATGAAGCAAATATCAAGTTAAGTAGAACAGTTGAGAAACTTCATAAATTAGTAGTAAGATTATGGGAAACAGTCCCTGATATGGTAGCATCCGTGATAGGGTTTATATATCATGAATTGTCATCTCAAGATGAAATTGTTAGAAAATTGACTACAAATTTAGTAGCTCAATTATTGGTATCTAAATCTGATGTCAATTTTGTTACAACTCAAGAAGATACATTTAAAGCATGGTTGTCCAAGATTGCCGATGTGAGTTCGGAAGTCAGAATTGAATGGATAGAATCTATTCCGAAAATTATCATGAAAAGGGAAGATATTTCTGATGCTATTGGTAAAGGTCTTGCCAAGACTTTCATTGATGCAGATTATCGTGTTCGAAAATTATCTGCACAGGTATTTGATGAAGTACCAGTATCACAGATATGGAGAACTGTTAAAGAAGCATCAGTTTATACATCGTTATTGCATTTAACTAGAGAGAAAAATAGAGAAGTTAGAGAACTATGTATTAAAGCTGCAGCTAAGTTTTATTCCGAATCTGTGGATACAGTAGAAAAGACTTCCGATAATGAAGATATTTGGGATATTGTGGAAAACATACCAAACACTTTATTCAATTTGTATTACATCAACGATTTCAACATTAACGAACAAGTAGATCATATGATATTTGAATATTTATTACCTCTTGAAGTTGATGATGCAAAGAGAGTTAAGAGACTAATAACGGTAATGTCGCATTTTGATGATAAGGCATATGCATCCTTTTTCGCTTTCAATAAGAGACAAATGCAAATGTCATTAGCACTTGGCAAATATATTGAATTTTGTCAAATTTTGGATAATACTAAATCAACTAATACCCAAGAAACAGATGTAGATGACGGGGATCATGATCAAGATATTACAGAAATTACAATTAAATATCATAAAACTATTGAGTGGCTATCTTCAAGTATGGCAGAATCTCAAAAGGTATCAGAATCCTTAGAGATCTTAAAAAAAATGAACGACCCAAGAATATTTTTCTTAATGAAGAGTTGCATTGCAACTGAAGTACCCATTGTCACATTAAAGAATTGCTTTAAAGAATTGTTTAATAAGTTACGTGATTCAGGTCTTTTCAGAAGATATAACATTCCTACAATTTCAACCATTATGCCAAGAGATTTAGCTTCCCATATAGAAGTTTTTTTGTACAGATCAGCTCCACTAATATACAATGTTTCAAATGTCGCAATGTTCCTTGATCTTTCGAATAAATACGATACCGAAGAAGTTGAATTAAAGAGAAAGTTGCTTGATGAGGTTTCTAGAGTTAATCCCTCCTTATTTAAGGATCAAATAAGAACTTTGACAGATAATGTGAAGGAATTAGATATATCTGGAGATACATCCAAAAATGATATTTCAACACTGAATGAAACTTTGAAAACTCTTTACAAGATTTCAAAAGCTTTGCAAGACCAAGTTACTTTCGATTCCTTTTTCTTATCAAAACTTCATGACTTTGCAATCGAAGGTAATCCCCTAATAGCAAAATATGCCACTAAATTGATTTCCTTATCACCAGAAAATGAACAAGAAATGGAGCGTTTAAAGAGCTACATATTACCATTAGACAAGGAGAAAGACACATTTTTCACATCCCACCTTGTAGTTTTGATGGAAATTTTCAAATACTTCCCAAACATTCTTGAAGAATCTTCAATAGATATTGTCAGCTACCTTATAAAAGAAATTTTATTATCGAATTCAATTGTCGGGGCTATTGACAATGAACTCGAATGGGTCGACGATATTGTCCTAAATGACACAAAATCAGGAAACTACTCATCCTTAACCCCCAAAGTGTACACCTTAAAGCTGTTCACCAACAAGTTAAGATCGATTGCAGATAAGGTAGAAAATGATAAATTATCAAACAGTTTTGGAGAAAAAATTGTCAAACTATTCTTTTATTTAATAGCAAGTGGTGGTGAATTAGTACCTGAGACTAATGAAGAAAATTATCCAACACCAGAGAGCTTTCAAAAGAGACTAAGGCTTACTGCAGGTTTACAAATATTGAAACTTGCAAAAATATCAAACCTAAATGATTTTGTCAGATCTTCTGATGTGATCAAGTTAATAAACTTGGTTGAAGACGAGTCACTACCAGTTAGAAAAAATTTCTTAGATAAACTTAATGACTACATAGGTAATGAATTAATCTCCATTAAGTTTTTACCATTGGTGTTTTTCACAGCTTACGAACCAGATAAAGAGTTAAAAGCTTCTACTAAGACTTGGATTAATTATACAGTTAATAAAGAATCATTTAAGAAAGGTACATTTTTCGAAAGAGTTTTACCTCGTTTGATCCACGCAATTGCGCACCACCCAGATATTGTTGACGGTTTAGATGCAAAGGAAACTGATGAGGATGAATTCAGAAACGCTTTGACTACGGCAATTGACTATCTAATTTTCTATTTTGATTCAATTGCTGCCCAAGACAATTTCAACCTACTTTATTATTTATCTGAAAGAGTTAAGAATTATCAGGATCACGTTACCGAGGAAACGGAAGAATCCACAAATGACGAGGATAATAATGTCACCGAGAATAGTTCTAGCGATAAAATGTATATGATCAGTGAGTTATCTCAAATGATTTTGTTGCAATTGAAAGAAAAAAGAAACTGGCAACATTCACCGTACCCTGGTAAGTTAAATCTACCAAGTGACTTATTTAAACCTTTCCTTTCTATAGAGGAAGCTAGAACTTCATTCAAGACCTACATTGACGAGAAGTATATTGAATCCTTGAAGTCAAATATCAAGATTAAGGTTGGGAAGATTGTTCATGCATCTCAAACTCAAAGACAAAGAGCTCAGAAAAGATTACTTGCTAGCGAATATAATCAAAATTCTGACAAAAATAAGAAGAATGGGAAGAGATCTCAAAGAAAAAGAGGTCGTCATGATGACGGTGATGATGACGATGACGATGACAATTTGTCTGATGAGAACAAAAAGCCCTCAAATATACCAGTTAGAAAGAGTTCTAGAAGGACACGGAAGGTGGACTATAGAGATGATTCGGATGATTCAGATTAGTTGAAAGGAATAAAACTGTGACAAATATAAAACTTGCTAACTTTTTACGCTCATGGGAAAGAAGGGAATATAATGCATTTGATTTATTAACGATATAGATTTATCTATGATTATATATATGTATGTCTATATAAAAATTGCAAGAAAACAAACTTGATATTAGCATTCAGTTACAAAGATTGAAAAGGCTCAAACTATTCTTGGAACCCAAAAAATCTCATAACTTCATCCTTTGGTTTGGATTCAATCAATTTTTTTAGAATATGCAATTGTGCACTCTCATTCGTTGGGAGTGTACTTGGGGTCTTAATGGAATCTGTATAATTTTCTTTATGACTGTCTAATTTATCAGTGGCAACTTCACAAAGTTCTTTGAAATCCCACATTTTCTTTAATGTTTTATCTTTGTTGTGATTACTGATATTGAAATAAAGCAACGGAATAATGTCAGTTTTCTTATGACCATCTTTAAAAGTCATTAATTTATCAATCAATTGCTCCTCCATTTTAAAATTTCTGGCTCTTTCAGCTTGTTTAAAATTATATATTTTACTGAAAAAATCCAATTGAATTGATTTTTCTTCTATTAATGGAATAGAGTTATTATCCTCACCTGTAGCAATTTTCTTAAAAGTTTCAGTCATATCTTTTGTACCATCTGATCGTATTTCATCTAATTCAATTTCAATATCACCATTATTATAAAAATTACAGGATAGATCTGGTTTAAAAAATTTCTGATGTCTTCTCTTAAGTCTTCTATTTATTTCAGTATTAGCATGCAAAGGACATTTCCATTTTAAACCGAGGTTCTTTAAAGAAGCTCTTGGTACATCTGGTACACAATCTAAATGCCATGGTGTATTACAATAATCGCATTTGATTAAGAGCCTCGAATCCTCTGGATGTTCCCATGAACCAAACCGAGTGGTACCACATCTATAACATAATAAAAATGTTTCATCTTCACCAAGAGTATTCACAGTATCATTTACATAATGATTTTCTGGGTTATAACTATCAAGTTTTGATACACTTTGTCCGTATGGAGCATTAAACAGAGTCTTATAAGGTAGTTCAGGTTTTTCAGTAGAATTTGAATATTGCCCTCTGTCTCCAGTCTTTACAGAACTAAAAGTATCCTTAATATGTTTAGGTAAAATAAATTGTCTTGGATTATAACTTTGACTTTGAAACAATAATTTTGAAAACATTTTTGAACCACCATTGGTAATTGTGGTTTTTGTGTATTCTCTCTCTCCTTTTATAGTTTGGGTAGGATTTGGATATAATTTTTTAAATCTACAATTTGGACATGACCAATCACCTTCTGGTAAATTATTTGGATCTACAGGTGGATCCAAACATAAGAAGTGGAATGATTTGGGACAAGTATCACAACATAGGAATGAACCTGTTTGTAAACATGAAGAACAAAAATCGTCATTTTCTATTAAGTTATCCACAGTGTTTTCTTCTTCAACATCGGGTGATTCTTGATAATTTATTCTCTTTTGGTGTCTTAAATTATTTGGTTCTTGTGATGATTCTGTGCTACTACCACTTATATTGTTATTATTGTTATTGTTACTTCCATTAGCTCTTGATTTCACTTCGGTCTTATTTAATATATTTTGATTAAATAACTGACTATTTTTAATCTCTGCGCTCTTAATCTTTACATGAGGTTTTGGTAAAACTACATCTGTATGAAGTTCTTCTTTCATCTGAGGTGATGTGATGATCCCGTCATCATTTTCCTTAAGTTTATTTGATTGTATCTTAGAAATAGAGAATCTTAAAGTACTTGATTTCGTTATATTTTCGGATTCATTAGTACGTAATGCTTTATTGTATGCATTTAATGTTTCCCAATTACTCATCGTATCATTATCTTGCTTATTCGAAGCCACTAAATGTCCCTCAGAGTTAGAATTGTTATTAGTTGACACAGTAGAAGGTTTTTTATAATTCCATAAACTATCTTTCTTAATCTTTTGTGTTGGTCCATGACTTAATGGTAAACCCGTAGCCTTATTCAAAATATCATTTGTAAGGGTATTTAATTTGTGCGATGAATTATTATTACTATTATTTATATTATCATTATCACTATTTTCATTTAATTGATTCTGACCCTTAGATAAATCATTCATTCCAATAACGTTCCCTTTACTATCATATATATATAAAGGTTCCAACGGCTGTATACTTTCACCTTGTATTTCATTTTCCAGATTTGATCCATTCTTCTTATCTCGTTTATCTTCCACAAATGCCTGAATAATCTTTCTCTTTTTCAAATCATAGTTCACATTCAAAGACGAAGCCCTCTTGGGTCTATGGCCTCTGTCCTGTGATGAGGGTGTATGAGATTCCATTTGGGTTTTTTTTCTCTCTCTCTCTCGATCCACTAAACCTTGGAAATCTATGCTCAAGATACGTTCTGAACTAGTAAATAAATCCACTTAGTGTATATATCTCCTGTTGTTCTTTAATAATTGTTTTACTGAACCTTTCCTTCTTGCTTTAACGTTTTTCGTGTCTTTTTTTCTCTCTATGGTGATGAACGATATTTTTTTTTTTGAAAATTATTGACAGAGAAAGACAGTGGCAGCCATTAAATCAATAACAACAACTGTAGTATATACCTATGTAAATGTCTGTGCACTGCTTTATACAAGCTTGTTCGAACTGCACAAGCAGCTTGAATATAATTAAAACGACCTTCTCCCAAACAAATGTGTCGAAACATGTAGCAATATAGCCTCAACTGGAAAGGATTGAACAGTAATTTTCAATGGCTGATCACTTGGGACGACCAGCGTAATCTTTTCATTTTCCAAAAATATTCAAAATGAAGAACCACCGCAAGCAACACTCTCTGCTTGAACTATTTCAATGGCTCATGTTACTCTCAACTGTCATCGTTCTTGTCTTGTGTCTAGCTATGAGGAAAACTTTGAATTGTAGATCAGTTTGCACATATACATATATAGACTAAATTCGAGGAAGGATGGATGCAGAACTTCAGGCTATCAGGGAGGCCCGTCTAGCGCAGTTGAAAGGTGGTAACGGTGGGAACGCTTCCAGCGGTAACAATAGTAATAACAATGCCACTGGCGGTAGTGCGAATGTTGGTTCTTCAGTGGCTGCATTCTTAGAGGCAGGTGCCTTAGAAAGACTCTCAAGAGTTGCATTAGTGAGACCTGATCGTGCTACTGCTGTGGAACAATATGTGAAACAATTAGTCTCCACGGGTCACCTGACACATAAGATTAATGAACAAGAGATTATACAGATTCTAAATGGTGTTGCTAGAGAGCAAAACAAGCAAACAGAAACCAAGATCATCTTCGACCGTAAAGATAAAGGAGTGACTATGTCTGCGGGAACTAATAGCAAGAACGAGCAGTATGATTCCGAAGATGATTTCTTCGATGAATGAGAGTGTCACACACACACACACACACACACACACACACACACACACTCACTCACTGCGGTTCTCAACAAACCAGGAAATAAATTCTATATAGATACATAAATGTCGATATATAATATTATAAAAGATGATCATGATTATGTGAAAAGAGATGATATGGGCTCAAAGTTTTCTTTCCATTGATTGATTGGTGCGGCTGTCTCTTGGTATATAATATCGATATTTTTCTGTTTTCCCGATTCCCATCAAGAATTCCAATTTTGGAACAAATTATATATATAAAAGAGAGAGAGAGAGAGAGAAGGAGAATGTGGGTACTTCACACCAATAATGCTGATGAGAAAAGGTATCTAAAGTACGGTTTTAGATCGGTGACATTACACGATAGATATAGATATAGTGAGGAACACAATGTCTCAGGGGAACTCTGATATACAACTACCAAAGATTAACGTCTCAGTTGAGGAAAATATCAAAGAACATGAACAAGATGAGCAAATTAAATCTCGTCAAACGAGGTTTAAAATACCCACAATACAAAATTCTAGGAATGATGCATATCGCCAACAGCAACAATTACAGAAGGATAATCAACCTATAATTATACAACAACAACCAGGTTGTTCTACCCTTGGTGGATCGAGAGGTGGCGGACTTGCCAGAATGGGAGGTGGTGGAAGACAGAAGGTTAGATTAGCTCCAGGTCATAGTGCATTAGATTGGAGTGATTTGAATAAGAAATTGTTACAGGATAAGTCTCGAAGTAATGAATTATTATATGGTTTACGTACAATGCTTGAAGATGAAAATCAAGTTACTATTCTAAAAAGAATTAATTCAGAAAATATGGATACGTTATTGAAATTATATCGATTTAATATTCCATGCCATTTATTGCATCCTCCATTACGTATCAATGAACAGTTATTACGACTCCATCAAAAGGATGAACATGAATTTTGGACAGTAATTCATGGAAACGTTTATTGTATTGGTTCATATATGAAATATCATCCCGGTGGTTCAGAGATATTAGTTCATTATGGTGAAAAATTTGTAGATGTTGGATTTTGGTTTAATAAATTTCATCGATGGGTAAATTATGAAAAATTATTACAGAATTGTTATATTGGTAAATTCGTTAAGGATAAATGATATAAATTAAATTCTAACCAGACCTATACCTATATATATTTGTATTTATTCCATCTCTGTACATATATGAATTGATATTTTCTATTTATTTTGTGATAAAAGGTTGTAAAAATTATTTAAGGATAATCTCCGTTACATCCGATCAATTTGTTCTTGCCATTCTTTCATCTTTCTTGAGTAAAGTTCACCATAATGAGCCTTTGATTCTTCATCCAAAGCTTTCCATCTAGTTGAAGTAATCTTTGATTTTTCAACAAAATCTAACATTGGATATTCTTCATTTAATTTTGGCCTAATTTCGTTAGCAAATAAAACAAATGGGCCAGCAGGTTTCTTTGGTGGTAAAGTCTTTGAAAATTCACCCATCATAATTGAATGAGCCTCTGAATTTCTAGCTGCATTATCCTTATATGGTTGCTTTTCAATATCTGAAAGAGAATTCCATTGTTGAGAAATTAATTTTGTCATGTCAGGATTTTTCATTTCTGGATGATTCTTTGATATAATAGGTCTTTGTTCTGCACAATATAATAAGTATGAATTCAATGGTCTCTTTGGTTTATTTTTCATTATTTCTTCTTTCTTAAGAATTCTTAATTTAGCAGCCGAAGGAATTCCACGAGCTGCTAACATTATGGAACCTGTAGAGAATGTTCTACATAGCGATAATGAAGTTGATGAGGCAGTCAATCTAGAGAATGATAACATTTTTGTTGATAACAATAATATTTTTTTACAGCAGTAGTTAACTATTGATAATAGTATATATATATACTCAGCTTATATTAACCTATGCTTATCTTGTTTAACGTAGGCCTAAAAGGGGGGGAGGAGCGATGTCTCTCTTCTTCTTATATATTTGGATTATTTACCTTAAAACCAAAACAAAACAAATAAAGAAAATTGCGTCAGACGCGTAGTTAAATGGATGGAGAGGGTAACGGTAGAAAGCAGTTGATTATCGAATTATTAAATCCTTTTAAAGAGACACTGGTTCTGAATTGTTGTCTTTATATACGCTTAGTAAAGATACACCCCCCTTGATACTTCCCTTTTGTTGTTTACTTTTTGTAAGTAATTCAAAGATGTTAAATTGACATCCCTGGGAGACACTTTGTGACACATCACATTTTCCTCTTCTGGCTGTTTGTATATAATCACATTTTACAACTCTGTACACAAAAAAATCATAGCCATATGATCCTCTCACCTACCAGATACATACTATATATATATATATGTACCAGAATGCTCCCTGGCCACTTGTAGTTCTAGTACTCCTTTGTTTAACATTGCTGATACTGACAGAGGAACATCACTTGCCACGACTAGGGCCCCCGTTTAGCCCTTCGAAAAAACAGACTGCGCCCGATAAGTTCAAAAAAGTTGATGAAATCTTGAAGAAGAGGAACCACATAGCTAGTAGAACATGAATATAAATAAATATATATGTATAAATGTATAAACGATGAGAAGATCGAGGAGGTTAGCGGATATAAAAGGGAAAAGTTTTCATTGAGATTCTATTGAATATCCATTCCTGAGTATTAATCACATATATAGATAAAGAAAAAAGGAGAGCGCGGTTATAGTATTATCAAGATGGCTTTAAGTATTAAACAATTCATCAATGTAGCCGGTATGGTTAAAGATTTAAAGAGTTTCAATTTTAGTGTATATGGGAGATGGTTTGGTTACATTAATATTATCCTTTGTATAGCGTTAGGAATAGCGAATTTATTCCATGTAAATGCTGTGGTAGCATTTGGTGTAATAGCTATAGTACAAGGTGTTGTTATCTTATTTATTGAAGTACCATTCTTATTAAAAATATGTCCAATGTCTGATAATTTTATTGAATTTATTAAAAAATTTGAAACTAATGGTTGGAGATGTGTCTTTTATTTAGTTAATGCAATTATTCAATATTGTTCAATTGCTTTAATGGCAACAAGTCTTATTGTTTGTGCCGTTGGTTTAACTATATCTGCAATGTCATATGCAGTTGCATTTTCAACAAAACAAGAATTTCAAAATACTCATATTATTAAGAGTCCAACAGATGATGATTTCCCACATGAAGCTGTTGTTAGGGAAATGTTATAACATATACGTATTTTTTTTTATAATACACTAAATTTACATATTCTACAATATATATGTATATATATATAAGGGAAAAAATGTGTTTGAAATTGATAATTGTTTTTATTATTTTTTTTAGAATAATGAATATAAGATAAATAAAGGGTTTTTTTGTATATATATTTTAAATATAAAAATGAATATGGAATATGTTCGATTTGTTATTGAATGTCAGCTAAAAAAAAAGAATAAATTAATATTATTAAAAGTTCACAAGGATATTATCGAAAACGAGCGGAATATAAAATAATTAAAAAAAAAAGATCATCATTATGCATTATTTTGGTCAATTAATTTGTTTAGGACTCTTTTAACATCTTCTTTGTTTAATACACCTTCATTTAACAATGTTTTGATGTTGTTATTATTATTATTGTTACAATTTGGACCATTTGATTGATCTAATTTTATGTTATGAATGTTGTTGATATGATTAGTACTAGTGGATTTTTCCCAATGAAAGGTTACACTATGATTTTTTAATTCATCTAATAAATATGTACTATGTTTTAATTTCATATGTTGTAATAAATTATCTTTTCTCTTATGTCTTGATAAACACCAAGGACATAAGAAATGTCTTTCAGCAGAATGTGATAATAAATGTCTCTTTAACCAAGATTTTCTTTTAAAAGATTTTTCACAAAGATGACAACCATGAATATGAACCATTGAATTTGATTCCTCAACACGACGATTTAATGAATTATTGTTGAAATTATTCGTGGTTGTATGTTGATGAGATAAACTACCATTAGTACGTAAACGAATATTTTGATTATGAGGATGATGAAGAATATTATTATGGTTTAATACATTAACAATATTTTTACCATTTATTGTTGTAACACTTGATCTTGGTGGATAACTATTTTGTCTATGTTGATTATGTTGTAACATTGGTAATTGAGTCTTTATGTGACCAGTTCCATTGACCGATGATGATGATGTAGTCGAGGATGATGGTACAGAAGTAGCAATAAATGGTACTTTGTATAATGGTTGTTGATTTTGAATAGACATTTGATATAATGGTGAATGTTGAATATTATTATTTGCAGTTGATGAAGCAGATGATGATGAAGAGGAAGGTGATGAAATTGATGAAGGTGATGTACCATTTTGTGATTGTGAACGCCAATGATAAAGGAAAGGTGAAGAAGATGAAGAAGATGCAGCTGCAGCTGCAGCATTAGTTGCTGCAGTGTTAGAAGTAGGATGATGATTATAAAGTGATGAATTACCAACCACACTATTATTACTGTTTAACCTCATTGGTAATAAATTATTTTTATCATTGTTATTTTGATAAGTAATATTATTACTATTATTTATATCATCATGAATAATCGGTGGAACCATATTTGAATTTGTTTGATATAATCTAGGTAAAGTTTGCTGATACTGATAATGTGGAGATTGAGATTGTGGGAAAAATCTTTGTTGTTGAATTAAATTATTAGAAGTAGTAGCAGCGTTATCATCATGTGGTGAAGGGATTTGCAAATTCACACCATATGAAGAGTAACCATTTCTTGGTGTATTTGTAATTGTACCATTTGAATTATTATTTGTTAAAGGATGTAATAAAGTTCTTTCGTAATCTTTACTTGACAGTAAAGAATGGTGATGTTGTTGTTGTTGTTGTGGTAATGATGAATGAGAGTGACTCATAGTAGCAGATGCACCATTAGCATTAGTAGTATTAGTCCAATAATTCATTGTTAAAAAATTTAGTGTTCTATTAATTTATTTTTCCAGGATGAAAAGAGACAGAAATATTATTTCAGTATGATCCCCTTAATTTTGTTAAATCTTTTTTTTAATCAGATATATATATATATAGGCAAATAATAAAAGAAAACCTTTTTTTATTCTATTCTATTTTATTCTTTTTTGACAGTTGAGTATAATTTGTTGTTGTCTGTGCCTATATATTAAAAAAGGTTAATAGACAATAAGGAAATTCTCGAGATGTTTAAAATGCAATCCTTTTTAGAACCGATAAATGATTTCTAATAATTAAGCGATCAGAGAAAAAGCCGCGCAATTCAGTTAGTATGTAGCAAAAAATATAAAAATGTAAATTTGCTTTTTTTCTTTCTTTTCTATTTGTACGGGGCGTTGTGTGCAAAAATGAAAAAATTTGGAATAAAAGAGCGATAATTTTGTTGTGTTGCTGTTTTTGTCTTCTCGTCCGTTAAATGAGAGAAAATTGTATCGAAAAGCTAAAAGGAAAAGTGTTGAAACAAAATTTGTTTTTTTGGGGGATTTAAAAGCGAAAAATGCGATCTAATTTTATTGAATCAAATTAAATCTTGAAACAAAGTATGAATAAATAAATAAGGAAATAAATAGCAAAGAAGAAGTGAAAAAAGGGGAAAATTGCAAGGAAAGGAAAATTCTGAAAAGAAAAATAAATAAATATTTAACCTTGTATCTTCTTTCCTTATATATGTTGGTCGAGAACAGTCCTTTGTAAATCTAAATAAATTATTCTTAACAGAGATATTAGAAATTTGTTATAAATTCAATGAAGAAATGAAATGAAATGAAATAAAGACAAAAAGGCAAGAAACCTTGCAAGAAACCTTCGTACAATAAAGGCAGAGAGAGGGAACTAAATTTGTATACATACGTATTGACATATGACCTACAGAAATAAAATAAAAAAATTGGTGAGAATTAACCGATTCTCGAATAACTAAAGCCTTTCCCTCTTCACACGAAACAAACCAACAATTCTGACTGCAAATGTATTTTCTTAGGTAATACTTACTAGAATGACAGATGGGTAGAAGAAGTTGGGAAACTAAAAGTTTAAAACACGCCAGTTTAGTTACTTTGTTACAAAATGAAGAATAGGAACCACGCAAGAATTATCCTTTTTTTTTCATTCAATAAATCAAAATATGATAAGGAACTTTTAATGAAAGTTAGCCTACTATTGTGCTGTTGCTGGTTCTCCCCCCACACAAACTTGTATGTAGTTTTCCACCCAAGAAAAAGCAATAAGTATATATTGATGTACAATGTTAAAGTATCAGATTGTCCAATTAATGAAGAGAGGCAAATGAAACAACTCTTACCCTTATTTTCCTTAGTACTCATTCCTCGAGGGGTGCATACATGTTATTATTATTATTATCATTATTATCATTATTATACATTTGTTAAGATTTTGGAGGAAATCTTTGCAAATGCCAATAAAATGGGTTATTTGTAATAATTTTTTCACGTTATTCTAAATTAGGTGAATTTTATACCGAGTCTAGACATTGGCAATCAATTATTATTAATGATTTCTTTTTTCCCGGTTGTTCATGAGTTGATGATGATAGGCCCGCCGCGTACGCCGTCTTGAAAATTGAGCATATCCCGCAATTATCGGGATAAAACAATTTCTAATCTCTTTAAAGAAGCGGTGCCAAGGTTCTTTGGAAGAGTTTCCTTCGTCTCTTTCAGTGAAAGATTGACAATGCACCATGTGAAGAAAACCTCATCGAATGTTTAAGAGAACCACGAAATTTGTTTTATTCATTACAGTTTCAAGGTAAAATCCAGGGGAAATAAGGAAAACTTGTGCGCATTCGCGGCTTTGAGGAGGAGTGTCGTTAGCCTTCACAATTACCAATTCCTACGCGCATAAAGTTTCACCTATTAACAGAATGTAAATGGAAAGAAAGAAAATCATAATAATAATAATACGTCACATATGTAAAATTTATATACTCATAGTATTATCTTTTTGCCATCTCTACTGATATTTCTCTGCACGATACCTTTATTCTCTCTATTACCTAGAGCTGACGTAACCCTTACGGATCCGTTTATAGTTCCACTTCCTTTTCGAAAACTTTTATGCACGATTTTATTGTTTCTTCTCATATTTAGGAGTTTCCCCAAATATTTTTAAAAAAAAGAGAATTGTGTATTTTTTATTGACTTTTTTTATTCAAGTATCTCTATCCCGCTCTTCTCAAGGGTTCTTTCTACCGGTACGGCTAACAGTAACACTTATTCCTCTTCCTCAAATTTTGTAATGCGGTTTTACGGACATTTCTTCTAACAACCAATTAAATTGCATCATTTTTACCTCTAAGATGATTATTTTTTTTCTTCTCCTTCACCTTATCTTAGAAATCATATATAATATTGCATTACCTTTATTTATGTACTACAGAATTAATCATTTTGACCAATCAATTTTGAAAGATTACTGCTATCTCTCCCTTCTAACCACCTTGATAATTTTAATTTGGGCAATTTCTTTTATGTACACCAAACATTTTAAATGTATATCGTGTAAGCAACAACAACAATCTCGCAATCGAATGATGACTATTTACTTATTTTTGATTTCTTAATTATATGTTCATTACTATTTAATTGACCTGATGCTGCCTTTCCCCTTCTTTTAATGCAAACAAACTATCAGGTGTTCCTAAATGTTATCAAATGATCAACGTTACATTTTACTCTTGTCCTCTTATAAAATAACAAGAAAAATCATTTTTAATAGATAAATGGTACGAGATTTCTTTGTTTGTTCGAGCTGCCTCTTCTTCTCAATTAGGTGCCATTATCACCTATTTGGGATATTTTTTGTCCATTTTAGGTTAAGTTGACAACCAAATTATACTGATCCTCTTTTTTTTTTTTATTTTTTTGGTTCAACTTATTAAAACTTATAATAACAGATGTCCTTTTTATGCATATGTATCTCCCCCTTAGATTGATCTGCATGGGAATCTCTTATGTAATTAAGAGATACATACCAACAACAAAAATAAAGTGTATTAGATTTATATTAATCCTATAAATTAATTTATCGGTAAATAATATAAATAATATATTGGCTTAATTACAATTTTTTGAGTATCTTTTACATTTTTTGTCTTATTATTACTTCTTGTTATTCTTTTACTTATTTTTTTAATCGTATCTTGTGGTGACCATGGTGTTAATTTCATTCCAATGGATTTATAAAAATTTATTGCATTATAATTATCACTAAATACAGTTAATTCAATACCAATAAATGATTTATTATTAACTAAATATATTTCTTTACTACAATTTAGTAAATTTTCATTTATTAATTTTGATCCAATTCCTTGTTTTCTAATTATTGATAACAATTGAATCTCGTATAAATAAATTACAGAAATTTCTTTACCATCAAATTCATCTTCATTCGTTAACATAAATGACATAAATAAATATGGTTCATCATTTAATTTATAAATTATATAAATTAATCCAGATGATTTCATTTCATTAAGTTTATTTATTTTCCATGGTTTATCATTTTCATAAATTAATTTTGATATTTTACTATATTTTTCACCTAGATTGATATCTAAAATCGTTAATAATTGTAATAGTTTTTCTTGATGAATTAAATTTGTTTCATCATATTGAATAATATTCTTAATTTCATCACATTGGTTAATTGACGGCGAATCAACTGGTTTCATATATAGTACATCTCTTTCTAAATATTTTATTTCATTATTTATTGTAATTGGTATAGTTAATGGAAAATTGTTTAATGTAATTTGTAAAAAATCATTAAACACTTCAGATTCATTCATTGTTCGTCTTGCCTTTTTCTATCTGCTTGTATAAAGGGATATTATCAATAGTTCATATGAATTTTGTTATATATGTAAACTAATTATATTTTCACCTGTGTTTTTTTTACGCGTATCTTTTCATAAACGCGTTTTCATTTTTTTTTCATTTTTTTTTTACTTTATTTTTACCTTTTAGGAAATTTGTGAGACACTTCTTACCAATATATTTAAGAATAGCATACAAACATAAATCACCTTCTTTGTAAAAAACAACAACAACAGCTTCCACTTTCTTTCCTAAATAGACACACAATTATATCAATCTTGTTTTGCTAATATTTACTTATGCGATATTTCGAAGTTATGAACACGGAAATACAACATTTCCTCTCTCTCTATTGTGACTTGTTTTTGACGTCATGGTTAACAATGAAACTAATATCGAAAATATACTGATAACGAACAATAATAAAAATTTCAATCCCATTAGGAGAAAAAAAAACGTTCATTCATTTCAGGGTCAGTACATCCAAGTAAAATATTACTTTTCTCTCTCTGTCTAAATTTTTCTTCTTTGATTTTTCAGTTTCAATAGATTCCGTAACCGGTGTTCCATTGTTCTCACCTAATCCATTCATCCCTCATGGTCTATTGTTTTATCAATAAATAAAAAAACTGAACGAAAGAGAGAGAGAGAGAGAGAGAGTATATATATATATATATATATATATATGTGTGTATAAGCTCCCTATTGTTTTCCTCACTTTATTATATTAAAGACAAAGGAAATCAGCAGAAATAAAATACTTTAATTTTATAGTTTAAGTTGACGACACTATTAAGGTTTATTCGAAAATGAAATAAAGGAAAACTTCGTCCCCTTTAAATTATTCAAAATATTTTATTTCTTTTATTAGAATAAGTTTTTGTGCTGATCGTTCGTCCCTTCATTCGGGTACCAATAACTTTTTTTTATCCATGTACCTACCTATACAGATATCATCTTTTCAAAACAATTTTTCCTTGTACATTTTCCTTAAATCTTCATACCCTCCCTATTCTTAAAGGACGTATCTTTAACTAATTTTTTATATATTGTTACTTTGCGAATGTTATATTTATAACAATAACAAGAAATTTGGTTGAAATTATGGGTGTCACGCCTATTTATCCCGCGTTAAACTTGAATTTGATTATGAAAGGATATGAAAATATTTAAAGAAAGAAAGAAACCGTGGGAGGTTGTATTATTTAGAACAATATAAATAATTTTGTCCAATAGATACAACGAATACATGATCAATTAAGAATAGATTATATCATTATGAATCACGGTTAACTTATGTTGTTGTTTTTCTTGCTATATTTTTACTCACTAAAGGCACATCGTTTAGTTATGTCGAGAACAACATACAAATAAGGCTTAATGTTATTTTCTTTTCATTAAGCTCATTATTGTCGTAAAGTAGGCTTTTTAAGTTTTGATTGTTTTTGTTAGAAACCGCATTCTTGAATGGTAAGTAATAATAAAGGAACACACTACAAATTATAATTCGTTGAATGGAAGCCTGTTGATAAGACACTGGTTACTGTATCAGATCAATATCGTTTATTTTTTTTTAATGGCTATAGATTTACAGGAATAATATTTCACTAAATAATAATATAGATTATGTTTATCCTGTATTTTTTAATTCTATCTCAATGGTCGATAAAATTCGTACCAACAAAAAAAAATAAATAAAACACAAAGAAATTTTATTCGAGAGCATTCCTTTATGGGAAATAAAAACATGAATTGTACCAAAGTTGGTAAAACTTTAAACTTTTTCAAATAAAATCTAGACCCTTTATTATCAACAACAAAATAAAAATAACTCAAATTAAGTCGTAAATAGATAGAAAAAACTTTAATATTGATGTCATCTTAGTTTTTTTTTTTATAGCCTGTCTTTTCTCGAAAGTATGACTCTAAATTTGTTTATCTTTTTCTCCGATGACAAATAATCATATTGTAAATTATAACCAAATTTTTTAATATGAATCTTAACCAGAAGTTTATTTACTCATTTTGTTTCAGTCTCCATTTTATTTTTCATAATATTCATCTTGGAAGGATGTCGTAACTATTTTATTGTTTTCACGTAAAGAAAATAAGATGTTAACAACAGTACCGTAAGCAAAATTGGATTATCATTGATCCTTTCTTCATAATCAGATCTTCATTATCATATAACAGTTGTATGATTTTCTTTTCCTTTTTATGCCTTACATGTCTCTGTTTCTTTTGATGCAAAAAAATGGACTTATTCTACATATATTTGTAGGGGGGAGAACGAACGTGAGAGAAAAGGAACTTTGAGATATTCTCGGTGTGACACCTGCTAATCATAATATAGTACTTTTAAAAAATTTTCAACCAGTGACCATCACAGAGACAAAGGTCCAGATATTAGAGATCAGAAACTAATCGTTTGAAGAACAATCGAAATATTATTTTTTTTAGAAAGAAAAAAAGAAAGCAAAATTAATATAATATCAGCTGTGCCACTGCAATATGAGTCAACTTGAAAAGCCATCAGAAGTTGTCAAAACAACTTAAAATACACGTTTTTATGCAACTATATGTACGATCTTTATTGCAAATTTTTAAAATCAATGTATGATGTGGGGGAGTAACGAATGAATAACGTTGACGATGACATTTTAGATGCTTGACAGTCTAGACCACAATCAATTATGACGGCATGTGATATTCCATCTCATTTTTATTCTATTATTTTCCAAACACAGTTCATTGTTCTTGAATTTAATATTGCTTCATAATATAATATACTTTTATTTCATTAGACTTTAACGGAAATATCGTATTCAGGTAGTGAATTTGCCAAAAAAAAAAAAATTGAAGTGAAGTGGGATATACACAACTAAGAACTGATCGAATATGAATACTAAAGTGTAAACAATAGAGAAAGGGAATGGAGTTAAAATACAATATACTTATTTACTTTTTTTAAGAAAAATAAAAATAAAATCACAAAAAAAAAGAAAAAAAATGATCATACGGAATACATATTGTTTATGGAGATGTATCTAAATTCGTGTCTATTTGCTATTACTATTCTTGTCTATTTTTTTATTTTGCTATCTGAATGTAAATCACTCTATGAAAACTACATAATTTTACATCACTTACACCATTATTACCCCCCACACATACCGTCATATAGGAGTTGTTTTTGCTAGAAAATGTATACTATGTTTACCATTCATTATCTTTTTGTCTCAAGAATGTGTATATCATGATTCAATTATACTAAAATGCTTGTTTTTCATTTTTTGTTTGCTTACTTCATTCCTATTGGAAAGGAAGAGTGCCTATAAATTTACAGCAAATAATTTATTTGAATTGATAAAAGAAAAGAAAGGAAAAATAGTTCTTCTCATTGCTTATGAGAAGAAATTCATGATAACACCAGTAATTGATTTTGTTTATCATTTGTTTTAAACTAACTTTAAAACTTTAACTTTTAAAACAAATTCAGATTGTTGTTTTTACTAGGAGCCCGTGAATAAAAAAATTTACTATTGCTGTTGCGTTACGCTAATAAAGTTCAGCGTGTGGTTGTTCCATCAGTTGATCTTTCAGATGAAATGAATAATTAGTAATTTTAAAGTCGCGGACTACAGAGATTTCTTCGTTCGGGAAAAAACATTTTCTGCGCCATTAGTTTAAGAAATAAAAAGGATGAAGTAAAAACACTATTGGTTCCTACACACACGCGCAGAGAATACAGGTAAATAATGGAAAAAAAAAAGGAAAGAACAAATTTTTTGGGGATAGTCGCAAAACACAACATGCACAGTAAGAAAGACGCAGGAGTGAAAAATAATTAACAATATCCATAAAACTAAAAAAATGATATACGTAATTTTACTCTTCCGAGAAAGGGTTGGACATAGAACAATAAACCTCTTCACATGTGCTTTTCAAATCAGATCGAACAATAATGAATTAAAGTTTCTTCCAAAGAAAAAAAAATAGATATTTTCCTCGGAACTATGCAGAAAAAAAATGGGAACAAAAGAGAAATATAACAGTCTGCCTTTTTATTTTTGCTGCATTGGGTAGGTCGCTGCATGATGTACGCAAGTTTTTATTTCGTTGTTGTCGTTGTTGTTGTTTTGCAAGTTATGGACCTAATCTGGAGGTTCTGACTATACTTCCAAAGAAAGCAATACAGAGCTACTTAGCAAGAGTGCGTGGATATTAAAGAATGTTCCAAGAAGAAATGTGGTCACAATAACAATATAAAATCCCAATTAAAAAAAAAGGAACAAGAATTATACAAAACTTTAATATAGTCTCCCTTAAAATTTATATTACATCGTTATTTTCTCTATCGGTTATGTAATTAGGATTTTTTTGTTCTTTCCAACTAATTTTCTACACCCTTTCTTCTTATAACCCCCACGTCCCTGCAAGGAACTGCGGTGATTCTCTTTTTAAAAAAAAGTTCTTTTTCTGAGTTTTCTTTGTCTTTAAAAGAAGAAGAATTGAAAGAAAGAAAAAAATAAATAATTTAACAGATAGTTCAACCAAATTGATGTACATAAAATAATACCGTAGAGAAGCTAAGTACGGTTGTGCGGCACATTGAGTATTTTTGGGGGAAAATAAATAAATTAGGATCAGCATACTGCCGGGTGTTCTTTCAGGGCTATTGTTTTAAACTTTGTTTTTAAGGTTTTTAACAATCGATGGACAAAAACAAAGAGGACCATGAAGATGATGATAACATAATAGAACAAAATAATTATTTTTCCTATGCATCTTTTTTTAATTCAATAACTAATTATATTTTCCTTGATAAAAAAAATAAAATTATAATATTTGCTTGTTTTTTTAACTCAAAATTAATTGATTTAAGTTTATGCAAAGAAAGGATTGAAAGAAACGAAGAAGAATTCTGAAATGAAAAGTACAAAATTGCCTCTATTGTTTACACTGATAAATTTTCCTTTTATTTCTCTGTTGTTCGATAATGGTATCTCTCTCTCTCGTTGATTTTTGGTCGTTGCTGCTTTTACTTTTTAACTATTTATGTTTATTCTTTTGTTCTTTTCATTTTGAAAATAAATTTCAAGTTTTCAATTTTGCTGTTTGAGTTTGAGTGAGTAGTCCCTACTTTTGAACTTTGAAAGGGTTAAAAGATTTTGAATCATTTTGAGTTCATCTCTTTGCAACTTTATTTTACTGTTTTTTGCACTTTTGAAATTAACAATACAATATTACAATCGATTGAATTGAAGAAAAGAAAGAACCATAAAACTTATACTACTCTTTGAAAATCTTTACCATCTTAATTTAACAATCTACGCAACTCATTTTTCGTATTATTAAATATTGTTATTATATTTAGATAAATTCTTTCAAGTATCTATTGTTCTTGTTAGGTGATAATGTCTATGGGGGGGATAAAAAAAGGAATAAGACCGATGATTATATTGTAATCTTCCATGATAGAATAGTAGTTAATTTTCTTACCGTCGTTTTGTTCTGGTTGTTTCATCTGATTTTGTGTCCCTTCTTTAAATGAGTCTTTTACGCTTCATTTTTTTTTTCTAAATACCCTTTCTCCTCTCTTTCTGTTCTCTACAGTATTAAGCAAGCACCTTGTTTTTTGTTGTTGTTTTTCATTTTATTCCATAATCATGATAAACTTGGACCTATCCATTCATTTATTCATTATCTTGGTCATCCTGAACCTTAATTTCAAGCACAGTTAAATATGTTCAAAAAGAAAAGAAAAAGAACATTTAATCTTCGTAGCCGGTCAAACTTTATTAAGCATATATAAGGTGACAACAAGTCACCTTAAATAATAATTTTAAATCCTTAAACCTTCTTTTCTTTTTTCTTTTCTAATACTTTAATTATTCCATAATCTTAATTTATTTTTTTTTTCCTTCCTAGCAGTTTTATTCTATTTTTTCCCTCATATTTCTTCTCTTTTCTTTGCAAGTTATTAAAATATAACTAATTACTAGCACAGGTTATTTAGTATCCCAACTGATTTGTGGCCATCTTTGAAGAAGAATCGTTGAATATATATATATATTTATATTTATACATATATATAACAAAGGGTTTCAAAGTTGGGAAAAAAAGTACTTTACATTTTTAACATACCTGCACTTTCTGATTATTCACTAATATATTTTACAGCTTACCATTAATTTTATTTCATTTCACTTTGTTCACTATTAATATTAGTACTATTTCTTTTTTTCACTCTATTTGAAATATCGAAACTATCGATACGTTATAACAATTATTATATTTAAATTTACGAGTTTTATAGAAATTAAACGAAATTAAAAGGTCAATATCACATTGCATCTACTAGTCTGTGTTTTAAACGTAAAAACAGCTTCATAATATTTCGTTCATTGAAATTATATTTTACCAAGAAAAATATATCCTTTAGAACTTCTTCTCTCTGTTTCTTTTTCGTCATTATTAAAACTAAAGAATAAAGAGGAAGGGTTTACCAAGATTTATTATCAAAATAAATTTCTTACTAGTTATTGGAATTCTATAACTGAACCAATACAATTTTATTAAAATTACAAAAAGTTACATTTTCATCCATTTGTTCATTCCTTCTATTTTTGACGAAATAAATTAAATTACAATAGGAAAGCAAACCCCCATTATTAAACTTATACACTTTAAAGAATAAACTATTATGCCACCAATCCCCGCGGATACTAATACCGATTTAAAGAAATATTCAGTTAACTATGTCGTTAATCAGTTTGGCCCTGGAGGTTCAACCGCAGCGATTTCAAAGTCTATTGGTAATGATATTACAAATGTTACTACTACAACAACCTCACCAAAATTAATAAATATTCTGAATTCAACTGTAGAAAAAAATACTCCTAAAAAATTAAGTAAAAAGAATTTATTATTCTCGCAGGCAACTGACTTAATAGATAAGCCAATACCAACAGTTGTTTTAGGAAAACCAAGTAATGAAAGATCATATATTCTCTCGAATGTCAGTAGTGGTAACAAAATTAATAATAATGATTTCAAGATTCCATTAATATCAAAAAATGAAAGTTTGTCTATTTCAACAGGTGTTTCTGAATGTGGCAGTAATACGTCTTCAGTTTTAAATAATTCAGAGGAACCAAATGCGCAGTCTGTTTCTATACCAGATGTCGGTAATGAAACTCAAAAATTGAAGCCATTACAGATACCTGTACGTCGACATACAATGGATCATGGTAGTTTTATTATAAACTCGAAATCGGTTGATTCTATGCAAAATATTCCATCAACAAGCAAAATAAATAATAGCATATTTTCGTCAATTACACCCTCCTCTCTTCCATCAATAGGAAGAACTAATTCAGTTTTTGTTAACCCTGTCAGGAATGATGAAAATCACTATTATCCAATGACAAAAATTCAATTACCACCAGCAGGTAATCCAAACGAAGGTTACTACATAAAAGCTGTGGGACATCAACCAACTCGCGATTTAGGTTACGGCAGCATGTCTAGTACAAGATATAACAGTATTGATTCGAACGCAGTTGAGTTTGGGATGGGAAATAATTTAAGACAACTGGACAAAATACAACAGCCACAGGAGGATCCACACCAACAATATATCAATGTTCCTTATGCGGTAGGAGAGATGGTAACACAAAACCCATACCCAGGCAGCTATCCAAGTGGGAAATATCAAAGACGCACTACAAATGTTTACGTTCCGGGAACTACTGCGGTATATCGCCCAACTTCGAATATTTCAGTGCCCGTTCCACATATGTATCCCAAAACTGTCACAGATAATTCTAATGTTGAGCCCACATATGATAAATTTATTAGAGGTACTACTAACGAGTATACTCCTCACAATTCAACATATCCCCAATCAATATGCCAATTTACTCCAGCTATTGTTAACCCTTCACAACAGCAGCAGCAGCAACAAATGGTGCAATACCCAATGCAGGAACAGCATTACCACTATCAGTTGAGTACTGATCATCAGGATGTCTCTCAATATGGGAAAATACCAAACCATTTCCATAAGAAGAAAATTAATCAATGTAATATATGTGGTAAGATATTAACGAGACCTAGCTCTTTACATTCTCATATGTTCGTACATACTGGTGATAGACCATATATTTGTAAATGGCCTAATTGTGGGAAGACATTTAATGTGAAAAGTAATATGAATAGACATTACAAATTACACTTGAAGAGACAGATTATTGATGACAAACTAGGAATCAAGAATAATGAAAGGAACAAATTAATAACTGAAAATAAACCATATATTCTTTCAAACAATAAGGTGGGACATTAAATAGACTGGAGCTGTTTATTAAGTCTTCCTAATGTATTATAATATCTTTTTAATTTTTCCCCAGCTGGAAAATATGAGGAGGCAGGAGACCTCCCAGGGTTCTGGTTTGTCACTAAAAGAAGAAAAAAATTCCATATATCAGTGTGTTTACAACGATATAAGTAAAAAGTTCTATAATTAATATGCTTTTTATAGTTTTAGGCTTGTGATGTTCGTTAGTAGCCTAATTAGTGGCACCAAGTCACTGTAAGAAAAGTTTTAGATAAAGTAGACAAATTAATGACTAAAAGTCTGTGCAAGCTAATCATCTAACTTCTGAAGTGTAGAAAATATCAAAATAAAATATTTTCTAATTTATAGGCTTTAAATAGTAAGATCTATGTATATATATGATAAATAGTTTTACTTTATATCCTCTATTTCTTTTTTGACTGCAACTCAAAATTCCAACATTAATACTTTTTTTAGAAGAGGAAGCTACTTTGATACATCACAGAAAATAACTTTTAGCACATCATTGATGTTGATAATTGAATGAAGTATATGATATGTAATGTGACACCTACGCTGCTTGCTAACACACTTTGAGTAGTTTTTGCATTGAAATGTTAAATTTCGAAAGACATTCCTTAACTATTCTGAAAACCAACGACAATCAAATACACTTGCATGCATTTTCCTAATAACACATAAAATCTCAACAGCGAGAATGTGAGAGTTTAATATATCTCAACACATTAATTTGTATGTTTTCAACAAAGTTTGTGAATTATTGTTTGTCGTCATAATTATAACGGAACTTAGCCCAATTGTCGTTTAAAATAAACTAGAAAAAAACAAAATTACAGAATAACGCGAGTAATACAATAAGGTCATACAACATTTTTTTTCTTTCAGAAGCACGTTTTCTTTAGCATACCCTGCTATTAACTAAAAACATCAAGGGTATATTCTTTTTATTCTCTAAAACTACTAGACTTGGAGCATAAAGATATATATTCATCATAAAATCACCTCAATCCCCACAGTTTCTTTTTTTTCGTTAAATATTAGGGTACATAGATGAACGAATGAACGCATTATCATATCTATCAGGGCAATTAACCCCAACAGGTTTGGTACCTCCAACCAACTCCCCCCTAAGGGAGAAAGAGCATAGCATTACAACACCAACAACCATAAAATCTGAGAATGATATTCAAGAACAAATACCGTCTAAAATTATCACATCAAACCTTGATATCCAACATACATCGGGTAATATAACCTCCAGACATACATATAATAAAAACAAAGATATTAGCCAAAAGAACATTGAAAAAGAATCGATAAATGAGCCGAAACAAATTTTAACGGATGCACCATTAATGAAACGTTTGATTAATTCACAAGTGATCCAATTTATTTGGATGCTAATAATATTCCTACCTACCTATCTAATAATAAAACCTTTATTGCTTTTATGGTTTTTCGTTTCATTACCATTGACATTAGTAGAACATGGGATAAAACTGCGAAACCGCCCAATTATGAAACCAAACGCAGTACTATCTGAAAATAAAGTTCTGGAACCAATCACAGAGGAGGATTTAGCAAGTGGTGATGAATTTATATTTCAACGAGATACAATTAAGGGAACATTCATTAAATCAAATAGCAAACAGAGTAGTACACCATCTTCTAAACTTAGATATAGTACACCTAATAGACACGAAAGATCAGAGTTATTGTCTGATACTACTAGTACTACTAGCAATGTCATGTTTGGGTCTAAGAAAATGGGACGATTCCTATTCCCTAAAAAATTAATCCCTAAATCGATTAAATATAGTGGTCATAAGAAGACATTAGTGATCGATCTGGATGAAACATTAATTCACTCAGTATCACGTGGAACAACTCATGTTAATTCATCTCAAGGGCATATTATTGAAGTAAAATTTTCAATATCTGGGATATCTACCCTCTATTTTGTCCATAAGAGACCCTACTGTGATCTTTTCTTAACCAAAGTGAGTGAATGGTACAATATTGTCATTTTTACAGCCTCTATGAAAGAGTATGCTGACCCTGTCATCGATTGGTTAGAGTCTTCATTATCTGGACCCTTTTCAAGAAGATTATATCGAAACGATTGCACATTGAGGGATGGTGTGGGATATATTAAAGATTTAAGTATTTTAACTAAGATAAGTCATTCTTCCAAATTACCTAGTCAGGAAGTGGGACTTAACGAAATCATCATTATTGACAACAGCCCTGTCAGCTATGCTATGAACGTTGATAATGCTATCCAAGTTGAAGGTTGGATCAATGATCAATCAGATACAGATTTATTGAATTTAATACCCCTTTTGGAGTCCTTGCGGTATACAACGGATGTTAGAAATATCCTGTCATTGAAGAATGGTGAAAAATCCTTTAGGTCAAGTTAGATTATATTTTTGCAATATATAATTCTTGCAAAGATAGTTAAGATAGCCTCTCATTAATTCCAACTATACAGTTGTTAGTTTTTGTAACATCTAAGATAATATAATAATTACTGGTACTCAAGAAAAACTTTCATTTAAATGATTTATAAGTAAAAACAGTAATAAATGAAAATAAAAGTGATAATTTTCTTTATAGTGATATATAATGCCAATATACAAGTATTACTATAAATATGCTGGGAATAATAAATATCCATGAATATATAAAAAAATGACTGGTGTTCTTTCAATGAAGAATTAACGTCTGAGATTATGCCTAAGGGTTCAATCGTACTGTAGATGTATTACATTTTGCGATGACAATAAACCGAAGCAAAAGACGTGTATAAGAGGTTTCGTTTTCTAAAATTTATCATATGCCAAGATATAATTTCATTCTTTCATAGACATAGAAACTACAGGCTACCATGGGTGTTACTTTGATGTAGCCGATACTTAACCCCACATAAAAGCCTCTCCATCCACGTTCTTTAAAAATAACTGCTGCAATTTCAGAAATACTTTGAAATTTATGAGTGAACATATTACTTGGTGATAATGTACTAACTTGTAATCTTCTTCTTATTATTTCAAATGGGTACGCTGCAGTTTGAGATAAAATACCTGCAAATCCGCCTGATATCAATTCAGCCCAAACTTTCAAAGGTCTCTTTTGTTTTCTTTCCTTTAACTTGATCTCTTGCTCGGGTGACAAAGGTTCTAAACAGTATTGTGCAAATAATGGAGTCTTAAATATATCATGAATAAGATCATGCGCAAAAAATGAAACACCAGCATATGGAATCATTCCAAGAACTGTTGGTACGTAACCTCTATAAAAATTACACCAATGTGCAAACCAACTTGGGACATAACCATTTGATGATAATGTGACAGATGCTGGTTCATGATATATTTTGTTTACAACTTCTGTTAGCTTCACTCTTTTATGTTCTGTCACATATGCAAGTCTAACACGAATTAGATCTAATGGATAAGTTATGAATACACTACATAATCCCGCTAAAGAACCACTTGCTAATCTTCTCCAATGTGTTTCATAAGAACTTGACGGTATTAATACGTTTCTAATTTGTTCATATGCAACAAATTTTACAGCTGCATATGGGAATATTCTAATAAGTGTGACAGAATGACCTTGGAAAAAACCTCTAATACCATCATTATTTCCAATATGTTTTGCAGCTTGCATTAATCCGATTAAAGAACCTGAATATTTAGCATAATGTGGATTAGAAGTTTGGAATAAAATTTTAATTCTATCTAATGGTGCAATTAATGTCTTTGCACATGAACCGGATACACCTCCTGCAATTCCTGATCGTATCACATAATCCACAGATTTCTTATTTATTGGAGTTTTATTTATATTTAAATTTTCATTTTCATTTGCCTTCTCTGGTGGCGACCTTATTACATTTACTTCTTGTACCATTAAAGTATAGCAGTAACAATAGGATATGTATAAGTTCTATATATGTTTATTTGTTGCAATCGTAATTATTTTATTGATTATCTATAATATGTAATTTATAGCTATTCTGTATGCAAATATATTTCTTTTGTTTATTTTGTGTAGCTAGTTATCTACGATTCTTTTCAATAGACAAAACTTTTTCTCAATCGATCAATCAATTATACATTTATATATTTATACATATATTTTTAACTTTCAACCCTCAAGGTATCCTATGATTGTTCTTATTCTTCCAATTAATAACAGTGTATGTATGTATCTCTAACTAAATTGCGGTATTCCGTTGTTTCCCCTCACCGATGATGATGATGATGCCGACAATTTCGCGCACTTACAAAAGAAAGAACATACCCCATAAGAAAAATCAGAGACAATTATGCGTAGAGATACTATTTTATATTGACAAAAATGTATGAGAAAGTTCCCTCTGTCTCTCTTTCTATCTATTTTCTCCCTTCCTGACAAAAAATTTGAGCCAATAAAGAAAAGAACGGCTTTCTACCCTTTATAATAAACTTTTTATAGTCATCTCGAGAGGACAATAAATAAGATTGACAAATAAAGAAAGGGGATCTTTCGAAAAGATAACTCAAAAAAATAGTGGTATATTTGGTTGTTTTATCGTACGTCGAGTTATTATCCATTTCAGGAAATAAACTTAGTTGGCCTGCCTCAATATCGTTCTGTTACTTGAATCATCTGTATTAACTGATATATGTCAAGATCTTCTTTTGTCGACTATGACATACTACTAGTTTATAACCATTGCCAAGAACATTGTTACGTAGAAAAAAGCCTTTAAGCTTAGAATATCCACACTTCTTTAAATAAATAGGATTCGAGTGGAAAACAGCGGCGATGTTACTGTAAAAACCTCGATATTTAGTTGTTATTGTATGTACATATTTCTCAGTGTGACGTGATATATAATTTATTATAAATATTTCCTTTGAAAATCAGCTCTGACACAGCATCTGTAGTTGTGAAATGGATATCTCGAACTGAGGAATCCCACTTCTTCTCATGAGTCTCTTCGAGATTGATGTTTTTCGGATTGATAGAGGTAGAGAATTTGTTGATAGAACACTACCAATTTTCTTTTTTTGGAAAAGATAAAACAGGATCAAACACTAGTTAATAGCACCAATTATTAAGATGAATAAATATCATTTCATATTTTGTAACTTATACCACCCTGCTAGCTTTATTGAACAGCGGGGAATTACTTCGTATTGTTATCACAGATATTCATGCTGGTTCAAAAGAGTTCTAACACAAATAACAAAAGATAATACGTTTTACATTAAAAATCTCATAAAAATTTTATCACCAGTTTAGTTACTTTTGATGAAAAATATTTTTACCTTTCACAATTATCACTCAAATCATTGAGCTATATCAGCTTACCACAACATTTCTTGACTGCATCCCTCTTTCAGCTCCAAAACCTGATTCTAATATCAAATATCAGAAACCAAAAAGTCAAAGGCATATTCCTTATAGTATTTCGGTGATTGTTTATTACATTCTGTGCATTAACTTTCGTCAAACTTGAAGTTGCACAACTGTTTTTCCTTATATGATGAGTCATCTCTTTTAAGGACCCCTCCTACTAACTCCGAATTTTATTTTTGTTAATAATCAACCAGTTAGGGGTACTATAAAAGATCAAATTGAAAATTCCAACAGCTAGCTATGTAACAAATGCTCGATAAATGACCAAATATATCATATAATATGGGTACATTTTTTGAATCCTTTCTTACTAAAAGTATTATGTCATCATCCCAATTATATGTTATCAGAGCTATTCCAAAGAAATATCCTAGAAACCGTTACCGCACCCACCATACATTTTAATTTTCATTTAAAATGTAATAAGTCTCTTAAATATTCATACTTATATTTTCCCAATAAATTTGTATGTTAAATTAGACTTTTCTGTTTGCCTTATACTAGAATAGTTAAAATGAAAAATACGTCATAAACAGTGGCTGTCCTCAGATCTTGGTACTTAATAAATATTGCCAGACCGCCTATTCCATTACTTCTCCATAATAAAAAATTCATAAATTAGAGTATGTAAGATCAGGTGATATATTATTATTTTTTAAAAACGGAATATTTTATTTTATATTTTGTATTGTGTACGTTTTCCGAAATAGAAAATAATACAATATTTAATTTTTTTTGTTGCTTTATTTGCTAGGTGGACAGTATTAGAAAAAAAATGTCATTTAAACTCCAACCGCATAGGAAATAATAAGAAACGGGTTAGAATACAGAGTATGTAAATAAAACATTGTCATTAAAATGAATTTCTAAAGATGTTCCTATACTTTTATTTGTAAGATAATAGTTAACTACTTATGCAAATTCTTTAGTAGTCATATGAAGCTGTATTAGAGAAAAGACTTCAGTTATATTGTAGAAAACCCACAGTAATTGAATTAAAGAGGAGTAAGCAGACTATGCAGTATTCTAGCGATTGTGGCAGTGAGAGTAATATACTACGAGAATATATAGAGCACCGCATATGTCGTTAGATAGAAGTTAATCTCGGAATATAATGAATAATAGCATAACCCAATGGTCATTACATAATTATTATATATTTCCTAGAATAATATCTGTAGATCTGTCAGCAATTCGTCCTTATTGAACTGCACAAAAGACATGGTTTATCGTCGATATCAAAGGATAGGCTGGATATAGATGCAATTGTCAAAATGCGTGTGCTATTTTAAACTGAGTTGAGAATTGGAAGGTCTTTTAAAAACTAATTTTTTTTCTTGAGTCACTTTGAGGATATTTATTTAATTTACATGCTCGCTCATTCATACAGTTTTTCAAATTTTGAATGAAAGCCATTAAATACATCAAGAACCCCCCTGTTAAGAGTAACGTCACGATTATCACAAACGTCTAAGTGTCGGTAGGAGATCTCTTTCAACTTATGAAAACTATGGAACTATTCTTTTGTAAAATCATTTATTAATGGAGAGTTTTCTTTTTCGTCCTAGACCACTAAGGTTACTGCCTAACGTTATTAGTCTTGGAGGTAAGTTGAACTACAATACTTGTGTTTTCTTCATTTTTTTAAAGAGTACCTAGAGCAATGTGTTGCTGTCGATTTAATGGATATCTAAACTAGTATTATTAATATTCATAAAGTGTACGTCTGTAGTTTCAAGTCTAATATAAGTTGTTCAACATATTGTGAGTTGGTCATATTTGTCAATTAGATATTGAAATTATTGTGTTTATTTAATTTCAATAAACAAAAGCGTTGCTGGGGTTTTAGAATGAATGGAACTTGACCATCTTCTTTGTTTCTGATTTGATAGAATTCTTCGTTTCTATCTTGTTGAGCATTGATTATATTTTCATGCTCATGCGAATATCTTATACTATGTACCCTTAGAATATTCAGCTAAGTAATTTTAGTATCATACAGATGTCCCATATTATTCTTCTACTTATAGAGAAGGGATAACCATATATTAGCTATGTGTTTTCATGGTTTATAAGGTGTTTTTTTCAGTTTTAATAATTTTGTGAATGTGACATTTTTTTTGTTTATTAGAAAATAATCAATTTTAAAATAATATATTTTATAGAATTTAAAATTTTAGAGAAGATTCTTGAAACTCTAAAATAAAATAAAATAGAAACTACTGAGCTGAATATTCTAAGGTATATAGTATGAGATATTCACATGAGCATAAAAATTAACATTAATTAAATAACACATAGAATATTGTGTGCAACTATTAAAATTGAATAGGCTTATTCGACGGTACTTGAATAAGAAGTTCATGAATGTGAAGGTTAACAACTAAGCCACTAAATTCGTTACATATAAAGACAGAAGTTTGAAATGCGTCATCTGTATATTAAATAATTCTTTCTGAAATGTATTAAGAAGAATTATCTGTATAATATCTGTATAATGAAAATGAATGAAAATAAAAATGTAATCAATGCTCAACTAGATAGAAACGAGGAATTCTATCAGGAACCACATAAGAATTGAAGATAAATATTTGTTTTATCAGTAGTATTAAATTGACTATATTCCCGGACTGAAATATTTAACATTTATTTAAGGCAATTGGTTGTAATGTGAACTTTATTCATGGTTTTAATCAAACCTGAAATATGACAAGCAATTAGTTTTAGATATAAGTACTAAGTAACTTAATAATTAATACTATATCTATAAATAATATTATTTGGTTTCTTATTAACACCCTATAATTCCCAATATCGTAGATCAGGTCGAAAAACCCATTTCATAATTATTATCAATTAATATTATGTGGTACAGTTAGGAAACTTTTGAATTTTAATAAATATATTCTTCAACTCTATGGAGAATTGGAATTTAGCGATTAACTACCCCAAAATACTTACATTTTAATTTAAGTATGTGTTATTTACAGTTATTGACCTCAAAAGCTTGTAATTTCCTTTCCTTTCAAAAGTCTTCATCAAAGGCTCTTACTTGATTTACATTATCATTTGTAGAGTAAATCAATATACTGCTCAAAAATGACCACTAATAAAGGTGAAACGTACCCTATATTATCAAGATCTTGGGCCTTACATAGCTTGACGTTAGAAAGATATTAACTATTAACATCATCTACTTCACATCTACGTCTGAAATAATATGACTGATCAGTTTTTTCTTATTCCAATACTCAGAATAAGATAACCAAGGGTCTAATTTTAAATGACCTAAAAATATTAAAGAAAACTATATATAAAATATACTTTTATATACAAATGGAAAATTGGATATAATATATAAAATGCGTATGTGTTGTCTACCTTACAGTAAGACAGTTTAAGCCTTAGCTAGAGTCTTCTTGACAGTGTATCTCTTTTGCTTTCTTAGAACCATAACTTGGAATCTTTCGAAATCAGATAAAGCAGCTCTTCTTTCACGTTGAGCAATCTTCTTAGCCCAGGAAGTAGTGGCCCACTTTTCAGTGACACCAGCAGCAGTCCACTTCTTAGCAACAACAGAGGATCTGGCACCTCTTGGTAGAGCAAAAGTTAATGGAGTTAGAACAACTTGACCTAGGTGGATAGCTTGACGTTCAACACCGGTGGCTGGACCGTCAATTAAAGCCTGTAATAAAAATAAATATATTCGTCATACAATAGTTATTATATTTCATAATAGATAAATATGGCAAAAAGAATATTGTTAGTAAATTGAGCATTAATATGGATTGGATAATGGGATAATATTGCTTCTGAGAGGTAAGATACAGTTATTATGAAGATTCATGGATTCTATAAATCATTAAATTATATTCAAAAAAAATCAGCTGAGGTTTCATGAGATTTACACAGCTTATCCATGATTAATAAGCGTTGATACTTCATATATTATTCACCAATTGTTGTAACTTCAACACATTTTAGTAATATATAATTCTACAATCTGTTTCACAGGTACAATAAATTTCATTTCCTTTTTTAATGTATTTTAAATATTCCTTCATTTTGTTCATTACCATTGATCATCTCTCATTTAGTTATATATACATATCCCACATATCTTTAAACTTTCATAATTTTAACATACCTTCTTTTGGTCGATGACTTCAACAATGGTAGCAAGCTTACCAGCGTTCTTACCCTTGTTGATTAGGACAACACGGCCGACTTCGACTAATCTCCAGTTGGAGGCCTTAACAATAGAATCAGTAGACATTTTTTGGTGTGGTTTTCTGTTTTTAAAGCAGTTTGTTGGCCTTAAAGTTCCTAAAGTTTACTATATATGACGTCTCTTTAAGAGCTTTATCAATGTTTTTGTTCAACTTTGATATATTACTAGCAGATACATCTTGCATACAAATTGAAATTTTACGCGGGATCATCGCGGACTATTTAAAACGGGATATAACTTTTCATGAAAAATTGAAAGGAAAATTGAAAATATTTTGATAAAAACTATCTTATATCAAAGGGTGTATGGGTTGTATTTAATAATGTATGGGTGTTGGAGCAACATTTTGCAGTCCAATGAATTTCGATATTTTTATTGGTGAAAGGCTAACGAGAGAGGGACAAAACAGACTTAAATCAGGAATTCTTTTTTTTCGTTCCGAATAAATAAGGCTTTATAATTTAAAGGTTGTACATAACGAACGATTCACCCTAAAAGGCTTCAAAATACAGTCTTTCGTTTTACTAAGATATTTTCTTTATAAATTTCAATAGAAATAATTACTTATACATATGATAGGACATGTCAATGAGAGGACAAAACACAAAATAATAATTATAGTAATAGTAATAATAATAATAATAGTGATAATAATAATAATAATAATAATAATAATAATAATAATAATAATAATAATAATAATAATGATAATAATAAGTTGAAACATTATAGCTACTTTCTACAAAACCTGATACATTGCTTCTGATAATAACTTATGATTTATTTTGTGACAATTCTCTTTGTTGAATTTCATGCTTCTTGTATGCTGGGATTGTAAATTTCTCTGTAAATTTCTGACCAGGAAGGATAGGTGCCATCTCTAATATTTCTTTGATTTGTTCTTCAGGAGTAGCATCATCTCTAATATGTTTATAAATATACCAATCTAGATCTTCACCTGGATCAGCTTTTCTAAATAATTTTGGATAAAATTCTACACCATCTGTTACTCTCTTCTTAGCAAGTTCTCTCTGATAATTTTCTATTTGGAATTTTTCTTCTGTTGCTACTTCATGATTTCTAACAGCTAATGCATCTGTGACTTTTTTCCAAAGTTTACGAGATTCATAATCACCTTGTTCATCTAATGGACGTACAAGTGGTATTGTTGGTTTATTTTTATGTGTATCAAATAATACCGTTTTCTTAGCACCTTTTGTTCTTAAGTCCTTAATATACATAACATCATTCCATTTACCTGAGATTTCATAATATTCTTTACCATTTTTATCCTTGATTGTACCTTCAATAGCATCATATGTACCAGAGATAAAACCTTTAGTCTTAAATTCAATATCAACTTCATACGTTGGACCCTTAATAATCATATGATCCCCTAATTCCACTCTCATTTTCCCAAATAATATACCTCTAGCATAAATATTTGGTTGAGATAATGTATATTTTTCTGGTTTTCCATTTTTATCTTTTAAATCTAAAAATGTCAATACTGTAAGTCCTACCATCATTGCTGCAGATGAATTCCCAAGAAATTTAGATTTTGGAATTGTGACACCATCAACTCTAATATGTGATTCTGGAATCATATAAAAATAACCAGATTCTGGTGGATGATGACTTGTTTGTTCACTAATATAAAATGCTTGTTGTTTATTTGGTAAATTCCAATAAGCTGTAAAATATTCACCAAGTACAGGATTTAATGGTTTTTTCACAGCTTTTGGAGCAATATGCCATCCTGCTAAATACCATGCTATAACTTTTAAAAATCTTTGTAATTCATCTTTTTCATTATGTGCTTCAAATAATACATCAGGAAATTGTAATTGATTTGTAATACGTTCTAACATTGATTTTTTTTCAAGAATAAAAGTTGGTAATGTAATTCTTGTTAAATCACAACCTGGTTTTAATTGAGAAATAATATTTAAAATAATATTTTGACCAGATTCATCATTTTCATCAATATCGTCAGTATCAACCACTGATTTATCACCAGTTTTATTACTACTTGAGACGCTTGTTGAACGAACAGATGTGGCAGATTTATTAGCAGAACTACTACCCTTTGATATACTCAAACTCATTTCTTATATGTATATATATATATGTGTATTGTTTTGTTTGTTTCTTTAAGTTATTTTAAATGATATTTTGATTAAAAATTAAATAACCACTACAACAACAAACTCTTATTGTTTTTAACAGTGTTAATCTATTATAGCAAAAATATTCTCCTATTATAATATATCTATTCTTTTTTTAAACTATGTTTGTTTTTCTTCGCAGTTACGTATATATCTTTTCTCTCTTATTTATAAGAAAAATTCAAAAAAAACAACAAAAAGACAAAACGAAAAAGGGAAGATAGTCTTAAAGTTAATAAATACGTAAGCAATTACACTTAAATATGTAATAAACAAATTTATTTTTTTAAAAGACAAAACAAAAATGAGAGCAAATTAGATTATACAGAATAAATTAATGTACCTTTTATTCGGTTGTAATAATTTTAGCTTCAAGTTTTCTTTTTTAAAATTGTATATTTAAGGATTGTTAATAATTATATAAGGGGAAAGAACTTACCAGCATATAAAACAGGAAAAAAAATAATTGTTGATTGAAATGTTTCAAGATTTTATTATTTTAAGTATATATTTTAAAGAAATGTCCGATTTTATTATTTCTCCTTTTCTTTATTCCCTTATATTCTTATTACAAATGAAATTAAAATAAATAAAACAGAATCAATCTATGTTACAATAATAGTAATATCTTGAGAAAATAGAAGAACTCTCTTGTATATTATGCATTATGTAAAATGTACGTATAATATTAGGAAAAAAGGGGTCCTTTAAGGTATAAATTGAGATGAAATTAATTATTCACATAAAATTTCACTTTATTTATTTTACATATTAATAAAAAAAACAATAACAACAACACTGCATGTACTACTACTACTCGTTACCTGTATTCACGTTAGATATATTGGTGTAAATATTTTATTAAGATTTAAAACCTCTGTGCTTAACGTTATAGTATAACTAACAAACCATTTTAAACGGTAAGAATTGAATGAACATTCACGAAATGAATGTCCCTAGGTGCATATATACCACGTATATAGAGGTATTCCGCGGGATGCATGAAATACTACATACATACTACTGTTATTTGACAGAAAAGAAGCTACAAAAAAAAACCAAAATGAGAATCGTGGAATTGAGAGAGAGAGAAAAAAAGGGTTTTTTTCTTATTGAAATATCGAATTTGTCAACAAAATAACAGTAATAATAGTGCCAAGACAGAGAGATAAGGAAGACAGTTAGTTTGCATCTGTATTTGTTATCGTTACTTATATAGATAATACTAATATAACGACAATATTCAAGAAAGTGAAACGTTAGGAATATTCAATGATTCACAATCGAGAAAAAAGAAAGTATCACGTCCATATGATTATATGTACTCTAAAGATTAAGCTCGACCCATTCTTGAATAGTAATATACACAATTGAGCTGGTTTTTCTTGGAATCAATCATGAAATTTATCTTAATTTCACTAATATTTCTTCCATCTTTACTACCAATGTGTGTTGCAAAACTACTTTAGAAAACACCCAGTTGCAACAAAATTTTAATATTCTTATGAACTATTAACAGTATGTGTGTAAAGAAAGCTATATATATTATTGCATTATTATTACGTACATTAATAAAGAAAGGTAAAAAATAGAGAGAGACGGAAAGAAAAAAAAAACGACAAAAGGGGACGAGAAACTCGCGAACTAATAGAATTTAGTTTATTCAATGGGTAAAAACAATTATAATTAAATATCTTTAAGTATTCGTGTATTATTTTTTTTTTTGTACTAACGTTAAATATTCTTCAATTATAAGTAGTTAGTATTTATTATCTTTAAGTCAACTATTTTCTCGAAAGTAATAACTGAGATATTGACAGAGAAGGTGACCTAGAGAGTTGGCACGAAATTGAAGATTAGAGAAAATAAATATAATCCATTCACTCATTTTTATTATTATTTATCTTTTATTAAGAGATATACATATATATATATATTAAACCGTTTTATATTTGTTCTATCATCATCTATTTCAACAAAAAAGTCAAAAAAATAACAACTAAGGATCAATTATTTTTTGAATAATGTCACTTGAACCTCCAATTGGTAAATCCAACGATGTGAGAACACGTAGTAATAGCAGTGTATCAATTAGAAGAAGAAGTAGAAGATCATCATCTGTCGGTAAATTAGAATTAGGTGATTCCGGTTATAATTTATTAGGTGTATCAAAACCAAAGGATACAAAAAATTTAAGAAAAGATGTTTCAATGACTGATAATTCAATTGTTAAAAATTTACATAGTTTTTTAGAATTAAGTTCAGAACATATGTGGATTATTCCATTAATTATTATTACAATTGTTTATACATTATTCTTTCAATCGCAAGATCAATCTGAAAAGAATCCATTACATATGTTTGTTTCAATTTCATATAGAATTGATGATACAGACATGTATGGTAAAGGTATTAAAGATTTATGTTTCTTATTTTATTATATGATTGTATTTACATTTGTTCGTGAATTCTTTATGGATATGATTATTCGTCCAATTGTATTAAAAGCTCAAGTGAAATCAAAACATAAATTGAATAGACTTATGGAACAATTATTTTACATTATCTACTATGGTTTGTCTAGTCCCTTTGGTCTTTGGATCATGTACAACTCAGATTTATGGTTATTTAAAACAGATACCATGTATAAAACATTTCCTGATTTCAATAATTCTTTCTATTTTAAATGGTTCTATTTAGGTCAAGCATCATTTTGGGCTCAACAAGCTTGTGTCTTAGTCTTACAATTAGAAAAACCAAGAAAGGATTACAAAGAATTAGTGTTTCATCATATCGTCACATTGCTATTAATTTGGTCCTCTTACGTATTTCATTTTACTAAGATGGGTCTTGCAATTTATATTACTATGGATGTATCAGATTGGTGGTTAGCAATGTCAAAGACTTTGAATTATTTTGAATCTGTTCTAACAGCTCCTGTCTTTGTTATCTTCATGTTTATTTGGATATATCTTCGTCATGTTGTAAATTTGAGAATTCTTTGGTCAGTATTAACAGAATTCCGCACAGAAGGTACTTATATTCTTAACTTTGCTACTCAACAGTATAAATGTTGGATCTCTCAATCTATTGTTTTCACTTTAATTATGGCTTTACAACTTGTTAACTTATATTGGTTGTTCTTAATCCTAAGAATCCTATTTAGAATGGTTGTAACAGGTGAAAAAACTGATGAAAGAAGTGAAAACTCTTCCGAGGAAGATGATTAACTAACTAACTAACTAACTATTAATTAATTTTTCATGGTCCTCCCCTTATGAATTCTTATTTTTTACATACATTTAATGTGTCTGTGATTTATATTTTTGTAATATGTAAATACATAGCTACTGCTACATGTACATTCTTTTTTTTCTTTATTGAAAAGAAATAGGGTTTATATTTTCACAAACTATGCATAGTTTGTGAAAATATAATTTCTAATAATATATCAATATCTGAAATTGTAATCTCAGGTTCAGAATATTATACGGTCAAAAAGTTACTATCTTTTAAATTTTTTAAGAATTGTTTATTCATTTATTTATATGTTTGAATGTTGACTGCTTATGAATGTATATATATACAGGAAATTTTAATTTACTTTTTGCTTGTATAATGAAATAAGGCAAAAAAAATGGTTAAGGAAACAACAGTATGAGTGACAAAACGAATACACGCATACAGAACCAACTGTCTGATAATATCTAGCGCTTATCAGAGTTCAATTTATTCAAACGAGTCTTTAAACCTCTTTCACCTGCTTTGGCTAAAACCCCCAAAATCAAACTTATTGAACGATATGAATCATCATTACCTGGAATTGGATATGTGACAAATGAAGGTTCTGAGTCCGTGTCAATAATACCAATAGTTGGAACCCTAGTCTTCATGGCTTCATTCAAAGCATTTCTATTTTCAGTTGGATTTAGCACAACTAATAGATCAGGTTTCACAATACTAGCATTTTCATCGGCAGTTAACAATCTACCTGTTGATTTTTCAGACATATCAACTTCAAGCTTTTCCCAAACACCACTAATTTCTGTTGGATTTGTTAAAGTACCAGGAATCCATCTAGTAGAGACATAATAACCATTTACTCTCTTAGCAGCTTCTTCAAGAGGTCTTTTTTGACCTTCTCTAGTCCCTAAGAATAAAACAATACCTCCTCTCTCTACGATCCCTTCAATAACTGCAGAGGCCCTCTTTAAATATGATAAAGTCTTATTCATATCTATTATATGAATACCTTTATATTCACCGTAAATAAAAGGTTGTGTAGATGATCTCCAAAGGGAAGTTGATTGACCTAAATGGACTCCAGCTTCCATCAACTTCGTAATAGAGACCTGGTCAATAGATAATGGCTTAGTCAAATGTGTATTTGGATTGTACACTTTTGTTACATCCGCACCAAGACGTGCACTTTGTTTAGCATGTTTCAACTGTCTTAAAAATAATTCTTGCGGAGTGTATGGCTTGTCATTTGCAGATGGTTCCAAAAATGGGAATTGTTCTAATTGTCCTCTTATAGATACAGTTTCCTTATTATCGGTAGATAGAGAAGGTTGACTGGACCCTAAAGAGGAAGAAGAGGAAAATTCATTGAGAAAACTTGTTAATTCTTCATCTAATTGTTTCTCCTTAGCAGTTAATGGATTGTCCAGCACCTTTTGTAAATCATTTAAGTCATCCACTGAAACCTCCCTTAACGATTTCAATCTGGTTGATATACTATCATTCATTTGCTTTTGACGAACAAGCAACAAATCTTGATCAACTTCTGCATTTAAAGGTACATCTGTGTGTTGAAATCTCTTGATAATATAACCTCTGGAATTACGAAGCACGCTGGATCTACGCATGACTAGTCCACAACGAACTGAGCTCAGCATAATAACCTATTTAATTCTTCTTTTTAAAGGGCTAGAACAAAACAAACAAATTTAAACTAGAAGAAGACTTTTAATAGAGTATGAATGTTTAATAGTCTTATTCACTATCTTATAAGTTTAATCAAAAAAGTCAAAAATAGGTTTCTTTTACTATGTTTGCATATACAATGGTTTACCTTTTCAATGAATTTAATGTTTAATCCTTTTTATTGTAAGTTGTGGACTATATACGTCTAGATATTTTTTTGTTTCTTCCTTCTTCAAAATCGCGTAGAATCATAGGGAACTGGGGGAAAAGAGAGGGTAAAGCAAAAAATGATGAAGTTGACAATACAAGTAGAAGGATTAAACACTTAAGAGGACCAAATAATATAGAACCTGTACATTCCTCAAAATTATGTCCTAGTTGTAAAGATATGCATTGTATTTCCTTTTTCTACTGATGATGAAATAATAGAAAAGGAGGGTTCCCCATTTTATTTGTTTTTAGTGCAATGGGAATAAACGAAGTAGTAGATGATCTGACAAAGAAGGATGGTAAGACATTAGTGTTTGTCCTTGGACAAGATGCTCGAGATAAGATAGAGGCAGGACTTACAAGTTGTGATAATAATCTAAGCACAATTGAAAAGAGTCGGCATGACATAAAGGTTTTATTTTTAAATAAATTACAATATTTATTTATGTTTTTAATGAAATTGGAAGCAGAAAAGACATGCATATATGATAATATTGTACTTTATGGATTAGATTCCTTAGTCCTCGATAAAGATAATGTCGAGATAATAAGGCTATTAAATCTTATTTTGAGCACACTTTATAAAGTTTACCGTCTTCACAATCTCAATGATATCATTACTGAATGGTATGATAATACGAAGGATACTACGACGCTTGATAGAATGGTAGATTATTGGAAATTCCTCTTATGTTAGAGAAATTAAATCATAAATATATATTTTTGGAATAATGAATGAATCACACAGAAATTAGAAATGTAAATGTAATCTATTTTATTTAATTTTTTATTGTACAAAAATATCTAATATTATTTTTTTTTATCAAAACCACCTCTATTTCAATATATTTGTGAAATTTGAGAAGTAGAAATATAGTTACATATATATGAACAAAATAAAATGAAATGATATATTTTATTTTGAAAGTTGGAGGTTTGGAGTATGGGAGAAAGTGCGAGAAGGATGAGAGAGTTATTTGATTTATTCAATATTTATCTTAGTAGTAGTCACTTCAGAAGAGTCATTATCATAATAACCTGCTAATTTAACTTTGAATACAGAAGCGGCAATACCGAATTGCTTTAGAATCAAAGCTTTACGAACATCTAAAGTTTCACCTTCTTGACAAACAACGTAAGGTGCCTCAAGAGTAATCTTACCTGCTTTAATCTTTGTTGGGATCTCATATTTAGTTCTTAGAGTAGGTTCTAAAGAATGGACCATTGGAATATCATCATCGGTTGGGATTTGACCACCACGGGAATAGATAATACCTTCTGGGATAGTGAACGATATTGGAGCCTTTGAATTTGGTCTTGAAAAATCAGCTTTTTCATAAGCGTTAAAATATTCTTCAACAACTTCTGGAGTTTCATCAGTGAACAATAGACCAGTAACACCGTTACAAAGTTTAGTGAACTTATAAAGATTTTCCTTATATTCATTTTCTCTAGTGTCACCAAGAGCCTTTTCTAGTACCTTTCTTTTACCCATTAATAATTTAGAACCTGTCCATGCTTGTCTTATTTCTTGTAAGACAGGAGTTCTTACATTATCAAGCAACATTAGCCAGACGTAACGGTAAGTATCTAGACCTTCTCTAACTTCATCGAAGATTCTTTCTTTGTTAGCTCTACCTTTCTTATCGGTTTGAGCTAAAGTGACTAGCTTGGAACGTTTGGATCTTGGCATTGTGTATAAATCAAAAGTTGGGAAATGACGATTGTACTACTTTTTTATAATGATTACTATAACAAAGGAGTTCTAATCATCCACGAATGAAAAAAATTTTATAAAAGTAAAAAAGCATACAGATATATATATATAGAGATATACAAATATACTTTTAAGAAACATATACACTTTACCATAGGTATTCTATGTTAGTACTGATTCGATCAGATGAGATGCTCATCGCTCACACAAAATGAAAAATTGCAAAGAAAAGAAAAATTTTCAGTTCGTGTCGCGTGATGTAAAATTAGATATAGTTAACCGCTCACCGTACTATTGCTGGATAGCACTACTCCTCAACCATTGGTAACTTATCCAAGTATGAGTATTATGCGATATCAATACTAATCACATTTATTTAATCCATCTGTTATCCCAAAAATAATAATGATATATTACCAATTACTAACACATATTGACATAAAAAATATATCTGTTTCCAAAGTGTTTCCAAAGCGTTTCTATATTCAATCTCGTTCTCATTACATTTAATATATTGCTTAAATGTTTTTAAGGTAATTTTAGCATTTTTGAGAAAACCTTAATACAATGTACGTGGTGTGTGGGCTGTGCATTCCAGTTCTCGACTGCCAGAACAGATCAGGCAGAGCAGGAGGTTGCAATGCAATGCCCAACAGTACAGTTGTACATACAATACAAGTTGAGAGGAGGCCATCGATGCAACATGTCCTCATTGCGAATGGTTATATTTAATAATGAACTACATACAAGACTTATTTATTATACTCATCGAAGTTAAGAGTAGTATTAAATTCTAGATATAGTACAAAGTTCCTTTTGAACAGGGCTTCCTGGCGTGACAAAGTTATATTGTTCGTTGCAAATGTACTCCTGTGTATTTGTAGCATATACGGAACCAACGCAACCGTGCTAGTAAGTTAAGGAGGTTAATCTCAACTTGTAAATAATTACAGTTCAAAGGTGCGCACTGCTTGTCGAGTTAAAACTATATGCAGTATAAGAAAATATGGTTTGTACTTTTTAATACGTTAATACTACACTAACTCTATGTATACATACTAACATCCCACGCTTATTCTTGCATAGGTGCTAACATGTATATATATATATATATATCTGTATTAAATTAATGGACGAAGAGCCATGCCAAAGTGCAAGATATTTTATATAATTCAGTAACACCTTATTTATTTTTGGAAAGCTAAATCTTATTCTGTCTACCTGCTGTGCTGCTGTACCTTGCAGTTTCCTGAGTACAATGAAATGAAACACACACACAAAAAAACATAATAATACACGTCACCATAAACTACTGAATAAGAATGACGGCGATACAATTTCCAGTTTCAAATTCTTCTTTCCTGTTATGCTGACATTCTTTACAACATGCATTGAAAATTCACGATCCCATCCCATCCCATTCCATCGATTCGATTCGATTTGATTCGATTCTGCTGACATTACGAACAAATTTTTTTTCTTCGTTTTTGTCTCTCCTTTTCTCTACGACGACGACTTTCTTGCTTTGTTTGCCGATTGCGCTGCGCTCGCTGAGCTGCGCTGAGCTGAGCTGTCTCTGCCATTGGCGAAGTGAAAAAAAAAAGAATTAAAAATTTGAGAAACACAACAAACAACGACCAAAAAAAACCAGAGTGAGCTGCATCAAAGAATACACACACAGAGAGGGAAAGACAAAAATTTAATTATAGGAAACCGATTAAAATTAATAATAATTTCTAATAACAACTAACAACAACAAAAACTAACAAACTGCAATTTTATTTTTCAACCTCCATTTAACTTTGTTATTGCTTTTGCTTCTTCTAATCTCCCCTATCCACCGTCTATTGATAGAGAGCTATTTATAGAGTTATAACAAATCATTTTATTCTGTATCCATATTCGACAGTTATTTGGAAAAAAAGCCCTTTTTTGGTTCATTACTTCTGGATATACTTTCCCCTTTATTGTTTGCTGTTGTTAATTAATAGAAAATAATCAACATCAAAATCAGTGGACACACACACACATATACATATCTATGACAGCAAAGTCTGATAATATTATACTATATCATATTACAAATAATTAAATTTATTTTTTTTTCTTCTGCCCTAGTTACAAATTATGCCATCGACAAATATCGATCAAGAACAAAGTAATAGTAATATAACTACTAGTAGTACTACTTCTACTGCAAATAATGACGAAACATTCGATATTCCAAGAGCTACAGGTACTTTAAATGTTAATGCTTTATCGACTTCTGAAATTGATAGTTTAAATAATTATAAATCAATGGATCCAAAACAAAACATTATTAATAATAAATCATTAGATGATCCGATTCAATTTACTAGAGTAAGTTCTTCTTCTGTTTTATCATCATCAAATAATTCAAATGAACTTCATTTTGATAGCGATAATGATAATGAACTAATAGATAATAATAACATTAACAATACTTCCTCTACAAATAATAACATCAATAATAATACATTCACTAGTAACGATATAACGAATTCTACTATCAATACAATAAGTAATAATAATACAACTTTGATACAAGATGTTGAATCATCATCAACAAATTTCAACAACAACAATAACAGTCATACAAATATATTGAATAATGATAGCCCTATAACGATAACAACACCAAACTCAAAAAGCATTATACAATCTCCTACAACTGCAAAAACTTTAAAAAAATCATCTCGTAGTAAACATACTACTCCAAAACCATCATCTTCTGCATCTACTACTATTTTATCAAATAAAAAAAATTCAACAGATAAATCAAGAAAAATTTCACAAAGCAATTCTTCAAGTAGTAGTTTATCAAGTAATAGTAAACAATTTGGTAAAAATAAGAAAAGTAGTAGTAGCACAAGTATTATGAAGGGAGTATTTTCATCATTTGTTAATAATATAAAGAGAAATTCTCAGGATGATAAAAGATCTTCTAGTGGATCAATTAAAATTTCAACACCTTATAATGCAAAACATCTGCATCACGTTGGGATCGATTCAAAGACTGGTGAATATATTGGATTACCTGAGGAATGGGAAAAATTATTGACATCTAGTGGTATCTCAAGAAAAGAACAACAACAAAATATGCAAGCCGTGATAGATATCGTAAGATTCTATCAAGATGTCTCAGAAACAAATGGTGAGGATAAAGTCATCAAGACATTTGATGTATCTAACTCTACGTCGTCTTTATCTAATAGAACGGGATCGAATTCCTCTTTCACTCCTGAAATTCAGTCATCCTCTCATAACAATATTTCAATTATTGAAAATAGTGACTATTCTAATTCACAATTTAATGTTACACCTAAATCTGAACAACAAGATTTCATTCAAAGGACACCAATTAACGATTTCATGACAACACCTCAAATGAAACAACATTCTAACAATGACAAGTTTATACCATCTAGACCAGCACCGAAACCACCTCAAGCACAACATGGCTCCAAAATGTCGCCACCTGTCTTAGCCAAATCACCTTCTGTAGCAATGCAATATCCAACCACTCCGAAGTTGATGACTCCATCTAGTAAGAAGTCTTCTCCTTCGGTTCCATCTACTCCTTCTAGAATGGCGACCTTGAAGAAGGAGTTACAACCATTACCACCAATCCCACAGGAACAATCACCAACAACTTCAAAAGAGGAGAAATCAGAGGAAGTTAGAGATCAAGTTGGAACCATGATACCAAAAATCCCTAAGACTACTCCAAGGACTTCCGCAAGAACACGTTCAGTCTCAAGGGAGGCTTCAAAGAAAGCCAGTGAAAAGAAAAGAGAGGAAAGAGAAAGACACAAGAAAGAGGTATATGCCAAGTTGGCCACAATATGTTCTGAAGGTGATCCTTCGAAGAAATATACAAAGTTAATTAAGATAGGACAAGGTGCTTCGGGTGGTGTTTACACTGCTCATGATATCGCCACAAATGCATGTGTTGCAATTAAACAAATGAATCTGGACAAACAACCAAAGAAGGAGTTGATTATCAATGAAATCTTAGTTATGAAAGGTTCTAAACACCGTAACATCGTCAATTTCATCGATTCTTATATATTGAAAGGTGATTTGTGGGTCATCATGGAATACATGGAAGGTGGTTCTCTAACAGATGTCGTTACCCATTGTATTTTGACCGAAGGCCAAATTGGTACAGTCACAAGGGAAACTTTACAAGGTTTGAAATTTTTACACTCAAAAGGTGTTATTCATAGAGATATCAAATCTGATAACATTTTATTATCAATGGAAGGTAATATCAAATTGACCGATTTTGGTTTCTGTGCCCAAATTAATGAACTAAACTTGAAGAGAACCACTATGGTGGGGACACCCTATTGGATGGCCCCTGAAGTTGTTTCAAGGAAAGAATATGGTCCAAAGGTCGATATATGGTCTTTAGGTATTATGATTATTGAAATGATTGAAGGTGAACCACCATACCTTAATGAAACACCATTAAGGGCATTGTATCTAATTGCTACCAATGGTACCCCACAACTAAAGGAACCAGAAGCATTAAGTGATATACTGAAACATTTCTTGGATTGGTGTCTTAAGGTGGAGACAGATGAAAGAGCTTCCGCTTCTGAGTTATTGAATGATCCTTTCATCACAGAATATGCGGACGATAACATTTCCCTTGCACCATTAGTCAAACTAGCAAGAATGAAAAAATTACAGGAATCCATGGATAGTAATGATGAAAACAGCGATTTTGAAGACGATAATCATAGTTTTCATAACACCAGCAATGAAGTAAACGAATCAAGTGAGGCCAACGAGCTCCAGTAATTTTTATTAAAACAAGGACTATTTTACTTTTTAATTGTAATACAAATCTGTTCTATATCTATTGTTTGTTTATTTGTGTCCTTTCAATTGTATTATTACATTTATAACAGACAATTCCTTTTAGCATGACATAATTTTAACACGCCATGCATATTACCATTATTACTTAGCTTTAAACATATATTAACAAACAAAATAAAATGCATGATAGATATTAATATATATAGTTTTTACATATCATTAAAAAAATAAAAATTATATATTATCAGATGAGTAATCGAGAGTATCCTCCTCTGGAGGAGGGACATTATTTTGGGAGATAACTTGAACGAAAAATAGGGTGGTTTCTTTATCACTTATATTTTCGAACTTGTAACTTTTAAATGCTGGAATCTGGAATGTTGTACCTGTAGGGCATATAAACGATTGCCCATCAATCCAAGCCTTCAAACTACCTTTTGTAACATGGAATGTAACAAAACATCCTCCCGTATTATCTTCTGATTTAATGCCATTTTTAGGAAAGGTTAGGTTCCCACTTGAAAAATTACTTTGATCATCAAAAAGTGTGTCGATAGAGTAACTATTAAACCGGGAATTTTTTGTTTTTCTAACCTGTTGGAACTCTGGTGCCATGGCTATGACAGTGCTGGCTGCCTCAGATTTGGCGGAACCATTTTGGAATTTAACATTAAAGATACCATCATTTAGCCACTGAGCGGCTGTATCATGATTTAAAGAAATATTTTTAGGACTAAAGCATCCCCTTTTTGAATTGTGATTATTATTTGATTTTTCTGTTGATCTCTTCTTATTTGTTTTTTTCTGTTCCTGTTCTGCAAAAGTGATAATTTTTTCAATGTCAAGTGCCTGTTGCGAGTTATTTCTTTTATACACAATTCTTTCGTTCCTCCAGTAATCAAGCTTCGGTATTCTAATTCTTTTGGATTTCCTAATGCGACCTGTAGGCCGTATAAAATCTCTTGAATTATATTCCTCGTCTACCGAATCATTGTGAACAATTTCAATATCTTCTGAGACAGCATCGAATATATTACCAGAGGCAATTTCTGGATTTCTGGCCTGAATTTCTTCCTCTAACAAGGCATTCTCAGAAGTATTGAATGAAGTATCCGATTGAGGTATATCTGAGCTCCTACTAGACCTTAGATCTGGAATATTAATTGAACCTTTAGATTTACCGTCTGCGTCATCTAAAGAAATCTCATTTTCAGATTCTAAATTATAGTTCGTCTCATATGATTGTTTATCATTGTTATCTGTACTTTTATCAAGTTTAAGTTCGGTTGTAAGATTGAGTTGAGGGATTTCAAAACTCTGCGATGGATCTTTTACAGAGGGCTTCGAATATGTAGTCATCTTTTGTTTATTCATTTCTGCTGGTGTATACTGTCGCAACACATTCTCTCGAGAGTGTGTAAGTGTGTTCTTTACAGGGGACTCCATGAGGCCGCTTGTCTCTGTAACATTAAAGAATTCATCAATATTTTCCATACTATGCTCATCTTTCTGAATCGACCTTGTCGGTACCCAACCAGTTTTCCGTGATCTTTTACCCCATTCCATACAATCCATGTCTCTAAATATTGGAATGAACAGCTTGATTAGTTGAAGATATATACGTACCTTACTTCATACCTTTTAATATCAATATTAGATCGTTCTTTTCATTATATTCTTTGGAGTGAGCAATGCCTTGATGCATTCATTGCTTTGTTTACATTTTAAGTTTGTGATATTGAAAAATTTAGGGCTTTGACACCGAACCCTAAACTCTATTTGTGCGAGAAATAAATTTCTAAGGGGATATGTAACAATACTGAAACAGTCGAGAGCCTCTATCGCAAATAAAAGATTGATGCAAGTGTTACAAGATAGCTTCAGTGTTAAAGTATCATTAAGATATTTATAATTGTGTAATGGGTAGTATTAAAATTCAAAATTATTAAGTCGCTCTTTACTTTTTTGATTAAGAAATCACACACATATCGTTCTTTGCAATGAGTTTAGTTCCTTACAATAATGATTCGCTTATATTAAAGGATTCCAGCTCTAAATCATTAATGATTGTTAATCCATCATTGGGTGAACTATCTTATTTTAAGAAAATAATAACGCCAAGGAACAATGAGCCAAAATTTGATCAATTTTTAGATGAGGAAGAGAGTATCACTGAAGAGAAGGATATCGCTTCTTATGTGTGTCCACAATGTGGTACAGAAATTGATACATCTTCACAAAATCGAAAACTCCCAAAATATAGTAATAATAGAAGAAGTTCGAAGCAACCATCAGAATTTAACTTATCTAGGAGATATTTTAGATTATTACAGGATACATTTACCCAACAGGCACTACCAACTATAGCGGCTGAGAGTAACAAATTCCCTACATTCATACCTGATGATCTATTCATTCCGGGTTATTTTCGGAAATTTTTTACGACATTGTCCCTTTTAGGTACTGGTGCTAGAGGATCAGTGTTCAAAGTTGTTCATAAAATTGGTGACACTGACTTAGGGATATTTGCATTAAAGAAAATATCTATCGGGAATGATATGACCTGGTTTAACAAATGCATAAGGGAAGTTAAAGCCCTTAGTTCATTAACACATCGGAGCGTTAACCTTATTACCTATAACCATGTTTGGTTAGAAATGGATGCATCGTATGGATTGACCATGCAGAATGAGGAGAGAGAGAAGATACCTTGTTTATTCATTCTGCAACAATACTGCGAAGGTGGGAACTTAGAGGATTGTATTTTAATTGATATATTTAAAAAATTCCCAGAGAAAATTTCAAGTGAAGAACGTAAGAAACGTTTTAGACAAATGAGAAGAGATAGACACAACGGTAGTATTAAATTAGGCCTTTCAACAATTCAGATTTTATCAATAATAAGGGATATAGCCAGAGGTTTACATGAGCTACATGATATTGGGATTATACACCGTGATCTTAAACCATCAAATTTATTACTACTAGGTCGATATAAGGTGCCTGACTCTAGGTTACAAAATGATAATGGTGAAGTAAATGGAAATGATTCGAGGGAGCAAGAAAATGACTTCCCAACTGTTGTGATCGGAGACCTTGGTGAAAGTCAACTAGCTGGAGAATCTAGAGTTGGGACAGGGTGTACAGGTACATTAGAATTTACAGCTCCTGAAATTATTATCACAAATCCTTCCAATAATGCGAAGGAAATGAAATACAACGAATATACATTTGCCTCCGATATGTATTCATTAGGGATGATATGTTATTTTATTGTTTTTGGAGAATTACCGTTCGACCCTATGTTGGATATACCAGATATGAGAAGAACAGTAAAGAAATTCCAGGTACATAAGGAAGATATGATCTTATTGCATCAAAATAAAAGCTTAAAACCAATTGACCATAGAATCTTTGAGTTAATCGAGTCATTACTATCTAACGATGTGAAGAGAAGACCACACGCAAAACAAGTAGAAGAGATTTTAAATCATATTCTCCTAGAAGTAGATGACGATAGAACTTTTTCATTGGGAAGAAGATCGAGTATAACACCTTTGGATGATTGTTTTGACGAATTTGAGGATGAGCATATACAAAAGACCTCTTTTAATGAAGACCAAGTAGAAGAAGATGATGACGACGAAGATAAATTAGCGCTCACTACTACAAGAGCCAAAATAAATATGGCATCCGAAGAAGAAATAGAAATTTACACAAAATACGAAAATCATAATACTAAAAGTTTGGCAGAAAATGAGAAACAGTCTCATTTTATATCTCAGTTCCCTAATTTATCAGCTTATTCTAATGTTTTATTACCACTTGCATTATTACTATTGTGGTTAGATCCAACAGAAATAATTATAAATTATTTTATTATTTTCCTCTTAGGAATATCTTACGGTATAAGAGATACAATGGCTAAATATATCAAGATTATTATGTTGGTGCTACTTATCATTAGATTAAGTAAAAAATATATCATTATGTCATAAATAATACCTATACATACATATAGTAATCATTCCAATGTACACCATGGTCTGTTATCACTAACTTGATGCTGGCACAATGTCGGCTCCAATTTTGTACCTACTAATGCAGCTAATAAAATACCTAAAGAATCTGCAATTGATACTGAACCCAATGCAAATTCTTTATCCTGTGGTGGAACATTACTTAGAACGTTGAGGAATGTATTAACGTATGATGACCCCCCTAATAATCCTTCATAAACGATTAATATCATAATAGGCCATGGTCGATGTACGATATAATTCCATGATTGCAGCAATACAATCAAAAGATTAATGGCTTGTAAAGCCGACAATAAATATAATTGCTTAATTCTGAAAACGTGAGCAGTTGATCTAGATATAAAAACGCCCATTTGATAGAGAGTACCATAAGTAACATAAAAATCTCTATATTTGTGGAAAAACGAGAAATGAGAGTTTAAAATTTCGTCAGGATCGGCTATTGGAAAGAGTAGAGTTGGTGATACTGCCTGATTAATTAAATATTCGAAGAAATAAACAGTAGTAAGAGGTAACATGTATGGCATAATTAACATTTTTAATTTTGCTAACGTCTTCGAGATATGGGAAGAAATAGAATCTTCATTCGAATGATCACCTACAAAGACACCTAATTCAGGTTCTAGTTGTGATTCCTCGATATCAATAGTCGTTATCTGATGATCTTGAAGAGGGTGATATTCTACGTTACCATCGAGTCTATAATACAATAAAAATCCAAAGGGTAATATAGAGAATAGCAGCAACGATATGCGAATTGGAATATGTAACACTGTAGTTAATAATAAATATATAGCGCTTCCTAGGAGACCTGCTCCACCAGTACCTGACGACCAACCATTTAGTGATACCTCTTTATATGTATGTGTTAGTTGTAAGAATGTTACTTCACCAAAACCTGAGGAAAGTGAAGCTAACCCTACACCAAATAAACAAATCCAAAGATCTTTCAAAGATACAAGGATCATTCCGACACAACTGAGAATAATCAATAATATTATTCTATTTCCATATTTAATTCTTTGAATGAAAAATGGCGAAAGTAATTTAATTGTTAATGACGGCAATATATCGACCAAGAGGACCAAAGATTTTGGAATGTTCGTTTCCACTATATCAATTGCAGCTGAAAGTATAACGACATAAAGTATGTTGTTGATAAGGCCAAAAATCCAGAAGTATAGATAAATGGTACTATTAGAACTTAAAGTTTTAAAACTGTGGATCCATTGAAAAAACTTGTTGGAGTTCATTTCTATATTTTCATCTTATATTCCAGGAGTCCTTAGTTGAACATATACCTTTTTCAAATAAATTCAAAATGTCATTCTGCTGATAATAAAGTTGCAGGGAGGGAGACAGACTAGTCCGAAATATGTCAAAAGTTCCATTCATTTTACACTCTCCCGAGCCTTGAAAGAGTCAAGCGACGTACGCGAACGTTCCCTTTAAAAATAAAATGGTTGATGATTTAATTTTCATTTTAATATCGAAAGTGAAGACAGGCTCATCGGGAGCACTACATTTGAATGATGCACTGTATTATATAGTCTTAGAACACTCCTTTTTTTTGTTATATTATTTTTATTATGCTTTATAATTCGATGAAGTATATATTTCTATTTATATTAATAAATTTACAAATAATTCTTTAGAAGTCTTAACCTTTCAACTGATCTCTCCAAGTATTCATCATCTTTACATAGAGCGAATCTTAATAGGTTTTCAGCAGCCTTTTCATGTTCTTTAATATAAAATTCAGTTGGTGGAATAGCCACAACACCTAATTCATTCATCAACCAATAAGAAATACGGAAATCTTTACCCTTTTGTAACAATTCTTCCGGATATTTATAGTCATTTGGAATTTTCACTTTAGCAAAATTAACTAAGATGAAATAAGAACCTTCAGCTGCGGTATATGGCAAACTTAATTCATCGAATACTTTTGTAAAAATTTCATATTTACGAATATATTGTTGTCTCATATTTGGGAAATAATTAATCTTTGAAGCATCTGTTAAACCATTTGCGACAGCTTCTTGAAGTGGTGAAGGAGAAGAAAAACATATTCTAGTATGAGCTTTAGCGGCATAACCTAATAATTCTTCATTTAAAGAAACTGTCCAACCAATTCTCCAACCTGTAGCGGCGAATGATTTACCTGCAGAACCAACAGTTAAAGTCAACTTACCAATCTCTGGAGATAAAGTGGCTATTCTAGTGAAAGTTTCAGTGAAATATAAATGTTCATAAACTTCATCAGAGATAATAACAATATTATTCTTAACACATAATTCACCTAATTTCAAAAGTTCTTCTTTAGTAAATACTTTACCAATTGGATTATGTGGAGTATTAATAATGATAGCTTTTGTTTTGTCATTTATTGATTTTTCAAGAATATTCCAATCAATTTCCCATTCTGTACCCCTTGTAACTCTTTCATTAAGAGCCTTTGGTGGATTAATTGGTACATATACAACTTTACCACCGCACATCTCAATATTTGGAATGTATTGATCGAAGAATGGTTCAAAGACAATAACTTCATCACCTTGATTTAATAAACCTGTAAGACAACTTAAGATAGCTTCATTAGCACCGGTGAAAACAGAAACATTTTCAGGTTTCAATTCAGTAGAATAAATAGGGTTATAGAAATCAATTAAAGATTTAATCAAAGATTGACGACCCCTAGTTGGAGAATACTGGTTCACTAAAGCAATATCCAGAGCATTCTTGGCTTCATTAATGGCAAATTCCGGAGGAGCATAGGAAAAGAAACCTTGACCAAGATTTAACATATCTCTACCTTTATTTTGCGCATTAGTTGCAGCTAAAGCAGCTGATTCATTAGTTAAAGTCCAGACATCCTTACCTGTATCACGAGAGAAGTATTTATTAGCGACAATCTTAGGGTTATGTGAAAGAGTCATTGCTGAAGTTTTGAAGGATCTTATGAGATTACGTGACATAAAACGTCCTTTAAAAAGAGAAATTTACGATAACAATTTTTTAAGTAATTACAAAGAATAAAAAAGACAGAATAAATTAAAAAACGAAAAAGATATAACAACAACAACAACAACAACAACAATCGGAGAATGCCTCAAATCGAATTGCAAACGCATGGTCATCCCATCTTCAAAGCTTTACCATCCATCATCCAGTTTATATACTTTCCTATTTATCTATCTTCTTGAGTCACACAAAGCTTATGGTAATCAACTCAAAACTGAAATTTTCACGGTTTTTTTTGACTTTATCGATAGAAAAGGGCAAGTTTCTGCGGCAATTTGTGTGTGGGAGAGAGTGGGAGAGAGCCGGCAGCGGGCATTGGTGAGAAAACTGTGGAAGGTTTCCGTGTGTCACGTGCCCCCAAGATTCCAAATATATTTATTTCTTCTCACTGATTGAAATATGCGCTAATTAATACTATATTTATTCCTATAGATGGTGTACTATATTTATTCTTATAGATGGTGAGTGTTGTGGTGACGGGAGATCGAGATTACACGCCGATCTTGGTGTTGATCTTCTGTAATTCGCTGTTGCATTCTTTGATGACTGCGGCATCGCCTTCTAGAATGGCACGTAATTCGCTCCATTCTCTTTCAGTCTTACTTCTGGTATCATGAGATCTATCATGCAATTTGCTCAATTCTTTCTTCACAAAATCGAGTTGTTCTTGCAATGCTTTTTGGCTATGTACAAAATCATTGAACTTAAATATTTGATTTCTGATCTCTTTGAACCATGTGATCTCTTGATCACTAATAGTATTATCATTAGCTAATGCAGCAACGTTGGCTTTACTAACCTGTTGATTCAATTTAACTAAACGCATGATCAAAGCATCCTGTTTAGCCATCTTGGTCGCAAGGACCTTAATTTGTTCTTCGTATCTATCAACAAGTGTATCTTGTTTTTCAATGATATCACTAGTTCCCTTGATTTGTTTAGTCAATTCGAATTGTTGTTCTAATAGCCTTGAATGTAACATGATACCAAGACTTTCACCTTGTACAATGGAATTACCTAATTGGGAAGATAGTTTCGTTAAGGCCTCCAATTGAATTTCATTTGCTGCATTAGATAATTCTTTACGTCTAACATCAGCAGGAATCACTTCCGAAAATGGATTTGAACACCGTCTAATATATGCTGTTGTAAGAGCTTGAATCTCTTTTATTGGTTGTGAGAAATTGGTTTTGTATCTCATTGTCTCTGTGGCTAAAACAGGTGAATCCTCCCTTGCCTGGCAAGGCTCTTCAATTACTTGAGGTAATTTTAACAACTCCGCTCGAATTGAACCAGGTCCCGTTATAATAACACCCGTTTTACCCTTATATCTCCATATAGCACAGTTTGAAGATTGGAATTTTATACCTTCCATATGTTTAATTTCACTAGTAAAACTTGTCTTCGCAATTTGGGACAAATCAGAATCTGTAACAGCTTTATTTAAAACATGACCCCAATTTAACATATTAATTAAATCGAAACCAGCTCTACCTTCAACCATAACAAGGAGATGATTACGTTCATTGAAATTATCATATATTTTCAATTTTCCATGATTTCTGAATTGATCAATTCTTTCAATCAATACCATTGAATTAGAATGCACATAGTTTTCAGAATCCCAACACATTGACATCTCCTCATCTTGATATAATATTAATATGGCACCATTATCAAAAGTTACCGCATATACTTCAGATGAATCCCCAATATCTATTTGGTGAATCTCTCTAGCATTTGTCTCATAAAGATCTGTTGGATATGGAGAGATTGTAAAAGGACCTTGAGGTTGAACTATACGGAAACTGGTTTCAACGTTAAATTCAGTGTTTTTTGACTTAGAATTCTCTAAATACATGTTTGATATGAATTTATATTGTCTAATAACATTACGTTTAACATCATCTCTTGTATCTGTTTCTAAAGAATCATATAATAACACAGCTTTATCTCTAGCTCTTTTCAATTCAGATGTCTCCATAATTATCTTATCTGGTAAGCATGGATACATGGCATAAATATCTCCACCATCGGTGACACTCAACAAATATAAGGTTAAACCGTCTTTGCTGAATGTCATGCTTTTTATATCAGTAACTTTCCCATTAAAACCAAAGCTACCTTCACGTTTATTTAAGACGATCTCGTTTCTTGTATCAATATCGAATAGAACAATCGTATCATCTTCAAACAGAATCACAGCTGTATTATCATTGATGGCTCTTGGATGAAACAATATTTGTCTGATATTAGATTTGTTATTAAATCTAAACACTTCAGATTGGAACCCAAAGGACATGTGCTTATCAATATCATCATAACTCCATGGAATCTCGACTGTCTTGAAGGCATTCTTGGAATGGATACAAATCACGTTTCTCGATGAAGATATAGAGATACGCTGATCTCCAAATTTACTTAAGGGTTCAACGAGCATTGTATTAAATTTCTGCTTTTGAATATTCCCCCAACGCAAACAATTGTCGCTGAACGTTACTATTTGACTTGCATCTTTATTAGAAGACAAAAAAAACTCACGTGCGTTGGGATCAATCCCTCTCAATGGAGATACAATGTTATTGTTAAAGATAGGCTTCTTCTCCAGGTCTACCAACGTCTCATCTCGATATGGTTTGGCCTTCTCACCTGAGTACATAGAATTTGGAAAAAGTGCCATATTTCTAAATTGGAAAATAAAGTAGACGCTTTTTGGTTGAGTAATACAATTATCGAATTATCAAAGATGGATAATTACAGATTCAATGTATACGGAGACTCTTCTTTAGTGATGCCAATGCTTGTTTTTCAATAAAACTTTCAGAGGGAATGGCCACTTTTTTTCATCTTGACTTGGTTATCTCTTATTTAAAACTCGCTCCATAATTCCAGCAAAGCAAAAAAATTGATTTTGGTAGTGTTACCCAAGAGAGCTTGTTTTTTCACTTAAAATAGAAACAGTAAATATATCCCATCGACCACTTTAGTTATCGTTTGAAGTTATAAATCAATAGTTTAGCCCAGATTATCTCAGAGTTAATATATTTCGAGCTCTATAATCCACTTTTTTTTTTCTATGTATATATATATATATATCTGTACATATAATGATGCTCATACTAATGCTATGAGGAAGCCCTCTACGATGCATCCGAAGATAACGTTCATAAATAATATCCAGCCAGCATAGTAACAAAGCTTAGGGCTAAACACACTCCATATGAACAGATGGTATCTTAATGCTACACATGCTGCAAGCAAAGAACAACCCACAATGCAATTGAACAAGACATGTGGAATCTTGTATTTAACAAATGTATTTGTCTTATTCTTGACACCTTTATAGAGTATACCCCATGAAAAAGTTGCCCAATATATGGCGGGTGCGAAATTAGCCATAGTCATTAGCCAACCTATTATGTATATGTTATAGTTCTCGGATATACCATGATATGCGTTAGCAAGATCAATAGTAGCTATCGAATTGGTACCCCCAAATTGAAAGAATGTAAAATTTTGAAGAATCAATGAAATGAGGGATACAATATATATTGAAGAGTCATATTGATCTTTCACTATACTGATGATACAATATCTCAATATTTCAAATACTAAAAATTGTGGGATATTTGTAGATGACGATAGGAAAATTAATAGTAATGTAATATATTTGGCCATGTCATTTAAAAGAGTGTCTGATTTTTGCATTTTTAACATAACTGCCAATATTTTAATGACACATATTGTTGAGATAGACTGGAAAAATAAAGTAGCCATTGGAATCAAAGCATCTTCGAATACTTTGTCATCATTAGTACCTGTATAAATTTCACAATATTTTCTGACAATTTCATGTAAATACTCAGGAATTTGTTCTTTATTAACAATAGACCAATCCAATTTATATGTTAGAACCATCATCCCAAGGGTAAAACTAGAAATAAAGGAAGCAGGGTTTCTTTTGAAGTCTCTCATGCATAGAATAAATACAGCCCAGATATTCAATGCCCATAAGAGCGCTGGTTTAGTCCCTAAAATGCTTGAAAGGACATAACTATAAGTAGTTTGCTGACCAGTATTATTCCAACCCCTGATAAGTCTCAAGCAAACAAAAACAATAAAGTATAGTTTGAATTTGCTTTTACCTATAATTGAAGAATGGATATACCCAACTGCTACAAATGCTGTGATGATCCACCACCATAATTGATGTTCTTCTTCAATAAAACTGCTACCAAAACATGAAAATCCTAGCAACAGTGAAATCGCCGTTGTCAATATGAGTGATACGCTAAAATGCATCACTTTAATACTATGAACAATCACAATAATTGTTGCAATCACCAACACGCAATATCCAATAAATATATTATTATAATTATAATCTGTAGCATTACGGATCAAATCTTTTTGAATGTCCCTCATTTTATCTATAATAACTTCTACATCGATTTTCCTCGAAACTTCAAAATCTTTAATATAATTCTGTTCATCTATTTCCTTAGCCACATCTAATAATTGTTTGTAGTTTTCCATAATTTTGATACCAGCTACCTTCTTACTCAATAATTGAATAAACTCAGGAATAAGTACCCCGACACTATTTTTAGGCACCGGGACATTAAACAAAGAGGAAATGGTAGGCACTAAATCCATTTGTTGAATACTAGATAGATACTGGAAAGTTGATGAATCATCTAACGTCATCGGGACCTTAACATTTTTCTGAGCAATAGGTTTTTCGTATTTAGCCAATTTCTTCGAAAGAAATACAAGGCCTGCTGACGTTTCTCCAGCGGATGAACCACCATGATTTCCGACATCATTCATACCATGATCACCCATAATTATCATTAATGTATCGTCTTTCATATCATTATAAAGTTCCTCAATCACATGATCCATTTCTCTATGTTTAGCAGGCATGAAGGTAGAATTGGCGCCACCCTTATGTCCAATATGATCTAGCCCTAAGTAGTGCAATATAAGAACATCCCATTCCTTAGACTCCTTTAGTTGATCGGGTATATGTCTAGTTACATTTAAATCAACCTGCTCAAAATCACTAACAAAGAAAGAATTTGTACCTTCATATTCATCAAAAATTTCATTAGGGAGTAATTTCAGCCACGTATCATCACCAAAAAATCTCAATCTAAAACCGTGGTTGTGAAATTGTCTTGGCCATGAGTCTTGATCTTTAATATTAGATGAGGAATCATCTTCTGCAACGTTCAGAATTGCATCCAAAAAACTTGGAGTAGACCCGGTTGTTATACCTTTCAGTCTCGGTAATGTTACTGTTGGAGGGTTTGAGTAAGCCGTATAGCCCCAAGCTTCACCAACATTAATCTTAGAATGAACGAAGGAAAACTCAGAATTTACCTCGCTGTACAAAAAATCACTTCGAAGAGCATCGATAACGACCAGTACTAATTTATTGAATGGAGGTTTAGTATTTTCTTGTATTTGAGTTTCTATTGTAAAACTTGCATCACCAGTCAGGACGTTTTTTTGAGGAAAGAAACCAGATAAAAACACAAAAAGTCCCGCTAACTGGAGCAGCAATGATACAATCAGTCTCTTTAACATCACTTAAATACAATACTTGCTCGACAGCAGTAACCAATTCACAATTTTTGAGTTCCTATTCCATATCCTATGGAATGTTTCGATGCCTCTTAAATAAGTTTCATACAATAATTTTCAGTTCTCGCGTTAATAGTTAAAAGACGCAAGCGCCATATAATGCAGACAGCTTGAATAGATACCAACCAGATCAATATGAACGTATATGAGGTTCAAGTTGTTGGTTTTATATGTTTTGTTGACTTTGGTTATTGTTCTCTAAACGGGAATGTCTATAGAGTGGCTATTTGTAGCTAAATGCTTTATATCTTACTGTGGCTTTCCTAACAAAGCTGTAATTAGAAACCAACTTCTGGAGCATAGGAATATTATTCTGTTGGAAACGATATCTCAAGGAAGACCGTAGGAAATATATCCTCTTCGTTAGATATCCCAATAATACCAAATAGTTTAATCATTTAAAGAAGTTACTGTTTTCTATTTTTCATATTGTCCTGTGGTTAAACAAATGAAAAGAGATGCAAATTCAGACACTGTATGCTACCAGCTTTAAAATTGAATTGAAAACCTTTTGATTTTCACAAAATGATAATGCCAGCTTATGATAGATATTCGAACTTTAATCGTTTTACAGAAAATTGTAAATAATTTTCTTTTTACTCCAATAGAGAGGCAAATAGTTTCCACTTCATTGGAAGTGATTCCAAAACTATCAAATGATACTATGGGTTGTAATTTTTTGCTTTTGATTTGTTATCTCGTTACACTAACCATGGATACAGTTAACCATGTAACCAATATTTTGGAGGTGAATGTCGTAACGTAAATATATCAGTGAGAATTAAAAGAAATCGCGAGAGGATGGCAGTGAAAAAAAAGTTTGTTTTCATTTACTATAGATTTACTTCATTCTGGGAATAAACGGTTTGTCAAATTTTCGGTTTAAAAATACTTCCTGATTAATATGGCCGAATTGAAAACTTCAATAATGGTAATGTATGGTGTCAAATTCACAGAAATAATTAAGACAATTATCTAATTTTTCGGTTTCCTATCTTATTCTTTGATGCGTGCTTTCGAAATAGAATACGTAGTAATTGACCTCACTACTCATCCGCATCTGTTAGTGTTACTTTCCGACTGAAAGCTCTATCTATAATAGAACTACAACCTATTCCTAGCAAAATACATAGCTTTACTAAATGTACTACCTTTTGTTAGGGGTTCTCCAAAAATTTTCGAAACTACGCAACATAATTTCTAAGATGTCTTGGTTTAATATTAGACCTATATCAGAAGATATTGATAAAATAATACAAATAATAATAAATTTTAGATTTCGAGATTTATTTTTTGATGACTTTTTATATTCAAATAAACAATAGAAAAACATAAATAAACTGCTTTTATGGCCAAGTTGGTAAGGCGCCACACTAGTAATGTGGAGATCCTCGGTTCAACTCCGAGTGAAAGCAAATTTTTTACAATTTTACAATTAAAAGTCACGTGATGATTGATAACCTATACTAATTTGTTCTAAACCAATATTATAATGAACTTATAAAGCATTGTTAGATTGGATACCATGTTCTACGAAAACAACCCTTTTCTTATAATTTTGTTTCGTTGTTCCACCGCTATAGTTGGCCCATTGGCTTATTTTAATTTCAATGATAAAACTGGAAACAACATCACTTTATACGAGACATATTTATCAGTATACAAAATAACAGATGCTTGACATAAGCTGTATTGAAAGAAGATCGCATAAGCAAGAAGGACTTCTGGAAAATAAACCCACTATTATAAAGATTATTAAAACGTTATAGTTTTTTTTAGTCGACGAGCAGTGAAGAAAGAATTAACAACTGTTATATTGTGGAGTTTTTATTTTTAGCATATCTGAACTTCATTAATTTTACATATATAATTGTTCAATATTGATTTTACACTAACTAAAGATATACTACACTAATGACTACTGAATTACTTGATAGTTCACCTGAAGTTAAGGAAGATGTTTCCGTTCCAGTCCAACCAATCACTTCTTTGAAAGAAGTCGTTATAGAAGAAGGTGAGCCATTACCTAGTCCCGCAGAATTAGCTCAATACATGCCAGCTTTACCAATAGATAAAATCCAAATGATTGCTAGAAATGACCCAAACTATGTTGAACTCACCGATGATGCGTTTGGTGCCACGGCATTTGCTACAGAATTCTTTGTTAAAACTTTGACTAGCGAGGCCCTGAAATTGTCAGAATACAGATCAAGAAGTAATTCACAAACATTAGAATTAGGATACGATGATGTCGCAGATCTTGTCTCGATGCAGAAGGTTTATGCATTTTTACGTGAAACAATACCTAGAACGAAATATTTAGGGGACTTGGTCAAAGAGAATAAAGTTAGATATACGACTGTGGTACCCGCACAACAACAGCGCCAGCAGCAGCAGGAGACAGTACATCAATCAGAACTGGGACAACAACCACAAGCAGCAACTAATGAGATCATAGAAATAGATAGCAGCGATGAAGAGTAAAAGGTCGCTCTTTAAATATTATTCCCAAAACTCATCATCTTTCAATCCGTACACCTTCCGAGTTTCCATCGCCTTAATAAGGGGGAAAGGGAAGGGAAGACAGACAGGACAAGGATATAGACTTTATGTAACACTATTAATATTAATGTATATCTAATGAACAGCTTAGTAAACACATACAAGTATTATCTTGAATTATATTTGTATAATAACCATTTAAAAGAAAGACACAAAAATAGAAGATATGGGTCTGTTTAGTAGTATTGATAACAGCCAACAAGTTAATGAAGACTACGTTAAGAAGAAGTTGAATCAGCGTGATCTTTTCTCAGAGACTTGGTTCAGCTCTCATAATGGAGAAACTCTACCTGGAAACCCCTTAGAGAGTCTTAGTGGGTGGCCATTTAGTTCTTTATATGGTAGAGGGATTAATGTTGAACCCGTAAATATAACTTCTCCGTTTGATTCAAGAAGCGAAGATGATTATGTTCATGGAGACCAAATCAAGGAAGAAGGGGTCACAGGTCTCTATAATTATAAGACTCCATCGGATACACAATTTGCACAATGTATGGATTCTCAAGGGTTATCTGTATGGGATACTAATGGTTGGTGGAGATGTTTGTTCCCACAAAATATTATTAGACAAAATCTACCAAATTTACAAGAAACTGAATCTGCAATGATCTTAACGAAACAAAAGGTGGAGAATGATGTTAATCATAAATTTGGTTTATATTTTACAGATTATACAAAGTACTTGGTATGGAAATCACAAATGAATAAAATAATTAAGGATAAACGTGAGAAAGAAATTGAAAATTTAAAGAAACCACAATTAACTAAATCTGCAGATCATAAACAAGATAATGAATTAGTCACAATGACCCCTGAAAGTCTCATGTTAAGTGATGATTCTGCTCTTTCTACCCCCGAGAAAGATAAATTGATTATTGGTACTTCTGAAGTGCTCAGATCAAGCATGTCAAGTGAAGGTTTGACTGAAGAAACTAAAGAACTAAAGACATATTACGATGATGGTTCCATTATACTAAAAACCGAGAAAAAGGTTACACCACATGACGGTGGTTCACCAAGAGTGGAAACCCACGAAAGAGTCCTTAGACAAGGTAGGGACAAGTCGTCGAGTGGATTTCCTTTCTGGTCTCGTAAAAAATAGATAATTGTGTTCATAGACACTCTAATTAAACCGTATTCTTGTCTATACTTTCAACACATACACACACACACATATATATATATATATATATTCATTTTACTTTTTAAATATTAAAGTGACACCGTTAAATTCCGTTTGACACGTTCCTGAGTCAACTGATCATACGATTTTCTTCATTCTCCTTTGTAAACGTATTGAAATCTTAATCTATTTTTTTTTTTTCAGTCTTCGCAGATTACTAATTATTATGCATAGCCATAATTTGATAAGGATAAAATTTATTTAAAGTTCACCACACACTCTGAACATCGAGATTAGGTTAATTGTAACCTATTCCTGCAAAAAAAAAACATTCGACTGAACCCAATTGAATGAATATTATGATGAGTTTTAAAATTAAGGAGGAAATTAGAAGTGCCGGAGGTAAATTGCTAAAAGTAATACATACTTCCAAGGCTACAGGGACACCAATGGATGTTAACCTGTATTTACCAAAACAGTATTATGATGGTTCCGGAAAGGGTAAAATCCCTAGTTTGTACTTCTTATCTGGTTTAACTTGTACCCCCAACAATGCCTCTGAAAAGGCTTTTTGGCAGAGAGAAGCCGATAAATATGGTTTTGCTATGGTCTTCCCTGATACGTCTCCAAGAGGACCTGATGTTCCAACTGACCCACAAGGTGGATGGGACTTTGGAGTAGGTGCTGGGTTTTACGTTAATGCTACCCAACCACCTTACAATACTAACTTTAACATGTACCAATATGTTCATTCTGAATTACCAACAGCTTTAACTGAATTCTTCAATTCTGGCACAAGACCAACAGGTGTTGGATCTGTCGACTTCTTGGAAAATATTTCGATTACTGGACATTCTATGGGTGGTTTTGGTGCTGTTGCTGGATTCTTAAAGAATTTGAACAAATACAAGTCCTGTTCTGCTTTTGCTCCAATCATTGATCCAACTACTACTCCATGGGGTATTAAAGCATTTACTGGGTATTTGGGTGAGGATAAATCTGCATGGAAGCAATATGATCCATGTGAATTAATAAACAATGTTCCATATGTTCCAGGAAAAGAGATTTTGATCCATTACGGTACCAATGATCAATGGAAAGAACTATACTTGAAACCTGAAAACTTCATGAAACTAGTTCCTCAAAGTCCGTGGGCTAAGCACATCAATGTTAAAATGGTTGAAGGGTTTGATCATTCCTATTATTTTGTGTCTACTTTTGTTCCAGAGCATGCTGAATTTCACGCCAAGCATCTTGGGTTGATCTAAGAGGTAGCGTCCATTTTCTTCAAACAAACCATTAAATATTCTGTCAGTATATGCCAAATATAAACCATAAATATATGAGTGTATAACAACTTCAATGATCTATCAGTATATCTATATCTTTATATATATATGTGTGTGTGTGACGATAAATTTGGTTATTACAGTCCAGTAATCACGTGACTCGCAGGGAAAAATTTTCGCTTGCTGAAAAATTTATTTGAAAGAAAAGTCGATGAGCATCTCTCTCGTTTGAGAAGAACACAACTAGTTATATAATTTAGATCGGAAGAAAGGTATTTAAAGAGATACCTTCATCTTTCTTTAGTATTTAATTATAACGAGACACATCAGAAGTAAAGAGTTTTATTTTGAAAAAAAGGATACCGTCCAAATATATTGAAAGATTATGTCTAAAGTTGATATAGATTACGTCGTGCCTCCTCCGGATGAGGAGGAAGAATTGTTGGCAAAGATTGTGTTTGGTGACTCCTCCGATTTCCAAGAGAATCTATCCAATTTTTCTGCTGATTTTCTTTTAGGTGAGAGAGAAGATGAACTAGATAGTATGGCTGCAGATGCATTAGCCAGTGATGATAACACAAGCGATGAGGATGAAGAAACTGGAATTGAACATGTCAATGACGATCAATTATTCTTCATGGACGATGGTGAAAATGACGATTCCAAGATGGATGTTGATGAAGAAGATGGGAGTGACATTGTGTCATCTGATGAAGACATGTCGGAAGATGACGATAGCGATGTATGGGAAGATTCGGATGATGAGAGACTGAATGTTTCAGTAATGGGTAATAACAGATCCAAGAAATTAAGAAATACATACAATGATAGTGTGTTGTCAGGGAAGCAATATGTTCGTAGATTGAGAGCTCAATTTGAAAAAATATACCCAAAGCCCCAATGGGTCGATGATGAGGATTCTGATTTAGAGGGCCATGGAGATGGTATGTCCGATGATGAGAACAGTGATGACAGAGAAGAAGTCATTAATGCCGATATACATGCTTTATCAAAAATCTTACAGAGTACTTATTCTTACAAGGATACCACTCAATCAAAGTTATTACCTGCAAAATCTTTGGATATCCTAAGATTGAAAGACGCCAATATGGCTCACCCAGCTCAATCAGCTATACAATCATTATCATTCCACCCAACCAAACCTTTATTGTTAACTGGTGGTTATGATAAGACTCTAAGAATCTATCATATTGATGGGAAGCATAATCATTTAGTTACTAGTTTACATTTGAAAAGCACACCAATCCAAACTTGTACTTTTTATGTTACACCACAACAGATATCTAAGAAGAAACAACACTTACTCCAAGAACAAAGAATCTTTACTGGTGGTAGAAGACGTTATATGCACTCTTGGGATCTATCATCTTCTATTATAAATTCAAACAATAATGGTGCTGTTGCTAAAGTTGAGAAAATCTCAAGATTATATGGTCATGAAGCTACACAAAGATCTTTTGAGAAATTTAAACTTGCTCATTATTACAACACAAAGAAACATGAAACACACGGGATCGTTCTATTACAAGGTAATAATGGTTGGGTGAATGTTCTGAATGCCAGTTCAGGTGTCTGGATGATGGGATGTAAGATTGAGGGAACTATAGTGGATTTCTGTATAGATTACAAACCTTTGCCAAACAATACATTCCGTACAATTCTAATAGCTACCAACACTTATGGTGAAATTTGGGAATTCGATTTAACTAATAATGGGTCAGTCCTAAAAAGGTGGAAGGATGAAAGTGGTGTTGGTGTCACGTGTATCCAAGTTGGTGGTGGTACAAATTCTGCTCACCTAAATGGTTCAGGACTATCACACCAAACCGTTACATCAAACAGGTGGTTAGCCATTGGTTCTAGTAGTGGGTTTGTAAATATTTATGAAAGAAGAAATAGTGATGACTCTGAAGCAGCTCCTACCCTAGTGGGTACAATGGATCAATTGACAACATCCATATCTTTCTTACAATTTTCTCCAGATGGTCAAATACTATGTATGGCCTCTAGAGCTGTTAAAGACGCTTTAAGATTGGTCCATCTTCCATCATGCACAGTCTTTTCCAACTGGCCAACTAGTGGTACCCCTCTAGGTAAGGTGACAAGTGCCACATTTTCTCCTCGTGGTGAAATGTTAGCTGTTGGTACTGAACAAGGTAAGGTTAGATTATGGAGATTGAATCATTACTGAAAGAATAAAAATACATTCGCATATAGCATTATCTAGAATTTTAATAATAAATAAAAAAAATAATTAAGATGCATAGTCAAAATATGTATAATCGAGCCGTCCAATGTGTGAGAAGTTCGATATTCTACCTTGATTCAAGGTATTGAATTAATGCAATTTAAATAAGTAAATTCATTATATCATTCGTATAAAATGATATGAAAGAAAAATTATGCCAAAAATAAAGCTCGCACTCAGGGTTGAACTAAGGACCAACAGATTTGCAATCTGCTGCGCTACCACTGCGCCATACGAGCTTAACTGGAAAAAGAAGATAATTTTTCTGATCTCAGAGACAGAAAGTTTTATATTTTGCCGTGAAAGTTATATTTTTTAAAGTAATTTGGTTATCCTGATCGTTTAATTGGTGGTATTTAAGGAGTGCATTACTTGATAATGTCTTAAATAACTACTAAATATTTTAATTGATGACGATGACGGAACTTATGAGAATTGATAATATCTAAAACGCTTTACCGCTGTACGAAGTCCAATACTGCTAAACGTAACGTATCACTACTATACAAAGTGTTTTTATCGGAGAGCTGGGAATTAGAGAATAATAGTAGTATATATATTTACTGTAGCTCAGAACTATGTGTCTGTTGCTTGCAGCAGAGCTCCTTCCCCTCCTAACAGAGAAAAACATGAGAAAGTGTAATATATAATTCTACACTTTCTAGAAAACGGGTTCCTTTATATACAGAAATTTTCACAGTAATATCGCATTGTACGAAGATCACTGTGTGTCACACTGTTATATAATTTCCAACAGTTTTACGTGAGCACTACGTAGAGACTATTAATTGAACTATCACACAGGAAAAATGAGGAGTAAATTAGAAATAGCTCCTAATAATTATTACACAATTTTAGGGGAATATTCTAGATGTATTTGTTCCACATAAATCCTGTCAGAACTAGTCCGCAATCTATTCCTGTTATAAAACCCGAGCAAGCTTAGAGTTTTCCTTAACATATAAATGAATGAATAAATAAAATAGAAAATAGGTAAAATCCCATTTAAATGCAGTTGTGTGAATATATAATAATATGTATGTTTTAATTTAGTTTTAATTCATATGACCTAAATTGGAAAGTCGGTTGCTGTATCCTTTGCTTGGATATTTTTATAGTCGTTATTGTGTGTAGTGAAATTTGAAAAAAGATAATTAATCCATCCTATGATATCCTTTTTCAATTCTGCAAATAAATTTGCGTCGATTACTTTAAGGCAAATACCTTTGTAACATGTGTTCTTATTATGTGCCATGTTCTCTAAACAACAATCAAACTCAGTTTCATCTGATACACATTTTAGGGCATTTGCCACATCATTATTCTGTTCCACAAGGGATCTCTTGACATTAGCTAGCCTGGAGTCGAATTGTTTAATACTATCTTCGACATCCCTCATTCTAAACTCTAGTAATCTTACATCATATTTTAACTTTGAAGTTAAAGAATTGATTTCATTAATCTCTGTGAATAATAATTTTTGCTTATTTTCTAACATACTGGCATTTCTTTCAAATTTGATAGAATGACTGGCATATTTATCATGATTTATTTGTAACTGTTTCTTTAAATCTTTAAATTTTTCTTCTGCTTCATGATCATCAAAATCATCTGAATGAGGAGCAAATTTACTCTCTTGCATTTCATCGATTCTTTGTTTTGTAGCTAAACGTGTCTCTATGAGTCTTAAATTTCTAGCTACTTTTACAACAGACGCATCAAATGGTAAAGTCCATCTTTCTACAGCCTCGCAAACATCAGAGTAGGATGTTGATCGATATAATTTACGATCTTTGTTGATGACTCCATTTAAATCTTGGAAAAGATTTTCATGCATTAAATCATTCATTCTTGGGAATGAATTTCTTCTCTTGTATTCATCAAAATGTAATTTGTTTAAATCAAGATTGTTGGCATATTTTGATTTATCATAATTGCAGAACATGGAAGATACTGTATGATTTGATTCTGATGAAGAGGTTGTACTTTCCATATCATCAATTTCATCCATATCCACTGGTAGTTGTCTACTCTCAACAAAATCATTAATATTAAATTTTTTGGCAGTTCTTGATTTTTTCTTCATTAATTTTCTTTGAATATCTTCTTTCATTTGTTTTTTCTTTAAATCATTTTGAATTTGTAATTGTTTCTTTGGATTCCCCTTTTCAAATTTAAAATTAGAGAAATTGTACATATAATTATCAAATAACATTACTGTCTTTGATTTACCTTTACCTTTCCATAATAATCCCAATGTGCCGCCATGAATATTACTAACTAATGAATTCAATTCTGTAGTTAAAATCTCATGAGATAAAGTGATAGGATTACCTTTCCCAGTTAAATCTTGTACTCTTGATTTTACCATTTTTTTAAATTTAATAATATCATGAATTGAATATTTTTGTGTTACTTCAAATAATTTTTCTACAGTGACAATATCTAATTTCCCACTAATGATAGATTCACCAATTAAATTGTATTTTTTTTGAAATAAACGAACTGCATTGTTAAACTCGATTTTATCAAAGGGATCCTTTGTATTCATACAATCTTCCAATATTAATTTAAAATAACAACTTAATACAAGGCTTAAAATTCCTGCCACGGTTGTTGGACCAACAGATGGTTCATTTCTTGGTCTTTCAATACCTAAATAAGGTTTCCCATAATGTAGCCACCATTTTTCAATAGATAATGTTGTACCTTTACAAATCAAACCATCGGTATTTCCTGAATAAAGGTTAAAATAATATAAAGAGATGTGAATTAAATTTACCATGTATATTACTTCATAACTTTCTTGAATAATTGCAACAGCTTCATTATTTTGAATTGAAACACCTCTAGTGGGAGCAGTATTAAATTGATAATTATCAGGTTGACTTAATAAGACTTGTGGATTAATAGCCTTTGTATTATTAGAATTTTCATTAGAAGTGTTGTTATTACTATTTGAATTTTCTTTAGCTTTTGTTTGAAATTTATATAATTGTAAAAATTTCTCAACGGCAGATTTTGCAGGGTATGATAATAATAAAGATGATCTACCTGCACAATGCAACATTTTTAAATTAAAATTAATTTTAAAATTTGGCCAAACTGATCGTATATCACCTGTTTCGATATGTAAAATATTTAAACTTGATGGTATTGTTGTTAAATTAGTAATAAACATACTACTACCATCTATCAATTTTTTAGGTTGTGAAAATAATAATAATTCTTGATGATATTGTTTAAATTGTCCTGGCCATAATGCTGGATCAGTTGGTAATAATACCTGAACAGCCCTAATAACATCTTGAGTATTACCTGTAAATGAAGTAATTGTAGAAGTGAGTCGACGTTCAGCTATCCATTGTTCGACTAAATACAATTCATATCCTACCACATCCAATTCAGTATATGTTAAATCAATATACGATGATAAATCTAAATCATACAGAGCTTTCAAATCGCAAAATATAAAACTAGAGACATCTATCTCTGCCATTCTTTTAGCAGAATCTAGTATCGAGTTTCTATTTGTCATGCTTACTCGATGAGGTGATGGATTATAACCATAAGCGTTTGCTATTGCTTGTGACATCTATGCAATATGTGTGAGTGTGTAAGTGTGTGTGTATGTGTGTCTGTGTGTGTATGTATATATTTATAGTATACCTATATAACTAGCTAAATATAGCTCATGTAAAGATATCCATTAATATATATTTGGATTGCATTATGTAAGGGTTCTTATATCTTGATACCTTTCCATCCCCTTTCTTACCCATCGGAAACGCAGTGAGATTTATAAAGAAAGAGAAAGGGCGGCGGGATTAGCACAGAAAACGCCGCAGGAGAGTGGGCATCGGTCACGTGAACTAGTCTCTACTGTGTTGTCACGACCATCATCATCAATTGACGGTTGAACACAACATTCGTGCCCTTTTATTTAATCAATGTAACTATACAGCATTTACCCATTTTCGTTTGACAGTTCACTAATAACAGCTCCGTGTTAGAGTTGTGCTTCATATGTGACGTTTGAAGAATCACTATATACGTGGCGTGTGATGTCTACGATTTGGCGCAGCTAAACATGTTCTTGATTTATGATACAGAGCATAATTATTGGTACATGTACCCGTACTGGTGGTAGTGTATATATGTATATATGTACGTACGTGGACACGATCTGTAACCAGTGTACAGAGACTGGGCTTGTAACGGTACAGGTTGGCGCTGTATACGGTTTGTGAGTGAATTGAGACCGATTTCTTTGAAGATTTCCCAGTCGGACGAAATTGTTTCGATTTGAAAGGAGGAAAAAATGGAAACAGAAATAGAAATGTTCAAAGGGTAGAAAGTAGTAGACACAGATAAGATGCAAGTAGTTGATTGATTTGAAAGGTATTGGTAATACATATATATAAGGAGCATTGGGATCTTAAATGTTTATATAGAAATTGCTTTTACTTTTGAATCTCTTTTTTTTTTTGCCTCCGTTTCATTTGAACACATAATAATAATAATAATAATAATAATAATAACTAATCCACTCTTTTTTTAAAACAAAAAAAATCGTATAGATAGATAGATAGATAGAATAAAAAGTATTGAACTTTAATTTGCTTTAAGAATTTCCTAGATTTAAGAATAGTATGGCTAAAGAAGAAGCTATTTTCCGTTCAGCGGAAATGACTTATGTGCAATTGTATGTACCTTTAGAGATATCTCGTGAAGTTGTTTGTCTCTTAGGTAATTTAGGTTTATTAATGTTTAGAGATTTAAACAGTGATACAAATGAATTCCAACGTACTTATGTGGAACAATTAAGGCGATGTGATGATACACAACGGTTATTAACATTCTTAACTGAAACAATGGATAAACATGCAAATGTTTATTGGCATACTTATACAGATTCTGGACAAGAAACTTTATTGAAAAATATGGAAGTTAAGGATTTGAATTCAATAAATGATTTAACAAAAGAAATCGAATTGGTTGAATCGAGAGTAAGAAGATTAGATGAATCATTAAAAGATATTCAATTAAAATTAGATAATTTATTAGAGACAAGATATGTTGTATTTAAAGCTGAAAGATTTTTACAAATCAATCCGGGTATCATTGGTAGAGTCTCTAGAGAATATAGAGAACAACAACATAATTCAATCGTTGATGAAGAAGAAACTTTTCTTGATAATGATAATTTCTCTTTCACTATTGATTCAGATGAAGACGCAGATGAACAAATAAATAATGACGATAACCATGATGTATTACTAGGTAATGGATTACAAGAACAATTTATGGTAGTTGGTGCAGTAAATAGAGAGAAAGTGGATGTTTTAAATAAATTATTATGGAGAATGTTACGTGGTAATCTCTTTTTTCAAAATATCCCAATTGAACAACCTTTATTAGATTCTGATGGTTTAACACGCATTGAAAAAGATTGTGTAGTAGTTTTCACACATGGTAAAATATTAATTAATAAAGTTAAACGTGTTATGGAATCCCTAGGGGCTCATATTATTCCATTAGATAAAGAAAATTTTCCAAAATTAGATACATTGAATGATGAAATCGATGATTTACAACAAATTTCTCAATCAACTGAACAAGCATTACATACAGAATTATTAGTCGTTCATGATCAGATCCTTAATTGGAACGTTGCATTTAAGAGAGAAAAATATATTTATGCAACTTTAAATTTATTTAGACCAGAGACACATGGTTTAGTTGCAGAAGCCTGGTTACCAAGTAATGAAATTACAGATTTAACAAGATCTTTAAAAGATTTTGTTGAATCAATAGGTTCAGAATACAGTGCAGTGGTAACAGTTATACATACAAATAAACAACCTCCAACTTATCATAGAACAAATAAATTTACTGATTCGTTTCAATCAATTGTTGATGCATATGGGATTGCTACATATCAAGAAGTTAATCCCGGTTTGGCTACAATTGTTACTTTCCCATTTATGTTTGCTATTATGTTTGGTGATTTAGGTCATGGATTAATTCTTTTCTTAATTGCTTTAGTATTAATTTTAAATGAAAGAAAATTTGGTTCAATGAATAGAGATGAAATTTTTGATATGGCTTTCACTGGAAGATATGTCTTAGTATTGATGGGTGCATTTTCAATGTATACAGGTTTAATGTATAATGATATGTTTTCAAAACCATTAACTTTATTCAAATCTGGTTGGGAATGGCCAAGTAGTTTTAAACAAGGTTCTAATATCTCAGCAAAACAAATTGGTGTTTATCCATTCGGACTTGATTCAGGATGGCATAGTACAGAAAATTCTCTACTCTTTTCAAATTCTTATAAGATGAAATTATCAATCTTAATGGGATTCATTCATATGACATATTCCTTCATGTTTTCATATATCAATTTTAAAAGAAGAAATTCTAGTGTTGATATCATAGGTAATTTTATCCCAGGTTTAATCTTTATGCAATCTATATTTGGTTATTTATCATGGGCTATTGTATTTAAATGGTCAAAGGATTGGATTAAAGATAATAAACCTGCTCCTGGTTTATTAAATATGTTAATTAATATGTTTTTGGCTCCTGGGAAGATAGATGAACCACTTTATAAAGGGCAAGCATTCCTTCAACAAGTATTATTATTGGCAGCACTTGTTTGTGTCCCATGGTTATTATTGTACAAACCATTGACTTTAAGAAGACTTAATAGAAGTGCAAAGATGAGAGGTTACGATAGTATCCAAGATCAAGAAACTAGTCGTGAATTGATGGAAACTGAGCAACAATTGCATAACCCTGATGATAATGATATGGTAGTGACAGATTTTGATCTTCAACAAGATAATGATGATTCTGATCAACATGGTCCTAATGCAGAATTTAATTTTGGTGATATTATGATCCATCAAGTGATTCATACCATTGAATTTTGTTTGAATTGTATTTCTCACACTGCATCATATTTAAGATTATGGGCTTTATCATTAGCTCATGCTCAATTATCTTCTGTGCTATGGGATATGACTATTCAAAATTCATTCAGTTCAGAGAATTCAGGTTCACCATTGGCTGTATTTAAAGTATTCTTCTTATTTGCCATGTGGTTTGTCCTAACTGTCTGTGTATTGGTTCTGATGGAAGGTACATCAGCCATGTTGCATGCTTTACGTTTACACTGGGTCGAAGCAATGTCAAAATTCTTTGAAGGTGAGGGGTATGCATACGTTCCATTCTCCTTTAGTAGTATGATTGAATCCTGATAAATAAAAATAGACTAATCGTACATATAGAGAACAAAAAAATCATAATATTATTTCTTGTGTTGTTTTATCTAATTACAATCTTTAAATAATAATAAAAATGACATTCTTTAACACAATGATTTATTAATATTATATATATATATATATCTAATATATAAAAAGATCAGGATCCGTCAAATGCCTTACTAACAGGCTGTATGTCTTTGATGGAATCTTCGGGAGAAATCCAACACCTAATTTTATGATTTCATCTGAATCAAATTCAGGTAGATCCTTCATTAAATTCATTGGTGAATCTGAACGAAGTATTCTATTTCTAATGGTAACTAACATCGCCACAATAAATAAGATATTCATGTGGAACCCATATGCAAACATGAAATCCCAAAGACGACAGACATGATCCAGTGGTTTGTTACATCCGGATAACGTCAAGATCGATGGCATCCCATATATTTCTGCAGTCAATAAATTATCATTTAAAAATTTACTCAGTTTGGGATCAATAATCTTAAGGCAGAGATCTAATAACTTAGCACCATTCCTCACACCTGTTAGATTCGGTGTAATATATGTCGGTATTTGGGAATAACAAAGGTTTGAAAATAATTGGAATGCTATAGGTTCACTGGGACAAGAATACAATAAAGGTGCTAATAATACGTTCATACCTTGTACATACGTGCTGATGTTCTTCTTCGACTTATCCTCCTCGTATAAATGTTGGGTTTGCCATGCAAAACAGGAGAGACATCGTGTCAGTGCATCCTCTGGGACAATATCTTTGAATTTGGTGTTTGTTTGAAAAGTTCTACCAGTGTCATTCTTGATTTTTTTGTATATGGTTGATGATGGCGGTCCCTGGTTGACCAACGTAACGTATACGCTTGTAGAATGTTCCATGGATGTCCTAGAGAGGATTGACCATATGTAAGCTCTAAGTCGCTGTTCACGTTTATCTCCTGTGGCAGGTATCCCCTCGCTAAGAACTAAGTACCGCAGTTGTGCTAGTGATGAATAGACAATGAGAGGTGGTTTACTAATAAATTTCTCAATAGATGACATCGAGTACTCCAGTGGTGGTATATGTGTTGGTATGTTTATCTTACTTTATGTCCCTTGGTACCTATATGCTTTTTAAGGTTTATAAAGTTTATTGATATAACTTTTTTTTTTCATGGCATCAAAGAGATCAATAACATATTAAGAAAGTTTCAACGTAAAAATTACAAAGATAACATATATATACCTAAAGTGAATGTCTGTGAAGATCATTAAAATACATCAGTGTTATCAGTATATGATATAAATTCTTCAAGACTTGATAGTACCCTGTTATTAAGTTCAATTAATAACCAAAGTGATGTTTCTTGTTTACGCGTTCCATTCGCCATCACTAAATGTAAACAGTCAACTAGCCATGTTAAAATTTCACTTGAAGACAAGGTGAGTAGTTTGTTCAAGAGCAAATCTTTGAACGTCAAGGGTTAATGTTCGAAGATTTCTCGCTCTTGTTTAATCTTATCGAATTTCCACATCCTCTCAACGGTTTATTTTATATACTTTGTTATTGTTTACTCTATTTATATGCTTTTTAAAGCACATCGCATTACAGAACCGAAGATACATAAACATAGTAAACAAGGTGAAACAGCGTCTGGTATCAATTCAAAAGGTGTCATTTCCATTAGACTAGTTTTCGAGGACGTATGAACATTCCTAAGTATGAAAATAAACCTTTTAGACCACCTAGAAGAGTGGTTCCAGGTGAGAGACCTAATAGTGGGAAATCTGCAGGTTTAGCGCCCACTATAGGACAGAAGAGAAATCATTCAAATGGATCAAATATAAATGGTAATAACGTGCCTGAACAAATCACTAAAAAGGTACGGACTCAGTCAGCATCTACAAGTAGAATCATTTCGAGACCAAGTTCATCTCCTCGTTCTGAGACATTTTATACTATTGTTCATAGAAAACCATCTCAAAAGAAACACAAAATATGGACTGGTGATGGGTACGCCATAGCAAGATTAAAGGAAGGAAGCAAGGTTGAAGTAGGTAAATTATTATTTTATGATGATTCTGGGAAATTTTTAGGTTCACCTAATCTAGCTTATATGAAATCGGATGTTAGCGTGATGGATGCTATATTTAAAACATCTGGATTAGAGATTCAATTAGATCATAAAATTGTAGGCAAAGAGGAAATGAACAATGTGATGAAAGTTTTAAGTATAGATGGTAAATCAGAACGTCCTCTGAGTTCATCGAGAGCTTCTACATCCCGTGAATGTACTAAGAGTAGTGATGAAACTATATCGTCGATCAGTAAAACTGTTAAATCTGGAGTACCTCTAACGGAATTGGTGAAGACGATGAAATTCTCAAGGTTTAAATCAGTCACATCAAAATCACAAGTTTTAACACCACGCCGAGTATCTGGAATGCCAGGTACAGCAATTCCTGGAAATAAGAAAACATATTTGCCATTCTTTGATAAAACAAAAATTGAAAACCCAATTATTATGAATAGTTCAAACGATGCAGACGTTGAAGTTATCGTCGATCCATTATTATCCAAATTTTTAAGACCTCATCAAAGGGTAGGTGTCAAATTTATGTACGATTGCATAATGAGTCTTGATCAGTCATCTTGCCCAGAATTATCAGATGAAGAAAAGGATCTAACTTCGACTAACGTTTTATTGGAAAAAGATTCAGATATTAACGGATGCATTCTTGCGGATGAAATGGGTCTTGGTAAAACATTAATGACAATTACATTAATATGGACTTTGTTGAAACAAACTCCTTATTGTCACGGTAAAGATATTAATATTTCTCAATCTGGGGTTCCTTTAGAAGGTTATTTCAAGAAGATTTTAATTGTTTGTCCAGTAACTCTTATTACAAACTGGAGGAACGAGTTTAGGAAATGGTTAGGTCTAAATAAAATAGGTGTGTTGACACTTCAAAATGCTAATACAGTCGAGATGGATAGAAGCGCCGTGCATAACTTTCTTAGAGTTCATAGAACATACCAAGTGTTAATTGTCGGTTATGAAAAGTTACTATCAGTAGGTGATGTCCTTATTCAGGATAACAGTGATCAGAATAAAGCGTTAGGATCCATTGATCTTTTGGTATGTGATGAAGGTCACCGGTTAAAGAATCAGACTTCAAAAATATTAAATATTTTAAAAGAGATCGATGTGAAAAACAAAATACTATTATCTGGTACTCCTATTCAGAATGACCTTACTGAATTCCATACAATTATTGATTTTATTAATCCTGGTATATTTGGCAGCTATAATTACTTTAAGAAACATTACATTACCCATATTACAAGAGCAAGAGATACAGTTAATAAATATAATGATGACGTTGTAGCCCTTGGTGAGGAAAAATCTAGCGAATTAATAGCGATTACTAAAAAATTTATCTTAAGAAGAACTAACGACATACTAAACAAGTATTTACCTCCGAGAACAGATTTGATCTTATTTTGTAAGCCAAATGCGTCACAATTATCTGCATTTAAAAATTCAATGGATGGCTCTCAGCTAGATTTCAATAATTTGACTTATAATTCATCTTTGGGTTTAATAACCACCTTTAAGAAAATTTGTAACTCTCCAAGTTTAATTCGACCATCAAATTCAGAACCAAATCCAGGATATTTTTCTGGGATAAGTAAATCCTATGAAGTTACATCAGGTAAATTAACCGTGTTGATGAAATTATTAGAGAATATACGGCACAATTCGGAGGATGAAAAAGTTGTAATTGTTTCAAATTATACCCAGACCTTGGATATTATACAAGACATGATGAATTCAATGAGGCTAATATCTTGCCGTCTTGATGGGTCAACTCCCCCAAAACAAAGAGGTTCTATTGTTTCGTCGTTTAATAACAATCCCAAGATATTCTCGTTTTTGCTTAGTGCTAAATCGGGTGGGGTAGGTTTAAACCTCATCGGGGGGTCCCGATTAATACTTTTTGATAACGATTGGAATCCGTCAATAGATATACAGGCAATGTCAAGAATTCATAGAGATGGCCAAAAAAAACATTGTTATATATATAGACTAGTTACCACTGGTTGTATCGATGAGAAAATTTTACAAAGACAGTTAATGAAATCCAGTTTAAGTTCCAAATTTTTAGATGATTCGAACATAAATACAGAAACGAAATCGAGTGGTAAACAAAGCAAATCCAATAGTGATGATCTCTTTGATAAAGAAGATCTAAAGGACTTATTCACAGTTGTAAGTGACACAACTAGTAATACGCATGATCTAATTTGTCCTTGTAATGGTGATAACACTATAATAAACTTAGAGAATGTGATAGAGAAGGAGAATTTGATGGATATAGAGGAGAGAGAAAATAGGAAAGTTCTTGGTTCATGGTCCAGTGCACTAGCTTTAAAGGATGTCCTAAAAAATAAGCAAGAAAATGAGCAAGCCCTCAAGACTGAAATGATGAAAAAATGTTTAATTGGATATAGACATATTAACCCATTAAAATACACAGATTTACATGATAAAGTTGCTACTAAAACGGTTAAAGACCTTGCTGAAATTGTCACTTTTGCTTTTGTAAAAATGGGTGAAGAGACCGTAGTGTAATTATCGTACATATATGTACAACATATAGTGATCTATACAACTATATATACTAAATAAATAGCAACAGGATTTATTTGGAACAAACGGCAAGAAGATAAAGTTTTGCCCCTTGTCTATAATTGATCTCAGCTATAATTGTTTCATTGCTCGAGATGAATGATAATGATTATATAATTATTTTGTTTGTGACACTTTATTGTCTTCCTGCGCTATTTTCTGTGTTTAACTTCCTCAATACACGTAGAAAAGAATTTCACGTTAAAAATGAATTTTCAAAACAAAAAATTGGTTGCAGGCATCGAAGCAGTATGCAATAGCAAAGAGTGACAACCTACTGTTATTATTAGAAAATATTTCAAGATGGACTACTTTTCCTTGGTAAAACATTTTTAGTTATAAGTGTAGATAATACGAGAATCATTGTGGTCCTTTTCAAAGAATACCTTGGTCTACTAATTGAGTTTGGAAGGATAAGCGAAATAAGGGCATTATGTTCAAAGGAATAGCCAACGCATGCAGCGCATGCCTTCGATATAGAAGGACTAATGTGACTGCTATGCTACTAATCGTATATGTTTTAGTCGTGGTTCTTTATTTGAATAACAATTTATTACACAAAAACGAATTCTTACCAGCAGATGATGAGTCTGTAAGGTTACTTGAAAATGCCTGGTCAGATTTGCAGAATATAACGTACAAGCCTCATCCATATACATCACATTTTAACGACAAAGTTCACGATTATTTAGTTTACAGAGTTAAAGAGCTAATTGGTAACAACACATTTTGTGAGATTTCTGATGATTATGAATCTGAAAGATCTATTTTATTTCCACAGAAGGACGTTTTCAATGTTTCTTCAAAGAAATCATCTGTGATATATTTTGAATCGTCGAACATCTTGGTTAAGATACAAGGTAAAAAAGGTAAAAGTAACACAGAAGGTTTATTACTGTCGGCGCATTATGATTCCGTTCCTACTGCAAACGGTGCTACGGATGATGGTAAAGGTATAGTGTCTATTTTGGCTCTTCTTGACTATTATTCTAAACATCAACCTGAAAGAACTATCATTTTAAACCTCAATAACAACGAAGAATTTGGTTTATTAGGGGCACACACTTTTTTTGATCATCCATGGGCAAAACTGACTAAATATTTTATTAATTTAGAAGGAACAGGTACAGGTGAAGGAAATGCTATATTATTCAGAACTACAAATGTTATGACAGCAAATTTATACAAAAATGCAGTGAAAATTCAACCATTTGGTAATTCTATTTTCCAACAAGGATTTAATCAAAGATTAATCCATAGCGAAACTGATTATAAAGTATACGAGGCCAATGGTTTGATGGGTTGGGATATAGCATTTTATAAACCAAGAAGCTTGTATCATACAGCAAGAGATAATGTTCAAAGTACATCGAGGAGTGCGCTTTGGAATATGTTATCTACTACATGGCAATTGAGTGATTATGTTTCCAATACACATTCTATTAACAACAATGATAATTCAAATGATCCGGCAATTTTCTTTGATGTTTACAGAACTTTATTTTTTGCATTTTCAGCAAAATGGCTATTTGTGATTAATATTCTTGTGTTGATCGGTTTCCCTCTCTTGTCTTTGTCATTGAATCTTTTAGCAAGAAAGAGAAATATCCCTGTTTCTGTTCCTGTTTTTAGCTGGTTGGAATTTCCGTTGGCAACATCCATTTCGATATTTCTTCTTGTAGTATCTGAAAAAGCTATAATAAAGAAGAATCCATATATTGTTTCTCACGATTTCATGGATTTCATTCTATTCTTTGCGGTTCAAAAAACTTTCGTCGATATAATCTTAACAAGGGTTTTAGAATTGATATCCAACCAAAAAGTATTAAAGGATATAATACTGATAGAATTAATGATTCTGTCATGGTTTCTTTTACTTGGATGTACAATTATGTTAAAGATTACCGACTTTAAAAGTACTGGGGTGTATCCAATTACAGGTGTGTATATCAGTATCAGTTGCGCTGTATTAATCTACTGTCTAGTGTGTTTATTTGGTCAGAGAAAGAGGAATCCTCACACAATTTTGCAAACAACATCTTATTCTGGTACAACCGAATTTACAGTTTCAAATAATAGTGATCATGGTGCGCAGGAAGAAACGAATGCACCTTCTATATTACATGACAATGAACAAGGGATTATGGGGCAAGACTCAGAAATAGATATTGATGAAAGAGCACCTTTATTATCCTCCTCTGGCAATACGAATGATGATGACGACGAGAATGATAATATTCAAGAACATACTGTAAGTGTTCTGAAGGGATATTGTACCGCAAAACATTATGAATGGCTATTACAGTTTTTGGTACTTGTACCTATAATGTTTATACTTTTCCAAGCTGTTGTCGATTGTTTGTCTGGTTTGAACCAAACAATTCAAGAATCAGAAGACTCATTTAACCTTGTCTACAGTGGTGTTCTTTGGTCCTCTGTAATATTGAGTCTCTTAGTTTTACCGTTTATGTCCAAGGTTGGAGGTCATGTTACTATATTCCTCTTCGGTGCCTGGATTGTCACCGGTATCTATTGCATTTCAGTTGAATCTTTTGACTGGGGTACACCACTTAAAGTTAGGTTTTCACAGGATATTGATGGTACTGTAGAAATAACAGGGCAAATCGATATGGTAAAAAATTTGATATATGATCTACCAAGTTATAAACGTGACAACTATGCAAATATCAAGCATGGTGTGAAATGTAGCTATGGATATATTGGCGTTTGTTATTATAAGGGTATGCTACCTACTGTTGTACCTTATATCGACAAAAATGCCAAGAACAGCTCAGAAATTCTTTCTGTTGATGTAATTAATAATGATAGATTATCTCCTGACCGTTCTAAGTATGCCCCAATTAATGCCCAAATTAGATTAAATGTACCAAATAATAGAGCATGTGTGATCTCATTCAATTCGACTAATTCAATGAGCTCAGTATCTGCAGTTAGAAAGATTAGCGTTTTCAACAACTATTCAAGTGGTACAGATACCGGTAATAAATTAACATATAAATCGAACAGTGATATTAACGAGCTGCAGTTACACAAATTGAATTTCACTAGTGGTGGTTATTTGCTTGGGATTGAATGGTTTCCAAGATTATTATGGGATAAAAAACTGGAAACTACTCAGGAGAGTGATTATTTAGATTCTTTAGGTCTCAATATTAGGTGTTTCTGGGGAGACTACGAACCAGAGACGCTAAATAATGGTGAGCCAATACATTTAGTTCCTGCCTATGAGGAATTGCTAAACTATGCACCATTGAGGTACTCTATCACAAATAAAGAGAAGGGACTGGTGTTCGCAAATCAATATATCGAATTATAAGGAATATTTATAAAGTCTTATGTTATATGTAGTAATGCAAATATTTATGTATGTATTTTTTTTTTCGTAATACTACGATATTATTAATTATTATTACAGATTATTATTTAAATGACTAGTCAGACTCTCATTGATAATATCGAGAGTCATGTGGGTGGGTGGGATTGGTGTAATATGCATTATTATTTATTTGGTGTTGGTTGTCCATAAGACCATTCTGGGGAACCGGCCCTCTAGATTGGCTTACCATATTTTCGCCATTGAAAACAAATGGACGTGTTTCATCTCCACTTACCCTATTATTTATCATATTAACGGGTTGATATGGTATTTGAGTTGGAATTGAGTGTTGAATACCTTGACCCATGTTACTCGAGATTTGTTGCATCCGCGAAGGTTCGAGTATTGTCCTGTTATAATCAACTTGAGGCGAACCCTGAACATACTGGAGATCCCTATGTACATATTGATTAGGTGTAACACCAGCAGTGTAAGGTCTCCTAAAATCTCTATTATTGGGTTCGTAATGTACAATCGGCGTAGTGTGCGATGATGTGGGTAATGATTGTCTAGGATCTGGAATGAAAACTGGCATTGAAATTATTTGACTCTTAGTAACAATTGGTATTGGATGTGGAGACATGTTGTATTGGTTATGATCATAATGACTTCTTATTTCATTCTCACCTTCTCTTCTGTTATATCTGTCTAATTTTTCAGGAGGCATGAAACCGTTCGCTTGCTGATAATTATTTCTAAGATCATAAGGTGCTGTCTGCATTGGAACCTTGTAAGAGTTATACAATCCATAATTGGGATTGATTGTGGATGGTAGGGTTTGGTGATGAGAACCCACGTTACTTTCATAATAAGAGCTTTGAGGATTTTCATAATTTTGGTTTCCGTTGAAATAGGAAGACTTTAAAATTTTTTCTTTATTTGCATTTTCCTCGACCTCATTCTCCCAATTTATCCGGGATCTCTTCCGCTTCCTAGATCTGTTAATTTCTTCGCTAGTTAAATCGATTATTTCTTCATTGCTATTTAAAGAGTTATGATCAGAATCTGTGGAATATTCGTCAACATTTTCTATCTCGAGTGAACAGATATCCTCCTTCTCTACAGCTTCTATCGGTGCAAATAACTTTCCGTCTCTGTGATTCATGAGATCGATTAGAACAAAGATAGGTACATCAGGATTTTCGTATTTTAAAGACTTCTCATCTTTATTTATTGTTTTATCGATTTTTTCAATAGAATCTGAACTATTTGTTTTTGGTTCATAATCAGTGGTATGCTCTGTTGAATTCTCGTTATTACTGTTAACTTCCAGTACAATTAATTTTGAAAGTAAGGTTTTTATTTTATTGACATTTTCAGAATCCTTTTCAATTTTGAATAACTTCAGTGCCTGGTTAATGGCATCTATCGCATTTTTATATTCGTCAGTTGCTGTGTAGACCTGTGATATGCCGAACCATGCAATTGCAGCAAATATATTGTTAAATTTCAATTCATAGGATGGTAATAGGTTGTTAGACGTGGAAGAATTACTGGTCACACTAGATGCATCCGAAAGGCTCCTCTCTGATTTTTCACTTTGGTTTTCATCAGTATATAGCGAATGATTAACTGCTTGAGTATAAGTAGAAAGTGCATCATCGAATTGTCCTAGACCTAAATATAATGAAGCAATTGATATCCAAATCCAAGGCTCCTTTGGTAAAATTTTTAAAGTTTTCTGATAATACTCGTATGCTTGGTTTGCATTATGTTCTCTGTTTTGTTTTAACAATAATCTTGCTATCATATATGACGTTAAAGCTTGATCCTTTGGACTATCTAAATTAAGTTGTAATTTTAATTGATCAATCTTACTAGAAATTTCATTGTTATCGCCACTTAGGAATATTAATTGTGTTTCTAATAATAAAAGTGGTTTTATTGATGAAGTCATGTGTTGATATTTTTCAATTCCCGAATGAATTAACTTAATTGCTTCATGATAATTATTTGGATTTTCTTCATAAATTAATGATGCTAAGAAATAGTATGTATAACTTACTTTGATTAAATGATCATTTGGTTTCAGTTGATCTCTTTTTTCATCTAATAGTCTCAATACATACATTAAATCATTTTTACAATTTATAGTATTTTCAAATTTTTTAAAGAATTGAGCTCTAGTAATTAAAACGTCGAGATAATAATTAAAGTTACCAAATTTTTCCAGAAATTGTAAAGATTTATCAAAAGCAGGTAATACTTCATCTAAAGTTCCATATCGATTGTCCATTAATAACAGAATTCTGCATCGAAGAACATACATTTTATATTCTGATAAAGTTGGTAAAATATTATCATTGTTCATTGACGAATCTGTTTTATTATTTGAATCTTCATTATCAATTTGAGTAGTTGTAGGCTTTTTTTGAATATTATTATTGTTGTTGTTGTTGTTGTTAGATTCCACAGTTACATCGGCATTTAAGATATTTGTTCCTTCAACTTTCAATGGAAATTGTTGCGATGTTTCAGTAATTGAATTATTATTAATTATCATTGAATACTTTGAACTTTTCTCGAAAAGCGCAAGTGCCTGTAAGATCGCGTGATTTGAATCATCGAATCTATTTAATCTATAATAAGATACAGCTAATTTTTGCCATATCATAATATTATTTAATATAATCTTTGATTTTGAATTAACTGCAGTGATTAAAAGATGAATTACATTAATAAAACTTTTATTCTTCAAATATGCGTTACTTAATAATAATAATGATTTCAAATTTAAAGGATCATTTTCTAAAGTTTTAGTTAATAATTCGAATGCTAAAGGTAACTTATCCATATCGATCGCTAAAGAACCACATTTTTGCAATATTTCAATTTGAGCTTTAATAATATCAGTGTACATTACTTTAGATCCTATCTTTTGTTGTTGTTGTTATATAAAAGGGGAGAGTATAAAATGAAATGTAATTAAATTGTCTTTAAGAATGGAAGAAATGGTAAACTAAAAAAAGAAAGAGAGAAAATTGATATGTTTGTTGTTATAATTAATATATTATTAAATTAATATGAAAATTACTCTGTCTTACGATAGTTTTATTTTTATTCTATTGAACCATTAATCATTATAACGCCCAAAAATGTGCACAGGAAAGGTGAGCTTTAGAAGTTTTTTGTACTTGTTATGTGGTAATAGTAGTTATTAAACAGTGGTATGTATTTTTCTTCCTTTGTTTTTTTGTTTTTACTCAATACTAGTCTTTAAAGGTAGTAATTAGAATAAAATTGTTCTTAAGTGTTAAAAACTTTAAAGAAAACGATATATCTTTATAGTAGAAAAGAGGAAGACTTGTTGGCAATTTTACAACAAAGAGACAAATAAATTTAAAAAGATGTATGTTGTTAAATTGAAGGATTAAAACAAGGATAATAAAAAAATTGTGATCAATTATTATTAAGTGATTAAGTTTTCTTTTTCTTTTTCTTTTTTTGATTTTCTTCTAAACTAGTTTTTATCTTGTTGTTGATTAATTTGAAACAAAAGAAAAAAAACGTGAAACTAAAGTCAAAATAATAGAAATTAGAAGAAGAAGAAAAATGTCAAGTTACTTTATTGAATACAATGTGTTGTTATATAAGAATATGATTTAGAATTGAGATTGTAATAGATATAGTAATTATTATTGCTGTGTTGTTATTAGTATTATAATTGTTATAAATATTTAGAACAATTATAATATATTTTATGTTTAATGCGTCTACCTTCTTTCTTTAACGTAATGTTTAATAAAGTTGTTATAAGTTCTTCTTCAATTGTTAGTAAAATCTGTACAGTCTTTTTTTACCAAATCATATTAACACAATTCTTCTTCTTCTTCTTTTAGAAAGAAACAAAGAATTCCTGTGTTGTAAATATATATTTATTGAATTCTTCTTCGAATAAACAGGGCTCAATATATCACAAGAAAGATAAAATGAGACGTTTGTCTAAATTTTTTTTTTTTTTCTTTAAAAATGTATATAGTTGTATTAAGTTATCTAAGGTCGATAGGTTAATGGTATTTTTTTTTTAAAAAAAAAATAAAGTGCAAAAATTCCATAATATAAGCTTTTTCGTCATTCTTATAAGTTTGTTTCCTCTTCCTATTGTTATAGAAGCATACTTGCAGCTTAACATCTTGAGGGATAAGACTTTCTACCCGACTTCTTCAATGAAAAAAGGAATTAAGCTCAAAGAGACAGGGAATTCCAATTAAATAATAAATAAAATAAAAAAAAAATATGGTGAGTCAGAAATAGGAGTAGAAAACAGATCCATTTTTAAAATGGTCGACAAGTAAAGATAGTGCACAATAACCTTTGAAAATTTGATCTGGTAAAACTTTGACTAACCTATTAAATTATTTGAATATTGTTGTTGTTGTTTCTATTGCCTTACGCACGATATGTACGTCTTTATCCTTTGCGAAGAATTTGTTCATACTACATTATTTGAACTATTATTTCTTTAATTTCTCGGGTGCTATCTGAGTGATGGCCTTAAGCTTTTTTCTTCTTCTTCAGAGATTTCTTCTTTCAATGTTTGTTCCTGAATTAAGTAAGAAAATTAAAAAAGTATTGATATCTTCCACGATCTTACTGAAGTAAACCTTTCTGCTGCCTCTTTCAGTTTCTCTTAGCCGGACCATTCTCAGTTACGTTAATTATCTCCTGATTTTTTTTTTTTCTGTCTTGACACAACTAAGTATCAAATTACGATACAACAGAATATATATAAGGCCATTTTCTCTGTAAATGATTGGACGGAGGGGCCTAGAAGAAAAAGGTTAAAAAACCTTCTTCTCAGTATTTATTATTTATGATAACCGATGTAAGAGTTTTGTAGTTAACAAGAAGAGTGTTCTGCTCCTTCATTTTCTGAATCTTTATTAAAGATAAAGTTTTGATTGAACAGTATTTATTCATTCCCTAATGACAACCTATGTAAAAGAAATAAAATTATATATGTGTTATCAACTGGATACAATTTATTTATTTATTTATTTATTTATTTATTTTCCTAAAAAATACTATCCATTCGAAGGTTAAAGCTATATAAAAGAAAAAGATATGTCAGTTCCTCGAGAAAATGTATATAAACTTTATAGGGGAAGGAAAGAATCTCCATTATTTAACGCACATGTGTGTGTATATATAGTGGAATGATATAGAAGGATCAAGGGTGGTTAGACACTTGGCATATTTCCATAAAGGGGACAAATCTGGCCTATTCTGAACAAAAAAAAATTTGTGCTGTTTAAAAAAAAAAAGTTTCATTCTTAATTGAAGTAGAGAAGCCCGTAGAAGGGACAAGACAAAATCTGTTTAAAATATCAATATATACATGTGTTAGTTGTAATGAAAAGTTTATTTAATTTTAGGCATAAGTTTTTTTTTTCTCTATTAAAGAACTAACATTGTTGGTACTGGTGTTTTTCACGAAGCAAAGGATCTGTGAGAATGTAGATAACGTAATCATGAAGAGAATTATATTAAGTTAAGATCAAACTTCTTAAACAGTGAACCCTCTGGTATTGTTCTACAGATACTGTTAAGTGGAACGCAACGACAACAACGACAAAAAAATATTGGCATATTAAAATATACAATGTTCTTTCCAGTCTCGGAAAAACTAAGAACAGTCCGTGGAGCTTGGAAGAAAGAAAAAAAAAAAATTCTTTTTCACTGCTGTTGTTTAAATTTTTTACATTTAGTGGTCAATTAAACAATTGCTAAATGTGAACTTGAAGTAAACAAAAAAATGAAAGTGATCAAAAATAATTTACTTCCGTGGAAAATCCAAAAATAAGGTACAATGCATTGACATTCATGTAAGAGTAAAGGCAAAAAAAAACGTCAGTAAATAATAATAATAAGGAATACAAGTAAATACAATTAGCACAATCATATAACAAAAATAAGTCGATAACTAAATAAATAACTAAATATAGAAAACAACAAGTTAACAACGAAACAATGCTAGAAGAACAAGAACAATTGCTAATTAATCCTAGAATCTTTAATGATATTACAAATGTATCAAATAATTCAAATAATAAAAAAACAAGTCAAATTTTACCAATAAATATAAATTATCAATTTAATGAGGATAAAATTTATTGTAAAGATAATTTAGAGATATTGAAGAAAAGACAAGATAAAATTTTATTACCAAGAGTATTTCAACATCATAGTTTACCAAATTGGTTAATTAAAAGGTATAAAGAAATTAATAATAATTGTGAATTTTTTATTAATAAAGAAAAAAATAATGAATCCCCCTGTAATAGTTTAAGACAAGAAAATATTCAAGAGGAAGAATGGATTCAATTTAAATATTTTAGAAAGATAAATTCAATTAATCAAATATTATGTCGTTATTGTTATGGTAAGAATTGGATTAATGAGTTATTTATATATGAACATTTATTTGGATCGCATGGTATTGTTACAAGACAAAATAATGAAAAGATAAATATTAGATTATTACCATTACCAGAAAGATATCAAATAATTAAAGTAAATTCAAAATTAGTTAAAATTCAAGTATTATGTAGAGAGTGTCAAAGATGGATTCAATTAAATGATACTAATAATAATAATTCGAAGAAGGATTCAATTGAATATAGGCAATTACATGGAATTCGTGGATTTTATGAAAATTATTTTAGACATTATATTTCATGTAAAGAAAGTGAGCATAATCAAATTCATTTCATTTCCAAATGAGCCAAAGCAAAGCAAAGAAAAAAAAAATCACGAGATAAATTTCCCATTGTTTATCTCCGGTCGGTGATAAAAACAACAACTTAAGTATACTAAATATTCATTAACTTAATTTAACACAGAAAACGACGTAGTAATTGCAAAATAATTCTTACAGTAAAACAGAAGGAAAGACGAAAAAAAAAGTCTATGCAAAAAGCTATCCAAAAAGGGAAATAAGGCCAATAGTAACGAATTTTTTTTTCTAAACAAACTCAATTTTCACAAAGGAAATCAAATGAAAAGAATAGAAAATGAGTGTGTTAGTTATTGCCGTATGAGGGAAATTACCAAGAGATGCCGGTGCTTTACTCATAATAATAGTTAAATAAAGTTGATGTGATAGTGAAAACAACAACACTTATTTTTGTGGTTCACATCAATATTTAACCGCGGAACAAAAACTAATATAGAATAAATGGTGAGGAGAAGAGAGAAAGAGAGAAAGAGAGAGAGAGAGAGGGGGGTGAACGAACCCATAATATAATATACAAACCCTAAATAGCATGCGATGTGCCTCAGATCATGCAGTAGAAGAAAGAGAGGAGGAATGGAAGTAAAAAACCGCCCCCTAAAAGAACCAGAGATAACGCATGGATCGGTATTTTCTCTCTTTATGATACGGGAAATGTGATGTGATAGCAGGACACATTCTCCCGCACAAACAAAAGTAATATAGTATAATTCGGATCGCAAAAATACAAATCAATAGCATATCCACCAGTCGCTAACAAACACCCGGACAAAAACATGTGCACATCAATCATAACAGATCCTTTTACACACGCACACACAATAAATGTTTATGTGCCGGTCGTCCCTAATAACAACCATGGGGAGGGAACATCCAGCGCTCTACGCACATTTATCAGCGAAATATCACGTTCTTTAAAATAAAGTTACTATCGTTATTGTTGTTATTATTATTTCTTCTTCCCACCCCCTTGCACTAAACCCCCAGCACACACCGGCCAACGGTGCAATTTCTGTGCATAAAATCTATGTACTCTTTACTTTAAGCACACCCACACACATATATCAGTTTCTGCTCAGAAGACCGAGGAGAGGCGGAGAGATTTGTTAATTCAAATAAAATTTGTTCCAGATTCAAATAAATGGCAGACAACGATACATACATTCAGTATACAAGTTATTTGTTAATCAATAATACCTTTATATTATGTGAAATTTACTAAAATATGCATGAAATCTCTAAAATAAGTTTATATAATAATAATTTAGTAACGTTACAATTATTACTGTTTCTCGCAAAGAAGATGCATCATCATCATCACCATCATCACTTAATAACGATAAAATCTTCTGCATCTCTTTTCTGGAAACGAAGTCAAAAACAAACAGAAAAAAGATGAGTGATTGCAATACACACTAATTTTAATTCAGTGCCTTCCACCCCCCATCGATCATTGTGCATTCATTCATTCACTTATATATATATATATATATATATACTAGACAAAGGTGGAATCATTATAGTGCATATAAAAGTAAATCAATTTCCTTTCCACATGTACATTTTAAATTCTTTTCTTATTTAATTAAATTCCTTTTCTTATTTTTTTTAATACACCTTTTTTTTCACATTAGTAGTAATAACAACGATATTTGCAATTTATTTTAATGCTATAAAAAATGGATCCTCAAGAATTTGATAATAATAACAATAATCAACGTTCAAAGAGTACAAATTCAAATTACATTGATAACAATAACAATAATTATTTATATTTTCAAAATGTTAACGATATAAAATATTTAAATCATGACACAAATAATAATTTTTATTATAATAATAATAATAATGGTGCCAATAATTTGAATAATGAAGTGATGACACAATTTCCAAAATTCGATTCTTATGCAGATGCTTATAATAGATTAGCAATTATCGATCCTTCTTCAATTAATCATAATACTAATAATATAGACATGATGTATGGTTTATCAACTGTTGATCTTCAACAACAACAACAACAGTTTCAACAACAGGATCCATTTTTAAATAATAATATTAATAGGTTTACGCCGACTCCATTAAATTCATCAAACAACAACAACAATAATAATTCAAAAGGTATATTAGCAATGTCTTTACAAACTATGGGTATGCAAATACCTATTGTAACAAATTCAAATAATAATACAACAACACCTTTATTAATTCAGCAATCAAATAACTCAAATATAAATAATAATATTCTTCCTTTTAATAATAGAAACTATATTACTGTTAATGGTAATACTAATTTAAACGATTCTAATAATAGAATGATTCGTTCAACTCCAAAAGATGGATCTCAACAATTTTTATCAATTGAACCAATATCATTAAAAAATAATCAAAAAGATAAGGAGTCATCAATTATTAATAATAATACAGAATCATTTACAAATTATGATGAAACTCAACGATTTAAATATGGTTGTTCAATTTGTGGTAAAAGATTTAAGAGACCATCATCTTTAAAGACTCATATTAATATTCACACAGGATTTAAACCTTTTACTTGTCCTTATATGGAATGTGATAAATCATTTAATGCAAAATCTAATATGTTAAGACATTATAAATTACATTTTAAATTAAGATCAGGTGCTTATATTTTACCAGATGGTCATATTTCTTTAAATAAACCAACTTCAAAACAATTATTTAAAAATGTTTCAAGTTTAAATAATAATAATAATAATAATAATAATAGTCATGGTAATAATAAATCAAAAAAATCAATTATTGATCATACCCAATGGTAAAACAAAACATTAATGACTAGTATATCCCAAGCACATCAAATTTTTTAATTCTTTTTAATTTTAACACTTTTCTATTTAATGACACATTTCATAAGAACTTTTTTACGACTAATTTTAATTCTTCACCTTTTAATTTAATCCTTTTTTCTTTTTCTGATTATATTATATATATATATATATATATAGTCATAAATAATCTATACTAATTGAAAATAACAATAGTAGTTTGAATAATATCTTTTTATTTACTTCAAAAATTTATGTCTTAATTAATTTTATTAATTTATCAATATCTGTAAATTTTGTTTCATCCATTGAATTTATTTTATGCGTCTCTGTTAAGATATGTTGTCTTAATGTATCAGTATATACTTGATGACAATTTTCACAATATCTTTTTTTGTTATTTCTTAATTCAATTGATTTATGTAATGGTCTGAATCCTGTATTTACAACAGTTTCATCATATTGTTCATCATACATTGATGCTTGTTGTGTTAATTCTAATAATGAAGTTCTTGGTTCATGATCATCTGATAATTCCGATAGTGCTAATGTTTCTACTGTATCATTACTTCCTAAGGAATCATTGTCGAATGATGGTTCCGATGATGATGATGACGACGACGATGATGACGACGATGATGAAGATGACGAAGTATGTTTTGCAATGACTAAATCATTTCTTAATGAAACTAGTGGATCAACATTTTCATTAAAACTTTTAAAATTTACATCCATTGTATTAAATCTTTTCAATTGCAAAAATTTTAAAGAATTCATTAATTTTTTTGAATTTTGACAATCATGATTAAAATAATCATACAATTCTTGATTAACAGATTCTTGTAATTCTAAATCATTAATAATATTTTTTAAATCCTTTGGTGGAAACGCATGTCTTTGATAAATTTTACGTAATTTTAATGCATATCTTTGATTTATAAGATCACGAGTATATCTTTTTTTAGTTAATGCTACTAAAGAACTATTATTATTCGTATTGTTATTTATCGGAGGAGTTGGTTTAAATGGACATTTCCCATAATCTGAATTTTTTTGAATATGTGGATAAGGCAATTGATCTTTACCAGATTTATTAACTAAAGCAATATCCCATTGTTTACAAATTAATGGTTTATAACGTTGTCTCATATCATATAAATATATGTGTGGCGAATCCTTAAAATAAATCACATCAGTTGAATATTGTGAATTTGATTTAATATTATCCTTAGAATCATCAATATACTGACTAAAATTCATTTCAAAATTTTGAAAAAATCTTGATAATTTTGATAAATCCCAAATTTTCTTCTTTTGATCTGTTGTTGATAATTCATTACTTATAATAATTAAATTTTCATTTTGAGTTTGTTTGTTATTCAATATTGGTTCAATTTTCCCACCATTTTGTAAAATTTTTTTCTTTAATGATAAAATTTGTAAATTATTAATTTTTTTAAGATTATTATTCTTGGATAATAATGATTGTAGATCAAAATAAAAAGTTAAACCATTTTTAAATTTTTCTTTCCAAATTAATTGCCAACTAATCATAGAATTTTCCTTATTATTAATCAACGAAGTTTTCTTCTGCGTCTGCTTTAATTGTTGTAATGTAATTGACCCCATCATTCGTTTCCCATTATAATGAATCACATGAGGATCTCGTACCAATTGAACTAACACATCATCATTATTCATACTCATTTTCTGTCGATTCTAAACTAGATATATGATACTCAGTTAACTTCACCACTCGACTATCATTAAACTCTCTCTCACTCCCCCCCAAAAAATGTGTCTAATCCTTTATATAGGTGGTCCCCTTCCCAATACTGAAAAATATTGAAAAATCCTGAAAAAAAAAAAAAAAAAATAATGTATGTATTATGTAAATTTATGAAATTAATATAATAAGGGTGCGCGACACTCAAAATATATATATACAACAGTTGATTATTCGTTTGAATTCAATTTATAATTAATTAAAGAATTGCAAGATTTCAATAAATATTTCATCTTTAAAGTTAACAAACCATATGGAAATATTGGATCTGCAGTTAATAATAATAATAAATCACTATTTGGTATTTGTGTAATACAGGCATGTAAATTTTCAATTTCATAATTATAAATTTTTGTTTCAAATGAATTAAATTTAAATATATAATGTGGTTCCGGATCATCATTTTCATTTTCATCCCATTTATCTTTACATAATAATGTCATCATCTTTAAACTTGTTTCATTATTATTACTATTTGTTATATCTACTAAATCTAAATTTGTTGAATATGATAAAACTGATCCATTTTTAATCGATAATAGGACAGCTGATTGTATTTGTAATTGTTGCGAATCTATCGTTATGGGTTTTAACGTTTGATGTAATAAATCCTCTATATAACCTCCATGAATCATTGTGCCGTTGTCGTATTAATTAGTTTAATCTAAATGTAGTCTTTATAACTTCTTTAGTATACTCATCATCATGTCAATTTCTCTTTTTTTTTGTAGTGGTGCTCTGTCTCTGTCTCTGTTTCACCTTCCTTTCAGTTAATAATTTGTGCGGAGAGTCTTTTGTATCTCCCCCCTCCCCATGAAACCACTGTCACAATACAAAGATAAGAGAGGGCGAGACCGAAAGAATAAGTAATGAAGAAGACTGGTGAAGTGCAATTGTATCATGATTTAATCAAATATCATAATAATGTGTGTTACTCACTATCAAGTATTTTCACTTGTTAATATTTAATTAAAATTTAGTAATGTTGAAAGTTACCCTGATGATGATAACGCTCACGTGGATATCACGCGATATCCACGTGACACGCCACGTGACATAAACATCATTACACACGAAATGGTGTCTGGGTTTGAGAATGCACACCCACACACCTCACGAAATCAAAAAAGAAAAAAGCAACGTGGGGGGCCGAGAAGGACAAAAATGAAACCGCGTTGTGCAGGCCATTCTGTGCGCAACCCATCACGAGATATGTGGGTGACACGACTACCAACCATTTTTGGGCAGAGAGAAAGCGTGGGAAAGCAAAAGAGAAAAGCCGCGAAATTTTCGCAGCTTTTTCATTTGTTTTGGTAAGCAACGAAAATGAAAAATTTTCTTTTTTCCAGTTACTTCTCGATTACGAAAGCAAAGGGCTACTATGTTTACAGTTGTTTCTTTGTTGACAACAACATTGAACAACGTAAACAATTCACCATATTTGCGTTTGTTGACATAAACAGGAGAACAGGGACATCCACACATATACACATTTTGAGTCTTTTTTTTCTTCTTCTTTCTTTTCTACTCGTTCAGGTAAGATCGATCGATAGATCAAATCGAATCGAATCGTTCATTTATAAGTAATGCAAAGAACTGTAAAATTTTCTTTATTTATTTTATTTTATTTGACACCCCCGTTGGCAACTATTTTATTTCTATTATTTATAAAAGGAAGTTTTATCTTTTTTTAAAAAAATACCCCTTCATTTTATATTTTTGGTAGTTTTTAATAAATAATATCAAATACTCCGTCTATACACCTATCCGTCCATTCGCTATGCAATTTAAGAAGACTGCTATCGCTACAGTTGCTGCTGTCTCTTCAACAGCTTACGCTGCTAACACCACCTCAACACAATCTATTGCTTCTGGTTGTAGTCTAGGTTCAAGTGCCACCGCTACTGCACAATCCGATTTAGATAAAATCGCAAGTTGTACTGAATTAGTTGGTAATTTAACTATTACTGGTACTTTAGGTTCTGCTGCTTTAGCTAACGTTAAGAAAATTGATGGTTCTTTACGTTTATATAACGCAACTGATTTAGTTAATTTTTCCGCTGATTCTTTATCAACAATTAGTGGTAGTTTGACATTGCAAGATTTAACCGTCTTAGAAAGTGCTTCATTTGGTTCTTTACAACAAGTTGATGGTATCGTTTTACAAACTTTACCTGCAATTAGTACTTTTTCAACTAATTTACAAAAAGCTAATAATATTCAAATTTCTGATACTACTTTGGAATCTGTTGATGGGTTTTCAACTTTAAAAGAAGTCTCTGAATTAAATATTAATAACAATAGATATTTATCATCTTTCAATTCTTCTTTAGAATCTGTTAGTGATTCTTTACAAATTTCTTTCAACGGTGAATCAACTCAAGTTTCATTCAATGAATTAGTTTGGGCCAATAATATTACTTTAAGAGATGTTGAACAAGCAACTTTCCCAAAATTACAAACTGTTAACGCTTCTTTAGGTTTTATTAATAATACTTTATCTAATATTACTTTAGACAAATTAACTAAAGTTGGTCAAACTTTCTCTGTTACTTCTAATGAAGATTTAACTGTTTTGGAATGTAAAAATTTAACTTCTGTTGGTGGTGGTTTTGTTGTCGCTAACAATACTAATTTAAATACTATTGATGGTTTCTCTAACCTTGAAACTGTTGGTGGTGCAGTCATCGTCACCGGTGAATTTTCTAGTTTAGATTTATCTTCTTTAAAATCTGTTAGAGGTGATGCTACTATTGAAACTAATGCTTCAAATTTCTCTTGTTCCGCTATTAAGAAATTACAAAGCAATGGTGCTATTCAAGGTGATTCCTTCGTTTGTAAGAATGGTGCTGTTTCTTCATCATCTTCTGTCACTTCTTCTAAGTCTGGTTCAAAGACTTCTTCAAGTACTAAGACTGCCTCTAGTGATGATTCTTCTTCATCTTCATCTTCCTCAAGCTCTAAAGGTATGGCTGCTGCTGATTTCATCCCTGTCAATTCAGTCATGGGTGCTATTGCTGCTGCCGCCATTGCTCTATTATAATCGTAATATAAAATCATAAAAAATAATAATAAGCATCATACCCCCCCATCAGGAAAACTTTTTTAACTCATATATCCCCCCTCATCTTCATTAACGTTTAAACATATAGTTTTTTTTCTTTTTAATTGTTATAAAAGAAAATCTAAATAATTAATTTATATAAAGAAAAAAAAAATAATTTGTAATATTTGCTATTAGTTCAAAATTAGATTATATTTATTTATTTTATTTATTACAGTATACAAATTTTTATTTTGAATGTTTATTATTTCCTGTTTCTTCTAGATGGTGGAACATAAGCACCCTTCTTTGGTGCAGGTGAAGAATTCTTTTGTTCTAATGCAGCTTCCATCTCTCTTTGTTTACGGGCAATTTCATCACGTTTAGTATCATTCATTGATCCAAATGGTGAAGCCTTTGGTTGAGATTTTCTTTCTTCCAAAGCGGCCTCCATTTCTCTTTGTCTACGTGCAATCTCATCACGTTTAGCATCATTCATAGAACCGAATGGTGAAGCCTTTGGTTGAGATGGTGCACTTGTAGTGGTAGCGATAGTTGCGGCGGCAGCAGCAGGGGCAGCAGCAGCAGCATGTTTAGCAGCAACTGCATCTTCCATTTCTCTTCTCTTACGCATAACTTCTTCATCAGCCTTAGCACGAGCAGCTCTTTCTTCAGCTGCAATTTCTGATTTACGTTTGGCAATTAATTCATCATAACGTTGTTGACGAACTTCGGCAATACGTGCTTTCTTAGCTTCTTCAAATTTAGCCTTTAGAGAATCACGTTGAGCACCAAATTCAGCCTCATGAGCTGATTCTAATTTAGTTTTCAAAGATTGGAAATCAGAATAAACATTAGTCAAACGTTCATGATCTTCTAAACGTGCTTCATGTTCTGCTTTAGCAGCTGCAATGATCTTTTCATTCATTTCTTCATATTTCTTCATATCGACAGCCTTATGGTCTTCAGCTTCCTTTTGTAAGATTGGATACTCAACTTTTCTTAAAGCTCTTTCAGTGTAATCTAATCTGTTTCTAGCATATTCAACCTTTTCTTGCAATTCCATTTGATCCTTAGATAATAGAGAAACAATCATAGTTCTTAAATCCTTTAATTCCATAGTCTTAGCTAAAGCTGGGTCAATGTAAACATTACCCTTGGAGTTAATATCGGCAATAGCTTTAGCGGTAATAGTTTCCTTTAATGCAGTCAATTCACGTCTCTTCTTTTCGATTAAACGTTGACGAGCATCTTCTGCAAGTTTAGCTTCCATTAAAGCCTTTTCTTCCAAGTTACGCTTTTGTCTAACTTCAGCATCTGCTTCAGCATGTAAAGCATTTTCTTCTTGGTATTTTCTTCTAGCTTCTTGGTGTCTCTTAGTACGTTCTTCAGCAGCAGCCTTAGCCTTTTCAATGGATTCTTTGTTACGCTCAATCAAAGCTTCACGAGCCAGCTTAACTTTAGCAACATATGGTAAACCAGCAAAAGTCTCGACTTCACTCAAAGTCTTGGATAGTTCTGATAATCTGTTACGGATGTAGAAGTTACGAGTGACAATGACTTCAGGTTCAGCGGCGGTAGCACCTTCTTCACCTTCAGCTTCTTCAGCTTCAGTTGTTTCAACTTCAACAATTTCTTCCTCCTCACCTTCAATTTCTTCTGGAATTTCTTCTTCCTCTTCTTCTTCGGCACCTTCAGTGGCTTCAGCTTCAGCAGAAACTTGAGTGAATACAGTAAATGGATCCTTGACAAATTGAACAGTGTTACTTTCGTGGTCAATGGTGAAAGAGACGTAATCTTCAACGGCTGCTTCCAACAAAGCCCTTTCAATATCCCATTCGGACATGTTAAACGGTTCTGGTAGAGTAACTAACTTGTAAAGATTAGCCAAAGTAATACTATCGTTGTTGGTAGAGGCTTCAACAATAGATCTTCTGACAATGATATCTCTAATGGATTCAACGTATTGTGCAAAATATGGTAAAGCATTCAGTTTTGGCAATAGAGCAGAAAGTTGAGATTTGATACCATCAGCGGAAAATTCAACTTCCATAGCATTGTATAGACTCTTGATATCATCATTAACGTACTTAAAGAAATCATCTTCTAGAAGAGTAGCCATAACATCCTTTCTGGCTGGCTTACCTTCAAGACCTAATAAACGGTATAGACGGAATTGACGATCATAACCAACAGTTGGTAAATCATCTAACTTTGAGGCTAGAACAGATAGGAAGATAGTAGATGTATATGTCTTGAAATCATCATCGGTAGCATTTGGATTGGAAATATATAGATCGTAGAATTTTTTCCAAGCAACAGTATGTAGTAAAGAGTCACCAGATACTAAGAAAACCTTAGCCATGTTTTGGTAGTAGTTAGCCAAAGTGGAGGCCTTTGGAGAACTCTTTGACAATTTCATCAAATGGAAGACATCTTCAATGGATCTGAAGGCTTCATGCCATAATTCTAACTTAACAGAACAATTGACCAATTGGAAACGTTGTTCCAAGTAACGTTGTAGAGTATCATTGTCACTTAAATCAACAATATTGGTACCAGATTTACTTTGTTGATAGTTGGCTGCATCTAAATGTTGACGTAACATGTCAGCCAATCTCTTAAATTCATTCTTACGGTTATTTTTCAAACAGAACATCATGGTTCTGTTAACAACACCAGAGTAAGTAATTTCTAATTGAGAGTTGTTTCTCAAAAGATCTAGAACAGCACGGTACGATTCCCATGTAAACCGCATCCACGAAGTTAATGCTTCGTCATTGAACCCAGCAACAGATTGATCTTCTTCATAAGCAGAGATTAACAAATTTTCTGGGGTAACACCACCTTCCAAATCGTCATCTTCTTCATCGGCCTTTTGGTCTTCCTTGGCTTGTTCAGAAGCAATCTTCTTTTCAACAATATCGATGAATTTACGGGAGATAGTACTCACAGAGGCAAGACCTTCTGGAGAACCTTGAACCAGTTTCTTATATTGGTGAAGAGCATCCTTGATCATTCTACCTTTCTTTAGATCGACACCAAGTTCCAAAAATCTGAAAACAATTGGTTCGATAGCTGCTGGTTCAGCAAAACGAATTCTTCTAGCTGTGAAGAAATCAAAAAGAGATTGTAAAGCTGCTTGGCTTTCACCAACGGAAATTAATTCCTCAGCTCTCTTAAGAGCATTTTCAGGACGTAATGGTGGAGGAGCCATCTTTGATTAATATCCTTTTATTGATTTGATTTATTTTAATCCTATTTTAGTTGTTTAACAATCAAATAATATTTCAATATAAACTCAGGATAGTTCAAATATGTTCTCTTCTCTGTAGTTTATACGCCAAAGTTAACGCACTATTACGGTATCGAGTTACAGATACTGAATGAGCGTTGAAAGTGAAAAATTTTTCAATTTTTTTTTGCTTAGAATCAAATTGGAGTTACCCTCATCTCATAAAAACAAAAATTAATGGGAAGATAAAAGAACTGAAACCAACTACATAACATATACCAAGTTGTAAAAAGCAAGATCATTATAAAGAAAGGAAATCTGGTACTTCCTTCTTATAGCATTAAAATTTTGCTATCCTACAATGGTAAAAAATAAACCCAATTCATTTTCTTACTTTCGTTCTTACATATATTACATATAGCGCACAGCTCAATGTATAATCATCAGGCCTGTGTCATCAACTCTATAATCTCATTAACTGGGTCATCATCATGTCTAGCTGTTTCAATATTGGTCAAGGTCTTTTTGATCCCAATATTGAAGTTTGGAGTCACTCTGCTTAATTCATTAACGACTTTAACTCTATCTTCATCCTGTAGGAATTTTGTATCCATCAAGACATTGTTGAATTCATCCAAGCTTGTCAAGTTTGGAATGGCGATTTCGTTGTCAAAACAACTCAATATGTCCATCTGTTTCAGCACACTATACGTAGATGTAGTCGTCATAATTAAGAGACGACGTCCCTCAGGGGGTTTTGTCATCAAGGCAACCTTCAGAACTTGTAGAATATTGTTGGAAAATCTTGGACCTATTGGAACCCAATCAACTAATGTTTCAATAGAATCAATCACTAGAATGTTTAATGGTGATTTATATGCGTCTCTAAAGGTACTATCAATGTATGCAATCTTTGCGTTTTCTGACATACCGGAAAGTTCACCAGGGGAAATCATTCTGATAAATGGGAATTCTGATTTTAAGGCAATGGATGCAGATAATGCTGTCTTACCCGAACCTGGTGGTCCATGAAGTAGTAAAGAGACCAATCTGGATTTTTCACTTTCACGAACTTGACGAACGTAACGTTCACCATTCTTAATTATAGCGTTTACTCTATCGGAGTATCTAATAATACCACCCTCCATACACATTTTCAAGTCCTCTTCATTAATACCGAATGCTGGTGTAACTTCCCTTAGAGCATTCATGAAATCAGATCTAGTGACTTTTAATTTAGCAATGTCCTTTTGATTTAACTTTGTAGCACCTTTACCAATATTAACCGTTTTATTTATAGCAAAAGAACTTGCACTCTTAACCAAACCTTCTATTTCTGCACCAGAAAAGTTCTTTGTCAATTTAGCCAATTCTGCAAGATCAACATCACTATCCATCATTTTATTTTCTCTCATTTTCTTGGTTTGAATTTCAAAAATTTGCAATCTACCTGGTTCATCTGGAAGATGAATTTCAACTTGAACTTCGAATCTACCTGGACGTAACAAAGCACTATCAATCAAATCTTTACGATTGGTCATACCGATAACCAAGATATTGTTCAATTGGTCAACACCGTCCATCTTTGCTAAGAGTTGGTTAACAACATTGTCACCGACACCAGTACCATCACCTCTTGAACCTCTTTGTTTAAACACAGAATCCAATTCATCGAAGATGATAATATGTAATGAGGAGTCATCACCTTTAGCCTTATATTCAGCTTCAGCGTCTTTGAAAAGATTACGAATATTTTCTTCTGAAGAACCAACATATTTACTTAAAATTTCAGGACCGTTAACAATCTTTGGTTCTTTGGCGTTTAACATCTTACCAATTTTTCTGGCAATCAGTGTTTTACCTGTACCTGGGGGACCATACAATAACAGACCCTTCACATGTGTGATACCTAACTTTTCAATTACAGCTGGAGGGAAAATTCTACTGGCGAATGCTCTTCTAAAGATCTTAGTAAACTCTTTATCCAAACCACCGACACCCAAATCTTCAAATTTAAAGTCTGATCTAATGACAGCATCAGATCTTGGTCTCATAGAGTTAGTAGAAGTTAAATTAACCAAACCATCTCTACCCTTGAAGAAATTGATTTGAGTTTGCTTTGTTAGGATACCTTTGGCTTCAATTCTTGTTTGGACTTCGTTGCTCATTTCAATATCACCTAAATCAATAGCTTGTAAATTTCTAATCCTCAAATCAAAGAAATGACCTTTAAACTCCATAACTAAGTATTGAGTTGCAGAAAAGATCTGTGACTCAAAATTCTTTGCGAATTGAGCCGCTAATTCGTCTTGGTCAAATGGCGTGGTGACAGCTTTACCTCTAGATCTGAAAGAAATCTCAATGTCCAAAGTACCTAAATAGGCTCTCTTACCCGAATATTTAAATAAATCGAAAGCCCTTGCTTGAACTTCTTGATTCAAAGACCAGCCACCCCAACTACGCTGGTTACCATTCAAACCAACTGTACCTGGAGCAACTTCATTAGAATGTTTAGTAGTATAGACAAACAGGTTATCAATAATAACATATATATTATCTGGAAAATCATTTGGAGAAACACTAGCGACGTTAGCTAAGGCTAATGTGTTATTAGGACAGTTGGCAACAAGTAAATGGCGTGGTCTTTGATCCACATTGCTCATGTCCGGTGGAGTATTGGTATGGCCAACATTCCTGCCAAACCCTGGTATCTTAAACTTATCCATGATTGTTTCCTAAGGATTGAAAATATTGGATACGTTCTTTCCACTTGCTTTTTCTTTCTTCGTTTGATGGATGATTATAGATTTATTATATGTCCCTATTTAAGTACACTTCATCATTCTTTGCCTCAACCAAATTTCCGTCGAGGTTGTTCGCAAATTGTTTTTAACGCGGCCAACAAGGCAGAAATTAGAAATGGCGTCACTATCAATTATTCTGATAGAAGCACAATTTCAATAAATGTCAATTTACTGACGGAAACTATAAGAAAGACCTTGACAAAACAGCAAAGTAGCCGTTATTTAAGCCTGCAACATCTTTACGTAATAATAAATATCTTAGAACAGTAGTAATGACTCTTTTTTTATCAAAAATAAATTTATTTTATTATTGTTACAAATATTTACTATAATGTCGTATATATGATTACCTCTCCTCAATTTTTGGAAGACTTAGACTAAACGACCCTGTATTGGACACATCAATATCTGATAATAGACTGCTGTCTACAGCTACAGCGCTGTTTGCACCTGGTGCGTCGTCTGAAGTAGGATTAGGTTCATCATGAGGAAGGGCGAATGATCCTCCGGTTTCACTATCTGTAGGAGGCTTAGGTATCACTTCAGTCTTTGGAGCGATAGGCTCTTCAGGAAGAATAAACGCATCTGAAATAGGTTTCTTTTTATAGGCTGTACTAATTTTACCAGTAGGAGGAAGTCTCAGTCTAGCTGTACCCTTTGTCTTCACGATGACCTCATCATCTTCTAAAAGAATATAACTTGGGGAATCTAGATTAGTCTCCTTTCTCTTAATTTTCTCCTCGATAGTAACACCTTTTGGTGGCTTTGTAGCATATAATTTGGATCTTTCATAGGCCTTCTGTAAAAATGGTTTGAGAACCATGGAACACTTAGTTGAATCAATATAATCCTTCGGTATTCTTGAATAACGAGCTTTCTCGAACTCTTCTGGTTGCAGTTTCTTGACTTGAACCTTCGTTTCCCCATCTGTCGCTTGAAATTGGGAAGATAACAGTTGTAATGGAACCGATGAACTTAAGACACCAAATTCCTTTTCCAGACCAAGTTCTTTGAAACCAAAAAAATCTTCACCAGTTAGTTCGGTGGCAAAGTCACCGGTTAAAAAGCTTTGACTTTCATCATCAAAATTACGTTCGGAAAGTTCTTTCAAGGTTGGCCTTAATAAGTCTTTCAAAAAGTTTTCTAATTTCATTTTGACATCCTTTAATTTTCTTGGTTTTTTCCCAAATTCAGATTCCAAATAGGTATAAAGATCATCTGGTCTACTAATACCATTTTCCAATAGAGATATTTTCAATATATCTTCACGTTTCATCTTGTTGAGGGAGTCACTTTCAGTGTGGATCTTTACAGTTTTAATCAGATTTGACAAATACTCGCCGGCCAAGGATGTTAGCATATTAACAGCAGCGGGTTCTGCTGTTTCAAAACCATTAGTCATTGATATTTTTGAGACATTCTTATGCATAAGCTTCCACATTAACTTCTTATTATCCCTACTATCATGAGTTGGAAGTTGGGACACAGGATCTAAGTCAATTTCATCATTGATATCGTCATATTTATATTGATGAGCATTCAAAAGAGCCGTAGGACTGACATTACGTTGACCTTGCATGTAATGAGGGCTCTGTAACATTCTTATCAACGAAATTTTGTGACAAATATGTCTTATCTGTTGTATCAACGAAATATTATTATTGATTTTGGGTGTGAGACCCTTATTAATGTTCTTTAGGTACGCACTTTTTTTCGTCACACCTTCTTCTACAACAGACTCGATAATAGCATTCTCATGTTTGTCTATTTCCTCTTTATCGATACCAGAATAGACAAGATCTGGGTATATATTGTTGGTATCATATTCTTGAAGGAATGTTGTATTATCAATATCGATTTCATATGCACCTTTATCAAATAGAGAGCTTTCTAACATATTTGCGTTCGGAATCGTCGATTGTTCGACATCTTCTGTTTTAATAACAGCACCAAAACTATTCTTCATTATTGATTGTTGTTCTACCCTTTGGCTATACAGTTCTAATTCTTTTTGTGTTTTGTATTCACTGAAAAGCTCATCGAAAGGTTTCATCATCTTTGGATTCTTTAGCAAAGCTGCAGATTGTGCATTCAAATGAGAATCCTTAAAATATTCCGACCTTTTTAAACATATTTCTGCCCTTACTTTAGCGGTCAGTGTTTTCCAAATAGATATTTCAATATCGTCTTTATCGTTATCCCTTTCTAGAAGGTAGGACTGAGAATTTACGTAATTCCCCTCTTCATCCTTATCTTCATCCTCATCTTCGTCTTCTTCAGCTTCTTCATCATCCTCAACATTGTTCTGTTGATCACTCTCCACATTTTTAGTTGCTTCGCTATTTTCCTTTTCCTTTTTATCCTCTAACGTACTATTACTGTCTCCATTATCAGAATTTACAACGTTTTCAGTCTGTTCATTTTTCACTTCAGATGTAGAATCGGTTCCACCACCTAATTTGGAACCTTTATCGTCTTCCAAGCCATTCTGCTTGTCTTCATGACTTTGTTGAGCCGCATCATCTTTCTCTGATATGGCAGGTGTATTATCTTTGGTGGTGGCATCTTGAACTTCATTTTCAGATTGATTAACAGGTTTATGTGCACCCATATTCAGACCCTTCCGTCCTGATCCAGCAACTTCCTCATCACCTTCCTCCTCCTCTTCATAATCTTTATCTTTTTCCATCTCTTCCATCTCTCTTTCAACTTCCGCCCGTTTCTTGATCGTAATATTTGGTATCATAGGTATTAGTTGTAAGGATTTCTTTTGCATAGCAATTGCATGAGCTCTTAGAAAATGAGTTGGATCTGAATTATATGTCAGACAGTTCTTCCAAATAAGAAGAATATCGTCTACAAATTCTTGTTTAGAACGATATTGGAATGTCTTTAATTTCTTTAGGACAGTATTCAAGTCCATAGACTTCTTAATAACTTGATGATAATTGGGCGCTTCCCTTTTACTGACCTTATTTAAAAATGGGGTCGAATGTTCGGTATAATTTCTTAGTTCTAAAACGACTTTTTCACATGCTTCGTATAGTTCTTCTTGACCAATCTTCTCATCTGAGGCCCATTTTGATCTATTTTTTCGTACGTCCACCAGTAAGTGTTTCAGTTCATAATCTGAGATATCCAGTTTTGATTTATTGTCAGCAATAGACGACAGTAAATGCTTAATAGACAAACTAGCAATACCGAAGTTAGATGAAATGCCGACACTATCTTGTTTAGGTCTTTTACCATCGTGTTCATCTTGACTTTCAGAATCAAGAGGTGGCGTTTCCTTTTTATTTTCATTAGAATTTGTGACTGTGTCTTCTGAATTCTCCTTGTTAGATTCACTATGTGATCTTTTATTTTTCCCTGATTCGATAAGTTCGTTATTTTTTTCCAGTTTTAAACGCTTTAACATGGTCTCTTTGTCATATTCAAAATTATGATATATATTTCTCCAGTTAGACAGAATTCCGTTAATATTTGTGGGTCGTAGTTTTGTTAAAGTTTCCTTTGATATTTTCATAGTCAGAATCGACTTGTCATTGCTATCCTTTTCTAATTGGATGACATCTGTTGAATCTTCTGTTAAAGGTTGGGCAGGTGAATTCGACTTAGTAGTCTCATCCATATCATAATCATCGTCTTCATCATAATCCCCATCTTCACGTTCGATGTTACCTAAAGGTTGTCCATCCTTCTTTTGTTCATTGATTTCGCTCTTAGTATTATCAACATCAGCCATATCAAGAGCATCATCTTCTTCATCCAGAAGTATATAATCATCATCCACGTATTCTGGATCGTCATCATCAAAATGTATTTCATCGTCTTGGTTTTTTCCATTTATAGCAAACTGCCATAGTACATAACGTAATTTCAAAGAAAGATTACCAATAAAATTTGGACCATTGATACTTTGTTTTAGTTCTTCCAAATCTAATTGGGAAAAATCATCATCATCGTCACCACCATTACCATCATCTTCATTGTTCATATGTGATTGAGCTGAAGAGTCTCCAAATCCATCATTTTCTGTTGTTGTTTCAGGTTTTGGTGGGGTAGTATTTTCATTTAAAACATTCAACGATAAGTTCCCTTCCAGCAGTTCCTGCCATATTTTGACCTTGCCTTCATCGTTTGCAATGGTTATTATAAATTCTAGAACGATTAATTGCTGAGGAGTCAAATAAGAATCAAAAGCATTGTTACGAAACAGTTTTTCAGTCAAATGTAGTAATGGCACTGCTTTTGTTTGTTGGTAGTTTATTATTGGGATTCCATCAAACATATTGGATGCTTTATAATTCGAAACAGTGGATCACAAGGACGGTCGTTTAAGAAAACTAACAAACAAAATTGATATATATCTCTTAATCTTGGCAATACTCTGTCTTATATTGATCTGAACTTCTCTTTGTTTTCATCCAAGTTGTTGATACTGATGTCACTTTTTCATCTTAAAATAAATNTTTTTTTACCATTTATTGATTACTAGTAATCGAGAAATGAAGAACTAGTGTTCTGACCAAAATTTTTCCAAAATATGCTGCGTTTTGATCTTGTAAAGGGAACAAATGAATACAGCACTATTGTGTAATCCTTAATGTGAGAGCTCTAGCAACCATCTGCAGTTTACCCAAGTTGAACAGGATCTGATTGACCAAAGCATGTTTACGATATAGTTCATGGGCGTGAAATTTTTAAATTTTATCTTTTTATATTAAATAAATTGGAAAAAATTTGTAAAAGCCACGAAAATTCTTGAAACAGCCCAAGCAGGCTTGGTATGTAAGCTTTAAGTAACTGTTTTTGGAAAGTATGAAACCTAAATATAACATAGAAACATATAAGTAAAGAATAAACACATTAGTTAAAAAATAGTCTTGTAGTGAAACGATATGAATTCCATTCCCATTCAAAAGAACCAGTCTAGATAATTGAAATACATTTCGAAAGTCTAATAAAGATTTAGAAGCATGTTTGTTAATCAGTTATTCTAAAAGTCCTCATAATACCAATTAACGTACAAAGTCTCCCAAAATTATAAGTGGTTCATGGTCTCTTACACGATGGTAATATTGCAAAAGTTTGGTATTCAAAAGAACCAAAAAAATATATCCCCCCAACTAAAACGATAACGAATAGAAAAACGGTTAAACTGTAGAAGTATACGGAAATAAAGAATTCTTATTATGTATGATCTCCATATTTTATTAAGTTTTTTTTTTGAAAATTACGTCAAAGCGAATGGCTATTACTTCCAAAGTTGAAATAGTTGAATTCTTTACTGGATAACCATAAACGTATATTATTTTTTATATAAGTATCACAACAAAACATTTAAAAAACCGGGAGATCTATAACGCTTGATAAATTATTATAAAAAACTTCATCTATATAAGCTTTTGGTAAATCTAACTAGCCTTGCAAGGCATATTACCCTATTAATAAACAATTAAGTACTACTGCAATTCGATAAAAACATTAGAAACATCTACATATCTTTGTAGTAACTTCATAGAAGCAGTTTAAACTTGTTAAAAAAAATTCAAAATTAAATATTAATTCCTATAAAGCGGCAAAATATTCTTCCTCTGTCAATAATTATAATCCGTGATAGTTTAATGGTCAGAATGGGCGCTTGTCGCGTGCCAGATCGGGGTTCAATTCCCCGTCGCGGAGAGTTTATTTTTTGACATTTTTGTGCTCATAATAATGAAAAAGCATATACCCAAATGAATTGGAACCGCTGAGGTTCGATAGTTCGAGATTCAGTGTTACATAAACTATTTGATTATAATTTCATGTATTAGTTGTTTATTATAAAACTTCAACAATAAAGAAATAATGAACATGTGTGTTGATCCTTTTTTATATTCGAAAACGAGAAAGGTATTATATTAACCTTTGCATATAAAAATTATTTGAATACTTTTAAGTTTCTATTAAAAAACTGAATACGCAATACATAAATATATATATGAATGTACAAATTTTCTTCTTATATGCAAAAAAGTAGTGGTACTAGTAGTAGTAGTAGTAGTATATATATTCATACAGCATATTTTTTAGTCCATTCCTTTGCAGTAGTTTCGTATTTAGCTCTATCAGTCTTATATAAATGAGCAATTTCTGGAACCAAAGGGTCATCAGGATTAGCATCAGTCAATAAAGAACAAATGGATAATAGTACTTTAGAAAGTGTTAATGCAGGAGACCATTGATCTTTTAATATATCTAAACAAATATTACCATTAGCATTAATATTTGGATGATATATTTTTGTAGTGAAAGCAATCTTTGGTGGTTTAAAAGGATAATCTGTTGGGAAATTAATAGTTAGGAAGAATACACCACCTGTGTATGGGGAATCTGCTGGACCCATGATGGAGGCTTGCCAGTGGTATAAATCATCTCCGACAGGTCCTGCAGAGAAAGAACTTATAGGGTCCTTAGCTAAATCGTTTAATTCTTTAGAGATTCTTTTTCCAGACATAATAAGTATAGATGTAAGATAATGATATAGTTTTTATTTTGTCTGAGTACGTATAGTTTCAAACACGATGCTCGAGATAACGAATTAAAGAAACTGACTAAAAATAAATAGTTGTTATTAGTATTATTATTCACCACACTGTCTTATATATATATATATATATATAAAATATTCTTATATAATCAAATCAAATCGCAAAAGGGGAGTGGGAACGACACCGAAGGAAAAAGCAAGCAAGTAAAGAGACGAACGAAAAAGAAATATTGTTATTATTATTATTATTACTGTTTCAACGCCTCCCGCCTGTCCCCCCCCTTCCACGGTAAAATACTCCGCGCGTATTGATTTATTTTTTGCCTTTTTGGTGGCGTGGGCGGGAAAGATTCAATTTCAGTTTTCGAGACGCTAAGAATACCCTAATGTTAGGGTATATTTCTTGGGGGGGAAGTTGTTTGAACAAAGTCTGGGGGGAGGGAAGTAACCCCCGACGTGAATCGTGGTTTATGGGGGGGGGGAGACCAATGGGATTGATATAACGTCAAGAGAGAGAGAGAGCATTGCCGCCCAAAGAAAATTGTTTTTTGAATCTTTTTGGGTATATCATGTTGTACGGTAGTGTATGGTGCACAACCGCAAAAGGAGAATGGGTGTCCCAGTAAGTAGTGTTGGCGGCTAGGTTGTTTCATTACAAGGAGTGCGTGCTGGCATTTACCTGTTGAAGAATGGTTTTAATATTGTATTCCAAGGAAGGAGAGAAGCATCCACACGACCTGGATGATTTTGAAAATTGCATTTAACTGGTAGTATTTTACAAATGCTTTCCCATCGAAACGAGCCATCCCCAGACTGGTCATAGCTTAAGAGACGTTTAAAGATGCCTATCTGTTGATGTTTTCTTTGAATCTGTTCCTGTTACCCTGACTATCGTTTTTTTGGTTTTTGCCGCTTATGAGAAAGAAAAATAATTCGATGAGTTCACCTCAATAAAAAAAAATTTTCGTATTCGCAGTAACTATTATGATGCGGGAGACAGAGCGATGCGATGAGGTGAAAATTTTCAATACATAACATATATTAAACTTAAAATCAATCTAGTTATGGAAATGTATATACGAAGCTTAAATAGTTTAGGTATTCTAGTTTCAACGTAATCTCTATAAGGACAAACACACCATAGACGACAATGAGCGCTGAAGAAAGTTTAAATCTGTCTTCTTTGAGAGATAAGATATCTTCAAAATTGAGCAAGAAGAAGACGACGACGACTAAAAAAGCTCCAACTAGTGAAGATGATATTGTATTACGTCGTGAAGCTATGGCTTTAGGTGCTACTGAAAATGATTTGAATCTGATTAAGGACGTCAAGGCTGATAATGAAGCTGAGGCTAGTGAACAAGAATTTTCTGGAGATGAAGCTGATCCTGCCTTGAAAGAAGATTTGAAGAAGTTCGTTAAAGATATTGGATTTAATGATGAAACAAATTCAAAAGATGTCGAACAGAAGGACGAGGAAGAACAAGATGAAAAACTTAGTTCTGAAGAAGACATTGAAGAAGAACAAGAACAGGAAGAAGAACCAGAAGAACAAGAACAAAGTTCTGAAGAAGAACAAGAATCCGATGTAGAAGAAGAAGAAGTTACAAAAGTTAAACAAGATAGTGGGTTTGTTTCTCAATCGACAATGTTAAATACAGATAAATTATTGATTCAAATTGATACTCCATGGTATAGCGTTCCATTAGATCCTCAAGTTACCGAAAATATTAAAAATAACGTGGATACATTCATGTCTAATGATAAAATTGAAAGTTTATTAGAAAGAGGGAAATTAGCTTTAGAATCAGATAACCAATTATTTTATGATGAATTTACTAAAGAATCTTCTCAAAGAAAATTTATGTCTCAAATGCTATCAGATGGTACTTTAAGCGATAAAATATCAGCTTTAACTTTATTGATTCAAGAATCTCCAATACACAATATGAAATCATTAGATACTTTATTTTCTTACTGTAATAAGAAATCAAGAAATTCTCAATTACAAAGTATTAATGCATTGAAGGATTTATTCCTTAATGGACTTTTACCAGATAGAAAATTAAGATATTTTAAGAATCAACCTGGTTTATCAATGATGTTAAATAAACGTACTTTGGCAATTTTTTATTTTGAAGATTACCTTAAGAAATTTTTCTTTAGAATCCTTGAAGTACTTGAAAAAATTTCTCATGATCCAATTATTCATGTTAGATCTCAAACTTTAACTCATGTCTTTGATATGATAACTAAAAAACCTGAACAAGAATTTAATTTATTGAGATTAGGTGTCAATAAATTAGGTGATATCGATTCAAAAGTTTCATCGAAGACTTCTTACTTATTATTATCTTTAGAACAAGCTCATCCAAATATGAAGAGTGTCATTATTGACTCAATTGTAGATATTGCATTAAGACCAAACGCTGATTATCATGCTATCTATTATTCTGTGATCACATTGAATCAAACAATTTTAAAGAGATCTGATGATGAAGTTGCCAATAAATTGATCAAGACATATTTTACATTGTTTAGTAAATTCTTAATCACTAATGATCATGAACAAAATGATGATGTTGAAGTGAAAAGTGACGCTAAAGGTTATGAAAAGAAGAGAAAGAAAAATTTCAAAAGAGGGAAAAATGGTGGGAAATCTGTTAAGAATGAAAAAACTGATGCTGAAGTCTTGAATGAAAAGAATTCTAAGCTTTTCAGTGCTTTGTTGACTGGTATTAACCGTGCTTTCCCATTTGCACAATTGCCTGCTTCTGTTTATGAAACTCATTTAGAGACTTTATTCAGAATTACTCATTCTGCAAACTTTAATACCTCTGTTCAAGCTCTTGTTTTGATTAATCAAGTCACAATTAAAGCCAAATTGAATAATGATAGATATTATAGAACACTTTATGAGGCTCTGTTAGACCAGAGATTATTAAATTCATCTAAACAAGGTATCTTCTTAAATCTTTTATTTAAATCTTTGAAGCAAGACGCAGCCAATGTTGCCCGTGTAGAGGCATTTGTGAAGAGAATCTTACAGGTTTCAGCACATTGGTTAAACATTGGTACTACTACTGGTTTCTTGTACCTTTTGATACAACTAAGTAAGATGGTTCCACAAATAAGAAATCTATTAACTAACTCTCCAATGGATGATGAATATTTAAGTGATGATGAAGAGAAGACAGAAAATGCTGATGGCAAGATAAAAAGTATTTACGATAGCCGTAAACGTGATCCAAGATTTGCTAATGCCGATAAATCTTCATTATGGGAAATCACTCACTTCTTGAACCATTTCCATCCAACTGTCCAAACTTACGCCAATGCCTTCGTTGAAAACAGCACAACAGATATCACAAAACCAGACCTGGGTCTGTTTACATTGACTCACTTCTTGGATAGATTTGTCTACAGAAATGCTAAACAAAAACCAATAAACAGAGGTAGCTCTATTATGCAACCTCTATTTGGTGGTTCTAAGATCAATGATGCATTATTGGTTAAAGCCTCAGATATGAGTCCTGAAAATGCTCCTGTAAACACAGAAAACTGGCTTGACAAGAAAATGGAAGATATCAAACCTGAAGATAAGTTCTTCTACCAATATTTCTCTAGCAAAAAGAATGCAATCAAGAAACAAAAGGATGCAACCTCTGACAACTTTGATGAAGATGATGAAATGGATGAAGATGAAATCTGGAACGCTTTGGTCAAATCTAGACCAGAGGTTGAAGATGATAGTGAGGATGATATCGGCTTTGATGATGAAGATCTGGGCTCCATGAGTGATTCTGATTCGGATGATGGTCTGGATGCTGCCATGAACAACTCGGATGATGAGGATGAAAGTGATGAGCCTGCTGAACTTCAAACCTTACCAGAATCAGGTGAGTCGGACGAAGGTGAAAATGAGGATGTATTTTATAGCTTTGCCGATGAAAAGGACGAGCCTTCAGGTAAACGTTCATTAGATGATGCTGGGGAAAGTGAGAAGGAGAAGAAGAAGAGAAAGAAGCAAAAGATGAAGGAATTACCATTATTCGCATCCGCCGATGATTATGCCAAATACATGGAGTCTGACTCTGATTAAGGATTGATATTTTTTTAATAAAAGTAAAACAATATATAGCACGTTTAAATTTATCACTGTACATTAACAATATAACGTTGGCCATTTTAAAAATGAAATTAAAAAATCGGCGACTAATTAAGCCTCATCACGATTTTTCGCTATTAGAAACATTCTATATTCAAGAAAGTCTTGTATCTTCATTGGCACATACTTTAATATATTTCCGACTGTAGATTAATATGAAATAGTTTACGTTCCCTAAATATAACAAATTTGAGACTTAAACGGCAAGTTCGGGAATAAGAATGGTAATATTGTTTTAATTGTTTTTTTCAAGAAGAATGCCACCAAAATATATATAAGTTTACATAAAAAGACCACAGGAAAAACCAATAGAGAGATGCCCAGTTATGTTATCAACATTCAGTTAAATAAATATATTTGTTTTTATAGATTTGATGATAGAGAGAAAGCCACAAGCATCTGAGGATGTATTCCGAGACCTTAAAAGATTGAAACAAGGTAATTATAAGGAAACAATTTTGGGGTAGAACAAAAAAAAAGAGTGTATCTATCCATTCCCAACCTTATGTAGAAAAAAATGAAAACTGATGTGAAGAATCTGTGGAAACTCTTTGTTTTCTTACATCTTTAATACAACTGTTTAGAGTAAATAGAAGATGTTGCCCATCAAAACCGATTTTTTTAGGGAAGAAGATTAAAACCTTAATTCAAACTACAAAAGTCTTTTACAAGTTCATTTACTACATGTCTTTATTTAAATAAGAGGATTGTTGATAATAGAATCATCTGTTCTACAGATAATTAATAGTAAAAACTTTCATAGGACCTTAGTCGTTTATTTAACCATTTTTTATATGGTTTAATCTTATATTCGGGAAATTGTGTAACAACAAATACTGCAAATAATTAACTTTTATTTAAATATAAATAGAGTTATTGTTCCCCTGATGACCTAGTAGAGAAAAGTATCCTAGAATACTTTAAGCAAAAAAAAAATAACGTTAAATTAATAGATAACAAAAGTTGAGAAATAATGTAATAATGTCCAACAGAAGTTTACACACCTCTTTTGTTGTTCATTGTTCTTATATCCTCTTTTAGACCCTTCCATTATCCCATGTGTTTTGTTGATATAACTTTCTTTCTTGATGTCGCTGACTCAGCTTCAGAAAAGAGCGTACCGTAAATTAGAAAACTTTAATTTAAGACACATCTCAGAGAGTGCCGTAGAGAATATTGCGGTTTTAATCACTTGAGAATAGTCATGAGACGAACAAGAAAGGGACTAAATTAATAATACTTGGAGCCGTCTTGAAATTATACTCATATGTAAGATGACAAACTAGCCAAGTTTGCAAAAGTATAAAGTTTATGACCCCCTCTCTCTATAGTACCGATAGTAAATTTTCTAAAATATGATGTAATGCATAGCAAAATATCTTAATCTGACTGTTACTTAGAATGAAGGTCATGGCCTAATTTCTCTTTCCTAAACAACTAAACTCACACAAAGTGACCATTGGATAAAAGTGTTCTATTTTTTGACTTTCCACTCTTTATATGGCAATAAATTGCATTAAATATGTTTTAGCAATACACCCCAATGTTTATGCAAACACCAAAAAAAAGCATGATATTACAATATGGATGATTCTAGTGTTGATAATTGATTATTATTCTTTTATTTTGATCTTAAAAAAAAGAACAACATGAAAAATGCCCCGCAAAATTCAAAAAATATTTCAATCGTGTCTTATTTTTTTATTATTTGATCCCAAAAATACTGGTACTCTTTTTTAGTCATACTCATTTGAAAAGCTTCACCGGGTCATAAGGCAACACCGACAAATAGAAACAGACTTTGATTGTTTTAACTTATCGAAGTATTGTTTTGAAAAACAGAAATATAAAAACAAGGAGCTAAGTTGAACCCGGTTCGCATAATAAGATAAAATATAAAGTTTTATTGTTAAAGTCCTATGCAGCATTATTACTCTATATTTCACATAGCTTTTTAAACTCCATTAAGTTAATAAAGGAAAAGGTACCTAAATGCTAAAATAGATGACTGTTTGAGAATGTAGCGACTTATGGGTCGCGTGATAAATGAGCTATATCATACTAATGAAATAAATTCTTTATCTTAAAATATGTCCCGTATACATTATAAATTCATAGTTTTCCGTTTCGTTTTTCTTTAAATGTTATAAATGGTATACGGTCTTTGATCTATTCCAAAATTATATCAAGTTATTTTGTTTTGACTTCTATGTAAAAAAAGGGCCACTTATCGGAAATGATACCTTGTTCACCACCTATTTTGATAATTGATAAAGAAAGAAGGAATAAATATGTTTTAGTAGTGAAGTCATAAATGTATTACAAGAATAGTACTAATAACAGTAATAGCAGTAGTTATTTTGGAATTCAGCCATTGTTTGTATACGATTCTCATTTTTTTTAACTTTTTAAACTTTATTCTAATTATCCTTTGAAAATTTGGTGTTGATACTTCTGAATTAATGAGTCTTTCATTTTTGTTCTTTGAAATTGCTACGGAGTTTTTCGAAAGAATTTTGATTTTCGGAGAAAGAAAGAAAAAACCTTATTTTACAGAGATTTCCCGCACCGATAAAAAGTTAATATTGCATAAATGCATCAAAACGATTTTAACGTTTCAAAATTTGAACATTAAGTATTTTTAAATTGTTCAGTATTTTCTGAGAAAAAATGAAAATAGCATTGTTCAAAATTTAAAATTAAATGATCTTGATGATTGAAATCTTATTCATTCACATGTTAATAAAGTTCTGAAAAAAAATTCACTAGGTCTAAACTTTATTTTTTCTTTTTTATCTTTGAACGACTATAATACTCTCTCAAAGTTTAAAAAACGGGGAGAAAGGAAGGGGGTATTGGTGTAACATCAATTATCTAAACTCCTAAGATTATTTCTAACTCTTTCTCAGTATTATTACTCAGATTGTCTTGTTTACTCGCGTCTTTTTTCTTTGATAGTTTATTTAATATATTATAAGCTTATTAATTTCCTTATCCTTCTTTCATTACTTATTCCTCCTCGAAAACTATTTGCTCGCACAAATGTTGTCCATAATAATTTCATTTCTTTCTACATCTTCATCCCTCTTAATTATTGATAAAAGGTATCTATAGAAACAATAGCCAGTTTTGTTAACATCGATAGGAGGAATTGTATTGCTATTAGTGAATCGCAGTCGATCCACCCAATACAATTTTGTTTCCTTTTTCTAATAAACTTCCCTAGAGTAAGCATATAAATTGACGTCTAGACTTCATTTATATTTGTCTAAAAAAAATAAACTTCATTTCTTCAAAGTTAAACTTTGTCCTCGTTGTTGTCCTGTTTATCTATTTTTCTCACTCATTTGCTCTCTGTCTCTTTGTTTTCTCTTCGTAATTCTATAGTCTTCTATGCATCAACTTATCATCTGGTTGGTTGTAAACATTATATATCGATATATATGTATATTTTTAATTATTTTTTAGTTTCGAATCGCTTGTGTAATAGCGTAACAAGGTTTCTCTTGTAGTGACCAGAAGATTTTCAATAAAATAAAAAATAGCAATGTGGTAACGATTTTCTCAAACAATTGACTGTGATCTATTGTAGTCATCCAGTTGTTTTCTTCTTCTTTTTTAATTGTTCTCCTTTGTTTAAGATATATATTTTTATATTGTGTTAAATTTCCATATTTTTTGCTACAAATTTTATTTCAGCTTTTTACTGAAACTCTAAGAAATCTATGTACTTTTCAAAACTATTTTACTGTGTTCAATCGATAAGTTTAGTCGTCTAAACATCAAAATATCTTTCTTTTACATTTTTAAAAATTAAACTTTTTTGTTATAAAATAGAAAAGAATATAATATTTTTTCTCTTTTTTCCAAGACCTTCCAAAAGTAGAGAGTTCCTTTTTCCCTTTTCTTGACCCCTCATCTCTTCTTATTTGTATTTATTGAATTTATTATTATTAACGATACTAAAATAAACTTGTAGCAACCTTAGCACTTTTTATATTTTTTTAAGGTATCAGTAAAGTTGTGATTTGTCAAGGAGTGAAAAAAAAATTAAAATACTCATATATATACGTATGTGTATATATGCACTGCCACAGGATTGAAATAAATCATAGCCTAACTTAAAGATAGCAAAAGTAATAATTACAAGATAGTATTCAACAAGTATATAAGCTTATTAAAATAGTTGTTTGTTTTTTACTGAAATATTAAAAGAAAAGTATTCGAGTTCAATTTATTTTATACTTTTTTTTTGTCTGACGTATTTTTTTTTTTTGCTTTTTTATAATTGCCTAATTAAAGAAGAATCTCATTTTCTCAAAAGCCAAGAAAAGGCAAACAAAGGGAAAACCCATCTCAAAAGTTTGTTTTCGAAATAGTCAAAATCTCGGAAATACAATAAATACCTGTGGAAGCATATCGTTCCTGCATAGTTAAGAATACACTAGGATTTAAGTATCTATTGTGGTTATACATCAGCTCACTGTTTACCATCTTTCATCGTCCGGTTCTTTTTTAGAAAACCTCAAAACAAGAGGCTCTTTACTTACTTTTATAAAGTAAACACCAGAGCTATCCAGATAAAGAAGAGTAGGAACGAGTCAAAATCCAATCTGGACATTGCAATGTCACACGAAAACAATGAGCAGTTGATTGATTCTGAGAATAATATAAACTCACGAAAGAGGAAGTATTTTGATGTTTACTCTTCGAGATCTTCCAGTTTAAACCCAACGCAATCGAGGGTATTTGATGTTTTTGTCAATAATACCGATTCTCCACAGAATCTTCAACTATTAGATATTTTCTCAGATGAAATGAAAAGTAAAGAAAATAGACAAAATTCATTGATGAGTACAACGTTCTCTTCTGTGAAAACAGAGAAGGACATAGACGATTTAGATGATATCCCACTATTAAACTCAGGGAAACTATCAAACTCTAATACATTACAATTAAATGCATTTAACGACCCAAAGAAATTGAAGATACCAGAAGAACCTAAATCCCGAATAGAAGATAAATTAGGTGATAAACCAATGCTTCCTAGTTCAAATGTGATTAAGTCACCTAAGAGTATGATGCCATCACATTTGGCCCATATAACAGCGCATAATACTCATTCGAGTGCTCTTTATTTGAAAGATAGTTATGACAAATGGTCTAATAACGTTGAAGAGGTATTTATTAAAGCACTTAGACTTGTGATGAAGAATGGAACATCAAAAATAAAATTAAAAGATAGGAATTATGGTAGAAATGAGTTAATCTCATTGTACATAAAATATTATACAGGTGAATTTAGAACCAAAAAACAAATCTCATCACATATCCAAGTTTGGAAGAAAGCAATTTTAAATAAAATCTCTAATAATATCCAAATAACGGAAATGGACCAAGAATTATTGACATTAATTGAAGAAGGCGCACAACAAACGAAGGATTCAACAAAATTATTCTACGAAACATTTGACGTGATATTAAGTAAATTAAAACCATCTCCAGACGGTTCTGATTACGTTTCCGTATACCCACACACTTCACAGACCATGGTTAATAATACTGACGAAATCAAGAGCACATATGGTGGTGCTATCCATGCAACATACCCTACTGAAAGCCAAGCAATATCAAACTATCCAGATTTAATAACACCAAAGAGTGCCCCTACATCTGCATCCCAACAGGTTGTTCAAAACTATAAAACATTAGAGCCGCAACCATTTCAAACGATGAATAATTACCCTATTACTCCGTTAGATTATGCAAAATCACTTTATGAGAATATGAAGAGTTATAAATGTGTTCCAGCTAAAATAGAAGATGATTCATATACGTCATTTTTGAAAGATATTCAAGGTAATAAAAATGATTCGACAATGGGTGCAAATATTGGATATGAAAAACATGAATCTAATGGAAGGATAAGTTCTCGAATAAATTCGGAAAACGTAATAAAGAATGCTGAAAGAGTTAAAGCAGAACAAAGAAAGCTCATTGAAGAACTTCAAAGAAAATCCAAGACAAATGCAAGTGTTGACCTCCCTAGTATAGGGAATAGATCTGCTAGTAATAGTTCATTTTATGATAGGGTACCGTTTTCACAAGATGATTTGACAATAAGACCAAAGGATTGGGAAACATCAAAGGAAACCTCTTTATCGCTTTATATGATGCCTCAATCACAATCACAAATGCCACCACAATTACAGAGATCAATTTCTGGTAATTCTATCCCATACCAACAGGAGATGGTTCCACCTTACTTACAGCAACAAGCACAGCAACAAGTACAGCAACCTACATTATACCCCGGGCAATACTTAGTTCCATTAACCCAACAACAACAGCAACAGCAACAAGCATCGCAAGTTCAATCACAACAGGGACTTACATTATCAAAAATGTCACCTCAAGGTACTTTTATTTCATATCCGCAACCAGCGGGTTCTCAAGCGAGTGTTCAGCAAGGTGTCCCATCATCATCTGTGTATTATTATCCACGTCATACCTATATTCCTTCTTCTAATCCTTATCCGAATGGACCTTACCGTTCTAACCAATCCATTCCATATAACGATCTTCCTTTTGAACAATTTCCTAATGGTAGTCAGGAGTTTGAATAATAATTATATATAAAGGATAACCTTTAACAAGAATATCTACATCAATTTGTCATCTCGGTCATTATTCATCCATTTCCCGATATTATAAGATCAGATATAGAAAGAATGGAAATGAGAACAAAATTATATCGATATAATTCAAATGTAAACTATCATCTAACTCATCAAAAAAGAATAACTTTAATTCTGTATTTTTTTTAAAAAAATTAGATATTTGTTATGTATAAATATATCTATGTGTAGATCTTTTAACGAAAAGATAAAAGACATCAGATTATTAATTATCATATTTAATATTTATTATTCGTTACGTTTACGAATTTTCTTGATAAGAATTTAAGAAAAAACTTTACTAGCGACACTTCCATACTAAATTTAATCACAATTTTCCAAAAACAGAAGTATTAAAGTCATAACATTGACTGATGATGGCATCTGATGACGGCATCGTCACCACATACCAAATGCAAATCTGAGTAATGGCAATGCTCATCGACCTTTCCTTAACCTGTCAGCATCAGTTCAGTCTACAGATTACTATTATTATCTTTTTTTTGCTTCAGCTGAAAATGTTTCTGACTCCTCTAACTGTGGCACCGTGAATATTTTTTTGCTTTTCTTACTCTGTTCATTGTTTGCCGGTTGCGGCGGTACAAATCCGCTGATATAAGCTGAAATATTTCAATGAGTGAAAAATATTTTGCATATCAAAAAGGGAAGAGAGATCCCATACAATGTGAGTCGATCAATTACTAGGCTTGGCTCTATTGACACACTGGTATGGATAGTTAGATTGATGAACTAGTATATAAATAAACTTATCGATCATCCAGGCTTATTTATCTTAAAGCAATATAATAATGCATTGAATTGATTTTGAAAATAAGTGTATTCTTGAAATAAGCAAAGGTAATACAGTTATAGTGACATAACTAGTTAGTATATTTTGATCATTTGTAATCATGTTTACATCATCAAGGCTTTGTATTCTCAATTATAACAGAAATACATTGAGTCACGTATTGAGACAATCTTCATATCATTCACTTTCAGGTACTGATTATTCTAAACTTATTAGGCAACAAATTAAGGATGAGGTTAGCAATTTAAAAGCACAAAATCCAAATTTTAAACCAACTTTGAAGATAATTCAAGTCGGTGATAGACCAGATTCTTCTACCTATGTAAGAATGAAACAAAAAGCGGCTATTGCTTGCGATTTAATTTCAGATACTGAAAAATTCCCTAAGGATATTTCACAAGCAGAATTGTTACAAAAAATTGTTGCCATTAATAATGATCCAAATGTTCAATCTATTATGATTCAATTGCCATTACCTTCACATATTAATGAAGATATTGTTACTAATACAATTGCACCAGAAAAGGATGTTGATGGTTTAACTACTGTTAATATTGGTAAACTGACACAAAAGAATGGTAATCCTTACTTCGTTCCATGTACTCCTCACGGTATCATTAAATTATTAAAACATAATAAGATTGAAATGAACGGAAAATTGGCTGTTGTATTAGGTAGATCAGATATCGTAGGTGTTCCTGTAGCGACATTGTTACGTAATGAAAATGCTACGGTTATTCAGTGTCATAGTGCAACAAAGGATGTTGAAAAATTAATTGGTATGGCAGATATTGTTGTTGCTGCATGTGGGAAACCTTTATTTGTTAAAGGTGAATGGTTAAAGGAAGGTGCTGTTGTAGTTGATGTCGGTATCAACTATGTAAAGGATCCATCAAAGAAATCTGGTAGTAGATTAGTAGGTGATGTCGATTTTGAATCTGCAAAGGAAAAGGCTTCATTTATTACACCTGTTCCAGGTGGTGTGGGTCCAATGACAGTCTCCTTATTGATGAATAATGCTCTCCTTGCCGCTAAGAAACAATTGATTAAATCGGACACGCCATTAACTATTAGTAGATTACCATTAAAGACAGAAAAGGATGTTCCATCTGATTTTGAAATTGCCAAGGCACAAACTCCAAAGGATATTGCATTCTTAGGTTCTGAATTAGGACTTCTACCTAGTGAATTGGAATTATTTGGTTCTTATAAAGCTAAGGTTTCTCATTCTGTTTTAAATAGATTCAAAGATAGAGAAAATGGTAAATATGTCTTAGTGGCTGGTATTACGCCGACACCTTTAGGTGAAGGGAAATCCACCACAACTGTAGGTCTAGTTCAAGCTTTAACTGCTCATCTTGGGAAGCCTTCTATTGCAACTTTACGTCAACCTTCAATGGGTCCTACCTTTGGGGTTAAGGGAGGTGCTGCAGGTGGTGGTTACTCACAAGTGATCCCTATGGATGAATTCAACCTCCACTTGACAGGTGACATTCATGCAATTGGTGCTGCTAATAATTTATTAGCTGCTGCTATTGATACAAGGGTCTTCCACGAAAGCACTCAAAAGAATGATTTGACATTTTATAATAGATTAGTCCCAAAGACTAAAGGAAAGAGAAAGTTTACACCATCAATGTTAAGAAGATTGGAAAGACTGGGTATAGATAAGAAAAATCCGGATGAGTTAACTCCAAGTGAAATTAATAAGTTTGCAAGATTGAACATCGATATGGATACTATTTCAATTAAAAGAGTTGTTGATGTTAATGATAGAATGTTAAGGAAAGTAACTATTGGTGAAGCTGCTACTGAAAAGGGACATACCCGTGTCACAGGATTTGATATTACTGTCGCTTCAGAATTGATGGCAATTTTGGCTCTTTCTAAGGATATAAAAGATATGAGAGAAAGAATTGGAAACATGGTAGTTGCATTTGATATCGAAGGTAAACCCGTTACCACTGAAGATATCGGGTGTGCAGGTGCATTAGCAGCTCTATTGAGAGATGCCATTAAACCAAACATGATGCAAACTCTTGAAGGTACGCCTGTGTTTGTTCATGCAGGTCCATTTGCTAATATTTCCATTGGTGCTTCTTCTGTATCTGCTGATCTTATTGCATTAAAATTGGTCGGTACTTCAAAGCAAACTCCAAATAAGACACCAGGTTATGTTATTACAGAGGCAGGTTTTGATTTTACAATGGGTGGTGAGAGATTCTTTGATATTAAATGTCGTGCATCTGGCTTGGTTCCAAATGCGGTTGTTTTAGTGTCCACTATTAGAGCATTGAAGTCACATGGTGGGGCTCCAAATGTTAAGCCAGGCCAACCTTTACCGGATGAATATTTGAATGAAAATGTTGACCTTGTAGAAAATGGTGTTTGTAACCTTGTAAAGCAAATTGAAAATGTTAGAAAATATGGTGTTCCTGTTGTTGTGGCCATTAACAAATTCGGTACTGATACAGATGCTGAAATTGAGGTTGTAAAGAGAGCTTCAAAGGCTGCTGGTGCATTGGATGCTGTGGTTTCCACACATTTTGAAGATGGTGGTAAAGGTGCAATTGACTTGGCCCATGCTGTTGTCAATGCCACAGAGCAAGAATCTAATTTCAAACCATTATATGATCTATCTCAACCATTTGAAGAAAAGATGACTACTATCGTACAAGAATTATATAACGGTAAGGATATCAGCATATCACCAGAAGCCTCCAAGAAGTTAGAAATGATTAGATCTCAAGGCTTTGGTAATTTACCAATTTGTGTCGCCAAGACTCAATACTCTTTGTCTCATGATGCGAAATTAAAGGGTGTTCCTTCTGATTTTACATTCCCAATTAGAGATGTAAGATTATCTACTGGTGGTGGATACATCCAAGCATTGGCCAATGAGATTCAAACTATCCCTGGTTTGTCTACGTATTCTGGTTATATGAACGTTGAAGTTAATGAAAAGAATGAAATCGAAGGTTTATTCTAGGACAAGAGACATTCTACCTTGTATAATAAATTTTATAAAGTATAAATAAATTAATTTAAATGTATGTAAAAATACTGTGATTGATATTTTGATGATTAATTCATTTATAACAGACGAACGTGAATACACAGCATCAGAAGAAATAATCATTCTGAATTAAATGTTGATGTACGTACTGATGTCATTATAAAAAATAATCTTAACTAAATTATTTCAAAGTATTTTTTTTATTTATTTATTTTTGATGTCTAGACACCAATTAAATAAGAAATTAATCGAGTAATATTTCTCACATGTAAACAAAAACTAAAATTTTAAATATCTATATTAATAAAATATTGTAATTAATTTATTTAAGCATCTTCCTTTAGTAGAGCTTCTCTCTTTTCAGCAACTCTTTGAGCTCTTCTTTCTCTAGCAGCTCTGTTCTTGGTTCTTCTAGCATCAGCTTCAGAAGCAAGAGCCTTTTCACGTTGAGTGTCAGCCTTGGCTTGAATGATATGTTCAACTAGAGCTCTCTTGTGCTTGAAAGCGTTACCCTTAGCTTCCTTGTATAGAACGTGGTATAGATGCTTGTCGATCTTACCAGCGTCTCTGTACTTAGCCAAAAGTCTTCTTAGGACTCTTAGTCTTCTGATCCAGACGACTTGAGATGGCAGACGAGCTTCAGCAGTACCCTTTCTCTTACCGTAACCGGTGTGACGACCAGCTCTCTTAGCTAGAGTGTAAGCTCTAGTTCTGGACTTAGAGTGGACAGTGACGGCCTTTCTGACGATAGTACCGTTCTTAACCAATCTTCTGATGGCGTGTCTAGAGTTAGCTTCAGCGATTTCAGAAGTTTCGTTTGGGTCTAACCAAACCTTTCTCTTACCAACACCGATAACAGAAGCGGCAAGTCTCTTTTGGGTACGTAAGTTAGCCCTGTATTAAAATTTATATTTATAATACCACAATTTCAATTGTTATATTTATTTTATATTTCATATTAAAATAAATGGTATAATAGATATTTGTTAGTTAATAATATTCAAATAATAAATAATAAAAAATGAAAAAAGCTGGAAACATCTTCATCAAAAAAAAAAAAAAATTGTCTCGAAATAATATTCTTGTACATTTAATTAAAATGTGATAAGTTAGAGAGATGGAAGGGTGAGATCATACACGATTCAAATACATAAATAGTTTTCACAAACTGTATTCTCTATGGTATACTTAACAAAAAAATTTCGCGATCTTATATTAATATTATCAATTTTCTGCGATTTAATTCAATTATAATATGGTATTATTTCTTTTATAGTCGGAAATGAATCAAATATGGTTCTCATTTATTGATCACTCTTGTGCACTGTAAGAGATTCCATTATAATTATTTATTTTCTTCATCAAATTTCTATAAAATCATTTCATTAATCACTCTTAAATTCTTTATCCTCATCATTTAAACAAATCCCAATATTAACTAATACTATTAATTGTATAAAACTTCATTCTATACACACACATATCTGTCTCTCCTATTATCATCTCGACTAATAATTAAAAATTCATTCTTTTTTTATGGTTTATATTTTTTCCTTGCTCATTCATTCATTTCATTTCATTCTAACACATACATTTTTGCTTTAATTGTTCTAGTTCTTTTAGTATTAATTAAACAAGTATTGAAAAAAAAGTATATAGTAATATTTTAAAGGTTAAACCTTCTTCTATGGATAATTATTACTTTGTATATATGAATTTTTACATTAAGAGGGATTATACAATCCAATGCCTTACTAGGTTAGTAATTAGAATAGAGAATACAGTGGAAAGAGAATCTAAGCTAGTGAATTGATTCCTCTTTGCAAAATGTTTTGCTTTGCTTTACTTAGCTTCACGCTATAGTTTGGCATGCACTGTGCGAACTTAGTCCCATTAACATTATTCACTCTAGTCAGCAGGGCCAACAGAGAGAGTATCGTGCGCGTCTATGGCGTACTGTTTCCCTATCCCTCTCCCTCTAGAACAAAGAAGTTCAAGCCCGAAAAATAAAGAAAAACAGAAAATATTCACCCCGACGCAAAAATATTTCAAAAATTAATTTTTCAAAAGACAGCATTACAAAATGTACGGATGTCTAGATATGGTGTATGGGTGTTCTTGGGTAAATGAAGTCCAACCCTCTGAATTAAATTTTTTATATCAAGCTGACTTCGTTTGCATTTTTTTTTAACTTCTTTTTGGTATACCAAAAGAGGAGCGTAAAAATGTATAGAATATGTGAATATATATTTGTTCTTTTTAATTGTCAAGTGCTAACTTTTATCTTTGAATGTTATGAAAAAGTTCAACATGGAAGAGATCAGATTATTCTTATTGTAAACAAAATCCAATATACTGAGCTCATCTCATCGATGAAGACAATGTTAAATGCATATTTGTGGTATTGTTCTATAAAACATATATTGATAGAGAGCGTACAATCATTCAGTATAATTCTATGTCATTGTAACCTCATGTTTTCTTATCATTTGAATAGAAAAAAAATCTCAATTAATCTAAAAGTGGAAATGAAATAAAGTGGGGTTCTCTTTCACACAGCCATACATGTGGGAAATTGCACACACATATATAGTTTAATTAATTAAGTGCCACAAGAAACAGGCAGCGGCATTCGTCCTCCTTTTCTGATGTGATAAATTAATCGTAGTAAAATTGGCGGTCTTATTCCATCAGAGAGAGTATCGTATATATCGGTCGAGTTCGGTATTTCACTCTATATAGAGAGGGTTTGGGGGGGACAAGTAGCCAATCATTTTCCAGTATTCAAATGCCGGAAAGCGGAAAACAATCAAAAATAGCAGAATGGGAGAACCCTTGTCACTCTCCACGACACACGGTATTAGTGGTGCATTTTCCCCTGTTTTTTTATCATAATGACTAGCGCGCACAAATAATAATTAAAAAGCAACGCGTTCATTGGTCAGTCATACTTACATCAAAATATACGTATATTACCTCCAAAGAACTGTGTTTAAAATTAAATATATGGAGAATATTGTAAATTTGATTGGTCGGCAAGTTTTCATTTAATATTATTGGCGGTTGTTTTTAATTACAGTTGTCTAATAGTAGTGAAGCAGGGGACTAATTGATCAATCAGAAGGAGTTTTCGTTACTAATTAGAAATAGAGATGAGCAATACAATAGAGGAGATACTTAATGGTGCTGTTCTAATTCATGTTCTGCCTTAATCTCTTTTAATTGCGCTATATCATCATATATTCATGTATACATAAATATTTATCTCGGCCTTGTTTAAGCTTTTTTTTTCTTGCTTTGTACACAGTTTCTCTCATATTTTCCATTTTATGAATTTGAAAGAGAAAAAAACTGCATTCCCCATCGAGATGGTCCCACTAAATTAGTATATAAAGATAATGGTTGTCTCATTTACAAATCAATGATTTCTTTCTCTCTTTTATTTAGTTTTCGTTTGTTCGTGTTTCTCCCACCTTTTTAATTTTAGTCTAATTTTTTTTAGCATTCTTTCTTAGAACAGTAATTCAGTGATTTGTATATATATAAAAGCACATTGTTATTCGTGAATATATTAATAAAAAAAATAAGAAAAATACTGCATATTTTTTGTCCCTTATAATTTAATTATTTTTTTTTTATTATTATTAATATTATTTTATTTTCTAACAGTAAATATTTAAGAAAGAAAGAAAACTAGAAAAACCTTTTTTTTTAGTCATATTGTCATATTCTTCTCCTTATTAATAATTCCAATTTTACTACCCTAAAAATTTTCAATTATTAAAAATTCCTCCCCCCCCCAACACATACACATAAATTTTAAACAAAAATGAGTACTGAAATTAAACAATCTAATTTCGCCATCGATTTCCTAATGGGTGGTGTTTCTGCCGCTGTTGCAAAGACTGCTGCTTCTCCAATTGAAAGAGTTAAATTATTAATTCAAAATCAAGATGAAATGATTAAGCAAGGTACTTTAGATACTAAATATGGTGGTATTGTTGATTGTTTTAAGAGAACTGCTCAACAAGAAGGTATTATCTCTTTCTGGAGAGGTAATACAGCTAATGTTATTAGATATTTCCCAACTCAAGCTTTGAATTTCGCATTTAAGGATAAAATTAAGGCTATGTTTGGTTTTAAGAAAGAAGAAGGTTACGCTAAATGGTTTGCTGGTAATTTAGCATCTGGTGGTGCTGCGGGTGGTCTATCTCTATTGTTTGTTTATTCTTTAGATTACGCTAGAACTAGATTAGCTGCTGACGCTAAATCTTCAAAGAAAGGTGGTGAAAGACAATTTAATGGTTTAGTCGATGTTTATAAGAAGACTATTAAATCTGATGGTTTCGCAGGTCTATACAGAGGTTTCTTACCATCTGTTGTTGGTATTGTTGTTTACAGAGGTTTATATTTCGGTTTATATGATACTTTGAAACCATTATTATTAACTGGTTCTCTAGAAGGTTCTTTCTTGGCTTCTTTCCTATTAGGTTGGGTTGTTACTACTGGTGCTTCTACTTGTTCTTACCCATTAGATACCGTTAGAAGAAGAATGATGATGACTTCTGGTCAAGCTGTTAAATATGACGGTGCCTTTGATTGTTTCAGAAAGATTGTTGCCGCTGAAGGTGTCGGTTCTCTATTCAAGGGTTGTGGTGCTAATATCTTAAGAGGTGTCGCCGGTGCCGGTGTTATTTCCATGTACGATCAATTGCAAATGATCCTATTTGGTAAGAAGTTCAAATAGATAAAATGATGAAACTATAGAAAAAAAAAAAATAAATAATAAAAAAAAGCCATATTGATACATTATTAAAACAGAAATTTATTAAGCAAAATAAGTTTAATTTTTTTCCTTTGTTTTAATTTCGACGTGTAACTATCTCTAAATGTATTTCTAAGTTTTTTATTTTGTTTGTTTGTTTATTTTCATTTCATTTCATTTTTTTTCTTTTCAATTCACTATTTTTAAACCATTAATTATCATTTTACTCTCTATCATTACATTTTATCAGTAATTTTATTTTTATTATTATACCTGATATTCCAAAAAAAAAATGGATTAATAATGATAATAATAGAATATTTAAAACGACATGCTGCTAGAGTTATATTAATAATAAGTATATATATATATAATATTCACAAATTATAAGAACAACAAAAAAGTTCATAAAGATTACAACAAAAATTCATGAAATCACATTCTTAGATTGTTATAATTTAAGTATATTCTGATTAGAGAGGAGTCATCCATCACCTTTAATCTTAATTATTTAAACGCAAGTATAAGAACAGAAAAGTGCATTACCCGGGACCTTGAGACTACAAGGAATATTAAAAATTGATTTCGCCCAGGATCGAACTGGGGACGTTCTGCGTGTTAAGCAGATGCCATAACCAACTAGACCACGAAACCATATATTTGTGTTTTTTTAGAATTTTAGTTATATACATTAGATTATCAAAATTTTGAATTTTAGTGTATATTGTAATAAATTCAACTATATCTATGTTTAAATATTACTATATTAAGAAATGAAGTAATGTACTTGAATCTATTTCAATTGAACTAATAGAAAATAATTTTGCAATAACGTTTGGGGTTGTAGTACATTTCCTACATGTTACATTTTAATTCAACATTTATCAAACGAGTCTAAATATCATCTAGAGTATGTTGTAATGAAAGGTACGACATCATAGCTGTAGAGCTTTCAATCTCCTTCGACTCAGTGTTACCCAAGTTACTATTTAAGGTCAATTCAGACAATTATTCTAGTATCAAACTTCGACGGTATATTTTAATAAAAGTATATAGACTTGAGTATTTCATATTTTGCAATTATAATATATTAAAAAAAAAAACACTACCTTGAACCATCTACACCTGCATATATTGTTTGGCTTGTTTATTTTTCATTATATATATATATATATATATATATGTTCAGATATACTCTAGATTGTCGTATCTTCTTTACTATTATAACATAATGGTGCAACATTGATATATTTCGTTGAAAGTTGCCCAACAAAGAAAAAAGAAAGAAACAGTATTATATTAGCATAACTCGATACACTACGTTTGATAATCTAAGCAATATTACACGCACCTCAACAATTTATACTGTTGAAATATTCAGTCGTAGCAAAATGAACTTACGTAATATCCAATTAGCTAGTAATAATTTCCAATGCCTCTCTTCCTGAGCGTCTTAACTCCCCACCTCCCCCGCAAGATGACGTACTAACATTCCTACTATTGTTACTTAACGGTATATGTAGAGAATGTCTTGGCAAAACATATGTATATATATATAAGCCCCATCCCAAGTCTTACTGCACCTGTCTATATATATATATACCTGGACAATCTCGCAGCAACCAATGGATCGAGATATTCCGTTGAAGGCAAGCAATATTCAATGGGATGGTGGACACGCTATACGTATAGATGAGCTTGTCTCAACACACACACACGTATCGTATTATTTTTAAATGTAGTACTGTCTGGGGCTGTGTCGTCGCTATGGATTCCTCGGAATTCCCCATCCACAGAAATAGGGGAAAAGTGAGGAGAACAAAACGGAAATCAACGGCGAGGGATGGAACCGCGGATAAACGGGAAAGGCCAGGCGGGACACAGAAAGTGGCTTATCTTTCACGGCAGATAAGAAGAAGCAGCGAGAATTTCTCTAAGTCCACGGGTTATTCTCACCAACAATTCTCGTGTTCTCCCGCAAAATGTGTGGTGCGTCATACACAGCGATTAAAGCTGTACACCCCTCTGTATTTACAGTATGTATGAGTATTGCTGTGATAAGATTAGATTAGTATGTATGTATGTATGTATGACACACCTGGGTAGAGGAGATGAGATGATCCAGTTTCAACTCTTTTCATTGGAATTTGAAAGACACAACAACAAGAACAATAACCGATTCCAATTGCAGTATTCTTGTTTATATCGTTATTGCCTTATCTATGAAGGGATCACATCTTTGTCTTCTTAAGACACAAACGAACTTCATTCCGGAGAGGGAGAAGAACATGTGCAATATCTACACTTCTTGTCGTTCTACTTGCGAATTCTTCTCTTTCGGGTATGACCTTTTTTTGGCTTTGACTTTTCTTATTCTCCCCCCTCCTCCTCTTGAGCTGTATTGTCTTATCTCATACATATATATATAAAGGAACCATTGATGAGGTAATTCCTTAATAATTGAACTTATAAATATATTTACTGTTTTTCTTTCCTTACTACACCACCAACCTATAAAAACCAATTATTCTGCAATAATGGAACCAATTAATAATTTTAATAAAAAAAATAAAAGATCTTTATCACAAACTTCACAATATTATACAAATTCGAAATTATCATGTGAAGAAATAATAAATAAAATGGAAAATGAACAAGATGCTATAGTGGTACGTTTATTAAGAGAAATTAATTATCTTAAAAATGAAAATAATAAATTAAGAAATAAATTAAATCAAAATAAATTTCGTCGTTACTCAACTGGTACAAGAAATATTGATAATGATCAAGTAATAATTGATGATGATGATGATGATGAAATTGAACATAATAGTAATACTAATAATAATGAACTTTTGAGTAATTTACCTTTAACCCCAAGAAGATCATTTAACAATAATTCGTCATATTCAACACCAATTTCATCACGTAGGCCAAGTAATGTTAATTCAAATACTATTTTCCCAATACATACACCTTCAACAACATCAACATCTTCATCAAATATTAATTCAATATCAGGGAATTTTTTAAGACCAAAAAATTTTACATTTTCACATATTTCAACAAATTCCTCATCGTCTGGTGCAGTTGGAATGGAAAATTTATCAATTAATCAAAATAAAAATAATAGAAAGAGAAGAACGTCAAGTACAGTTTCTTTAGAAAATAATCCACATTTTAAAAATCATGAAAAAAAAGTTAACGAAATTTTACCACTAAGATAAAATTTCACAATTGAACCTTATATACATTAATTATTCTGAAATTTTCTTTTTTTATGTCTTTCCTTTTTTTTTTTTTTTGATTTAGTTGATTTTTTATAAACTGTTATTATTGTTGTCGTTATTTTTGATTATCTACTTATATACCTATTCTACTCTGAAATATAAAACGTAAGAGGAGGGGTGAAAATAATTATATATACATATTATTTATATATATATATTGATAAGATATACTGTTACAAAATATTGTTAAAGTTTTAGTGTGTCTGTGTGTCTGTGTAATTTTTTTTTTTTTTATTATTTTATTATTTTTTAATTATCATTAATTTCAGCTTCTTCACGTCTTTTAATTTCATTTTCTAAATTTGAATTTAATAAACTTTCAGCTTTTTTAACATTGTCCATATTATCACCACTAATTATAAATTTTCTAAACGTTTCATTAGTGGAATCAACATAATTTGATTCTAAATCATCCATTTTACCTGTATCAATCCTTGTATGTGTAAATTTTCTTAAATTTGAAATTCTATTACCTCTTGTACCCATCATTGCACCAACTAAAGAATCTGGTACTAATACAGTGGCTTGAAATTGACCTTCATGAACTCTTTCAGATCTTCTTTGTATATTACTTGTGTTGGTCGATGAACGAATTGTTGTCTTATGTTCAGTTGTTGTTAATACATGTGGGAAATAATGTCTTTCAGTAATTTGATCAATATTAATTTCTGCATTTAATGTTTTAGCAATATCATCAATTGTTGAACCAATTGCCTGTGCAGGACCTTGTATTTGAAGAATTCTTTCATCTGAATCAGGTAAAAAATTACGTGATGCAACAATTTTAACATCATTTGAATCAATTAAATGTCTTATAGTACGACCTTGTTTACCAATGATTGAAGAAATTTGTGTATTAGTTAAAATTACTCTAATATTATAAATTTCATTTAATGATGATATTGAATTAAAATCCGTTAATTCAGGTGGTGGTAAAAAAGAATTTAAAAAATAAAATGGATATTTTTTAATTTCAATTGGTTGATTACTTATTAATAATGTTACAATGTCTGTCATTGCTTGACTGATATTTTGAATAGTTCCTGCACATGTAAGAATTCTATCTGAACAACCAATTTGTTTTTCTGTAACATCAATTTTAACATGATTATCTTGTTTAATTTTTCTTAAATATTGACCTTGTGGACCAAAAATTCTACCACATTCATCTAATGATAACATAAATCTTTGATATGTTGGTAAATCATCAGAAACTTTTTCTATTTCATTAAACATATTACTTGATCCTTTATCAAAACTTGTATCATAATCATATTCTGAATTACTATTCCCACTAGTGGTTTCATTTTCAAATTCACTGGAATTAGAACCAGACATTGTAATAATTAAAATAAAGTCTTTTTCAGTTTAGATACGTATTTTTTAAAAAAGAAATTGTATATACTTTAACAACTCGAATGAAGAACAGAATAAATAGTTATTTATCAGCGGTTACAATATATATATATATTTGTTTCCTTCGTTTTATTCTTTTCAATAATATAAGTGATTTAGTGATGTTGTTTGTTGATTTTTCCTGTTTCTTGTAAAACTTTCCGCTTCGTTTTTTGTTTTGTAAATTTTTTTTTTGTTTGTTTTTTCAACTTTTTAGCGATTGTGTGCGAGAAGTCTTTAGTACAAAGAACAAAAAGTTAAAGGATAAAAATTGAATCATTGATTATAATATGCATATTTTTATATTTATATGTATTTAGTCTTTTTTGTTATTTGTTCAGATGAAATAGATATATATGAGAAGGTTAATTTTAGCGAAGAACCAAAAAAAAAAACATGGAGAACTTTTCATAACTAGCAATGTGATTCTTTAATTAAATGTTTTAGAGCATCACCTAAAACTGTAGCAATAACATCTCCATCCTTGATCACATACCCTTCAGTTTGATCCTCTTTCAACACCGTGGTAAACGCAGTATGAGAATAACGTTTGACAAAATCCTTATAACCGGCCACTGTAGTAAGTTCTACTGGTGCACTCTTTAAGAAAGAATTTGTAGATTTAGACATATTGTCAGGTTGTTTGTAAAGTATATTTGTATTGCTCATGGTGTAAAGTGTTAAGATTGTTTTTAGCCTTTTTACTATTAAGTACAAGAATTAAGAAAGCTTCTTAAAGAAAAAAATATAGTAATATAAAGCTCCGTTGTATAGATCACTTTTATCAGAATTTGTTCGTTTATATATTAACAGAAATCGCTAAAGTGGTGATACCCTTTGTTTCTAATTATTACTAAGTCGTGTGGTATTCCAGCCATTCTATTATCTCTCTCTCTCTCTCTCTCTCTCTCTCTCTTTCTCTCTCTCTGGCCATCGCTATTGTTACTAATACTGATTCAATGAGTTCCGAGCCCCCCTAATTCAACACTGAGAAAAAAGTGCGGAAAGGGTGTGAATTTCACGCGGAAGTTACCCTCGCTGTCGTATCCTGTGATGTTACGTATTTTAGTTGTACTATACATTTTAAAGTGATGAGACATACTTATATATATGAAATCTAATAGTTACTATAGAACATTCTTGAGCTTACCTAGAATACCACGCTTCTTCTTCTTTGTCGTCGTCTGTTGTTGTGGATCTGAAATAACCATGGATTTAGGTCTTATTTGCTTACTTGTTTGTCTGCTTACAGACACATCTTGTTTACGTCTAGCACCAGAGTTATTACTTTGAGTATCCTTGATCGAGGACTGGTTTGAGGGCGATATAATCTGTTGAGCGGTCTTATGGATACTCGGTGGTTGTGTTAATGAATCCTTGTCCGTCTTGTCTTCAGTAACCTTTATAGTAACCGATCTATTAGATGACACCGATGGTTGAATCTTAACTGATTTCTTCGTATTACTTCTTTGTGGAACAGCGGTAATTTTATCAGTATTGGTGTCTTCTATAGGTTTACTATTTTGAGCAGTTGCAACTACATTCTTTAATGGTGTAGAGGTTCGAGGTTGTTGAGGCATTGATGATGAAGTTGTTGGGGTGACAATAACTTGTTCAGAATTATTTCTTGAATCAAAATTTTTTGATGTAGGAATCATCTTTGGTACAGTGGCTCCCGCAATTTCAGAATCAGAACTACCAAGTTTACTTATATCCTTTATTGGAGCTCTTAAATCAACAGATGATACTTTATGTAAATCTAGATTTGATGTATCTTTTAAAAGTTCAGGTGTTGTTGAATTTGGTGGTAATGTGGTATCTGAACTAGAATCAGATGATGCAATGATTCCAACAGATGGTGATTTGTCCTTAAGGTTTGATGAAGATGATGAATGTTTTTCTCTCTCCGTACGTTTATTCTCTCTATGGATCAATTCATTGGTCTCATTGGTATATTCATTGATCTGAGATCTTGGTGCTAAATTACCATCAATAGATTCAATCTTATTTGATTCTTTAGTATCATTATAATTAATTTCACCTTTCATAGTTGGAACAAAGCCTCCCATTATAACAGGTTTTTGAATTGATAAATATCTATTTCTTAAGATGAAAAAAATTGCAATTCCAATATGTTCAGTGATGACAGCAGTAATTAAAATAGTGGACCAATTATAAACAATTGGATTTTGAATATACCATTTATCTTGAATATCCATATTAATGTTTAAAATTGGTGTATTACCAATACCTGGTAAATAGCATGAACGATACATTATTGTTAATGTTGGAGTCACTAATGTACTTATCCAAACAATAATACGTAAAACCCCATTCCATGGTGTCATTTCAGCGTTCGTCTTAGTAATATCTTCTCCATTAGTCATTGTGGTAGTGGTAATCATATCTAGAACACCAGGGATTAATTTTGGTTTGGTGACATTTGTAACTTTCCAATAATCTACTTTTAATATAATAATATTGAAAAGAAATAAGATAGCTGGTGCAATTGGCCAAATTGTACCAAACATTGCAATATAACCAAATTGAAGGACTAGTTTTTGGAAATTAATATCTGTATCAAATTGACCCCATGCACTAGTCTCATAACCTCTAACGATACTCCAAATCTCTAGATCTTTACTACCATGACGGTTCAATTTGGCTTCGACGGTGGCTTGATGTTGTTTCATACCATCCTTCTTAGCGGTAGCCTTCATGGTTAAACGAGTTAAGACGATTGGAACAACATTATCAGTGACAAATAGAATCAAGGAATTAGTCACAATAAAATAAAAAAATTGCGATTGATGACGACTTGTATTAACAATATAATCTGTAGTCTTCACTGGGAATCCTCTTAGAGATAATTCTAATTTTTTCTCTGAATTGAAAAGATAACTTAATGGAAGATAAACGAATAAAGTAATTAATAAAGGCATATAACTTGAACAAAATTTAATAATAAAATTTTTTTCAATACGAGATTTTTCCTTATTGATTGGTTTTTCAATATTAATGAATGGTTCGATAAATATCTTATTATAAATCAAAGATAAAATTGGAACAAAAACAGAGATTAATACAGTTGGTAATAGTGATAAAATGGCAACCATGGGGCCATCATAAATTTGAGTCAAATATATTTCTAATAAGAAACATGCGAATTGAAACATCATCAATAAGACACCAAATAAGATAAGAATAGGGACAAATAATAGGTTCATAAATGTTCTTGAAGTGACCGAATTTGCCGCAGTAGAGCCATCAGGTAAACCAATTATTGAATAAACTGATTTAAAGGAGCCAAATAGATTCCCATAAGATAATTGTTTGTTGTAAATCCATGACGTAATAAATGCAATAGACCATACAACATTTAAAATTGTATAACCTGTATTAAATTCCCATGAGTTATCATTAGAATAGTAATAAACGAAAATCCCTGGAATTGCCAAATAACCTAACCATTTATTATAGTATTTGAAAAATGCAAAATATAAAGATAATTTTGGATCATTTGTCAAATTTGTTAAAAGCTTTAAATCATCGTCACTTGGTAAAGCTTTTATATTTTTCTTAAACGTTTTATCAAATAACCAATTTAATTTTTTAGATCTTTCTGTATCATATAATGGTATAATATCTTTGACAAAAGTTAGTTCTTTAATACTGGTAGTTAAAAAGACGTCAATATCGGGACTATCTACACGTAAGAACAAATAATCTGTTGTAGGTTGATAACCGTGTTCAAATCTTAAATTGATAGGAATGGTGTTCTCAATTGTGAATGCTTCCAATAATGCTAGTAAATTGTTCTTATTTTGATGTTCATTGCTGAAGACAACAACACAATTAGGATCCAATTCCTCTAAAGTGTTGTATTTTTTCATCATTTGTTCTTAAGAAAAAAAAATACAATAGATTGAAGAGCTCCGTAAGCAATGTAAACTTTATTGATATTGGTTTAATATTTGTCACTCTTCTCAGTGTATTGTTTCTTTATAATAAAGGATAAATAGAAATAAAAGGCTGTACTTCTTTAAGGGCCCAACCAAAAAATGAAAAATTTTTTGTTTTACTAATAGTTCGAGAAAAAGAAAAATAACGTTGCTAATGGTGCAATGACAGGTACATAAATATATGTGTGTATATGTTATTTGAATATTGCTTTTAATAATTTCTATTAGTTTTACCTTTATAAATAACAATTATATAATATTCAAGGTATACAAGTTTCGCTGCAAAGATGGCTTCTCATTCTGTCCCTCCCTCTCTCTCTCTCGCAAATATTTCTGAAAGAGGAATAAGAAGAAAAGAGGAACAGGGACAAAGAAAGAGAAAGAGAAGAAAATCTACGAAATTTAAATGAGATGCTCATTTACTTTCTTGTATATCGATAAAAAAACAAATCGAAAGTAGCATATATATGTAATTATATATATCATTGGTACATGTTGTCAAGATTGCGGAGAGGATTGATACTCTGTCTCTTCCTTTCTCTGAAGAAAGTAGAACAAACTTAGCATAAGCAATGCAAGATCTACTGTCTAACAATGTTTGTGTAAAGACTGAAATAGGAGACAACAAGAGCTAGAGCAGTGGTTATCAATTTGTTTGTTTCTCTTTCAGTTGTTTTGGCTTTTTAGCAAACTGTCTTCACTATGAGAGTATGTTCTTACAACAGCATATATACATATATTGTTCCCGTTAAATATGCAATACTAACAAAATATCCGCAGAAGTGTGAATTTAATGAGCTACTGATCCCTTCCCGGATTCGGAAGTAGGGCAAGTGATGAAGAAGAGAAACGGAAAGAGATGGATTCCGAATATAGAGGAAGGATCCGCCTTATCAGCTTTAGGAGAAAGTACTAATATATGTTGTGCCTTGAAGTAACACGTCTGTTCATATCTTGAACGAGCATATATAAAGAGTTCTGTATCTATCAAAACCTTGCCTCACCTTAGTCGCAGCTCTCTCTGTATCTGTCTCTTCCAGTAGCAGAATGGCAGGAAAACTGAAGAAAAAAATTGGCAAAAAAGACTTTCCAGAACTGTTCTCTATAATAATATGTATGTAAATTGGTAACATAAATGTTACTCTGCGGCGGTTATAATGGGGGGGAGGAAGGGGTGTACGGAGAGAGACAAACAATTTCAATATTGAATTTTTTGGAAGAAGAGAGCAATAAAGAAGAGTTTGTATGATGCAGTACGAACCCGTCTTTACCTCTTTAGTTGTAATCTTGTTCCTGAATATTAATTGCATCATCTCTATCTATATATGTAAATTTTGGATTTACTTATGAGTCAGTAGTATTATATATATATATAAAAAGAGTTATAATTTTGTTTCTTGTTAGTTCGAGTTGGAATGCTCATTAGATCAATACAACAAACAATTCGTTATAAGATACCATTATATACAACTACTATTAATTTTACAACAATGAGCCAGAAGATCCCATATGATTCTCAAAGACAGGCTGCTTTGACACAACAATTTGATCATGTGAAGGCTATGATTGATACAGAATCCAAGGCAAGGGCCACTGAACCTGTTTCATTATTAGCTGTCTCTAAATTAAAACCTGCAAGTGATATACAGATTCTTTATGATCATGGTGTTAGAGAATTCGGTGAGAATTATGTTCAGGAATTGGTCGAGAAATCTGAATTGTTACCATCAGATATTAAATGGCATTTTATTGGTGGTTTACAAACAAATAAATGTAAAGATTTAGCAAAAGTGGCTAATTTAGCATATATTGAAACTTTAGATTCTTTGAAAAAAGCTAAAAAATTGAATGAAGCTAGAGGTAAATATCAACCTGACCAACCTGCCATTGCATGTGATATTCAAATTAATACATCTCATGAAGATCAAAAATCAGGTTTACAAAACGAAAGTGAAATCTTTGAAATGGTTCAATATTTGATATCTGAAGAAAATAAATATGTATCCTTGAGCGGATTGATGACTATTGGATCATGGGATGTATCTCATGCTGAAGGGGAAGAAAATAAAGATTTTTCAACTTTAGTAGAATGGAAAAAGAAGATAGATGAAAAATTTGGTACAAAGGTAAGATTATCAATGGGTATGAGTGCAGATTTTAAGCAAGCTATAAAGCAAGGAACCTCAGAAGTTAGAATTGGCACGGATATATTTGGTGTTAGACCACCAAAGGATCAAGCAAAAATCCTATAGACATTTATGTATATATATAGTTGATTAATTAATGATATTTCTTTAAGATCTTCTTGTCTTTTTGTAAACTAGTTAGAAATTTTTACTTAATTGAACTTTCTAAAATTTTTATTACTTTGTGAAGAGTTGGGAAAGGTGCAAATTGATAACTAAACGTAAATAAAAAAACAAAAGTGATAATCTTTCATGTTAAAAATTTTTGGCAATTACAAGGCAAATAGAAGTTAAGGCTTACAATTTTAGGAAGTAAACAAACTTGATTTTATTTGTTTTAAGCTATTAAAAGTAGCAATACTGGAAAACATTCTCTTTTTCTTGATAAAGTGAAAGGACAAAAAGAGAGATAAAAATCGACTAACAATATCAGCTTAATTACCTATTGTTTACCTTTAAGTTAAAAATAAGCCAAGAAATGAATGGAGTGAATGTTTTTAATTGTTCCTCATTCTATTATGCAAACATGTCCATATTAAACCTTTAAAGAATTTTTTGACCTTTACCGGTGAAGATTCCTTTAAAATTGTGTTCATCACATATGAGTACATTTTAGCATAAAGAGGTGTGGTTATCGCATCGCGGCTCTGAAAAATTTGAAATTAAAGGAAAAAATGAAAGCGGTGATGATCTGAAAGAGAGAGCTATGTCATTGCCAATTGAAATTTATCTCAATTAAATTTTGTATTACTAATCATACATTATTGGTATTTTTTTTTTTATATAATAAATATAATTAAAAATATTGAGTACAAAATGGATAGCGACTCTTTATATGTTTTAGATAACGACTATTATTTCTAAATTTTTCAATTAAAATCAATATCCAACGAAAGAAGACTTTATACCGATATCATTTTTTAAAAAGATGGCTCCGAATAAGATTGTTATTCTATACGGTTCTGAAACTGGTAATACGGAAGATTTTGCGAAGATCCTTTCTTATAAATTGCAAAGGTTACATTACCCGCATACTCTATCAACTATTGGAGACTTCAATCCAACTGATATTATCCATGTACGATATCTTTTTATTCTTTGCGCAACTACTGGTCAAGGTGAATTACCAAGAAATTGTCATGAACATTCATTCTTAGATAAGAAGAATAAGACACTATGGTCTTTCCTTAAGAGAAAGAATTTACCTAAGGAATTTTTATCTCATATTAATGTTGCATTTTTTGGTCTTGGTGATTCATCTTATCCTAAATTTAATTATGCTATTAGAAAATTACATACTAGAATGGTGGAACAATTAGGTGCCTCTGAAGTTTTTGATAGATTGGAGGCTGATGAACAAGCCATGGCGGGAAGTAATAAAGGTACCGGTAGTGGTGTAGAATCAGTATATTTTGAATATGAGAAAAGAGTATTAGAATACATACAAAACAAATTCCCAAAGAGGAAAATTGATGGTCAAATGGTTGAAAGAGTTGGTATCGATGATTCTATCTACTTACAACCTAAGAGTTATTTATGTTTAGATAAGGATTCCAAAATCGATTCCAATATTGACATGGCAACAATACCATTGAAATTCACAAATGATTCTGCAATTAAATATGGTAAAGTCCAAAAAAATAAAATGATAACTGCACCTGATCATTTCCAAGATGTAAGAGAATTTGTCTTCACAAATGTCAATGACCTTAAGGAGGACCACTATGAGGCTGGTGATACTGCCTCAATATTCCCTTGTAATTCTGATAAAGCTGTGCAACAATTCCTTGACACTCAGGATCACTGGTTACCAATTGCTGATAAACCTTTACGTTTCACTAATGGAATCCCCGATGCTTTAAAATCCGGTGGTGTCATTGAACCATTAACATTACGTAACATTTTAAAATATCATTGTGATATTACTTGTATCCCAAGAACAAGTCTCTTTATGAAAATTTGGATGTTTGCCACTGATTTATCTAGAATGGAACGTGGTGAGAGTCAATTAGAACAACAACGTGACAAATTGAAAGAATTTGCAACTGATAAAGATATGCAAGAATTATATGATTATTGTAATAGACCTAGAAGATCTATCTTAGAAGTGATTGAAGATTTCTTATCGTTAAGATTGCCATGGGAATATTGTTTGGATTACTTACCTTTAATTAAACCACGTTATTATTCTATATCTAGTGCACCTAATGATCCAAACGTTCAATTAACAGTAGCTATAGTGAAATATAAGACAATGTTAAGAAAGATAAGAACAGGGATTTGTACCAACTATATTGCACATTTACCCGAAGGTGAATTGATTCGTTATAATATCCATAACAATCATTTAATTCGAGAACAATATAAACAAAGTCCCATGATCTTAGTGAGTCCCGGTGTTGGTATAGCGCCATTATTATCGATCATTAAAGAAGAACCTCAACAATGTAACAATTTACAATTATTCTTTGGATGTAGATTTAAGGATAAAGATTATATCTATGGGGAGACATTAGAGAATTGGTCCACTGAAGGTCGTATTGAATTACATCCTGTGTTTTCTAGAGATCGTGAAAATTCTCCAGACACTAAATATGTTCAAGATGTTCTTTGGAAACTTGGCCAGTTTGTAACGAATCTATTAGTTAAGGAAAAAGCGTTATTTGTATTATGTGGTGCCTCGGGGAAGATGCCAATTCAAGTTAGATTAACGGTGATTGAAATGTTAAAAAAATGGGGTGGATTCCCTAATGATGAAGCTGCTACTGCATATTTAAAGGACATGGAAAGAGATGATAGATATTTACAAGAGACATGGTGAACCCACGGCGCCTCCCCAAAGGAAAAAATACTGTAAAAGTAATAAATTATCTGTTTATGTGTAAGTATTGTATATTTATATATAAAAAAAAAAGATTACATGAATAGAAACATTAAAAAACACACCGTTATGCCTGATTAAAAAGTAGTAATTATAATAATATAAGACTCGAGAGAGGAACACCTACTCTTCTTCATTAAACTTTGGAGCTAAGAAGAATTGTAAGAAACCACTTGCCAAATCGAATTGGAATAAAGCTGGAGCTTCACTTGATAATCTAATACCAATAGTTTCTGATAATACTGAACCTTTAACAATATCTAATAAATATTTTGCACCAAAAGTCAAATCGACAGGAGATTCCATTTCTAATTTAATCGATTCTTGTGGTTTTTCCATATTAATAAAAGGTTGTAAAAGTACGGAACCTGAACCGATATCACCTTCTGTGCTAAATTTAATATTATCCTTTGTTACAGCAATTGATAAAGAATCACCTAATTGTGATAAATCACGAACATTTTTAGAGAATTCTGAAGATGGCAAACTAATTGTTGTTTCATATTCTAATTCTTCAATTTTTAAGAAATCTGCATCAATATCCATTAATTTTAGAATATATTCTGCAACACGACCTTTTTTATTATCTTCAAAGACTAAACCAATATGATCTGGTGTATCTTCTGCAATTAAAGTTAAAGTGTCTGTATTATTACCACAACGTAAGATTTTACTTAAAGAATTTAAATCTAAACCTAAAGTTACCGGACGATCACATCTATATTCTTGGAAAGCTTCTACACCAATTTCTAATGAAACTAATAGAACACGAGAATCATCAACAGCTTGAGCAATAATACCGTCTTCTTTACATTGGAAATTAACTAGTTGGACACAATCTTTAAAACCGTCAATAATTCTCTTAAAAAGAGATGCTTCTTCAAATTTAGCTTCTAGCATAGTGTATAAAATATATGTGTGTATGGAGTTGAGGATGTAGTATTAATATCAAGTGATATAAGAATGAATAATACAGTAAGAATAAGAGTTATGAAAAATAATAAACAAAAAAGAAAAAGAAAAAGAATTATAACAGTAGTTATTAATATATGAAATAGTTTATTGGGAAAAAAAAACAGAAACTTTGGTGTCTTCTCGAGAAAGAACTAAAAAATTTCACTTTCCACCAAAAAAAAAAAAATTATTTTACGCGTCGCGTTTCCGAAATTCAATTCAATTCAATGCAAACAATAATCTTGTATTTTAAACAGAGAACAAAAAAAAGAGATACCATATAGTACATTTTTAGGGTAA